CAAATGGTCACAAAATTCAACAATTTGTAACAGAAGTGTAACAATTTGAAACAGAAGTGTAACAATTTGTTACAGAAGTGTAACAATTTGTAACAGAAGTGTAACAATTTGTAACAGAAGTGTAACAATTTGTTACAGAAGCTGAATGCCTACACTAACCATCACAGATGCTGAGCACTGGCGACAAAAATGTGGTGATTATGATAACTCAGCATTTCTTGTGATAAAAAAAAGGAATGCAGGTATCTAGAATAAAACTTACAAGGCTCTTCATATGCAGGTAGTTTACTGCATACAGTATACTGGTATGTGGAATGAAAGCTGTAAAGTGACTCCTCTTAGAATGAACATAGAACATATTGATTTTCAATATTATTTACTCGCCTCTTTCTGAAGACAGTATTCACAATTGTAAATGCTACCATTTACCCTGAATGAAGCCTTCACACATTCCGGTATTAATGTCTTCATTCTGATAAGGAAAATGGTACCACTATTGGGCCTAGAATATTAGTTTCTGTGGCTGATAAGATCTAACAAGACACAGAGTGAACAGAATCGCACCCTTGAATAGAATAGACAGTTTTCGAGACAGAAAAACCAAAATGGCCACCCTAACATTTACCAAGACTGCTCAAAAACTAATCAGTTCTAAACTTTCATATGTAGAAACATTCCTAAAAATTTCAGATGAATGAAACGGTTTGGCTTGAAACCTGTATTAATGGCCTTAACATTTAAGAGTGCTCAAAAACTGTTATGTTCTAAACTTTCATATGTAGTAACAATACATCCCTGAAATTTCAGAAAAATCCCCAAAATGGTTTGGCTGGACAAGTCTAGACAGACAAGATTTTAAGATGGAAAATCCAAAATGGCTCACATGGAGTTGCTCAAAAAGATAAAAGTGAGTGAGGACTAAAATGGCAGACAATAAATAAAACGGTATTCTATCGACAGATCTTGTGTCACATTTGTGAACGTACTAAAAGACGGTAACAGGGCAACTCATCCCTAAGACAACTCATCCCAAGACAACTCATCCCCAAGACATCTCATCCCAAGACAACTCATCCCAAGACATCTCATCCCAAGACATCTCATCCCAAGACAACTCATCCCAAGACATCTCATCCCAAGACATCTCATCCCAAGACAACTCATCCCCTAGACAACTCTACCCAACTTGAAATAAAACATAATTTATACAATTAATTTTCACTTTTGAAAGAATGAAAAATATTTAGAGATTTTAGCAGTTAGCACACTACTCATGGAATATCTTTTTTTATAATATACATTTTCATGCTGTATTTTAAATTGACACATTTTATATTTTGTCATGCTGTATTTACTTAATATTTTTGTATTTTGTAGTTGGTTTAGCCTAGTTTTAGTTAATTTTTGTCCACTGATTGGGATAAAGTTAAACATGTTCAAATTAATATATACTTTGATAATTAAATCAAAGATCATCAAAGGTGTAGGATTAACTCAGTTAGAATGTTTTATCCAAGGTGCTATCAGAATAATTCTCTCAGATTAATTCAGTCTTTGTTTAAAAATATTTTGGCCTTAGCCAATTTCAAACTTTAAGATTTATGATGATTAAATTTGGAAATAATGTCTATGACTTTTATGTTCAATTCTATATTCTCAAATATATTTAGAAAAACTCAGAATTAATCAATTAGCGGCAGTACTAACAAGTAAAACATAACTTTCAAGTACCATTCAAAACGCTAAAAATCAGTATTAAAAATTGAGTGTGTAATCAAAAATCACTTTGTAATCATAAAAATGAAAAAGGGATATATAGTACCCCACACACAATTTTGTCGCCTACTTTGATGTGTTGTAGAAAAATATCCAATAAGCGTTTTCTCATGAAATTTGGCATACATTAAATTGAAACAATTTGTGACACTCAATTTTTTTTGTTAGGGGTAATATGACTTCACCACCATTTGACTTCGGTTTCTAAATTACTACGCATTTACAGATTTGACCTAAATTAAGCTAAATTTTGAAACAATTTGTAACAAATTGATTACAAAAAAATTTGAATATTCTAGTCAATCCTATCCTATTAAACACCACTATAATCCACTGGTAAAAGAAAAACTGAACCAAGCAGGAGTGACTGTTATAATGTTACAATATTGTGATGTTACCCCTGAAAGTTCACATGTTGAATCCATGTGAATCATTTCCAACAAAAGGTAAGCCGTCGGTGGCCACCTGTGAGGTATTGGGCGAATATGGCCTACCGATCGTTGGCCAACGAAAAATTGAGTGCAAGCTCACTGTTAATAATGCCTGTTAATAATTTTCTTGAGATTTTATGAGATGCGAGCTACTGGAAAGGATTTTTTAATTGAGTGAGACAGTAGGAAATGCTGTAGTGGTAGGATGGGATAGAAATCCAAGCAGGGATGTGTTTCGGTGCCCCGTTAACCAATTTAGACTTAAAGCCAACAAATCATATGATACATGCACCTGTCCATGTATTGAAAGTATTAAAACGGTCTTCACTCTTAAACAATAATAAAATCACACTTACAATATTCAAGTTTAGGAGTTAAACATCTCCAACACATAGTAACAATATCTTAAGAGAACAGACAAACCATATGTAATGCAATACGTTTGTAATCAAAACGTAATCAAAATGATTTAGAGTCTCTTTAAAACTGCAAAACTGAAAATTTTCGTCGAATTTTGTTAAAACATGAATATTTTAAAATTGCTTGTTTTTCGTCAATATTACTTAAATTTCCAAATAAAAAAATTTGAGTGTCACAAAATGTTTCAAGTTTAAGTATGCCAAATTTTATAGGCAAACTCTTTTTGGGTATTTTTCTACAATACATCAAAGTAGGCGACAAAATTGTGTGTGGGGTACTATAATATAGAGGACAAAATAATTTATCAATTATACAAGTGGGATGAGTTGTCTTGGGATGAGATGTCTTGGGATGAGATGTCTTGGGATGAGTTGTCTTGGGATGAGATGTCTTGGGATGAGTTGTCTTGGGGATGACTTGTCTTGGGATGAGTTGTCTTAGGGATGACTTGTCTTGGGATGAGTTGTCTTGGGATGAGTTGTCTAGAAACCTAAAAGACAGATCAACAAATCAATGTTAACTAAAATTGCTGATAAAAAAAAAATAGATTTAATTTTTTGGCAATTTTTTGTAACAAAATTATTTCATGTAACTGCTCTTTACATTGACATGGCTTTTTACAATGCAGGACACCTGAAATTATTTATAAAGCTCCCAATGGTCCAAAAGTGAATTTTGTGCGACAAAAATGGTTAACATACCAACAGAGGCTTTAAAACATGCCAATATTATTGACAGACAGATAGACGGACAAGGAAGTGATTGTAATAGCTCACCATGTGAGCTAAAAATCTACATTATTTATTCATTTACATGTATCACGCACAATGTATACAATAAATAGTGCCCCATTAGAGTCTGCTTTCGCACAGAATGCACTATTTAAGGTCAAAAATCAAATATTTTCAAAATTGTTTTTGAAACAATTGTTTTTATTGGGACTCACATTTTTGGTAATTTTTGCCTCCTATATATTTGAAGAGCTCATCGTGAAAAGTAATGGAAAATACAAAACAATTGAATAACTCATCCCATGCTTGAATTAAATTGGGGGGGGGGTCTATAAAATAATAAATAAAATAGACAAAAATTAAGCAAATTCAGCAAAATTTAAGCAAATTTGGCAGAGATTAAGCAAATTTTGAAATATTGTCACCAACTTCATCTTGAAGTGGCTTCAAAAGATTTTGCCGAATATATTTGAACCCCTTCCTTTCAAATCTTGACACTGATGACGCCACTGCACATCACGATATATCGGGGAAAGGCGGAAGGGTGAAGAAAAAGTGCACTAAAATACCAAATCCAAATGCACTAAAATACTGAACGCAACAAATAAGATATAGTACTTCATACTTCTGGGAACAGTGTCGGAAAATAAAAAAACATTGATGACATCACCAGAATCACTTTTGGCTATGTATATTGCGATGTATCGATTAATCGCAACCCCGGGGATCGCGACAACAGTAGATTAAACTGTAATGTAAGACCATCATAAAATTTGTTTTCTAGATCGGGGGCCGTGAATTCGTACGATCCCCAATCCAACCCGGATTAATTTTATCTTTTGGGATAAATCTTGGATTACTTATCCGATAAATATTTGGTGAATTCGTACGATCCGAGGATTATGAGGGGGAATCCCCAAGATTTATCCAATTTGCATTGGAATTCGGATAAAATTTATCCAAAAAGTATAATTTATCCTGAGATTAATCTCAGGATCGTACGAATTCACCAATTTTTGGATTAATTCTTGGATTAATCCCACAATGCATCATTACCATGACGAAATTTATCCGGATCGGATTGCGGATTGTACGAATTCACCGCCCCGGAAGGGCCTTATTCACGATCGGACCAATTAGATCGAGGGACAAATACGCAGTAGATCTAGTCATGAAGATAGGACTTCCCACAATCTATGATACCATAGATATAGACAAGAATGTAGTAAGACTTTAGGCTAACCCCAAAAATCATTTAGAAATCTACAAACGAATGATTTGAATTGAAAGATCAACCCCACATTTATGATTAGACTACTTTGACAGACAGAGTAACTGATTGAAAATAAATGATGTTGTTTTAGAAAAGAATTCTTCTTACCCTCACTGTCCCAATTCTTTTATCATTCGCAGCAAGGAGCCTAAACAATCACAAACAATGCATGAGATCGAGCACCTGTCAATTTTCGAATTTCGATCTTCCACGGCAGTGAATATTAATTTTAAATCTAATAATTATCAAAAGTGTTAATAAATATAATATTAAATTGAAATTAGGAAAATAAAATTTATCGACTCGTGCTTCCTGTACAACAAGAGGCTGTATTGGTACAAATCAATTTCTACAATTTTCATAAATTCACTCCTGATGAAAGTGGCCATCTTGAAAATTTACGTAAATTTTAAAATAACTTTCGGATGGCAAATCTTGCTAAATTCTCACCATTTATACGATGCTCATTAGGTATGTCGTTATATATTTAATCTCTTCAATAATGCCATCGCTTGCAAATTATCTCATTACGTTCAAATTGATACTGCTAACAATTATCATGTTACAATAATTCACAGTGCAGTCACCACTCACTCTCTCCTTGTTACTACTTTTTTCCATTCTCAAAATTCATTTCGTTCGTTGCGTACCTTCACTACCTCTCTGACGATGTTAAAATAGTTCTAAAATTCCCGGGGCACGATCTTAGAAAGCTTCAGAAATTAGTACAATCTGTAATACTTTATCAACAACGCCGAAACTTTAATATAACATAAATTATAACGTTTACAAATGATTTTACCATCGAAATTGGTAATCTACGTTGTATTTGATGTGTTTTTAGGTAAAAATCTCCGCGGAGCAACAAATTGTAAAATGTCAAGATCGATAATCACTGGGATCAACATTACTACACGTTTTCAAGATGGCGGTGTCAAAATTTTCTGAAAACGCTTCAAATAATATTATGTTAATTTCTGGCGAGTTCACCAATATCATAACTTGTTATCTAGTAACAAGATAGAGAAATATGTAAGAAATTCAATTTTATCGATTAAAACATCACATCGACATGTGGTATTCGTTTATTAGACGATGAAAATTACGAATATGGGGATGACGTCACTTCAAAACGAACTGCATAGCAACGGTGTTAATAAACAATTTATGATCGGAAGTCCCTTGCAAATTCCTAAGTTTTCATTTTTAACAGTTTGTTACGAATTACTTAATATTTTTCTTATGAATGAATTCTTACTACATAAGAAATAAATATTCCACAAAATATAACGAATAAAATCAGTAGCAAACGCAAAGAAATATTTTTCTTTGAAACAGGTCAAAATATTTAGAAGGGTAAATTTCGCGGGAATTTAAAGATCTGCATGAGGTAAGCACAGGAGGTACGGATGGCACTGGACGAAAGGCTCGGAGACTGACTTTTTTCAAGGCCTGACTTCGTCGCTAACATGCTAAATATAAGAGTAAGCTGACGTTTGGAAGTCTGACTTACCTTCTAAAGGTTAGAACCCGAATCTTAATGAAACCATATCACTTTGTTGCGTCGATGATGATGCATAAACATAGCATTTGATAGAAATTAGTGTAAATGCTTTTCCGACTTTTTCATTTTTCATCAATGTTGACTTCCGGGAAGGCATTGTAGTTATCACGAAATAATGCATTGACCTTTGAACTTTACTTTGTTGACGTGTCAACCAAGCATGTCTGGTGTGAAAATTAAAAGAATATTAGCAATGTTCTACATCCACCAAGCTAAGTGAAGTAGTCAATATTTTAAATTACCAATTTCAAGTGAAGTACGCAACGAACGAAACTGCGTGATTTACACTCCCACTATTGGTCTGAATAAAATGCTACGTAGAAATATGAGCCGTCTGCTGTATTAGTCGATTAATAGAGTAAGACCTGTTGGTGATGCTTCATAATTTAGACCAAAACATTGAAGAAAAACGAACCTGTAAAACGTGAAAACAACGAACAAATATTCGGTCTTCACATATGTTCAGTAATTTTTCATATTGAAACTTCCGGAACTTACAAGGAAATCATTCATTTTCTCGGTCCATTATTTACCTCTTGGATGTTGTGGCAAATGCTCCATGGTTGACGGAACAAAGGTGATATGGTTTCATTAAGATTCGGGTTCTAACCTTTAGAAGGTAAGTCAGACTCCCAAACGTCAGCTAACTCTTATATTTAGCATGTTAGCGACGAACTCAGGCCATGAAAAAAATTCTAGTGTTATCCACTTTTGTAATGTTTCATTTCGTCAGTCAAATCTGTTGTTGTCTTTATTGACACTCATTCATTCAGAGTCACTTGTGTTACTTCTCACAGTAACATTTGGACCAAAATATCGAAGAACCACGAAGTTCACATGTCAGGATTCTCACCAGGAAATTTTTAGACCCCAGATTTTTTGTGGTATCGCAACTACTCCTCCCGGATATGAGATCAGAGATGTCTACTTTTCAAAATACTGATTATTTTCTTATTTTAATCACAATGTACATTTCTAAAAGGTTTTTGACTTCCTGTTCCTCATGTGTATCCAGTTTTATGTATTTTCTCATGAGTTTTACCACAAATAATGTGACAAAAATGTAAAATTAGACTCTGGAAAAATACTTTGGACTCCGGAAAAGCTATTTGACTCTGAAGCAAGAGGGTCTAAAGACAAAAAAACCAGGAAATAATTCATTTTTTGACATTTAATTTAATTTGTCTTGGAGATTCTGCTCATACTCCATGGTTGACAAAACAAATCCAACACAGTTAATTGTTTGAGTCTAACTAAATCCTAGAAGGTCAGTGACAGGCACATTCATTAGCAAAATATTATTCATTGAAAACCAATGACAGTAACTTACCCGTCCATTTCCCAAGGCATCTCACAATATTTCCAGGACGAAGCTGTCGTCAAAGACAAGTTTCACCTCATCAGACTCTCACTTGAAAGTCTAGAGGTCACTCAATTCTCATACCTTATATGTATCATTGAACAAGTGATGACTTTGTCCCATTTTTGTCTGGAACTAAGTTTGGTTGTCAAAATTGGCATTAGATTTGCCATAAATTACATAAATTATAAAATTCCACTCTTCATTTATTATAGCATCCAGGGGTCTCACTCCGATATCATCAGTAGTAAGGAATGCTGCCACAGAAGCTGCTGAGAAACCCCCAGAGAAGGTAATTTTGCAGACATTATGAAAATCTTGTGTGCTTTCCTTCACTTTTTGAATAAAATTGTATTATCTCTAAAATAGCATATACTACTCAAGGCAACCCCAAAAAAATAGTTGTGAAAATAACGAAATAGGTGTCAATGTCTCAAATAACTTAATCAATAATTAATTAATTTGTTCTCATTGTTATTTTCTATTTTGTTTTAGACAAAATATGGACCTTTAGCGGACTCTGATAGGATCTTCACCAATCTCTATGGAAGACATGACTGGAGATTGAAAGGGGCTATGAGCAGAGTAAGTAGAGCTAAATGGTCTATTAGGGGTGTCACGGGTCGGATATCTTTTGGGTCGAGTCGAGTCGGGCCAGAAAAAAGTGTGCGGATCGGGTAATTTCGGGTCGGGTCAGAAGAAAAATTAATTTGACTTGCTGTTTAAGCCTGCATTATTGCATATTATACTTTAATAAAGGGAAATGATAGAAACTTAGCATTAAATCACTCAGGAAGAACCGTAAACTATTCGCCATTCGTAATTTATACATACTCAAGCCAAATGTTTGAAATTTTGTGGGAAATATAAAGAACTTTACGATAACTTATGATATTCCCGAGTGTTCTGACCTAACCCGAAATTGGTAAGTAGTTTTTCGTGACCCGATCCAAGCCTTCTGACGTGACACATATATTTTGTAAAGTATTGCCTATAGCTTCAGTAATCACCCTTGGTATACGCAGCTAACGAAAATTGACCGGTACGGGTCAAAAGCTGGACCGGTACGGGTTAACGGTTTTATTTGAATTTAAAACAGCCATAACTTGCTCAATATTGACTTCCTCGTGTCTAATTTGAAATATATGATGCCTCCCGATGCTTTTAAGTACCCCAATTTTTTACAGACTTTTAAACGGACCAAAACTCTCTAAATGCGCATTTATGCTCTTTTCTCTCGAGAACGACTGTCTCATTTTCACGATAACTTTTATTTAGTACTTCTAACATATAAGATCTATTTTTCCCCATCAAGGTATGATGTAAATGACATGCTATTTACATCTTGTGAGTTTCAATGACGCGCGTTTGATTTTATAAAAAATGCCAAACTTTGTAACAAAGAATTTCATCAGCTATTGCCCCGAACCGGTCCGTCTTCTCGCTGCAAGCAGATTGCCCCGAACCGGTCCGTCTTCTCGCTGCAAGCAGGATGAAATTCTTTGTTTGAAAAGAGCATAAATGCGCATTTAGAGAGTTTTGGTCCGTTTAAAAATCTGTAAAAAATTGGGGTACTTAAAAGCATCGGGAGGCATCATATATTTCAAATAAGACACGAGGAAGTCAATATTGGGCAAGTTATGGCTATTTTAAATTCAAATAAAACCGTTAACCCGTACCGGTCCAGCTTTTGACCCGTACTGGTCAATTTTCGTTAGCTGCGTATACCAAGGGTGGTAATATTCCATTATTTTTACAAATAAAGCTCAAATACGTTAAATACAATTGTTACATTTTGATATGAACTTTGATTTTTTACTAGGCCTAGTTGTAACTGCTCCAGCAGAATACAGCAGAATAAAATGTAACAAATGAACTTTAATGTGTCATACCCTATAGGGAGACTGGTATAAAACAAAAGAGATATGTGAAAAGGGAGTAGACTGGATCTTGAAGGAGATCACCAAAAGTGGCCTCAGAGGACGTGGTGGAGCTGGATTCCCAACAGGAATGAAGTGGGGCTTCATGAATAAACCAGATGATGGAAGGTAGGTACAATGAACCATTTGACAGAATATACCTCTTTAAGTATTTTATCTAATGGAAGATGTGTATGTAATAAACCACCCAGTGCAAGGTATGTACAATAAATCATATGATGGAAGGTAGGTACAATGAACCATTTGACAGAATATACCTCTTTAAGTATTTTATCTAATGGAAGATGTATATGTAATAAACCACCTAGTGCAAGTTATGTACAATAAATCATATGATGGAAGGTAGGTACAATGAATCATTTGACAGAATATACCTCTTTAAGTATTTTATCTAATGGAAGATGTGTATGTAATAAACCACCCAGTGCAAGGTATGTACAATAAATCATATGATGGAAGGTAGGTACAATGAACCATTTGACAGAATATACCTCTTTAAGTATTTTATCTAATGGAAGATGTATATGTAATAAACCACCTAGTGCAAGGTATGTACAATAAATCATATGATGGAAGGTAGGTACAATGAACCATTTGACAGAATATACCTCTTTAAGTATTTTATCTAATGGAAGATGTATATGTAATAAACCACCTAGTGCAAGTTATGTACAATAAATCATATGATGGAAGGTAGGTACAATGAACCATTTGACAGAATATACCTCTTTAAGTATTTTATCTAATGGAAGATGTGTATGTAATAAACCACCTAGTGCAAGGTATGTACAATAAATCATATGATGGGAGGTTTGTACAATAAACCATCTGATCTAGTGGATTGATGTACAAATAAACCTATAATGGAAGGTTTGTACAAAAACCACCTGATAGTTGGTTTGTGCAAGAAAACATATTGTGAAAGGTATGTACATTTAACCATATAATGGAAGGTCTGTGCAAAAACCACCTGATAGATTTTTGTGCAAAAAAGCATAGTGAAAGGTATGTACATTTAACCATATAATGGTAGGTATGTACAAAAACCACCTGGTAGATGTTTGTGCAAAAAAACATATAGTGAAAGGTATGTACATTTAATCATATAATGGTAGGTACGTACAAAAACCACCTAAAAGATGTTTGAGCAAAAATATATATTTAAGGTGTCTGGTTGAAGGCATGTGCAATAAACCACATAAACCAAAATAAGCATTTAGTTTGCTAATTTTTTAGTTATGTTATGTTATATTTATTTCCATAGCATATGTTCTTTGTATTTTTCTCATGAAATTCACTGGATTATCTCTTTATTTCAGACCAAAGTACCTTGTAGTAAATGCTGATGAAGGTGAGCCAGGAACATGTAAGGACAGAGAGATCATGCGTCATGACCCCCACAAGCTTGTTGAAGGATGTCTTGTTGCAGGCAGAGCTATGGGAGCTAGAGCAGGTTAGAAACTATGCTTCTATGATAGGAATAGAGAATATTTTGTATAAGTATATATATGGTCGTACTTAACGCAATATCATGGAAGGCAGACCCAGGAACTCCTCCTTGGAGAAGCCCTTTGTTCTTTTATGTGCACTCATACATAGTCATAGAAGAACACACCACGACCTTTTTACGAGTTTTGGACCATTCAGTCAAACAACGTGAAGTACTTTACGCAAACAAGCAAATAAATCTTGCCTGAACCTGGGACCTATTGCGTCAGAGGTACACACAATACCACTGAGCTATGTGTGTGTTTGAACAAACCAACAACATATATAAATGCAACATATTTATGGATGAAGACAGGAGGGTTGGGGTACTATCATGCTAAGAAGTCATAAATAACTGACTGAATTGCAGAGGTGATCAGGGCTATAGATACCTATGAAAGAAGTAACTACAAACGTAGCATAGAGTATCCAGTTTTATCTATATAGCTTGCATCCAAGTAATATTTTTTCCATTGCAGCATATATATACATCAGAGGAGAATTCTACAACGAGGCATCCAACTTGAACATTGCTGTACAAGAAGCTTACCAAGCAGGTCTCATTGGGAAAAATGCTTGCAACTCTGGCTATGATTTTGATGTTTATGTACACAGAGGGGCCGGTGCTTACATATGTGGGGAAGAAACTGTAAGTAATTTGTTATCTTGATATATATACTGAAACACTTTGAAACATTTTATTAAAGGTAGAATCAGATGATGATGGTGAGACAAAATAGGGAGCAACATTCACAATAAACTAACATATGAGTTTTATTCCTTCATGAATATCATATGATATCTTTAAAGTATCACAGGTATCTTATCAAATGATGCAGTAATATATAATTTGTAAATCTTCAAAATAGTTACAGAATAATACAGGTAGAATGTTGAAATATTTCCTCGAGAAGGTAGGAAGTTGTGGGATTTTAGGAATATAGGCCTGCCAAAGAGTAATACAACAAACAACATTTTTTAAGAAGTTTCTCTCATTCTACTTACTAGGCTTCAGTGTGAAATTTAAGCATATTGACATTGCTAATCAATATCCACTTTGAGATTGAACACTTCATTTTCAAAAGTTTGTGTTTGTGTTTGTGTTCATTACCTCACATCATATACCCTGCGTGCAGAGTCTAGTTAAACTGAAGACGAAGCTCTCTTTTAAGGAGTGAAGTCAAATGAATACAAAGGGTACACATCATATTATGCAACATCGTGACCAATTCGAGTTATTTTCCAGTCGCTTATAGAGTCACTTGAAGGCAAGGCAGGGAAACCTCGTCTGAAGCCCCCATTTCCCGCAGATGTTGGAGTGTTTGGCTGTCCTACCACAGTTGCCAATGTAGAGACTGTTGCAGTAGCCCCAGTAAGTCCGTCACACTTTGAACCAAATTAAAACTTTCCATGTTTTTCAATTAGAACACATATTATGCTAGTTTTCATGATTTCCAAATCAAATGCATTAAGTTAAGTAGGAATTGGTTTTACATTTTAAGGAGAGTACAATCAGACTTAAAATCATTGAGAAAATAGACAATGTCTCACTTATAGCATTTCATAGAATATTGTATTAAGAAAAAAATGTCAACAAGATTCCTAAGAATAAATGGTATGATTGTAGGCTATATGCAGGCGAGGTGGGGACTGGTTTGCGTCATTTGGTAGGACTAGGAACTCGGGCACAAAGCTGTTCAACATAAGTGGCAATGTTAACAACCCTGTTACATTTGAAGAGGAGATGTCTATGCCCCTGAAGGAGATGATAGAGCGACATGCAGGAGGTGTGATAGGGGGTTGGGATAACCTACTTGGTGTCATCCCTGGTGGCTCATCAACCCCACTTATACCTAAGAGGTAAGACAGTAATTCCCTATGACTGGGTATGATGGCTCTCAAGTTCTGAGAATGGTAATATTATGATATAGAGCGCAGATTTTTAATGATATCAACTTTTTTCTCATTACAATACAATGGATGTGCATCATGAAATTAGTCAGAGACTATCTTAAGAACTTCAGAGCCAGCTACAGCTACCTGACATGTACAGGAATAATGTATGGGAAAGCCCAACATTGATACCAGCTTCAGGATACTGCTTTAATAGATATTCTGTTTAGTGTTAGTTTTGCTATTTTTGCACGTGCTTGTATGTTTATATAACAGTGGTCATTAAAGAACACAAGACTAATCTAATTGGGGATTTCTGGATCTGTCATCCAGTGTTAATATTGAATGGTAGTTGCCACCCATACATTACTGTATGTAATGTCACTGCCTCGTAAGAAAATGTTCAAAACATATAGGTTTATAATTAAAGTTAATTTCTGTTTCTGCAGTGTCTGTGATGATGTTATGATGGACTTTGACGCCTTAGTACAGGTTCAGACTGGTCTAGGCACAGCTGCTATCATTGTAATGAACAAGCAGGCTGATATTGTCAAGTGCATCGCCCGTCTCATGGAGTTTTACAAACATGAGAGCTGTGGCCAATGTACGCCTTGCAGAGAAGGCACTGGATGGATGGTGAAATTAATGAATAGATTTGGTGAGTGTGTATAATGTTGTTAATTATCCCATCGAACGAAGTTCGGAGGGATATAGGGAACGCCTCCGTCCGTCCGTCCGTCAGTCCGTACGTCCGTACGTACGTCCGTACGTACGTCCGTCCGTCCGTCCGTCTTTCTGTCCGTCCGTCCGGGCAATAACTCAAATACCGTTGGCCCGATTTCGTTCATATTTTGTACACATATACCCTATGGGGATAGAAGTTCTGCTCGAAAGCCGATTTTCAAAATGGCCGCTCATTTCAAAATGGCGGCCATTTTAGTGACGATTTTACAGTAATTTAGGTGCAATATGTAAAACTGTAATAGCAATATGTTTTGAATGTAAAAAAATTATAAAGGACATTAATAATTATTGAAGAAGCACATGGCAGCCATCTTGAAAAATGGCGGCCTTTACTCGTCATTTTACGATTTTTGCTATAACTCAAAAAGTAGTGGAGCGATTTTGTTCATATTTGGTATGTGAATACTATAAGCATTGCACACTGTCTGAAGACACTTTTGATAGAAGGCGGCCATTTTGAAAAAAAATTTGAAAAATGGCCGCCATTTTAACATATTTTACTATAACTTGAAAAGTAGTGGAGCGATTTTGTTCATATTTGGTATGTGAATACTATAAGCATGGCACACTGTCCTATGACACTTTTGGTAGAAGGCGGCCATTTTGAAAACAATTTTGAAAATGGCCGCCATTTTAACGTATTTTACTATAACTTGAAAAGTAGTGGAGCGATTTTGTTCATATTTGATATGTGAATACTTTAAGCATGGCACATTGTCTAATAAAACTTTAGGGAGTAGTCGGCCATTTTGAAAAATGGCCACCATTTTTATGTGTGTTATTTTACAAGTACGTGTGCGATTTTTCAAAAATTTTAGAGGTGGCTACTTAAAAGCATATTGTTTCTTCTGATGATAACTTGGCTAGTGAGCAACCATTTTGAAAATGGTGGCCTTTCTGGTGTGTTGTTTTATGATATTTGCGCTTCGTTTGTAAAAATGCCAGCCATTTCTGTTCGATGGGATTCGCTACGCTTTGGCGTTGCCGTTGTTCTGGTTTGCAATGTTTTAAGCCATTTTTACAATGACATCATATACTTTCATTGAATTTCAATTGAAAGCGTAAAATGTTTTCAAAAAGCATCTCAATGTTTTCCTGACTTTGTAATCTGAAAAATAGATATCTGAACATGTCAGAACAATCTGTATTGAAAAACTGTAAAGGTTTGCATTCAAAGCATTCTCCATTTTGTCTGATAAAAATCTTGTTTGGCACAAAATTGTCAATCCGGTCAAAAAGCTTTATGGTTTAAAATTGTCACCAATACACTATTTAATTATTTGTGTTCCAGTGACTGGAGAGGCTAAGCCAGATGAAATTGATATGTTATATGAACTGAGTAAGCAGATTGAGGGCCATACTATATGTGCCCTTGGGGATGGTGCAGCATGGCCAGTACAGGTAAGCCCTCACACACCTTTTCTGCCAGGGGTGCTCATTTGAAAGTGAGGTTCATAAAGGCCTATAAGTGAATGAAAAGGTTTTGAAAAACCAGACAAATGGCCCAACATTTCCCAAAATAAATGTTCATTGCTTTTAAAAAGCTGCCATAAAAATAACTAAAAAATAAAAATCTTCTTAAATTGGCAGCATAAGTCATTCAGTATGGACAAATATAGAGTGAGAGAAGTGTCAAACAGGGAATTTGGGTTAACCTGAAATTATATAACAAGTACTGGTATAACAATATTAAATTGATAAAGTATCTCAGTTTAGTCTTTGTTTATGTAAATGATAATTCTTTGTGGTGATGATTGCTTTGTTTAGAAGAGAAGCCACATTTGCCTCAGAGGTACCTCTGTACATATACTATGTGTTCCATTAAAATCTCTTGAATCTAGGGTTTGATCCATCACTATAGAGATGAGCTAGAGAGGCGTATTGGGGTGTGGGAGAACACACGTCAAAGAACATCTCTCTAGGGTACACACTAGTGGTGTCAATTAACCGCTTGAGCATTAACCGGTTAACCGGGGGTTTTTACCGGTTAAAGTCGGTTAACCGGCGGGAAATTTGAACTGATAATTTCAAATGAAATCTTCATCTTCGATCTTGAAAGTTGAAAAAAATTGGAAAAATGATATATCGGCGTTTATTTTTTACGTTCGTCAAGCTTTACTCTATTCTATGTAAGTAAGCGAGGGAAAGCAATGTGGCAGGGATTAAAGTTGCTGATTGGATGTTTGTAAGGAATTATCGGACCTATCACATGTATGAGTAGCTCACATGAAACTGACGCTTGAAAAACAAACAGATTAAAATGCAAAGCAAGCGCGGGAAAGCAATGTGGCAGGGATTAAAGTTGCTGATTGGATGTTTGTGAGGAGTAATGGGACTTATGACATGTATGAGTAGCTTACGTGAAACTGACACCATAAAACCAAACGGATTAGCATGCAAAATAAGCGCAGGAAATAACAGAATTATACACGGTCAACTAACCGCCCATAAAAACACAGACCGGTCAAGGCATTATCGGCGGTTAACCGGTTAACCGGTTAATACTTGACACCTCTAGTACACACTGTACTTAAAACTCGAATCAGATAAAAAAGGAATTCGGTCTCTGATATTTTATTGTTATGTATTGATGTTATATGTTAAACCTATAATATTATTTGTTCAGTTTCTTTCTATATATTTCTTATAATTGCCATTATTTACTTACTTATTAAGTATTGGTAAGGTTGTTTTTTGTTTATTTTCTTGTGGTTATATTAATTACATTGATTATATTCAATTATTTGAGAGTGCTGGATAAGTCTTTCCATACATGTAAACAACAACATGGGAAGTAAACATTTAAATATAAGAAAAGTTGTCTTAAAAATCAGCCAAATTGAGTTTTTACAAAATATTGAATACATCTTTAGAGTTAAATCCATATCTTTACTATGGCTGGATAGTTATTGGAAGGTTTAGACACATAAACATTTTCTGACCATGTTATGTGAAAGGGTAATAAATTGTCTTTATTTTGTCCTGGTCTGAGACGTATTCAATGCATTGTCCTTGCAAAATGTATGCCAGTTGAATTTTATCATCTCTCCATGTCATGAAAAGAATTCACAAATACATATTACATATTTCTCCTCTCTATTTCCAGGGGCTAATTCGTCACTACAGACCAGAACTTCTCCGAAGAATGGAGGATTTCCAGAAGTCACAACAACAAAAATCCGCACAAGCTTAATGAATAAACATTTTAGCTAATTATATTAGAGGACTGTATCATAAATGGATCTTAGAATACATGTCAGGCTTAGTTGGAATAATGTAAATATAGCCAAGAATAAAATGTTATTCCATCATCCCTTTTCAACACATATCAAAGCTAAACATGTGAGCTTAAATATTTCTTGAAATAAGGTATGGGGTTATGGGAAATATGGAGTTTTTCACACATGGTTCATAAAGAATTTTAGAATGAAATACCTGATGATTAACCAATTTTAAGAAATTGTAAATTTTTGCATAATTTACTGGGTTAACTTTACTGAATTTATTCTATTCTATATGCCAGAAAGTACATGATCGATGTCACATTTTATTTTTGGCTATAGCATGATCCGATTGTTCTTCAAAGTCTAAAGAGAGATGAAGATGAAATTAAAGTTTATGCAGTTGTTAGAATAGAGGCATTTATTTATCTTGTAAATTTTGTACATATGTAGTTGTTGTGTTTCATTTGAAGCAATAGCACATGCCTCATAATGGCTGGTATCAGCATTTTAATATTGTGTTTCTTTAAAGATTATTTTTCATAAAGGTTCTCTGAAAGTCTGATCAGTTCAAACATAACGTTTTTATTCTTTCAACTATTGTGAACAGATATGTTATGGAAAATAATCATCTTGTGAAATAAAAAAAATAGCAAAACCACAAACACTCTATTGAAGTTTTCAATCTAAACACATTACATGTAGGAAATGTAAGGACATCTATATTTATAATCCTCCTGGTATTTTACATAGACATAGATATGTACCATACAAGACAGGCCCGTAGCCAGGATTTCCCAAGGGGGGGTTCAGTTTTCAAAGATTTCCAGGGGGGGTTTACATTTGACAATTTTGGCCCAAAAATGGCTAAAATCCCTTGAGAAGTGCTTAAAATGGTGAAAAACTGCATGATTTTGAAAGAATTTTTGGCCAGGGAGGGGGTTCACCTGAACCCAGCGAATCCCCCCCCTGGATACGGGCCTGCAAGATAAATGGGACTTAGACTTAAAGTCAGTAGTATCAAGATCATGCTTCATTATTATCATCACTAGGAGTATTTGTTGATTCAGTACGACTGTATTTTATAGCAAAAGTAATTTTATTTGTATTTAATTAATTGTCTTGTCCGTTGATACTCCATTCATCATTTTCTGTGTAACTCAAACCACCATCCAGGGACATATCAAAGGAGATGGACCCACCCTCATCTACTGTGACATATTGTAAACTGTTGCTAAGGAAACTCCCTATAGAGGAGTCTGAGCTGCTGGTGACATCATCATCATCAATCTCAATGATGATATCATCAAGATTACAGGAAAGATGCCCATCGATGTCATTTTCATCTGCTGAACCAGATAATGCATCACCTGTTTTGAAATAATCATCACTGAGTATGTAAGAATTTAGTTTAGGGGTTGTGTTCTCACTCATGCTAGATTTGTTAACAGTTTTCTCAAAACTGATTGGGTTGGTGTCATATATGGCACTGTTTATATTTTCAGCATTTAGAGAATTGTTTGAAGTGTCAGTGTCTACAATGACAGGTATGTTTGTTGGGATAATTCTAGTTGTTTCTCCCGCAGTGTTTGACCAATGAGCATCTTGAATCTCAAAAATCTCATCTTCATTCTCATTTTCAACGAGATTCTCATTAGTTGAGAGAAAACTCTCTCTGATGGCCTTGATCTGCTCGTGTATGTCTTTTGAATGGTTCAGGATATCATCGCAACTTTTTGACCGTTTGTTTTTTGTTTCTGCAACAGTAAATTTGAAGTGTTCGGAGTCACTATCCCCGCTACTCTCACTGGAATGTTCATTGAACTCTGCAATGCAAAAAATTAAAATTTTATTTTATTCGAGTTTCATGCACCATAGTAAAACAAATGAAAATACCTAGCAAAATTATTAGAAATAAGAGTTCATTAATAGGTAAACATGCAAACAGTTGCAGAATTCCTAAAAAACTCAATGTCAACTTTGTGATCTTGTTGAATTATGGTCATAAGATGGTATCCTAGTTTTGGAGCCTTTTGATGAAAAGAACCTGCCATATTTCCTATATTGGTTGGTAAAAACAACTGGAGAAAATCACCTTTTGCATTCATGTTACTAATGAACCCCTGAAATCATTTATGCCTTAATGGATAAAGTAGTAAACTTGGGAAACAACAAAATGTATTTCTATGGTTACCTTCTGTTTCCCATTCTTTCAAGAGTCCATCCTGCATAGTGCTATCACTGCTTACAGCTGGACATATACGGAATTTTTGCATCCTGAGTTGCAATTCACCAATCACCTTCTGGCATCTTGAAAATTGATGAGTCAGCATTTTGTCTTGGAATTTCATAAATGTCTGAAAATATATGGAGCTAACGATTAGAAATGTCATGACTTGAATGATATACTAATCAGGGATACTTAAACAATAGACTTACCACCTCAGATTTTATCCATGCTATTGCCTGGTTCATTCGGTCTTTTCTTTGTTCCCATGGTAACTTTTCACTCGTGCCAAAATGGAACACTTGTTTGTGCTTAGCTTTGGTGAATATATGGAGTTCATTCATATCTCCCCCAGGTAAACTTTGAGATCTTGTGGAATAGCGATCATAAGATAGTATTCTATCTTTTGGAGACTTTTGACGTAAAGAACCTGCCATATTTCCTTTATTTGTTGGTTTATCCTGCTATGGAATCTCTGGTTCAAAGATTCCAGTTTGAACCTATTTCGGAGTGATATACATGTAAAGATGTGGATTATATCAAGAATTATCCACCAAATTTTTATGACACTCAGTTTAATCTAACTTTTATAATTGTACAATCATTTGAGCATGTGCCTTATCAAGTGTTTACTACCGATTTTGGATTATATTACTCAAATCTCATAAAAACTTTGATTAAATTCTTCATTAACAATATTATATATAAAGGTTACTGATGGATGGTCGTAATGGAATATGAATTTCATTATTAAAGCACATGACTCAATGAATAAACTACATGCGAGTAGAAATAATCTTGATTTACATCATTAAAAATTCAGTCAAAGTGATATCACATTTGAAATATATGTGTAAAATTATATCAAGAAAATGTGTTTTTCAAAGTGTGTAAGGCCTGTCGCCCTCGGTCAATATGATATTGTCCTTGGCCTTTTTGATAGTTTGATTTTCATAAAAGATGCCATTTTTTGTTTGACTGAACTTGTTTAAATGATAGCTTCATCTCCAAGCTTTCAATTTTGACACTGCCTATTTAAAGATCTGATTCTGCCTTGAATGCTTCGGTAGAGACATATACTTACATATACTTATATGTCTTTACTCTTGTTAACAGGACATAGATTTTGTTACGCCAAGAACATTACTTCACCACAGAATCGATACACAACCTACTCTATGGCTGACCCATTAGATGGGTCGCTGATTGATGTAAACATTGTGATATACCATGATAATCAACCGATCAACTGTCGTATATGTCGTAAGGACCATGATACACAGCAGTGTCCCTCTCGATCTGTTATAACCTGCTTCGGATGTGGCATCCAGGGCCACAGGAAATCTGAGTGTCCAAGGAGTAAGAAGCGCGACACCACCTGTTGGAAATGTGGCATCGTAGGGCATCGCCAAATTGACTGCCCTGAATCTGCACAGGTTGCGACTGAGTTAGGCCCACAACAACCCACTGATCCAGCCCCAAAGGATGCGGCTAATAATATGAGTAAACCAGAACCCTCTACATCCGGGACTCAGGCAGTATCAGCAGCAGCACCTAACAACGTGAAACCACAATTCACAAAACCAGGTACCGCTGCAGTAAAAGCAAGAAAAAGACAAGTTATGAATCCTCTTAAGAAGTCAGGTTCTCTGCCTAACTTTAACCTGAAGAGGTCAGCAGCAAGCCCCCCTATTGACCCAAATGAAGATAAGAAACACAAACTAGGTTCTATTTCACCAGTGAACAACTCAGCAATTATACAGAGTGAGATCATAAATGCAGCGCCAGATGACAAGGACAAAGCATGATATACCAATAGATAATATAAACACTCTATGCTTAACATATACCAAGGAAATGTTCAAGGACTTCGGAATAGGATGACGCGACATGCATTTTTTAGATATCTTAAAAATGCTAAAATGGACATTGCCTGCTTGCAGGAATCATATATAACACAAAATGATATAGATACATGGGCAAAAGAATGGGGAGGCAAAATATTTGCAAAGGATAAGGTTATATTCTTTCAAGAACTTCAGAATGTCGTTAAAAATGTTAATAAAGATGATATGAATTTAATAATTTGTGGTGATTTTAACTGTGTGTTGAATGAGAAAAATGATAACTTAGCTGGAGAAAGTCACAACAAAAATGATATTTACGCTTTTAAACAATTTGTTGAGAATAATGATTTGAATGATGTATGGCGATTGTATAACATTAATGAAAAAAGCTACACTTGGAAGCATAAAAGTAAAAGCATTATGAGGCGTATTGATTATATTTTTTCTAATGATTGTGTATTTGATAAAATTATGTGCTCCAATATTACAGATATGCCCACATCTGACCATAGAGGTGTTACTACTACTGTAACATGGGATAAAAATGAGAAGGGTCCTTCCTACTGGAAGTTAAACAATAGCTTACTCACTGACCAAACTTATGTAAATGAAATAAACCAAATTGTTGACAGTATATTAATTAATGTTAACAATCTAGATAAACAAATACTCTGGGATTATTGTAAAACACAGATTAAAGATTTCTCTATTGGTTATAGTAAACATCTAGCCCATGTAAATAAGTGTAAAATCAAAACTGCGAAACAGAAGTTAGATCAAGCATGTAAGGTTTTAAGTAAAAATCCTAATGATAATATTTTGAATCAGAGAGTTAATGAATGCAAATTGTTATTTGAAATTTTGTCAACAGTTGAAGCTAAAGGGGCTCAGATAAGGTCCAAGGTACAGTGGTATGAACAAGGGGAGAAAAGTACCAAATACTTCTTGCAATTAGAGAAAGCTAGGGGAAATAAAAAGAACATAAATTCATTGAAAATTAATGGTCAAAATGTAAGTAACCAGAACAAGATTGTAGAAGAAATAAACAGGTTTTATAATGCATTATATGAAAAGAAAATTGTATTTAGGAAAGCAAATCTTGATGATTTTTTACATGATGTAAATATTCCGAAACTTAATGATGAAAATAGATTAACTTGTGAAGGTCTTGTAACACACCAGAAATGTACAGCAGCATTGAAAAATATGAAAAATGAAGCCAGCCCTGGACTGGATGGTATTACAGCTGCTTTCTATAAGGTATTTTTTAATAAGATTGGCAAATTAGTCGTAGATTCACTGAATGAGGGTTTTCTAAAAGGTGAATTATCATGTTCTCAAAAAACTGGATTGATGGTTTTAATTCCAAAAAAAGATTTACCTAGGGATGACCTTAAAAACTGGCGCCCTTTAACATAACAAATGTAGATTACAAAATACTGGCCAAAGTGTTAGCTAACAGATTGAGATTGGTCATTTCTGAAATAGTACATGAAGACCAGTCAGGATTTATAAAGAAACGTAGTGCAGCTACTATTTTAAGAGGTATTGATGATTTAATGGTATATATAGATTCAAATAACCTACAGGGCATTATGCTTGCAATTGATTACGAAAAATGTTTTGATTCAATCTCAAAGGAGTTCATGTTATACTCTTTAGAATATTTTGGATTTGGTCCCCAATTTATAAAATGGATTGAGGTCATTAATACAAATGGACATAATCATATTTTTAACAATGGCTGGCTTATAGGTGACATCAAATTAGGGCGTGGCATTCGGCAGGGCTGCCCCTTATCTCCGATGATTTACCTAATAGCATGTGAGCTTTTATCTTGTAAACTAAGACAATCCAGTGAGGTTAAAGGTATCAAAGCCCCTGGAAATCATGATGAAACCAAAGTTTTACAATATGCAGATGACACAACTGTTTTTGTGCATGACATTAAGTCTTTTAATAATGTACTTGAAATTTTTAACACATTTTATGGTTGATCAAGCCTTAAAATCAACACAAAGAAAACAGAGGCAATGTGGTTAGGAAAATGGAAAAATAGGAGAGAAAAACATGGAGATGTGCAATGGAAAATAATGCCTCATAACTGTATAAAGCTGTTAGGTGTAACGTTTAGTACCTCAACTCATGTTATTGATAATGACTTGAATTTTGAGTCAAAATTTGTAAAATGTGAAAACATTATGAAATCGTGGTCTGGAAGGTACTTAACAATTATGGGAAAGGTTGTTATAGTGAAATCTTTACTTTTATCACAATTTTCCTATCTCATGCAAGCCTTCATTCTACCTGACAAACTTTTGAATAGAATTAATACAATGATGTTTAAATTTATTTGGGCAAAAGGCAGATTTAAAGAGGATGAATTGAAAAAGATTCCTGACAAAGTGAAAAGGGATGTAATGGTACAAGAATATAAATATGGAGGGTTAAAAATGATAAATGCTAAAGATTTACAAATAGCTTATACAACACAATGGGTTAAAAAGTTGCAAGAAAGAGGCAATGGTCACTGGAGAGGCTTACCCATGTACATGTATGGAAAAATGGGTAATGGACTCAGTATTTTTAATTCAAACATAGATTTTGATAGAATTAAAGGTTTGCATAACTTGAGTAATTTTTATAAAAATGTATTACATGTATGGTTAAAACACAATGATTTTAAAAATGAGAGCATTATTTGGAACAATGAAAGTGTAACTCTCAATAATTCTCCATTATTTTTTGAAAACTGGATTGAAAAGGGTATTACATATATTTCAGATGTTGTCCAGGATAGGGAAATGTTAGCATATGATAACATTGTCCAGAAAATAGGGAGAAATGGCCAAACAATTCTTCAATATAATGCACTTAAAGCATGTTTAACACAAGATCTCCTTATCAAATATGAAATGGAAACACCTTGTACAAAATTATTTTTTAAAGGCATTGAGAGCCATCTTTTAAACACAAGAATTGTGAGAACAAAAATTGTTTTAGAGAGAAAGTGTGACATAAAATTTAATGGTGAGATTCTAAACGATAAAGTCTGGTCTCAATTTTTTGAATGTACAACCGATACTACCCTTTTGGTAATTCAATGGAAAATTTTACATGGTATTTACCCTCAAAATATTTATTTGAAAAAATGTAACATTGAAAACTCTGACATCTGCAACTTTTGTAACGCACATGTAAAAGATGACATTGACCACTTCTTTATCAATTGTGACTGTATTAAATCAATTTGGGATGATGTGAATGTTACAAATGATCAAAGAATTGGAAATGCAATTGTTAAAAAAGAAGATTTACTTAAAACATTGGTAATTAAAAAAGCTATACATGATTTTAAAAAAAGGGTCAATACAGCTAGTAATGTAAAAGCTATTTTTGATAATGAAATAATGATCAGAAAGATGTAATGTAACTTGAAATTTCTATAATTCTATTTTATCTTATTTATGCATGTAATGTAAAATATGTTTATTAATAAAGTTTGATTTTATAAAAATGTCTAGTGTTAAAATTTTTTTTTTGATGTTATGAGTATTGGCTATCAATTTTTCAATTTTTCTTTAAAGTTTTTTTTAGTCACATTCCCTTTGACATGCGTTTATATTCTCTGGCTCAGGGTCGGGCTTAGGGTACATGAAAGGTCCTTATAACAAAATAGGTTTTGGCCCGATATAAAGATGGCAGAATGTTAGAATTTTATTACCTCGTTCTTGCAGATTGATTTTCATTTGAATTTTGCTGTTTCTGCTTCGTTAACAATAAATCGAAACATTTCTTGAAATCATTTGAATCGAGAACAATATTTTTTTTGTGTTTTCCTGATTCAAAAGAGAATATGATTTGTTTTTAAACGAAGGAACTATATTTTTACTAAAAGTAGTCCGGTCATATAAATACCGAAGGAGCTCCATTTCGTCCCTTTCATTCGTAGTTGCAGTTACACGTGTTGTGTGAAAGTTTTTTCAATCACACAACACCTTTATATAAAAATAAACAAAAAAATTATAAAAATATAAAAAAAGACAAAAAAATCGTCAAAACCTGTTAACAGGAACATCTGATCGGACGAAAGGGCCCTCAAAAAAAGGAAAAAAGAAGCACTGAAAATCGTAGGAAAATTCAGCGACGCCATTTTTGTTGAAAATTTTCTGTTTGGACTTTCACTAAATTGTAAAGTTAGAGTTGCAAAATGAATCCCCAGGCTCAACCAGCGTATCCTATGGCGTCTCTGTACGTAGGGGACTTGAATCCAGATGTGACGGAAGCCATGTTGTTCGAGAAATTTTCCACTGCTGGCCCAGTACTGTCCATTCGAGTTTGCCGTGACATGATCACAAGAAGATCGCTCGGATATGCGTATGTCAACTTCCAACAGCCAGCAGATGGTAGGTTGATTTAATCCACATATTTATCGACTATAATAACATAATTACAATATTTGATATCTTGTTTATGCGTCTTAAAAGTGCATGCAAAGATGTTGGGAAATTTGATAAAAAATTCAATATGGCTGCCAATAAAACCAACATGAGGACATTCAGATTCAATGCTAGGCCTACATGTAATTGGATACCTAAGTTTTTATTGTACACACATTTATTTTTTTCTAGCTGAAAGAGCACTTGACACAATGAATTTTGATACTATCAAAGGCCGTCCCATTCGTATTATGTGGTCCCAGAGAGATCCATCCCTGAGAAAATCTGGAGTGGGAAATGTGTTCATCAAGAACTTGGATAAAACCATCGACAACAAGGCTATGTACGACACATTTTCTGCCTTTGGAAACATCTTGTCGTGCAAGGTTAGTATTGAAATATTGGAATTGATCAGCAAATTCATTGAGTGGGGAGTATTTCATATTTACGTCATCTGCTGTTTGGACTTTTTTATTTATTTATGCTGTAAGAGCAAAAGGACATCATCTTGTGAGCACAGCTTTAATAATTGAATCTGCAAGACATAAATGTTTTAACTTCTCCCACCATGAACCATGTAAGCAGCAGGAGGGCTACTTTGTAATGATAATTAGTGTATTTATTAATTTAAATTTTTTATTTTATTGCAGATCGTTTGTGATCAAAATGGATCAAGAGGTTATGGCTTTGTGCACTTTGAAACAGCTGAGGCAGCCAACAGTGCCATAGAAAAGGTGAACAACATGTTGTTGAATGGCAAGAAGGTGTTTGTAGGACGCTTCATGTCTCGCAAAGAGCGTATCGAACAGATGGGTGACAAAGCAAAGAGGTTCACAAATGTCTACATCAAGAACCTCCCAGAAGACACAACAGATGAAAAACTGGATGAGTTGTGCAGTCCATTTGGGTGCATTGTGTCTGCTAAAGTGATGACTGATGATTCTTCAGGCCGTGCGAAAGGTTTTGGATTTGTCAGTTATGAGAATGCTGAGGATGCTGAGAAGGTATGTCGCGATTGCTTTCCCATTCTTCATGGTGGACAATTATATAAATCAAAACTACAGATTGGGTTAATTTGGGGCCCACTTTAATTTGGTGAAATAGAAAAAAAATGCCAATTTACATTTTTGTCTAAATAAGAGAGGATCCCTGGGAATTCTGTCGGGTATATTTAAGTCACTTCGGGTTTAGTGTTTACCAAATGTGAGCCAGAAAATTAAGCCAGAATACAATCTATTGCAGCTTTTAACAGTTAGAGTTCTTACTGGAGTTCAATTTGAATGGTATCTGTTACAACTCATACTTTTGCCTCATTTTAGAGAAATTAACTTTTTCAAAGAAAAACATTCAAATGGAGTGCAGGAATCATGTTTTTAAGTGTGTAGTGTTATATTTCTGTTAAGTGAGTGGTCAAACTCACTCTGCAGTGATATATCACTGCGGCGGGCAGGTATATCACCATAATCATGGTAACTTCGTAATAAACAACTGACGTGATTGGTTCCAGTCCCATGCTCGGGTCGCGATTGTAAAATTTAGACAATTTCATTGGTTGAATTGCACGTATTAACTGATAACCGACACATGCTGTAATCTATTATCAACACAACTTTTAATCAGAATTTCTTCCGCGGTGATATCTTTTCATATTTCATTATCCCAACGAACGAAGTTCGGTAGGGATATAGTGAAGCCCTCCGTCCGTCCGTCAGTCAGTCAGTCAGTCAGTCCGTCCGTCTGTCCGGAAGATAACTCAAATACTAGTAGACGGATTTTCTTCATATTTTGTGGAAAGATGTATATTGGTGAAAAGTTTTACGCAAAAATTTTTTTTTCAAGATGGCCGCCGCTTTAAAAATGACGGGACTTTTTCGCAAAAATCACAAATTTTTCATTCTGAACCAAAGTAATTAATATTATTGTTTGAAATTTTGGTAGTATATTCACAACATTTATCTATTTCACATATATTGCGTGTTTTTTCATCCTGACCCCCAGGGGCCGTGTATGGGGGGACAGGAAAACAGAAATTTTCGCTAATTTTTAGATCTTTCTAAAGTATAGCTTTATTATACTCAAATGAAAGGCAATTAAGAGTAGATTGCAAATATTGTATCTTTTTTCTGATTCGAGCCTCGTAAAATTCAAAATGGCCGTCTAATGTATGATTTCGCAATCATTTTTCGATCCCTTCAAAGTATGGCTATATTATACTCAAATTGAAGGAATTTTGGAGTAGATCACAATTGTGGTATTATTTTTAAGATTTGTATCTCAGAAAATTCAAAATGGCTGCTTTGCAGGAATTCGCAATTCTAAAATCTAATGTTTTCAATTTTAACCAAAGTAATGAGTATAATTGATTGGAATTCGCTAATTGATATTTTGTTTGTTGGGATTTGCTACTCCGCGGAGTTGCCGTTATCTAGTTAAATTTGAAATATTTTGACAAAATAATGATTGGGGAACATTCATGAATACATATTTTAAAAGTTGTGTGAAAATTGACCACATATATGATGAAAAGGGGAACTATTTTGACCAAATTTTGGAGATCTTCATCTGCCCGCCGCAGTGTCTATACCTCGACACTGCATGGGAGTTCGGTGAGTGGTATCATAAATGTTACAAAACATGTTCGTCTTATTTACAGTGTTGTGATGACCTCAATGAGAAGGAAATGAATGGGAAGAAACTATATGTTGGTCGAGCTCAAAAGAAATCTGAGCGCCAGTCAGAGCTTAAGGACAAATTCGAGAAGCTAAAGATCGAGCGTCTGAATAGGTTCCAGGGTGTCAACCTCTACGTGAAGAACCTGGATGAGAACATTGATGATGAAAGACTACGTAAAGAGTTTTCCCAGTTTGGTACCATCACAAGTGCAAGGGTGAGTGACGAATTCTATTTCAATTTGGCAAATATGATTTTAGAACAAAATTAGATTTAAAGCTCCTGATCGATTGCATTTGCATGTTTGTTTGAAAAAATATACATGAGAAACCACTTGTATTCCCCTGAACTTTAAAAAAAATTTCAGCTCAGTGCGTCAACATTTTATTTCCCTTGAAAATGAAAATGTTACAATGCCTTAATCTATCTAAAAAACTGATGCAGATTAGCATCATTATTAATATATAGCATAATTTTATAACTCACAATTTAAATGATAATTTTCTTAAATGAGAGGCAAAGTACTAACTCAATTTATTTGCCACAGATCAAAGACATATTGGACAACTATTTAGATAAATTTGATGAAAATCAATGTAGTGCCTTTAATAGAAAATGGGTCTCATGATGAAAATGATACTTTTTGCTATTTTCAGACGATAATTAACTTGGTAGTGAATGGATGTCAGAAAATGTGGTAGGGAGGGTCTTAACATTGCCAGATTGAGCTGGATTTTTTTCCTTTAAGTTCAGGCCCGAAGATCTGAGAAAAAGGTGAAAAATGATCCACTCTTTTGAAGTTCCATCTGTCTTGTTTCATATGTAGTTGCATTATCTTTACTTAACTTTTGCTGTTCTGTAGCAGTATTGTTATCTCCAATGCCACCCTGGGCTATTGAGAGCATTTAGCTCACTGTGATATAGTCCTCCTTGCATTGGTAGATGAATACTTGTGTTTGAGCTTGTGGCAGCTCTTCCAGGATATAGAGTGGCCACTTTGCACAAGTTACAATTTCATAGATGTAAATGTTGTCAAAATGTATCTTATGTAGATGCAAATTTTCCTATGATTGTTACAATGTTGCCATAGTAACAAAAAGTTATTTTATTTACTTGTATATTTAGGTGATGAATGACAACACTGGAAGGTCCAAGGGCTTTGGCTTTGTCTGCTTCAGTTCACCAGAAGAGGCTACACGTGCTGTTACTGAAATGAATGGCCGTATTGTTGTTGCCAAGCCACTGTATGTAGCTCTGGCCCAGCGCAAGGAAGATCGTAAAGCCCATCTTGCATCTCAGTACATGCAGCGTATGTCTGGTATGAGAGGGGGCGGTGGAAGTTCAGGAGCTGCCGTTGCTGGTCAGGCTCCAGTGTTTGCTGCTGGCCAGAGTGGAGGCTACTTCGTCCCAACCATGCCCCAGGCACAAAGAGGGTTCTTCCCTCAGGGACAGATGCAGGCTGTGAGACCAACACCCCGCTGGCAACAGCCCAACCAGATGCGACAAGCTACCCCTGCTGGATACTCCGCTGTTGCAGCTGGAACAGCTGGTCAAATCAGAGCACCAGCAGCTGCTGCCGCCGCTAGCGCTACCACCAGACCAGCAGGCCCTGCTAGGCCAATCGTTGGTATGCCGGCTGGAGTACCCCGACCAACCATGCCCCAGAACGCCCCAGCAGCCAGACAGCCACTCAAGTACAGAGATGTCATGCGTAACCCTCCCACTCAACAACAGATCCCAGCTCAACAGCAGCAACAGGTATGATTTCAATGCTTGCTCGCTTGCTTTAATGGTAATAGATCACATTCAGTCATTGCTCCAAGTATTCTAAAAGTTAACAATATAATGAATATAGGTTGTGTTGGTAAAGAAGATAGATTTGTCTTGGTAAACATGTCTGATGCAAGGGTTAGGTTAGCATGACCTTTTGTGCTCCCTAAAATGGCAATATACTTGGCAAGCATCATGTTTATCAGGTTTATTTATTTGACTTTATTTATAGTGAAGCAGAGCAGAGGTGTTTTTGTTTATGTATCAGACATGAGTTTACATGTGTGTTTGAATATATCGCACTTGCGTAATGTTACATTCTTTGGCTAGAAGGAACTACATGTTCAATTTGTACTTGTAGGTTGCTCAACAAGCTGTGTTGGTCCATGGTCAAGAGCCACTTACCGCCTCCATGTTAGCTGCAGCTCCTCCACAGGAGCAGAAACAGATGCTAGGAGAGAGACTCTTCCCCATCATCCAGAGCATGTTCCCAGAGCTATCTGGCAAGATCACTGGCATGTTGCTAGAGATAGATAACTCAGAGTTGCTCCACATGTTGGAGTCCAGGGAATCACTGAAATCAAAGGTAAGGTAGAACCTTGGTCAACATTGATCGTTGCACAGGTTTAAAAGATTTATACTTGTGGGCCATTCAATTGAATCACTGTGACCTGGTGGTGAATTTAGGGGTGAAATTTGTGAATGGGACCACTAATGAAAAAAATAACTAAAGAAAAGACTAAAGAAACCCAACATCAACATTTGTACAGTAAAAAAGAAAATATGTGCAGTCAATGCATAGTGCTACTAACTTGATAAATGGCCTGTGCTGGCTTGAACTGTCTGTAATCCTAGCCATGATAAAGATACCAGTTCCTGTCAGAATATACGGGCAATTCTTTCTACCTTATATATCAAGTTACATTATCCTACCACACATATATGACCTATGGTGTGAGATAATTGTTACTCAAATAAAATGAAAAGAAAAATGTTCGGTACAATCATTTTTCATCTATAAAAACAGTTGTTTCATTTGACTGATGATTCACACTTAACTTGCTCTTCTGATCATTTTCAAAGTAGTAATATGTGTCTGCAACTGCAACACTTTAGTATCTAAAAAGCCGAAGTGATGATTCAGCCTTTGTATTGATTCATGTATCTATCTTTTTCAGGTGGAGGAAGCTGTTGCTGTATTGAAAGCCCACCAGACCAAGGCTCCAGCTGGTGCCAAGAAAGAATAGACACTCGCAACTATGAATGAACTATACAAAAAAAAGAGAAAAAAAACATTAAGTAAAAGACATACAGAAAAAAATCGTAAATTGCAACTACAATTAACAAAGATGGTGCTGAGGTCAGTATGACAGCAACAGTGTGTGTAGTTAAAAGAGAGATAAGGGTTGTACAGGAACGGTTCTTCTAACTTGTAGTATTCTAGAGCAATTGCAGCAAAACGATGATGATGATGATGAAGCAGATACTTTGTGTGTTTGCAAGTGCTACAGACATGTTGGTTTCATGTTATATCCTAGCTGCCATTGCTTTGGGAGACTGTCACCCTTATCTAAATGTGTTGGCTATTGTTGTTGTCATTATTGACTTAGCTGTATGATTGAACTCTTACTAATTCAATTGCTGCTACAATTGTAGAAAAAATCAAAACGGATCTTTGTAGTATATGTCAGCGAAAATCAGTATATATTAGATTTGGAGATTCAAGTTTGATGTTACTTGAAAATGATGGCATACACTACAAAGAAATGTACCATAAAAATAGTAAAACAAAAAATCCTAAAAATAGTGCTAAAGTACCATTGGCTCCTTTGAGGATATTGCTATTATTTGGGGAAGGATATTTGTACATGGATTGATCTGCATTTGACTGATGAAGCATGAGGACAAGCAATACATGTTGGGCATTCAGACATGTGGGGGAGGGACTTCAATTAGGCCAGATACATAACAATACGAAAAAGCAATCTCAAAACTATAAATATCTTGGTTTTGTATGTGGCCTACTAAACTAGCATTCATACTGGAGATTTGATTGCCATGTAGGATAGTTGATATTGGGAAAGGTCTTCATTCAGTCATATGCAGAACAGTACCCCCACGTCAATGTTGTGTATATGGCTACATACTGGAGAAAATTCAAATGTGATGTTTGTTCAAAGTCTGATGTAGGCCTGGACACACTGGGGGAGGTACAACTGGGGGGAGGGATTAGCCACATACACAATATATCTGGTTTATTCAGTGGTTCAGGTGGAAGAGGAGGAAGAAGAAGAAGAATTACAGTATTTTACTGATTCATGACTCAATTTATCTGTGGGTCTAACATGCTGGATATTCATCTCTATTATGATTTTAGTTTGGTGGTTCATATACTTGTATGAGTTGTTAACACTTGACCTTCTCAGCAGTGTCGGCAGTCAAGGATGTTCTATAGGGCTGGTCCAAACGAAAGCTCCCACCAAATATTGATAAGTGTACTCTTACATGGGTCGGAGTTGCATCTTAAACTTAAACGTATTGATGATATTTATGTTGACTTATGTGATTAAAATTCAGCACATCATGTGATGTGATGTTGATTATGAAGCTCCTAGCATGGGCAGGAGTAATACGACTCTATTGAGGAATAAGATAAGGTATTGTTGTCGTGAAGCATGCTCTTGTCGTGCGTTTTCTCGATCTGTTTTGAACTTGTTGGATATGGGCAATGATTATCTCAGAATCTACATATTTTGATTAATTACCATTGTTGTATGAGGGTTAGGTTAATCTCTTATCTGTTATGTCATCTATAATGACGGTCTTGCTGATGGCCTTGAACCAAGCTAGCATGTAAGACCCCCAGGAATGAGGCAATTCTATGGTCCTGCCCACAGCAGCTAGCCAGAGCAGGAGCTAGGACTGATCCCCCTGGAGCAAGATTGGCATGCCATACAATTTATGTTCATGTAACACTTGTGTGTATGTGGACCTAAATGTTGTGACATCATTGGGATTGTTGTCATACTTGATTTTGTGTATTTTTGGTTTCACTTCTTAGTCAACTGTATTGAGTGCCGTTTCATCGTTATCTGAATTGTGATAAAATGTTGATCAGGTTTGAGAAATGGTCAGTCTCTTCTCTTTCATTCAATATTGGCAAGTTTATCGCCTGTATATGGTCTATGGCTTGACTGGAATATTTAGGGGTTCATGTACACGCATATTCAACAAACGATTTCTTTGAGGATTTTACTTTTTTCAGTTAATGAAATGATGATCTGATTAGTTTTGATTTGGCCCACAGTGACTACGGCGAGATTGCTCTTAATCATAATGTGCTTACAAAATGTTGTTTGGTTTGATATATAAATTATGTTTTGTGAGAGGCAAATCGTTCATGATTTGGTCTACCCTGAACAGTTGTATACAAATAAGGTTTGCATGTACGGTCCTGCTGAGGGCCTTTGACCAGGCTAGAAAGTATGGATCCCCCAGAGTGTGATATAGTTCTGATGAAACAAGTGTGGGCAAGTGTATGCCCTTCTAACAGGCTTTATAAATGACAATGTAAGTGGGCAAATGAGTGCCCATTAAGAGGCCAGTAGTGCCTATCAATGGCTAATGATGCCGGTTCAAGTGTTTTAAAAGGCCAGTAGTGCCTATTTGTTTGCCTGGTTAATGCTTACCTTAGTTGGCTAATGGATGCCGTACTAAGAGTAGAGAAGCGCCTTTTTTGTGGCTGCTGGAGCCTAGAGCGCCTTTCATGGATGCCAGAGCGCCTTCATGGCTGCCAAGGCTATCATACACTGGGGATGTTGAATCAGTGGAGCAGCTGATATTCATAGTTTGTAAATCTTTTATTTGTATGCAATGAAATCTTTCAGAATCTAGTTTATATAAGAGGCTTGATGACAATTTTGAGTATAATCTCCAGTCAGCCTTGTTGGTGGCCAATGAGTTTGTTGTGTCCAATGAATTGGCTAGAAAACCTGGTTCCCACTGTCTGGCAACTTGATACCAAATGATGTCAAAACATGCAGAAAAGCGGTGGAGATTTTTGTGCATTCATGTATGCTTTCTACTCTGATAGATAAGGACAATTATGTAGATTCTGAGATGAGGGTTTATTTCTAAGATTGAGTATGTTTGCTTTCAGTGTGTAATTTAGGAGCACCCTTTTCTGCATAGATATAAAACATGTTAAAACTGAGACATCTGTTGATTGTATAAACGCTAACATCGACTGGCATGATTTAGTCTTGCAAGAACAAGTTATTGCTTCAGGAGTGATGATCCAGTTGTCTCAAGTTAATGAGGGTTGGTTTTGTTTTGGGGAATAGCATTATGTCATGCTCTTAGTCCTGTCAATTTTAGTGAAATTACTTTTGAATGCCAAAATAGAAGGCTAAAAGCTTGCTAAGTGCCAAAGGAAGGCTATAAGGAGCTTGCTATATGTCAAAATGAAAGGCAAAGAAGCTTGTCAAGAACCAAAAGGTAGGTTAAAGGACTTGCTTAGTGCCAAAATGTAAGGCTAAAAAGTTTTGTTTTTACTGTTAATGTCAAGACTAATGATATGTACATTTGTGTCTCTTCTCAAAGGACTCTGTATGTCTAGTTAGTATGTTGAATTTGGTGCTTTATTTGCCCTCCAATTAGTGTGTTGTGCCCCTATCCAACAGATCTTGGTGACCCTGTATTGTACTACTCCTGTAGCACACTAGATCCATTGACTGCATTTCATCTTGTAGGATAGCTTAGGTTCACGAGTTGTTTGTGATAAGGCGGCTTTATTGACAAGTATACATTAAAAAACATACCAGTAAAAATACCTTAAACGGTACCAAAAAAAAATAAAACATTTGTGTGAAAGTTCAAATCAAGTCTGATTGGGTATGAATGTGTGTGTGGGTAATGGGGAACATCTATACTGGAGTATAAGGCTATAAAGCCATGTGTAAAAGGCTGTGAAGCCACGAGTAAAAGGCTGTAAAGCCATGATGTATAAGGCTGTGAAGCCACGAGTATATGGCTGTGAAGTCATGAGTATACGGCTGTGAAGCCACGAGTATAAGGCTGAAAAGCCACGAGTAAAAGGCTGTGAAGCCATGAGTATAAGGCTGTAAAGCCACGAGTATAAGGCTGAAAAGCCACAAGTATAAGGCTGAACAGCCAATGACATAGAAGCTGTACAAAGCTGCGTGTACAAATATGTTAACTGTAACAACATAAAATACCTAAAATACCTAAAAAAAAGATGGATGGATGTGTGTGGGCCATGTTGTGTGTGTGTGTGGGGGGGGGATTGAACACAATTGTGTGTTCTTCAATGATTACAGTGTGTCTGATGTGTTGCACATCCTTCACATGAAGTGTACTATAACAACATTAGTACATTACATATGACCTAGATACTAACATCTTTCTAGCTATGAGGCCATGGTGGCCTACTATGAGGCCGTGTTGGTCTGATGAACTTTATGAAATAGGCTGTAAAAGCCATGATAACGAATATGAAACAAACTAGGCTATGAGGGCCATGTAGAAATAAGAACTAGGCTATAACAGCCATTATGAAAGTAAGAACTAGGCTACGATAGCCACTAAGAATCAAAGAGAGAAATTTGATAATGAGAACTAGGCTACCCAAGCCAGGCTACAAAAGCCATTATGAAACAGAACTAAGCTACCAAAGCTAGTGTAATGAACATGTATGCTAAAACAGTTATGATGTATAACGATGTATATAATGTAAAAACTGATGATATATGAAGACAAACAATGTCACTGAAGGCCTAAGTGCCGAACTAGAAAATGAAGCATAATGCTACTATGAAACAAGATATTGGTGTTGGTTACACAAACCACTCCAATTAGAAAAACAAGACCAGTTAAAAAATATCAAAAAAAAATAAATCAAGTGTGAATGTGAGTGTGGGTTATGAAGAGGACCCAGTTTCTCAAATCCTTTGAATTTGTGAAACTGGGTCCACAGCAACAGCAACAACAACAACAGCAACAACAGTCTGGTTGCTAAGGGGTTCCATGGTATCACTATTGTATTCCTAAGCTTCCAGACACCTTAGTTACAGAGTATAGCATGCTCTGTAACTGCATGGTAAGTACATCAACCATGCACACCAGGATTCAACATCTGTCCTGCGTAGAGGGCACTGTCCTTAGAACTATCAAGCAGTGTCCTCATAAAAAATGGCCAGTTTTTATTTAAACTGGTGTTGATAGTAATAATATAAAAATAAAAATTAACATATATAGTGACCGGAATGGTTACATTAGGTATATGATCCTGACAAAATAAAGAACCACTGAATAAACCAGATTAAATGAGTAAGCACAAAGAGCAACATTGGGGGCCAGGTACATTGTCCATGTCATTTTAGTTTCAACATCAACAACTACTACACAATCATGTAAATAGTTGTAAAATATGTTTGTTTGAGCTTAAAAAATGGTGTATGCTAAAATTAATGTATAAACATCTCAGCGACAAGTAAAAGTGTTATTCTGAAAGGTATCTCAATTAGAAATTCAAAAGTGTAAAATTGAAGTAATTTGAAATATGGCTTTTAAAATTTTTGATAAGCATGCACTTTGTTTAAGAAGATTATATGTAACAATGTGAACGAAAAAACTTGGGCAGGCGATGAAAGGTTCCAACTTTGAATTGCGAGATATGAATGACTTAACAAAGTGTATGAAATTTTTGAAATTAAACTGTATTTTGGCCTATGATCAATAAAACTACCTAACACCAAAGATTCTTTGTTGGTTACGTATTTTATAAGTCAACATTTAGATATCATCCATGACTCTATTAGTTTGTTGACTGCTTGTCTTGATATCCACTCTCAATACAAAATACTTTGATCCAGTTTTAAGCATATTCAGCCAATAAAAAAAACATAATTGTAGAAACTGCAATTTCCTCCCAGTAATAATTCTATCCTTGGGGTATTTACTCCCATTAATTTGTTAATTTTTATGCCACCACCACAAGTGATGACATGTTGTTATAGTGTCCAACTTTTTAATAGATGGTGTTTGGCACAAATGGCAGGTGGTGACATTTTGTATGTTTATGCCTTGTTCTAAATTGTAATACTGTAAATTGCTTTTAATTTTGACGGTCTTTTTAGTGGGATTGATGAAAACCACCAAATTAAGTGTGCGGCAATTTAAAAAAAATCCCCGGCACATTGAGAATTCTCAATGGTCTCATTGAGAATTCTTTCAATATTTTGATTGTTACCCCATTTTTATTACATTTTAGCTTATAGGGATGAAAGTAAATCTGCCAAATTGAATAGCGCCAAATTAAAGCAATTTACAGTATAGAATATTGAAATACAGGTTGTCCAGATAAAAATGGCGAAGACAGAAATCCCAATTTCTGAAAATTGCATTTTTGGATAATTTCACACGAGGGCATCCATACCTGGACAGAAAACAATGTTACTCCACATCCTAAAATCATAGATGCAATTTAAGAACACCATTTCTGCATTAAACAGTACCCATACTATGCAAAAAATCTTTAAAATCCATCTTATTGTATAAAATTAATAGTGGTGTTTTTTATCACCCTGTTCACTGTTGCTCATACAATATGTAATATTTTCTACTTTACCATTTCCATGTCCTGCCAAATTTTAATGGAGATAAACACTAAAAAAAATTATTTGTTATAGCTAATATGAGAGTACTGATTTTTTTAAGTATCCAGTATTCATGGTGTGTATAATTATTCCAATGAATGAAGTTCGGTAGGGATATAGTGAAGCCCTTTGTCCACCCGTCTGTCTGGCTGGAAGATAACTTGTGGATGTACTTTCTTCACATTTGGTAGACAGATGTACACTCCCCCCCATAAGTTTGGCAACCTTTTTTCCCCATTGAACTACGTGTTAAAGCCTCTTTACATTTGAATTTTTATTTACTTCACCGGCGATGAAATAACTTAAAATATTGATGGAAACGTAACTTGACTTTATTTCCAATACCTCCAAATTTTCTCAGTTTTTTTTTCTCAATTTCAATAGGTCGAAAATTGATGATAAATTTGATGAATTTTTGAAAATCGTCATTCCCATGTAATCCAATGGGAAATGGAGGGTTCGGGGCAAATCAGAAATCAGGATATCTTTTCAGTAAAAGATTCAGCAAAAAATATTTTTATATATAAAATTGAATTGTCTAACTTTTTTTAACACTAAGTGATAAGTTTATTTGATGAATATTAAAGTTACAGCGCTTCAAAGTCATTTTTGAAAATAATTTTTCGCCTACTGTGTTATTTCAATGGGAGACGTTTTTTGAAAAACAATTTTGACTTAAAGTCCTATAACTTTGTTGAACCTGAAGAAACATATCAATTTTTTGTTCAATAAAGTTAGCAAATTCAACTGCCTGCCTAACTCGTATTTTTTGCAAGGACTCGGATGGATGGATATTCTGTATATATGACTTGCGGCAAACCTACCATTTCCCATTGGTTAACATGGAAATGTCGATTTTCCAAAATTCATCAAATTTATCATCAATTTTCGACCTATTGTAATTGATGAAAAAAATTGAGAAAATTTGGAGGTATTGGAATTAAAGTCAAATTACGTTACCATCAATAGTATAAGTATTTTCATCGCAGGTTAAGTAAATAAAAATTCAAAGGTAAAGAGGCTTTAACACGTAGTTCAATGGGGGAAAAAAGGTTCCCAAACTTATGGAGGGGAGTGTATATTGGTGAATAGCTTTACGCAAAAAAGTTTTTAAGATGGCCGCCGCTTTAAAAATTATGGGAATTTTTCGTGAAAATCTTAAGATTTTCTGAAGTTGAACTTTATTATACTCAAGTGACAGGCAATTTTGAGTAGATTGCAATTATAGTATAGTTTTTTATTATGATTTAGGCCTCGTAAAAATTCAAAATGGCCATCTAATTTGGCAATACTTTTATGATCTCTAAAGTATGGCTAATTTGGCTATATTATACATGTACTTAAATTGAAGGAATTTTAAAGTACATCAATATTATGCTATAGTTTTTCTGATTCATGCTTCAGAAAATTCAAAATGGCTGCCTCAAGCACTGAAGCAGGAATTCGATATTACTTAGAGTATGGTTATATTATACTACATGTATATTAGATTTCAAATATTTTACTGTCATTATGATTTGTACCTTTGAAACTCCTTAATGGTCACCCAACAGTCTCCGAGCCTTTCGTCCAGTGCAATCCGTACCTCCTGTGCCTTACTTAGGTAGTGAAGGTAGGCAACGAACGAAATGAATTTTGAGAATGGTCACCCAAATACTTAAATCTGTGGTATCTCTAGTGCATAATATTTTCCAATTTAATCAAGAGTAGAACAGATGGTAATTATTACATTGTGACAAAACAGATTCATAAGTGTATTCGTTGGAATTTGCTCCTCTCTGTGGAGTTGCCAATTTCAAGTTCAACTTGGGTGACCATAAAAGAAGCTGAAAACAGCATTGGTTTTCACCTTTTTGGGCTTCATCATCAGAAGAATCAACAAAATCATTTTGCTTCATTAACTGTAATACATCATAATAAATGTGACTAAAAGGGTATGTACTAAAGTCAACATGACTGTATTCACGCCTTCTATAAACTGTAAACAAAGTCAACATTTCATCCGGGGTATATTCGCGAACAAAACCCCTGGTAATACATGTAATGTGTGACGTCATAATGGTGGGCCGTAGAAATGGCGGACCATTATGATTATTCGAAACATTTTGGTGAGTTTTCATGTTCGAATCGTAATAATATACCTTAGAGCAGGTGTAATATCGTCAAATGCACCCCTTCGGGCTAGGCACAAAGGCTTTCGAACCTTTCGTTTGGGGTACAGAAAACGTTTGTGCCTAGCCCTGCAGGGTGTATTCGACAATATTACCCCTGCTCTTCGGTCTATATTTCTTAAATAAAAAGTAATGGGACAGAGTTGGAAGCCTTGGACATATTTTGATGACTGTCTGAAATCGACAGCACAAAAGGCTCATTCCTCCAGGTGTTACTAACTAAAGATTGCACAAAATCAAATCTTTATTGAAGTAATGTATATAATGAATTTATTTGCATAATATTATATGATGGAGTGCCAAGTTCACAATACTGTACAGTTAAATGCATGATTCTTACAAATAGAAATGTGACTAGATAACATCTTTACAGTATATAAAGTTGATTGGTTCAGATTTGGCATTGTTCTTATGAGGTGTATAGGATTATGAAAGTGCATTTTTATTAGTACATAATATCCATTTAAATATACACAATCATGTTAACATTGATTATTCAATTTATAGCAATTTTTGATTGTAATATCGATTGTATTTTTTGTAGATTCTTGGCACAATTTGTATCCTCAAAATTTTACACAAAACTAAAGGTTACCAGGTTACAGCGTAACAAAATTCCATCATCTTTGAAACATACATTACATTTATATCTTCAAAATATGAATGTGTCAATATGTGTTCACTGTTTGAGTTTCATGTCAACTGTCATGGTTAATCTGTATCAATGCAACCATAACAATATGTTGCCATCTTTTGGATGGTCACTTAACAATACAAAAAACTAAAATGCCACATGGTAGTAATACTTTTTAAAGTTGGATTTTAAATAAATACTGGCAATTTACTGTTTTACATGCATGATTGTACATTTTGATAATACTTTCTTCGGCATAAGGCTAAGAATGCATAAGGCTAAGGACTTTAAACATGTTAAATTGAACATACAAATTGATAACACAAACATTTTTCACCTTGTAGATTATAACACCCTTCCCCACTCCCCATTGATTTTGTTACACAAAGATTTGACTTTTTTTGTTAATACTTTGCAGGCATTGTGATGAAGTTGCATAGTGATGTGCTCTATATAATATGTGTATATAGGTACAGTACATGTCAAATCTAACCACACACCATGGGTATATTAGTCTTTGGTTAATGTTGCTGGTGTCAGATTAGTTCCAACTTGCACTGTAGTTGAACTTAGTAATAAACACTACTCCTTGACAAACACTTTTTTCTGTCTGATTTTTCTAGGAATAGGTTCACAAAGTTCTAGAACTCTTGGTGTTGCACGTGCCAACTTAGCTGCACCTGATACCCTATAAGGATCATAATCATCGTTTCCCCCTCTGCTTTTAGGACGGGCAAGCTGTTGGACTCTGAGTGTAGCTAGTGCCTTTTTAGCAGGATCAGTGACAGGCCACTGTATAGTCCTAGCTCCATGATATTGTGGATTAAAATCTTTTGCCTCAGCAAGAGCTTCAACACGTGGTGTGCAAGATGCATATTTAGCAGGTCCTGGTACTGGAATAGGTAACTGCCATAATTGAAAGAAATGATCTCCGTCTGTGATCTGACCATATGTCCCACAGCGTTTAGGTTTGGCCATTGCATCTAGCCTTTCTGATGCCTCACCTCCCCTTGCGCCTGGGGTCACCCTGGTGTAAACAGATCTCTCCATCTTGTGTTCTCTGTGGACGGTCTTGTGCTCAGCCAGGGCCTGGACACGTGGACTAGCTTCAGTTGACATAGCGGCTTTGTTCACTCTCCATATTGGGGTCAGCCTGCAAGTATAGATACATATGTTCAGGTATAAGGAAAGCCAAAACTACATGTATGAGCATTTACCACAACTCTAGTCAACTTGATATAATATGTCAATTGAATCCACAATGTCAAAGAAATTCCCATTTAATCATAAGTTTTGTAAAGTATATATTTTTCTTGCTTCACTCATACCATTAGTCCATGGGTCACAGTAGATTTAGTCTTACATTTCTTAGTTATAAAAGAGATTTTCTGTAATGTCTTATTTTGCTCAATTATTCATCAAAGAACCACAATACCATTTATTATTGCATAAGTTGGCTATGTAGATTTCATGTTATTCTTGACCTTAAGATTACTCTGACCAGACCTATTGATCTTTACAGTTCATTATTGTTTAGGCATATTCAACAGTGCACAAAGGCATCCATAATGGTACTATGCAAAACTGCAAATCATTCAATTCAATTTTAGTTATGTTCAATCTAACAAGTTAAATATTGCATAACAACAAGCATTGGCTTTATGTGTACTGGTACATAACATGGTCATTGTGATGGGAAGGGACAATAGTTGTCACACTCAGTTTTCATTTTGCCAACTCCTTGAGTGTCCTTAGTAAAATAGCTTTCACAAATTTTGCCTTTTCCAGTATTATATTTAAAATTCCACTTTTAAAATGAATTTTTTCTAATTTTGTAGGATTAAAACTCTAATTTCTATTGCTGTAGCTCCTGTTTTCTTTTGAAAAAGTCGTAGCTCTTGTTTTCTTTTGGAAAAGTCCTTGTTTTCTGTGTTTTCTCCTTTTTAATCTTCTGTTTTCTTATGATTCTTCTTTTTGGAATATTAAGCTTTTATTTAGTTTTTAGTAGTTTTGCAAATAGTAGTAAATATTTTAGTAAATGTCTTGCTTCTCCTGTTTTTAAAGAAAATTCCAATTATCCAATTTTACTACTGTTGTAGAATATATATTTCTATTCAAAAATCCCTTTTATTGATGATAGCTAAGCAGGTATGGCAGTTTATATTTGACAGTTAAATGCCTTTCACATTCCATACAGTCTGACTACTCCTTATTAAAAATTGAAACCATTTTTAACAAAAGACTCAAATTCCTCAAAAATGAACAAATAGTTTTTTTCTGTTAAAGGTCAAGTGGAGAACTCAAAATACTTACAGATCCCCTTTGAAATTGCTATTGACATTTTTAGTCTGAGCAAGCTGATCCTGTCTTGGTGTTAAAACTGAAATAAAAGTATCAGAATGGGTTTTAGAGATATAATGCATGATCAATATCACACAGTCATGTTATACATGTACATGAAATTGTACACAGTAAGTAAGAACTGTTCTATTTGGCAAAAAAAAGTAAAGCTCCCCAAAATCCATAATGATTTTCATATTTTCAAGAATATCAAATTGATTGAAAAAGACAAATGTCAATTTTTGCACTTATTTCGAGTATTTTGAAATGTTTATGTGTTTAGATCTAAGTTATAATAATTATTGCGCTTACCAAACACTGTTGTTCCACCTTTGGGTTGTGGGGGAACTTTGTCAACCCAGTACACAGAGCGTCTAAAAATAGCAACATAGTAAATAAAACAATTATAGTGGTAATCATGAGTGGTTTATTTCTAAATCAGTTAAGTGTTGAGATCTGCCAGTTCCAATGTTTCCCAATGGAATATGATAAGCATGGTCACCTTTAGAATCAAGAGTCCAACTATATTGAACTTTTGGTCAATGTCACATCTGTTGTTAAATTCCCCATGAAAATGTGGCTCTTGTGAAATGTGATTTGTAGCCACATTTACTAAGTACATTTAGACAATAACATAGTCGAGACAGTTTGCAGAAAATCATGTCTTACTCGAGTCTCTAGCCAATTCTTTACTGTATCTATTTTATGTGATGCAACAGTCAATATTTTATTTGTCTTCAATATTGTTGTCATGAATTTCATTGATGTAATTAAGCATTTACATGATATCTAACAATGTAATTGTAAGGTGGCATTATATGAGTACTACACTTGTCTCACTAAGGAAACATAGCAACCTGTAATTGAGTTGATATTTTGTAAAAGATCCATTGTGAATTTATTTATTCTAACTTGTATGAAATATGACCTCCAGACGGAATCAATGATCAATCGATGAATTTGTGCCTGGTGTATTCATTAATTGATTCATTCATTCAAGTCATTAACTTGGATTAGAAGTCCATGCATTACATAACATTCTTTCATAAATTATTCAAACAAAATTAATGAAATGTACGTTTATTGATATTGCACTTACTAAATTCATAAATAATTGTAAGACCCCCGACAACGTTTGTATAACTTAGACAGATTATTTAGGTACAAAAACCTAAAGCCTATTTACTACCATGTATGGCCTCTTGTATTTTGATGCTTTTCTGAAAAACTATTTTCAAAAAATATTCAAGGCTAAACTTCTTATCTAATACAAGAAAATTATTTCACTCAGTTGCATTTAATTATTTTAAAAATTTGGTTGACCTATTGAAAAAGTTTGTCAAAACTTTCAGTTTCAAGAACATGAACGTTTTTTATGCTCACCTGTCTTCAATCATCCCAGACGGGATTGGTTTCGGACGCGCTAATACGTCTAATCGTCTTCCTTGTGCTGAAATCATAAGACATTGGGATAGAGATTGGCTAATGTAGGTAAGTTATGAAAAATAAATTAATCAAAAAAAGTTTTACTCACTCGTGGCAGCCATATTTGCTTTCTGCTTGTAGTTGCTATGTCACGTTGCTAAGACCCTTTGATTCCGGACTCCTTAAAACCAATACAACAAGACTTATTAGCGATGCGATACTGTAAGTTTTAACCCTTTTAACCTTTTATTCGATCATTTATTTGATGATGTGTATATGTATAATAGTAATATTTTTGAAATCACCTATTGAATTTTTCTGTTCTATAATTACTGTACACATTTGCATATTTAAAACTATTTTTAAAATAATGGAAGTGGTCTTCAAAAATGGGCGGGTCTTCACCCGGAAGTAAACAAACGCACGTGGACAATATATTCTAAATCGTCCCATTCCAAATCATTCTGGCTACCGAAATTTCGATTCACAATGGAACGTTTGAATTTCTTTGATAGAAATAACTTTTGAAAAAACAAAAAAGTATTTACAAAAATAAGACTCGGTGATCATATAAAAATAAATTTTAAGTCAGGTAGCCTATATAATTCAAATGTCAGACTGACATTTATCAAATTTTAAACACGTAAGCTTAAATGCAGGTGACATGTTTTCTAATCTTTTTCATTGTAGAGCACTAGAGAGTTGTAATAATGCAAACTGTTTACCTATTAGTCTAAACAAAATGATTAAAAAAATAAAAATTGAAACATGAATATCCCAAAATATCTAATTGATAATCTGTTTTTGTGGAAATTCATTATTTTATTCATGCCTTGCCGATACCTGACCCATACCCATGTATTTTGTTCATTCGACAAATATGTTTTTCAAAAATAGGAATTTGGGTTACTATCGGGGGGGGGGGTTGACTTTTGTATCAGATAAATGAGTGTCATTTACGATATCAGTTTAGTAAGGATAAAGGAATATGTGTTGGAATTTGTAATACTGTATAAACACTAATAAAGCGTACAATAATAGTAAATTGATATTACATTATAAGATAACAGCTTGTTGAGATTCTTGCAAATCTAGTCCTGCATCAACCCCCGAAAAGTCCAGTTACTTGTTTGTACTCTTGGACTCTCTGACTTAATGGACTCTAATTTCTCACAACATTCTTTAAGACAATCTGTATACTAGTAATTTATAAACTAAGTCCTTAAGTTATCAGCAGTTATCAGGGCAGATATTTACAGACAAGAAGGTCAATTGTGTTTATCATCATTATCAATGCTTGGACGTACTTTGCTTGTGTCATTGTACTAAAGAAAGAGACTATTACTGCTACTTTTCATTAGAAGAAACGTGTACCCTTTTGAGATCGAAACATTCAGTGATCTTATCGATGGATAGTTGGTATAACTATATATTAGAAGGAAATGTGAAAACCATCTTCGGATTTTAATACATTTTTGGGCATTACGCTTCAAGCAAAAGACCATGATTGGTTTCATTGTATAATTGAAAAATCTAGTGAACTTTAGTAGAACTCAAGGAGGAAGTTGTTTGATTTGAACGAGTATAAATTAATGCGGACATTGGACACCTACGTACAGACGTAGCATATCAACGACACAACTTTTTTCCACATTTGAATATGATCTGATCAAATTATAGCATTAGTTTATGACTATGTAAATATCTCGAATTTAAATAATTAAATAACTAATATGAAGTTTGACGAAGTGTTTGAAATTACTGGGCATTTTGGACCTTATCAGCTAGTGCTATACATTTTACTAGGCATAGTAGGTATACCAAACGGCTACCAGAATTTAGCGACGACATTTATTGGAGGAAAACAGGATCATTGGTGTAAGATCCCTGAACTGTCAAATCTCACACACAATCAGCAGAAAGTGGTCGGTATACCCCTAATACGAGAGTCGGATGGCAACGTTCGGTAAGTTCCCGGGAGTAAGTTTCCTCTGGGCCTTGTTTCAATTATAGTGGAACTAAAGAATAGAGTGGAGTGAATACTGTTGTATCCAGTCACAATCTTAATTTTATTACATGAGAAAATTGAAAATAATTAATACTGAGAATAGGGACGATGTCAAAGCAAAGGGAATTTCTTAGATCCATTCATAGGGAAATCACTAGATCCAAAACAAATTGTACAACATAAAGAGCGCAAATACTAAAAGATTTTGCCTCAAATATTGCGAATGTCTCATTTTAGGTATGACCAATGCTTCATGTTCAATTTGAGCTACAGTTCTTATACGCACGATGAATTGATCAATTGGAACAGGACAGTGCAAGGCATCGATGACAGTACTCCGAAATTAAAATGTACATCTTGGGTGTGGGATCAAAGCCAGTATCAGTCAACAATCCTCAGTGAGGTATAAAACACGTTTCTTGATAACTCTCGGTGGCTCGTCAGGAGTGGATAATGGAATCACTTTAATAACTTTTAAAATCCAAATGATTTTTCTCGTCATATTGATTTTGTCAGGTATTCAACTTTAGAAAGGCATTTATCATAAAGTACTACATCCTTCAAGATGGGACTTCTTTGCTTTCTTGAAATACCTTTGGACCAATGATGAAACTGTCATGTTATGTTATGTCATGTTAGCCGATAAACTAGTTTGAGCAGTACCCAAGTCACACTTAGTTGCAATCATACACAATCGGAATGATGTCTTCCACTTTCTTTAAATTATTTCCTATGGTGTTAAGAGATTTACTAGATAGTCAGTTCACATTGGCAATATGAAGCATTCGTGTTTGTTTTATTGTTTCATGGACTCTACCACCTGATAGAGCCCATGATTGTTTTAAATACGAAAATCACATTTCTAAACATCAGGACACGATGGCATATACCCCTTGGGACCCCTTTTTAAAAACATGTATTTCTATGTAGTTGCATGTCAGCTGGTCAACTTACAAGGGGATATATTATGTAGTTATCCAGTTATCTCAAAGAACCTGACACTCATCATTCTAAGTAGTATATCGCGATGGAGCCTAAAATATTAATAACATTTTTAGTGACATCATCTTGATTCGCATGGTTTCAGTTGCTCAATTTCAGTTGTTTATTCTCACATTGGAAGTCGAAGATGATTTAACATGTCAGATGATTAACTCACAAGGATGCAATTATCCAGTTATCACAAAGAATCTAGTGATAATGGGCCAATAATGTCAGCAACATTTTAAAAGCAGAATGGAATATTTAAATGACAACGGCGTACATTTTGTTATGATAAAGTTACCTAATATTACACCAGATCATTTTGACTGATATCAACTTTATTTTTTCAACGACAAGTTCATATCAATCTAATCCTCATTTACAAGAAGACAATGTGACCAAACTACAAACACGACACAATCGGAATGTATGTGCCCTTTGTGTCGAATAAGAAGATTGGTGATATTGGGGTTGTAAAAAGCAACATGACTACAAGCAATTGATAGAATGTCGATGTACAAATGTATTCTTGAAAGTTATCTCCCGAAAGGTCATTGACAGCTTATAATTATGGTTAGGTTATTTCAGATATAAAATGCATTCTTAATGAAATTCTCCTGTATGTGTATGATGATTTTGAGCCTATGAGACTCTATGCCATATTCTTTTGCCATACTGTGGGACGGGTGGTTATATATATAAAGGATCTATAAATGTGCAAGCTTTCTCGTGAACATATATGAATCTCGCATCAAGTTTTTTAGAAAAAATCTCATGATCCCTAATTCATCCTTTAATGATCCCGATTTCACGGGTTGCCAACTACGACCGTTAATTTGAATCTTAGACCTACGGGTGTTTGAAAATCAAGGATTGTGAGTCTCATACTGCACCGTTTTTCTTCAAACTTATTCCATTCAAAAGAAAACAAAAATGCCTTTTTTTGTCGGTGCACTGATTAATTTGGTGGGTGAAAGTTAAACACACATCATAACTCTTGTAAAGTCTTGAACAAGTGTTGCTTTGCTTTATAAAACCTGGGTTCGTGCTTACAGTGGGACCTTGTATGTGACAGAGCACCGTTAGTTCCTCTACTCAGCACCATATATATCTTCGGTATGTTTGTTGGGGGAGTGTCTTCTGGAGCATTGTCTGACAGGTATGTACGTATACTAGTAGTATAGGTCTGCGAATGTACATTGCGGTGTACTTGGCGTACATCCGCCTTTTAGCAACGAAATAAATATATGGGGGTTAGCGATGTCCAATGATTGCAAATTACATCTAGGATGTAGCTCTTATGTATACTTTCGTCCGTTCGATCCATTTCCAGATTTGGTCGTAAGAAAGTGTTCCTGATAGGTCTGTTCTTAGAGACAGTGTTTGCTTTGATTGGGGCATTCGCCACAAGTTACGCATTCTTGGCAGTTATAAGGTTTCTCGTGAGTGTTTCAGCTGCAGCAGCCTTTACAACCACATTTGTACTCAGTGAGTTATTCCTATCTACAGTTTATGCTTTGACTATGTGGGACGTGAATATTCTTATATTACCATATGATAATTGACGGAAACCCGAATTCGATGAAAACGGTTTTGTATGATGGATTTTGCTGTTGACACAAACTACCCAAATATGGGTAGTGGCCACTAGCCACACTCTACAAAGTCAAATCACTTTGGTCGAATATGTAATGAAAATTCAAGGACAATAACAGACAGTCAAATGGGACAATTTCGGTTTCCTATTTATAGATAGTGGGGTATGTTGATTTTTGAATTTAACAAAAGCTTGTAGCAACTTGTCCCATAAACAATGCCTTATTCTGTTCCAGTTATGGAATGTATTGGACCTAAAGCACGAGTGTATTGCGGGGTCTTGTACCAGGCGTTCTTCTCACTTGGATTTGCGCTACTACCCCTCATGGCATACTTCATACGAGACTTTAGAAAACTGCAAATTGCTATGGCGATCCCACCAATTATATTGCAAGTTTACTGGTTGTGAGTGATAACTTTTTGAATAACATCCATCAGGCGGACAGAAGTTGGAAATTGGCAAGGGAATGTGTGTGTATGTGAGGGGGGGGGGGAGGGGGAGGTATAATTTTGAAAATATTTTGAAAATTTGGAACGAAGAAACTTGTCCCGTTTTCAAAAAAATATTAAAGCCCATTTTATGATTAGTCCCTAAGAGTTTTAGAGTCCAAAATGAAAATAATTCCAAGGCCATATTAGTAGGGTGGGGAATCTAAACTACCCAAAATTTACTAATGATCGGTGTTTTTTCTGTCTTTTGCTATTAGACCACCACCTCAGTTTCTCAAGATATTTTTCAATTTATTTAGTGTTAATTTGAAGACACATATGTTACAAATACAGCTAACCTGGAACATAGTAGAAATAATATCAAATTCTAAAAATCGAGATGAGTAAGTCAAAGCCTAAGCCTCTTCTTAGCTAGGAAGTTGGTTTTTACAGTCTTTCATCTGACACTACTAGTGGACACATTTATCGATTTAGTGACACCACAAACATAGAAACAGTATACTATCTTGACTTATTTCCAGTATTATACCAGAGTCCCCTAGGTGGCTTGTTTCAAAAGGTCGACATGAAGAGGCAATTGAAATTCTCAAGAATGTAGCAAAAGTAAATAAAAAGACTTTACCAGAAAAACTAACATTTGATACTGAAGAAGATGGACAATCTACAGACAACAAAGAAGTTGCCATGAGAGAATTCCATTCTATGAAATCAACGGAGAAGGTAAATAATCTAAAAAATCAGTCTGAAGTCCCGGGTCTGAAATATTAAGCACATTTCAGTTCTATATCAATGTCTAGTAGTAATCATCCTTCAATACTTATCTTTAGATGGTGCCAGACTCCACAGAAGTGAAAGGCACTGTTTTGGATCTCTTCAGAACACCACGTCTGCGTTGCAGGACCTTCAATATTTGGTTCAATTGGTAAGTAAATGGCTTAATGTCTTGTCTCCTCTACTTACTGTTTTTACTGTAATGCCCAAAAAGGCCCACTAATTAGGCTCTTCACAATTTTGGTGTCACCCACTGGATCCGCCAGTGGTGAGAGAAGCGAATATGTTCAAATGGCATTTTAATAATATTCATAATTATGATATACAAACATTCACCCACAGGTTCGTAAACTCCATGGTCTACTACGGGTTATCATTAAATACAGGGAGTCTATCAGGGGATATATATACGAATACAACCTTATCTGCACTTGTGGAGTTTCCAGCCCTACTTCTTGCCGCCGTGGCATTGGATAGAGTGAACAGGCGCTGGCCCTTGGGACTCACGATGATAACAGGGGGCGCTGCATGTCTCGCATGTATCCCATTGTTATACAGAAAGAAGGGTAAGGCCCCCAAATCCAGGCATACTTTCCATTCACAATATTCATTGGCATGTACATTGGTCAAGTCGAAGTTTATAATGTAGAAAACAACAAGAAAAAAGTAACGCATTGAAACAGTAGCAATGCAGAGAAAGTCCCTTATCATTATATCTTCTGGAAACGCTAACGTGCAGATTGTAATATGAAGATAAGTCAGTGTCTGTCATTATTGTGACTTTCAGATCTCGGAGCAGTTCTGAATACGATATCAATGATTGGAAAACTGATGCTTTCTGCTTCATTTGCCATAATATACGTGTTCAGTGCCGAACTTTACCCCACATGTATACGAAACGTCGGAGTGGGTAGCGCATCTACTGCTGCACGAGTAAGCGGAATGGCTTCACCGTTTATAGGCCGACTGGTGAGTATAATGCCTTCGTCAATACTAACATTTCTGAAAAATCTGTATACATATAACCGTTAGGATCCTGAGTGGTGTAGCAACAGTATGGCGTGGTGAGAATGTAATCCTTGACTTAACCTACCCTAACTTGCGAGAAAATATCTATTTAAGTCTCTCGGTATTAGCCTACGACTTGAATCGAGCATGTATATTTCTTGAACATTGATAACTGTAGATAATGTATATTTCAATACGAATGAGTCAAAGCTATGCAATCCAATTGAAACGATCACACATTCATCAAATAAGCGAATGATTCCTAGATTCTCACCACGCCAACCCTGCTGCTCCACCACTGTTACGTTTGAAATTCGTAAATTGCATAATAAATGTGGTGTCTAATCTGTGTTTTCACTTAAATATTAACCGAAATATTATAAAACAATGAATTGAGAATTATGTTTTGATACTGGAATAATTAATTCACGTCCAATGTATGTGTTCTCCATTTCAGAACGAGTTCTGGCCACCAATACCGTCCATTATATTTGGTGTCTTCTCGTTAGCAGCTGGGTTTCTAGCGTTTTTGCTTCCAGAGACCAAAGATAAGAAACTACCAGAAACATTAGAAGAAGGAGAGCGTTTTGGATTAGAGTAAGTGACATGGGACAGACATAGCTATACTTTTTAAAATTAGGCAATACATGTCAATATAGGGACAAAAAATATTGACATTTTAAAATTTCTTCGAATTGTTGTAGACCCATGGGTTCAGAGATTGAGCCTAAGAGCTTGGAGAAATTGGTTGACCTTCTTGAGGGTGTAGATTATAATCAAATATAACTAAAATAAAAAATAAAGATATAAGTATAGACTACCACTAAATTTTGCAAATTATTTTTGACTGTTGGTCAAAAACGTACAGTTCACCAATGAGGTACAACGGGAATAAAAGTCAAATCTTTAGTACATCAAGGCAATTTTTCAACCATTTTCATTCCTCATGTATAATGACGTTTCCATTGGCATTGCATAACCGCCAAATCAATAATTCCTGATGTATCTTCATATGTATTTCTAATGTTCCAGAGATGACACTGAGCCTTTTGAAACATTAGGCAATGGTCAAATAAACCAAGGCTTCAAAGATGATGTTGGCCTCCGTCCACTTTCAGTTGGAGATGATAAACCTAAGATGGTCACCCAATTGTGAGCACCATACTCCAGTCCCGATAGAATATATGACATAAGTGATAGTGACATCATTTATTCCTTGAGAGAAAGCCTTCTATCGAGGAAAAATGACAGAACGCTCTTTAATTTCAATTTCATCCATATGGACAATTGCATCTGTACCTAAGCATGTGCTTTGTTATGTTCTATAATATGTGTTTACATATAACTTGATATATGCAAGTTTTTATACTGTTCAAACATAAATATCGTACGTATAGAGTACTTAAAAAGATATAAAGACAAAGCAGCGCAATTCTGCAAGAATAGCTTCCAATGCATAAAAAATTGACAATCAAGATACAACTCAGGGAAACAGCGTCTATCATGCAATAAATTTACTTATCATCATATTTTCTTTCTATTGTAAATACTAAATACATTATTTGCTATGAACAAAACAAACGCTCTTCTATAATTATACACATTATTGCAATTCTTACATTAGTTTTACCTATGTTATATACATGATGTGTTAACACAAAAGTAAAAGTTATATTGCAATAAAAGAAATATAATTACAATAAAGATATAATTGCATTTCTTCTATATATTGAAGTGTCAATCAAAGCAGAGAGGGTAATCTGTCATGTCTGATGGAAACAATCTATTCACAAGGCATACCAATATTGTTCCCTTACAGTCCGTTATTTTCTCAGGATAGAAAATTCGGGTATCTGATCGAATTTGGAAATTATGAAGGATTAAGATGCATATACACTCCCCTCCATAAGTTTGGCAACCCTTTTTCCCCCATCTCACATAAATGCTATCTGTACAAAAATTTCTAACTTGATAGGCCTTCTCTACAAGACTAGACATAGACTGACTTTAAATACAATGACCACTATCTATTATTCCATGATATATTCGTACTTAAGCTATTGTAACCTTTTATGGGGAAATGCCATAAAAACTCTTATTCAAAAATTGTATGTTCTGCAAAAGAAATTCTTGAGAGTTATCATTTACAACACTCTTTCACTTGATCTCAAAAAGTCTAAACATATCAAATCATTTGAACGAAAGTTAAAGTTTGATTTGCTAAGTCATTATTAGATCTTCTTTGAAAAATGCTTTCTTCTCATTACTTGTATTTTATTGTGATGCATTTTATGCTTTGTCATTTTTTTGTTTCCATATAACCTGACTGTTAATTTAATAAATGCTATATTGTATGTTAAACATGAAACTTATACACCCCTCGGGGTGTCTTTTCATGTCAATGTAAAACACTGTATTTGGAACATTTGAAATAAAGTGAATTGAAATTGAATTGAATTGAATTGAACTACGTGTTAAAGCCTCTTTACCTTTGAATTTTTATTTACTTAAAGGGGCAATAAGAGAGAGAAAATTCGAAATTTCTTATTTTTTCTGAGCTATCAGGTCAATATTTGGCTTAATACCTTCTTTGACATACCTATTTTCATAAAATGTATGTATAAACTATCAATTTCAGCATTAAGAAGTGTAAATTCAATTCAAAGCCTCTATAAAGGGAGTCCCATTTGTAGATTTTTAAGATCCACCATGTTTCAAGAGGAATATCAGCTGAAATAATGTTCATCCAGAGGGTTTCTTTGTAGATAATGAAAATATATGTTAGTCTTGATGAAATATCCAAACCTAAATATATTTTGACACTTGTCGATGATCGTTGAATGGCCCCCCTGCACTATTTGTAGCACCTTTAACCTGCGATGAAAATACTTATACTATTGATGGAAACGTAATTTGACTTTAATTCCAATACCTCCAAATTTTCACAATTTTTTTCCTCAATTACAATAGGTCGAAAATTGATGATAAATTTGATGAATTTTTGAAAATCGACGTTCCCATGTTAACCAATGGGAAATGGTAGGTTTGCCGCAAGTCATATGACAGAATATCCATCTATCCGAGTCCTTGCAAAAAATACGAGTTAGGCAGGCTAATTTGCTAACTTTATTTAACAAAAAATTGATATGTTTCTTCAGGTTCAACAAAGTTATAGGGCTTTAAAGTCAAAATTGTTTTTCAAAAAACCTCTCCCATTGAAATAACACAAAGGGCGAAAAATTATTTTCAAAAATGACTTTGAAGCGCTGTAACTTTAATATTCATCAAATAAACTAAACACTTAATGTTCAAAAAAGTTAGACAATTCAATTTTCTACATAAAATTATTTTTTGCTGAATCTTTTACTGAAAAGATATCCTGATTTTTGATTTGCCCCAAACCCTCCATTTCCCATTGGATTACATGTGAATGACGATTTTCAAAAGTTCATCAAATTTATCATCAATTTTCGACCTATTGTAATTGAGGAAAAAAATTGAGAAAATTTGGAGGTAAGTAAATAAAAATTCAAACGTAAAGAGGCTTTTACACATAGTTCAATGGGGGAAAAAGTTCCAACAAGGTTCGGAAATACATTTTATTTCATTCTAACAAAATCTGAAAATTTCATGGGATTCTGATTATCATTTCAAAAGTTATCCTAATTTCAACGAACCGTTTAAAGGTAAAGTGTTACGTACAACGAATTTTTCGATGTTGGGGTAGTTTTAACTTTAAAAAGGTAGATCAAATCGAAATTTTCGAGCAAAAATAGTATCACTGAAACGCGCATTAAAAAGCTTAAAAATAATATATGAAACACATGCTTAGGTTTTTTACTTAGGCGGGTATTAACGTTTAAAGGTGACATTAGGCCGTATTTCTCTAATTGTCCCCAGGTCCGACGTCATAGGCAACCAAAACCAAAAGCCCACCAAAAGCAACGTTGCATAACAATTAAATAAAGATGAACCTACTTTTCATCAGTTGAGCAGAAACCATCCCTCATTCAAAGGACCTCTTAATGGAAAAGAAGTGAAATCCGGGAGTGAAATAGCCTTGGACCAAGCATGGACTCTGCCACCACTGATAGACCCATGGATCAAGGATGAGCAGAAACCGTATAAAACTGTTTTATATATCAGTAGAGTAGACTATCAACTTTCAGTGTTCCTTTGAAATAATAAAATCATGAATTAGCTACTTCTCGAATCAGTGTTATAGAAAATCATTAATACAATATGGGTAATTTCGATATTACTTTTAAAGATTAAAAATTATCAAAAACCATGTAGGCCTAATGCCATCGTGAGATATCACAGCCTTCTCTCAGTTTCCTTCAATTGCAGAGATGGTCTGAGTATCAACATGATGTAGGCCATCATGATAAACCATGACATCTCATTTCCTCTCAACCCTGAGACATGTTTCATGTGAAACAGAAAGATGCGGCATCAGAATGATGTAATGCGGATACTGTTATTACAGACAACTTTAATAGTCTACCAGTGACATCTATATACTTCATTGATAACTATTTGGAAGGGTAAATAGGTGGGTGTTTAATGTATTGCTTATTCCCACTTAGATAAATTCAATAAATGCATGTGTACAAAATTGCGATATCACTTATAGACAAATAAAACATGATCGGCATATTTAAATATTTCTTTTTAAAGAAATTGAGAAGTACGTTTGAAATTCTTAATCATTAAAATTACTATGGTGAAAAGTTAATACAGTTTTATCGGGAGTAATTACTAACGATGAAACAAGTAGCAACAAAGATTTTGATTGGTTTATGATGACGATAAATTGTAGCGTATAAATAGACATACTAATTTGATTGGTTGAACATTACTCATTTCTAAAAATAGTAGCGGATCTTGCACCACAAATATCGAGATTGCCGACCGGCTTGTCATAGTTACATTATCACAGAGGGAGAGGTAGAGAAAGTTAACCAAAGCTGTAGGTAGGTAGATCTACACCTAAGTTAATCCTATGAACTTTAGTGTTTATGTGGCCAGGGAATTAAGAATGTTAGATAACATATGGGCAGTAATTTTGGGGAAAAGTTTTGAGAATGATTGTAGATTTTCTTTTTTTTTTGGGGGGGGGTACACATTATGCTATCATCTAGTTGTTGGGGACTTGTCATGTTGTACTTATTTTTGAAAAGCATCTGTATTGTTTTCTAGGCAAGGCTAAAAGAAGGGATTTATTCCCCACTGCAAAGAGGTAACACCAGGAGAATCAAAACGACGGCACAGCAAAGTAGCACGCTAAACAACGCTTCGTTCATGCAGAGTAACGCCATGGTATCTTTGATTACTGAGGGACCCATGGGTTCAGAGATTGAGCCTAAGAGCTTGGAGGAATTGGTTGACCTTCTTGACATCCCCCAAGAAAGTGATGAGATCCATCAAACATATACTACCGGGACTTTACCCAAGTCCCGGGAATTCCTTACGTTCGGTACAGAAGATATGTGGCCTATTTGACACAGGTAATTATTATAAATTTGTGGTATATATGATTACATATTACATTTTTCAATTCAAACATGGTAAACATTTGTTATTGTATACCCATGAACTTAGGTGATTTTTTACCACCCTGTGCTGTGTATGGCTCATATTTTCAGGCTGATGATGCAATACTGGCACAATTATGCTTGCATCAGCATTCAACTGGAGTACAAATTACTCATGTGACACTCGATCATACGCCTGAGTATGGCCTTGTAACACTTGAGATAAATACTGATATGATATGAAATGTAAATAATTAATAATTTGTTATAATTTCAGACCTTCCCAACGAAGATGACCTGTTGAAGTCATTGACGTTGGAACATGACAAAAATGACACCATCAGCCTTGACACTTCACTGCTAGCCAGTTGCAATGAAGTAACATTGGACACACCTACCATTAATTTGAATGCTGGTATTGGTGATCTTGGATTTGAGAATTTCTTTGAGGACTTTACTGACCTCACTGATTATCTTCCAGAGGTAAGTCGAGCTAAAATAAGATGTTGATTTTAAAAAATTTGCAATGGAATGAATAGGCCCCTTCATATGAATTATAATGATCCACTGAATTATACACATTTCATACGCCGTCAAACCATTGTCAAGTTATAGGCCGTTATACACTACCTTATATGTTAAAAATAAACATATTACCGTTTAACTTCATCTGCTAAAACTGTTGCGATTGTTATTTGAGACTTCAAAAAATGCATGCCTTTGCAGTGGACTTCCCCTCCTTTCTGTGACTTTCAACCTCACTGAAATCCTGAATTATATTTAAAATAATAGTTGTGTAAACAAAATAAAAATATCTAAATTTGTCTTGATATTTTGGAGGCCCAGTAATTCACACGTCATAGGGCACGTGCACAGGTTGAATTGTCATCAGTATATTACCTTTGCAATGGTCTAAATCATTTTGCGATTTAGATTTCTAATTTCATTGATAATTACTTTTATTAGTTTTAATTCTATTGCTGAGATTACTAATTATATTAATCACTTTATTCTTTTGCTAACAAGTATAGCTACTCTATCTATGATTATCTGTCATTCTTATCTCCAGGAAACTCCAAAGGTACAAATCCTTGGGCCTGTGAAGCCAGTAAAAGAAAAGCCAGTTAAGAGAAACCTTAAACGTCAAAGATCAGCCAAGGATGTTGCCCGTGTTACCATTGATCATGATTATTCTACAAAGAAGATTAAGAAAGAGCATCCTGTGAACAATGATGCTCTTAAAACAGATAACATTATCCCGAAAGATCAGTTGGTTGATGGAATGTCTGACATTGAAAAATACCATGAACGCAGAAGGAAGAATAATGTTGCTTCTAAAATTTCAAGAGCAACTAGACGTCAGAAATTTGCTAGTATGGACATTGAAGCGGAGGAATTGAAAATTGAAAATGAAATATTGAGAAAGAAAACAGTTGAACTCGAAAATCTTGCTAAAGTTATGAAAGACATGCTGATACAGAAAATGTCTTCCTTGAAATAAACATAGACATTGTTTGATTATTGAAATCCTCTTGTTATAAAAATGTTGTTCATTGCTTGCTTATAACAATGAACATCAATTGTATGGCTTTTGTCTCACTAATCAGTGGGAATTTCTTAGTAGCTTAAATTTCCCATGATCATATTACTATTGGTTATACTTTAAGTTTTCCACTAAATTCTACTGAATTGAACCGTGCAGTTATTGTAAATGTTGTAGATATTGTAAATATGTGCAGTCTTATTACATATTGTTCCTTTTTGTGATGTTCAAAGCATTTAACTTAAATGCACCACAAAAATAATTGTTCTCACTTTCTAGAGATAATTTTTTAGATACTAGTGTGAATATTACTCAAATATTTGACACATGCATTTGGAATATATTTTTTAAAACTCCAATGCATCTTTGTTATACAAACATGTGAATGTCATTGTAAATGTTAAAATAAATGGTTCCATGATGAAACCAACTAATATATTCTCAGGTTATCCAAATCCTTGCAGTTTTAAATGTTCATCCTCATGGTTTGTATCTTGACAGGAACAATTGCCTCATCATGTAATGTTTTCTTGCTTTGACACTGAGGTGAAGGAGGTTGAGGGGTGGTGGTGTCCAAAACTTGATACAAGACTAAGACGGTTTGACAAATGGCTGAACTGATATTGGGAAGGCCTTACATTCCTTGAATGTTTGTATAAACATCAAGCAGAGACGTATAATATACCAGATTTTCTTGCTATGAGGTCGCTCTCTAATAAATGACTCAAAATAACCTCCTTTGTCAGCTTGTGTGTCCTGCATGACAACTGCCCAAATACCTGAAACTATGACTATAAATAGTAAATTACAATTATGATTAGGCAATATACATTTCCAGATTTTTTTAGATAATGTCGAAAGGCCCTTGGAACATGTTTCGAGAAAATATACCAAGGTCCGAGTAGCACAATTTTTCACTCATGCCATTTGTTAGTCTAGTCTATATCCAATAGACTGAATTTCCTGAGAATTCAGTCTATTGATCATTATGTCCCTCCTGTGGGAAAAACAGGAAATTTCCAGCACACAATTATCAATTTTAGGAAACTTCACTTACAAAAACATGATAAGCATTATAACAATTCAATTAAGTAGTAAGGTACAATTAAATGCTATAAAAGTAACCGTGCGTATTGTCAGATGGAAATAAAGCTAGGGGAAGTAACAAATATGCAAATTAATTTACCCAGTCGGCCATTTTGGCACTTCCTATGTAAACAAATAACTTTCAATCCCAAATTTTAACATATGTGGGCTATAGTCTGAATATTTTCATTCCAAATTTCAAAAAAAATTCAGACTAGAGGATATACAGTTGGGGACAAAAATAAATGACAGGTCGATTTTCGATCACCATTTCCTAATTATGGTGGTCTGAAAGCCCATAATTTCCAATATTGTCTAGATATATATCCCTTAAAATTTGTATATTTTACATTTTGTATAATCTCATCCACTGATGTATGGCCTCTTGTAAATTCTCTTATTTTTAACATGGGAAATCCTCACTTCAGCAAATCCACCTGTCATTTATTTATGTCCCCAACTGTAGTCCATTTGTTAGTCCATGGGCTTTCAAGAGTCTCTCAAGTCTACATCTGAAACCTATTGCTTATACCCGAGACTAACATAATATTTTATGATGGTCTCAGCTTATATTTCCAATTTTATATGATTCATGATAAATGTGGGGGGATCTGTGAATGCAAGTTGATGTTTAAAATGATCCATCCCTGATTTGAAAGATTTATTGAAAGATGGTAGCACCTGTCGTATTGACGTCATCAATCTATCATCTTCCGGTGGGCGAAAATTGGAAAATGAATACTTTGTGATACAAATCTTATTTTGGACGTAAATATGTCAGATTTTTTAAAATCAACGTTTGGATTCCTTAGTAATCAAGGAGGGGTACGAGATAGTGACTTTGTGGGCCAATATGTTGAACTTGGTGAACAGAAACTCCGTGTGAAGAGAGTAATAGCTGAAGGTAAAAATTTAACTTTTCAAAAATATTTCAAAAATCGATCTCTGAAAGTGAAAATCTGTATTTTTTGAATATTGTCTGTCATGTCGATTTAAATTAGGAATTCTAAATTTCTTGCAAGTAATGTTGCAAAATTCAGCAGTTGTTTTTATTTTGTTACTTTTGGAAAGACTATGTGTTTCCTGTACCCCATGAATGTGGTAGACTACTACTTTTTTCAAGGCCTTACTGCGTCGCTAACATGCTAAATATAAGAGTTAGCTGACGTTTGGTAGTCTGACTTACCTTCTAAAGGTTAGAACCCGAATCTTAATGAAACCATATCACCTTTGTTCCGTCAACCATGGAGCATTTGCCACAACATCCAAGAGGTAAATCATGGATCGAGAAAATGAATGATTTCCTTGTAAGTTCCGGAAGTTTCAATACGAAAAATTACCGAACATATGTGAAAACCGAATATTTGTTCGTTGTTTTCACGATTTACAGGTTCGTTTGTTCTTCAATGTTTTGGTCTAAATTATAAAGCATCACCAACAGGTCTTACTCTATTAATCGACTAATACAGCAGACGGCTCATATTTCTACGTAGCATTTCATTCAGACCAATAGTGGGAGTGTAGATCACGCAGTTTCGTTCGTTGCGTACTTTACTTGAAATTGGTAATTTTAAATATTGACTACTTCACTTAGCTTGGCGGATGTAGAACATTGCTTAATATTCTTTTAATTTTCACACCAGACATGCTTGGTTGACACGTCAACAAAGTAAAGTTCAAGGGTCAATGCGTTATTTCGTGATAACTACAACGCCTTCCCGGAAGTCAACATTGATGAAAAATGAAAAAGTCGGAAAAGCATTTACGCTAATTTCTATCAAATGCTATGTTTATGCATCATCATCGACGCAACAAAGGTGATATGGTTTCATTAAGATTCGGGTTCTAACCTTTAGAAGGTAAGTCAGACTCCCAAACGTCAGCTAACTCTTATATTTAGCATGTTAGCGACGCAGTAAGGCCTTGAAAAAAGTAGTAGTATGTATCCAACAGACCGAATATAATATTCGGTCTGTTATGATTGATATATTTCCTGTGGAAATCGCGGTGATATTTTTTCATTGGCGTCGGAAGGGGGAGGGCGTTGGGGGCGACCGCCCCCCCCCCTTTTTTCCCAGATTTTTTAGATTTGAAACCGAGCCTAGAATTGAAAGCTCTAGAGCTAGGCCTAATTAAAGTAAAGAAGTGTAATGATGACAGAAATGATACTATGTCAGTACTTATCTAGTCTACATCAAGCATAGAAGATCTCACTTCTCATATTATATTTAATTCTATACCATGTGCAGTTTCTCGTGAGGAACCCTTACAGTATGTAAATTCCTTGAGAAATAAGTGCAAATGTATATTTTAGTAAAAGTCAAAGTTTTTTAGTCAAAAGCAAGTTATTTTTTCTAAAAACACGATTTTTTCTTGTTTTTATTATTGGGAATGTTGTGCTGAGATGTGTAGAATGCACCAGAGAAAGTCTAAGTTTGAAAAATTTCGGGGGGCATGACCCCCCGATCCACCTAGATTGCGCCCCACGATAAGCTTCACGCACGATCCATCCATACCCAAAAGTCGCCCCCTCCCCTGGCAAATCCTTCTGACGCCCCTATTTTTGCACATAAGTTTCTCGTTTATTACAAGAATGTTCACCTTGAAAATTGGTGAATATGTTGAAGAGATGTTCATCTTAAACTCGAAGCAAAAATATTTTTATAAGGCGGGTACAAGTTGATATAAAATAATGAAATGTTCAGACTCACCAAAACTTCAGGATGTGTTCATAAGCAGATCGCGAAATCAATGTCAAGGACGTTTGAGTTCACGAGATATGCAAATTTTTGAACTTTGACAACACATGACCACTTGATTACCTCGGCCTTCTTCATGAATATTTCCGCTCTATATACTATAAATGACGAAAATTAATCGGGATAATGATAATAAATGACTAGATCTAATAAATTCCCGCACAAATGGAATTTATCAATACGCTTCCGTATGTTGCTCCGTCCGCTCCACGTGTTATTTGTTTACAAATAGACTGACGTCACTGGCTAAATCTCGTTTATCGTGAGAATTGGCATTGCCAAAATGGCTTGACCTAATCAATGGCTTCGCTACAAGAAGCGTCTGTACATTTTATGAATATCTTCAGTAAGAGGACAATATACGAAAAAATAATATTGTAAGTTCTTTATAAGGTAATCATTTTATCATTAAACAAACTTATTTGTACCCTTTGCATTCGTTCGACTTCACTTCTTAAAAAGAGAGCTCCGTCTTCACTCTTTCAAACTAAAATAAACCTGTGAACTCACAGTGCCAATCAGTGCTCGTCGGCCAAATTTGACCGACGTTCTATATATGGTCATTCCTTCTGACGTCATCGTTAAGCCGGAATTGATCAATGACAATTAAGAATTTATTTTGGCGCGTGGTTCTTCAGGCTTGCTGATTGGTGGATGAAAGGTCAGTGCGTAGGTCAGAAGTGATTTATTACCCGAACTGTCACCGGCACCCGTCGTGGGGGCGGGGCTACTTAACTGTAATATGGTTTCTACTAGGCAGAGTGTAGTTTAACTAGACTCTGCACGCAGGGTAACTTATTTGTAACATTTATACAACACCACATTTTACAATAGGTGACTTACAGTCTGAATTTATTCAGACGAAGGATACAGTCTAATGAATGTGGGGTTGATTTTTACATCCATTGGGGTACTTCCCTGGGGATCAACTGGAAATGAAGACAGTTTGCTTTCCAATGGTGTGCAGAATGTGTGACTAGCTATTTGAAATGATAACGAATGATGTTTTAAGGTCTTGGGGTTTACTCAATTACAAGTCTCTATGTAATTTCATCTGGAATACTGTGAACTCCATTTGAAAAAAGCTGGCGGGCATGTCATAAATTTACTGAATATTCTAAAATTCGCCAGATAAATAAATCATTAATTAAAATTGGACTGGCTCAGCTCCTTGAGATATTGCATGATTTCGTCTAAAAACAAAATGGCTCCAAGAAAAATGGTGATATTCGAAAAATGGACAAAATTTCGTTAATGTCTGACATTAGTAACTGGCTGTAACTTCTAAGTTAGCGATCCAGAAGATGTGGACTAATACATTGATCACTTCATGTGTGTTTTGGAATTTTGGTGAGGTAATAAGACCAAAACTCGCAAATTCAAATTGTGATGTGGAAAAATGGCAGACATTTGATTTCAAATTTTATGATTACGACATGACCAGTTATACATGCAGGAATTTATCTTTGGACGAAGGCCACGATACAGTGGCCTTAGAAGAAGGTAACTCGGGGTAGTTATCAGAAATTTATACCAAAGAGGAAATGAAAAAACCATGTGGATTTTTAATTTGTTATTTTTATTTATAGGAGGGTTTGCTTTTGTGTTTGTGGCTCAAGATACTGCAAATGGTCAAGAATATGCGTTAAAGGTAAGTTCTTCTGTCACAACCAAGAAGTAGTGACATATTGTTATAGCTATCATTTTTTGCGTCTTTGTTCAACATAGGCATCTGTAACAATTGTTACACTTTTCTAGCTACTAGGAGTTGCAGGTGATATTTTGTAATTTTGTTTATTTATTCCATCTAATCTTTAATTTGAATCTATTATCAACCGTGGCATTTTGTTTTATATGAGAACAGGTCATCATTATGAGTAATTTGTAGTTATTATCAATATTCATGTTTTCATTGGAATGAGAGAAGTCATGCATAAATGCTGGTTAACTCATTAAAAATGAATGCATCTGTACTAGTGACCCACTGAGTTTATATTCTTATTTGAAAAATTACCTTTATTTACTTTGTTCATAATTAGCTTATGATTTTAAATTAAAAAGTGAATCTTTCTTATGTGTCATATTTGGTAATGCAGTGCAACAGAGTGAACAAAGCATTAACTTTGACAAAGTGTCACCACCACCTAGAACATTTAATCGATTTGAAACAAGTTGAAAAATACCTTTTTGACCCTTTTTTACCAAGGCAAATCTCAAATCTAAAATCAGATTTGAATTTCCGAGAACTGATTTTGAAAAATATTAAGCTAATTTCAAGCAAGTTGAAAAATACCTTTTTGACCTTTTTAAACCTTCAGAATGTCATTGAAGGTTAAATCTCAAATCTATAGTCAGATTTGAACTTCTGAGTACTCGTACATGATTTTTCAGAAAACATTTAATCAATTTGAAAGAAGTTGAAAAAGACTTTTTGACCTTTTTTAATCTAAAGACCTTTTTGACCTTTTTTAACTTGAGAAGGTCATTGAAGGTCAAATCTCAAACCTAAGGTCATATTTTTTAAATTTCTGAGTTGTAGATGATTTAGAAAAACAAAATTGGTCAGTTGAAGCAAGTTGAAAAAAATATCTTTTTGACCTTTTTTGACCTTGAGAAGGTCATTGAAAGTGACATCTCAAATCCATAATCAGATTTGAACTTCTGAGAACTCGTAGATAATTTTGAAAAAAGAATTAATCAATTTGAAGCAACTTGAAAAAATACCTCTTTGATTATTTTTTAACCTTTCTGACCTTCTACAGAATACAGATCATTGAAGGTCAAATCTTAAATCAGCTTTGAACTTCTGAAAACTTATAGATGATTTTGAAAAAGCCAGTCTAATGAAGTCAGTCTAAATAGTACTTGTTGAAAGTTGTAAGAATTTGTTACAGACGCCACACACCAATCATAAACCTTTTTGACCTTGAAAAGGTCATTGAAGGTCAAATCTTAAATCACAAGTCAGATTTGAACTTCTGAAAACTTGTAGATGATTTTGAAAAAAATTGAAGTCAGTCTAAACAGTATTTGTTAAGTTATCGGAAGTTACAAATTTCTTACAGACACCAACCACCAACCGCCGTCACAAAAAAAACAGAGACCATAATAATATGCCACTTTTGTAGTAAAAGAACAACACGCTACATACAACACAACACACAACACAACATTGCAGTCAAATCTCCAGCATTGGAGCAAGTTGGTCATTGCTGCCCCCATATGAGAAAATAGACTTGCATGTACTTGGAAATTCATTTGCACTTACTTGAAAATGAGAGAAATCATAAAATATTGTCATATTTTGACTTGTCTTGGTCAGAAGAAAATTTTACACCCACTTGGTGATAAAATTCTGGGAAGAACATTATACTATATTATATTATATATATTATATTATATTATGTTATATTTCAGAGACTTTTGGCCAGTGACCAGGAAAAGTGTCAACTGGTAATGCAAGAGATAACATTACTTGTATCCTTTATGAAATAATAAAAATACCCTCTTCGCAACAAAAAACAAACAAAATAAATCAAGTCTCACTTCTTCATTTGAATAGTTTGAAATTATTGTTTTAAAGACTTTGGAATAGGAGATGTAAATTTTGGTCGATTGGGTTTTTAAAAAACAACATATAATTGACCTTTTACATTATATATTTACAATAGAATGCATATCAGTCATATCATATCATATCATATCATATCATATACTGGTACATGTATTAAATCAATGACATGTTTTTTGGAAAATTCAAGAGGTTGAATCTGAGGGTCACTTATGTCAGCCATGTTACCTTTGCACCATCAGGGTGGGGAGATATCATGCAAATGTACATGGTAAGAAGACCACATTTACCACATAAATCTTTTATTGTAAGAGGAGAGAATCATGCAGTAAATTATTATGATTAATGACATAGCCATGGCTATAGTGTGATTAATGAAAAGTTCCTTAAGTAGCTTCACAGAAAAAGTTATCAGGACACCCGAATATAATCCAGTTCGTGTCAGCGGCCTCAATAGGAAAAGAGAGTTCAGACACTGGCCAGGCAGAATTCTTAATTCTCACAGAATTATGCACAGGTGAGATATTTTTTATGATTCGTTAAATAACATGGGCTAATCCACATCCATTACACTCTTACTACGCTTAATGTGACATTCAACCTGTTTCCTACAAATAAATGTGATACTGTAAATAAAGAGTTGATAATTCAATGTCCATGTTAAGTTACTTATCAAATTTCTACTTCCTTGGTCATGAAAAACAATGTGGAATTTAGTTCACCATTCCGCAACCAGTCCTTTCTAAGGTCATTAGTTGAAGGCATATCTCTAAATATTTGTCGTAAGAAATTGTCGAGAAGTTACTGTTGTCAATATTGATTGTCAATTTTTGAACAAATAAATGCAAAATTGTGCCTGAGCAAACACATAATCTGATTGACTTCGTGAGTTGAGAGGTAACTGGTCAATGGTTATGTTAAGAGTGGGAACATGTTGATCAATCTTAATTGATCCTTCAAAGTAATACAGACTTACATTAGTAAATGTGACACCAAGTACAGTGAAACCTGTTAATGGAATACCCTAAGATGTGTTCTGTTTATTAATGTTCTACCCTTTGCATTCGTTTGACTTCACTTCTTAAAAGAGAGCTTTAACTAGACTCTGCACGCAGGGTATTAATGTTCATTTACTTGAAGTCAGTTAGACACAAGGTTTTTGAAACTCAGCTCCACTCACAATGTGTTTCACTTAGAGTGGTGTTCCTCTTTACAGATTTTACTGTCGTAGACGAGCTTAAGTCATTTTTTTCAAGTCAAAGATAAGGCAATACAGTTTTATCTGATAATTGTTCATACCTGCAATTGCATAGATTAAGTAAAAAATGATAAAAGTTAATCCAAATCATTCAAATTTAATTTATTCTTTTAATTCTTGAAATATGAAGATGAGTTGATATATTTATATTCCAGGTGGTATGTTAGTTGATGTACTGAAAGAAAGAGGCAAGCCCTTGTCTTGTGATCTTGTGTTGAGAATATTCTATCAGGTCTGCAGAGCTGTACAACACATGCACAAACAGAAACCAGCCATTGTACATAGGGATTTAAAGGTAATTTCCATCTGAAATTGAAGCTGAGACTTATATACTTGAATACATCTGTATTAAATCTAGCTTAGCTAGAGAGGAGTAATTATTACTGGGCTTCAGGGTATGAGTTGTTTGTGGGCCAAACCAGATCGCTTCATATCCACATGTAGGGGAATTATTGAGTTAGCCTGTGTAGCAAAAATCAATGTAAACTGTATTGATTCCACCCACAAGAACTCAATAGCCTATTGCTGCAATGTAATCCTGTGTTCTAAGTAATATATATCCAACTTGATAAGAAATATTTGGTGTTTCTTGGATGTGAGAATATGATTAACTGAAATACTGCATGGTAAGTCTTTGTTTTATTCACTTACTATAGTTGAATATTGGGTTAATGAACAAATGAAGTAATAGTGTGGTAATACATGTATTCATGTAGAAATGGTAATTTCCATATTAACAATATTTCATTTATTTCATTAATTCCTCAGATCTTTGGTTGAAGGTATATCTTTCAATAATTGTTGTAAGAAATTGTTTAGAAGTTACATTGTAGAACTGCAAAATCGACTCTCTTACCCAGATGATGGTAATTATTTCAAGTTATTTTTAATACATCAGGTCCACTATTCATTAATATCTGAGAAAGTTTAGGTAAGGACCATCATGTTCACTAAATTTCACATGCTCTCTCTATATATTGAGTATTAAAAGTTTAAAACTGGTTGAGCCTCATTGCTTTAGTTGTATGGGTATATTGATATGGACCCATGCTGAATTGAAAAGCCACTGCCTCTTAAAAGGCCAGACCTTAAGATCTCATGCTCAAGGAGGGGAGAGTTGAGTGGCATCATATCATACTCCTGAAAATGATTTTGGATAGAACATTGAAAAATTTAAAAAATACATCCAGGTCAAGTGTAAAAAGGAAAATTGGTTGTGATTTTGAGTTTCTGGTAATAAAATGTTTACATGTATTATAATGCCAAAAATCAATAGAATATCTGAAGATGGTTTCTACAAGGACATTTCAAGGAGAATTGTAGCACTACAACCTTTACTTGATGTATTGATTAGAATTATGAGCCTTAGATATTTTCAAGGCTCAATGAGTTGTGATTTATGAGGTAATGTAATATAATGAAGTGTCTTATTTTAGCATTCAGGCCCATAGCCGGGGGGGGGGGGGGGGGGGGCTGGCCAAAAATTCTTTCAAAATCATGCAGTTTTTCACCATTTTGAGCACTTCTCAAGTGATTTTAGGCATATTTGGGCCAAAATTGTCAAATGTAAACCCCCCTGGAAATTTTTGAAAACTGAAGCCCCCTTGGCAAATCCTGGCTACGGGCCTGGCATTGATGCACTATTAGAATAACCTTGATGGTCTGTATATATTATTTCAGGAAAATCAAAGATTTTTACAATAATGTATTATTTTTTACAATATTATGGTTTACCATTTTTATTGTTTGGGAGAATTTAAACATTCCCCCATTTTTGCAATTTGAATCCTAAATAACTTCACCAATTTATAACATATCACAGATCATTTAGGAGATATTGCATTTGGAATTATAGGGAATAGATAGAAGGTCAATTATATATTTTTCTTGCAATTTTGTCAGCCCTATATAATAGAACTGATCCGGTTCTATCACTACACTGTCAGTCTGCCCTATTGCTTCATTGTCAGCCTACCATATTGCTACACTACCTCACTGCCCTGTTGCTACATTATCAATTACTCTATTGCTACATTGTCAACATGCCCTAATGCTACTTTGTCAACCTGCCCTATTGCTACATTGTCAACCTGACCTATTGCTACACTGTCAACATACCCTATTGCTACATTATCAACCTACTCTATTGCTACACTGTCATCTTGCCCTAATGCTACTTTGTCAACCTGCCCTATTGCTACATTGTCAACCTGACCTTTTGCTACACTGTCAACATACCCTATTGCTACATTGTCAACTTACCATATTGCTACACTGCCAGCCTGCCCTATTGCTACACTTCCTATTGATATACCAGCAACATGCCCTATTGCTACATTGTCAACCTACAAAATTGTGACACTGTCATCTTGCTCTAATGCTACACTGTCAACATGCCCTGTTGCTACATTGTCAACATGCCCTGTTGCTACATTGTCAACATGCCCTGTTGCTACATTATCAACCTGCTCTATTGCTAAACTGTCATTGCTGCTGCAATTTCAAACCAATGTTTCAATGCTTTATAGCTGTAAATGCCACTTTCCATCACAGTAGCTTGTCCATTATCATAAAAAGGAGTATCAGTTACCAACCTGCTCTAGAGTAACATCAACTATCTCTCCTCTTTCTATGTTTCAGTTAGAGAATCTGTTGATCAGTACAAAAGGGTCAATCAAATTGTGTGACTTTGGCAGTGCTACAACTACACACTATTACCCAGATGAAGATTGGTCAGCTGTCAAACGTAGCGTAACTGAAGATGAAGTAAGTTTTCACCCCTAAGATCCTGAGTCTCAAGTTTATAAAAATTTTATATGGCCCCATTCATAGTTTGAAAATATGGTTTTATCATTTATATATATTAGTGCAGTCAGAATGTGGGTTTCGGCGTGCGTTCAGAGGGATTTTATGGGACATAATTTTTCATGTTACTACAATGATTATACATATTTGTATGGATTATTAGATCTTAGTTTTTCAGCTTTTAGATTTTGTGGCCATTTTACCCCCCATGGGCTAAAATTTGGACCCCTACTATATAATTGGGCAAGAACTCAAAAAATACTCAGTGGAATGTTTCCAAATTACTAAGTTATATTGGTATAGGCTAATTGAATATATGATAAAAATTTCATGTCACATGGTTAACTGGTTGCCATGGAAATGGATAAAACATGCCCTTTGGGTGTCAATTTTCAGGCCAATTTTTCAGGACTAACAGAGTCATTTCATGCATATTTTGTCACCAATGTGTTAGGAAGGGTTAAAATGTCAATAGAAAACTTCTATAATATATAAGCAACAATTGTATGTTAAGATCAGTTCAATAAACCTCAGATTTTGGCCTTGTATTGGTCCATGACTTATACAGGGGTCTATTTCATAGACTCGAGCTCCCACATTGGATGGATGCTATAACTTTTGAAATAATGCAGATACAGGTCTCATTTTTTCAGATCTTTATAAATGGTTAGTTTTAAGTATTCTATTTTACTTTGGGAGCTGACATGTGATTGGTTGCCATGGTAACCAGGGTTTTAGGGAAATTCCGACCCCTACATTGGATGGATGCTATAACTTTTGAAATAAGGGAGATACATGTCTCATTATTTCAGATCTTAGACAATGATTGATTATAAATATTAAATTAGACTTTGGGGGCTGAAATTTGATTGGTTACCATGGTAACTAGAGTTTTATTGAAATTTGGACCTCCTCAATTGATAAATGCTTTAATGTTTGAATTCAAGCAGATACAGATATCATCATTTCAGATCTTAAAAATTAATTAGATTTGTGTATTGAATTAGACTTTGTAGATTAGCATTTACTTAATTGCCATGGTAACCATGTTTCGTCGTCATGGTACCCCTAATTTTTTATTTCAGTCTTACTTTCATTTGAGAATGGTCAATTCACAACATGTTATACCAAAATGCTCAAAATTATCATTTTGCTCTTTATTTCAGCAATTTATCCTGTATGTCTGACAGTATAGCCTCATTCCATTCTACTAGTTCTCACACATATTCAGACTCCCAACTTGTTTTTACTCATCATTATCGTTTTCATCTTCCACAATTGCCTCTTAATTAAAAATATCAACAATTTCTATTGGAAAGAAGGATTCTTTTGACCATTCTTGTGTTAAAGATTCGTCAGGGAATTCACAGTTCATTCATGCAGTGTTGGGCATAATGGTAGAGCTGGGTTTAGGCTGGTGGGAATGTGTCCATACATAGGTTTGATAATTTACCCTCTTCAAATGTGAAAGAAAATGTCAACACCTTCATTAGTGAGGGCAGCACTGTTCTGTTTTTTCTGTATCTCATGGGAAACAGCTCATCTATTAGTGGCAGTTATTTTTCTATTTCTGCTGTTTTGTTGTATTTCTGCACTGGAGGAATCTGATCCAGTAAACGCATTGAAGGCTAATATAGCTTCACACAGGACTTGGTCCTAGGTTTTCAGCTACAGGGGTTGGGTTGAGCTTCTGACATCTAATGGGACAGAGTTCACATCAGTTGAGGTTCTTAAGGTTATTTTCTTCATAATAGGAATCAATATAGAAATTCCTGACACAATAAAATCCAAAGTTGAATTGTTCACCAGTAAAAGTACAGCAGAATAACAAAAATATATTTGTAACTTACATCAAAAGATAACAATATGAGCTGTTTCACATAAGATATTCTCCAAAACAGAACAGTCCTGCCCTCACTTATGGAGGTGTTGACATTTCAACTCTTCTCATCTTTCAAGATTGGTCCTTGACTGCTTTCATAGCAGCTAATATAATGCAATGAATTAAATGATGAACTCTTCCATCTTGTAATGATTGCTCATTATAACATTTGAAGAGGATGGATGATAAAACTTATATTTGGAAGTGGAAACATTACCCCCCGTTTCCCAGGAGTTCACTGTATATAAACCTTGAGGGGATCCTCAGCTCAGGTGGGTTACTTTTGACATTTGATATGGCAATGGACCCAAATTTTAGGATCTGGTATGAGAATGCTCTCCAAATTATGAGAGGTATAGCAATGGTCGGATTTGGGAATGGTTGTGAAAAACATGTTGCCCCTCACTTGTTACACATGTATGGCATTGATCTAGTATATCCTTAATGTGAGGTTGTTTTTGGTTGTTTTCCTCAATGATCTGCCTTCTTCTCGAAATTTTGAATGGCCATGTTTTCATATCTGGATATTTGGTATGGCACTGGTCATATATTTGGGCATTTGGTATGGCCTTTGGGCATTATTTTGGTTGATATCGGAACACATTCAAATTTGACAGATTGGATGGGAACATATTGATATCTGAGGGTTCAGCCTAGGATCCCAGCCCAATTTTATATACAGTGAAACCACAGGGACCAGTCTTAACCCATTCTGCCAAGTCCAATACTGCATGAATGGACTATATCCCCTGAGGATCCTTATCTCCAGAATGGTCAAAACAATCCTTCATTCCAACAGAAATTGATGTTAAGAGGAAATTGTGCTAAATGAAAACAGTAATGATGAGTTCAAATGAACAAATTAGGAGTCAGAACTTTTGTAAGAACTAGTCGTATGGAATAAGGCAATATTGTCAGACATACATGTATTGTTTACTAGTATTTGATATTTTATGAGCCAAACAATGTTTGCATCTCTAGTATTATTGAGTCATGAGCATGTAAATCATATAAAATAGAAAAAAAAAATTAAGAATAAAATGGCAACTTTGAGCAATTTGGTATTTTATGTCATGTATTGACCTATCTAGAATAAAGGTGAATCTAAAAACGAAAACAGCAGTTACCATGACAATGAAACATGGTTACCATGGCAGACAAATAAATCCTAGCTTCCAAAGTCTAATACAATACACACATATTATTATTGTCTTACATCTGAAAAGATTATCTTATCTGGCTGTATTTAAGAGTTATAGTGTTCATCAATGGTGGAGGTCTGAATTTCAACAAAACCCTGATTTCCATTGTAACCAATCAAATTTCAGCTCCCAAAGTCTAAATCAATACTTTAAATCAATCATTGTCAAAAATCTGAAAAATGAGACATGAATCTCCCTTATTTCAAAAGTTATAACATCCATCCAATGTCGGGGTCAGGATTTCCTTAAAACCCTGGTTACCATGGCAACCAATCATATACCAGCTCCAAATGTATATTAAGATACTTAAAACCAACCATTTATGAAGATCTGAAGAAATGAGACCTGTATCTCCCTCATTTCAAAAGTTATAGCATCCATCCAATGTGGGGGTCGGAATTTCCCTAAAACCCTGGTTACCATGGCAACCAATCACATGTCAGCTCCCAAAGTAAAATAAAAAACTTAAAACTAACCATTTATGAAGATCTGAAAAAATGAGACCTGTATCTCCATTATTTCAAAAGTTATAGCATCCATCCAATGTGGGACCTCGAGTCTATGAAATAGACCCCTGTATAAGTCATGGACCAATACAAGGCCAAAATCTGAGGTTTTGTGGACTGATCTTTACATACAGTTGTTGCTTATTTATTGTAGAAGTTTTTATTGACATTTTAACCCTTCCTTACACATTGGTGACAAAATATGCATGAAATGACTCTGTCAGTCCTGAAAAATTGGCCTGAAAATTGACACCCGAAGGGCATGTTTTATCCATTTCCATGGCAACCAGTTAACCATGTGACATGAAATTTTTATCATATATTCAATTAGCCTATACTAATATAACTTAGTAATTTGGAAACATTCCACTGAGTATTTTTTGAGTTCTTGCCCAATTATATAGTAGGGGTCCAAATTTTAGCCCATGGGGGGTAAAATGGCCACAAAATCTAAAAGCTGAAAAACTAAGATCTAATAATCCATACAAATATGTATAATCATAGTAGTAACATGAAAAATTATGTCCCATAAAATCCCTCTGAACGCACGCCGAAACCCACATTCTGACTGCACTATATTCTTATAAATTAAAAAGGTTATTTAGACTGTTTTCAAGAAATTGTCGCTGAAGAATTTTTTCTGCCATTTTTACAACAAAGATTTAGATTTTAGAATCATTTAATATTTTATGTTACATTAATAAACGGGCTATCTTGTCACCATTCTCCACATCATTTTTAAGGAGTTTTGAATGATTGTGATACACTGTTTGTCGAACACTGAAATTAATTTTTGTATTAAAATAGATTGCCAAGAATACCACCCCTATGTACAGGACTCCAGAGATGTTGGATCTCTACTCAAACTTTCCAATCAATGAACAATCAGATATATGGGTGAGTAAAAAGACATCAGCATCTGAACACAGAGCTCATAGCATGTCATAAGGACTTCAGATGTATTTGTCAAAATAGAGTTGTCATTTTTTCAAAACATTTGAAGTTTTCAGAAAGAACATGAAAATATTGTATCAATATGTTGAGTATGAAATCTTAGATTTATTTGATGCTGCAGTCTAGGCTTACATTGTCTGGATAAAATGATGTATTCCATACCCGATGAGGTTTCAGGGACATATCAACCGGGAATATATTCCACATCCGGGCAAATATTTTTCGTATGTCCCGCTCCAACGGAGCTCCGGGACATATAAATCGTATGTCCCGCTCAAAAAAATTTTTTTTAAATGAATTCGGGAAAAATATTTGAAAGTAAAAATTTGAAAAAAAAAATTTCAAAAATTTCAAAAAAAAATTCTGAAAAAAAAATTATGGAAAAAATGTGAAAAAAAATTTGAGAAAAAAAATTTGGAATTCAGGTATGGAATACAACAGTTATGCACGGTCGGTTTGGATACAGGAAATATCCCTTGGGATATACAATATATCTTCCCTTGGTCCCTTCTGTCCCTCGGGAAGATATATTGTATATCCCTCGGGATATTCCCTGTATCCAAAACCTCCCAGTGCATAACCCCTATGTATAAACCTCACCTAATATATACTTTGTATGATATCCTGTCCACAAAATACCCATTTAGAGTATTTACTGTATACTTAGTATACACAGGGAATACACCAACTGCATTTGATGAGTGGTTTTAACACTTATCTCCTCTTTTCTCCAGGCTCTAGGTTGTGTCTTGTTCATGCTGTGCTTTCGTGAACATCCATACGAAGATTCTGCAAAATTACGTATCATAAACGCAAACTTTACCATTCCTGCAACCGATAACCACTACACAGTATTCCATGACCTAATACGTAAGTTTTCAGTTTATCCATGTCAAATGTTCATTACATGTAGTTGTTTGGGCCAGTGAATTTAGTATATATTGATAATGGACTCATAATTATAGCAAACGTTTTGGATAATATTGACGGGGCTAACAAGGATACTTACATTAAAAGCTCATTAGATTCTAAGATGTTATTAGATAAACTTCAGTCAATCACTGCAATATATAATATTGCTCATGTTAAAAATATTTGCGTATATCAAATCTGGCAATAGCACCAATAAAACCAAAGTATTAAAAACGTTTCATGGGTTTCTGATAAGCATAGCTAAGACCATCAAAGCCATTGAAAATGCCAATAAATCGGAAAAGTATTTAGTTTAGGCACCAAAAACTTGGTCAGAACATTTAACAAATACACTCTATGCTTCATTACTTTTAGATGGTTGTTTTAAAGTAGACCCAAGGGAGAGGCCAAACATAAATGAAGTTATAGAACGATTACAAGAAATAGCTGCAGCAAGGAATGTGAATTTAAAAGCTCCTCTTCAACTTACAAGTGCACCAATTCCACAGACAGCTCCAGGTGAGTTTCACTTGTTGTTAAATATATAAGGGTTATGTACTGGGAGGTTTTGGATATGGGGTTTATCCAGAGGGAGATATGCATATCTACCTGACCGAAGTTAGATGTGCATATATCATGAGGGATGAACCCAATATCCAAACCGACCGTACATAACTGCTTTATCCTATACCAAGTAGAGTTTTCAGTGAAATTACTGGAAGCGGGAAGATATGCACCGAAGCGGGAAGATATGCACCGAATCGGGAGATATGGTGGGAGATATGGAGGTTCTGAATATGGAAACCTAAAAATCAGGATACGGGATGTATCTTACCAACTTATCTCCCTAAAACTCTACTTGGCATAGGATAAGAGGCACTATTCATTAGGTTCTGTTTTTAAATTCATATCTGAAAACATAGAGTTGAGTTCATTTAAAGAATATTTTGAATTTCAGATTTGTGATTAAATGAAAAATTCAAATGTGGCACTGATTATCTTGGCTATTAATGTATAAATTGAACATCGGACTCAGTTTATGCCTTTGGTTGCCTTCATGTACAGTCAGGGAGCCTTTTTAGCTCACATTGGTGAACTATTGTTATCGCCCACTTGTCTTATTTTATTCAACCACTATTTCAAATTTATGATTCCAATATATCTATAAATTCGCTAACAACAAGAGTAACTGCAACTCTTGAGCTGGAGAAGATCATTGAAACCTTGCTCAATAGATTTGGAAAATGTTATTTTGTTTATAAATTGATAAGCTCATATCTTATTCTATGAATAGGTCAAATTACAAGTAAATAGAGGTTTGATGTGACTTAGGAAAAAATAAGCCCCGAGTGCCCCTTTAGGCACTGTCTTTGTGATGACCATTTATTGGTAGAAAAGTTGGGTCCCTGATTATCTTGATAGCCCAGTTTAAACAATGAATCACTTCATATCTACATATTTTCACATTTAGTTGCCCCAGTGAGCCCTACTAGACAACAAGCACAGTCTCCATACCAGGACACAACCAGTAGAATGGAGCCTGATGGGCCATCAGCTGCTAGTAGCATGTTTAGCATGCTTAGAGGTGGTGCTGGTAACCTGATGAAGAACATCAAGGATGCCTCATCTAAAGTTGTTGAAACTGTCTCAGCGTAAGTTTGTGTTGCTGCTTCACAAGTCATAGTTCACCAAGTGTGGATTAGGACTGAGGTATATCAACAAGAAATTACTTCTCAACTGCTCTCAGACAATTATGTGTTTATTTTGCAGCTAATTTCTTGTCATGAGAATTTCAAGAATACTGGTCAATGATTTCTCTTCATTTACTTATACATTTGTTATGGTATCATTTTTTCCAAGTGATTAACTAGAGTCACCATTTAGAGTTTTTGTGGTTATGTAGAATGTTTGCAAATTTTGCTTGCCCTCATGATCTCTGGGAAACTTCTTTATGTCCATTTCGGGATGGGACATTTGGGATGGGACATAATCAATAAAATAGTTAATAACTTTAAAACAGTTCATGTTAGAGTTACTGACTTGCAAAGGTATCAATTTTTAGGGCCAGTTAGGTTTGTAGAAAGTAGTGTTGTCGCGATTAATCGATACATCGCGATATACATCGCCAAAGCTGATTCTGGCGATGCATCGATGTCTGAAACAAAACATCGATGTTTTTAAAAAAACATTATTTTGCTAAAAATCACCCTTTCTTATCTTATTTTGACGCAAATCGCTTACCTTTCTCGATGTCTTATTTCATTTTCCAATATTTTCTGATATTCTTTCGCTTTAAAACTGTTTTAGCTAGTCGAAATGAACCATTAATCTAAAAAAATTACTTTACTTTCATTTCACCCTTACTCGAAGTTCCCGGATGTACCGGATGTTCGGTATTTTAGTGCATTAGCGTTCGGTAAATCAGTGCACTTTTCTCGGGCTTTTTCTTGATGTGCATCGCGATGTGCATCGATGTTTACTACTGAAAATTGCCGATGCATCGATGTAAGATTATGGCACATCGCGACAACACTAGTAGAAAGCCATCTTGAAGTCTGGCTGCCAGCTATACTTTTCTGATTTTATGAACATTGCCTTTCCGATTTTCTTCAGATTTGCTATCAAGTTCTAGACCTGATTTACGTTTTTTACACAAATCTCATTGTGGAATATTGGCCAATTCCTTTTGAATTTCTCTCTAATTTGACATTACATGGTACTTACTTGATAAGAGATTTTGTTTTACTTTGTAGAACCATGAACAAAGGCGAACTAGATTTCTCTTATATTACGTCACGTGTGGCTGTGATGTCATTTCCTGCCGAAGGTGTTGAGAGTGCCATTAAGAATCACATCGATGATGTTAGGGCGTATTTAGATGGCAGGCACCCTAATGGTTATGCAGTATACAATCTATCAACCAGGACTTATAGGGTTGCCAAGTTTCAGAACAGAGTAAGTGCATTCCAATATAGTTATTATTAATTATTATAACATTTGTGGCAGTGATAAAGGCTGAGTTGGTTGAAAAAAATAAAACTTTAAAAACTAAAACAGAAATGAACATTTTTACTTTACCTGTGATCAACATTCAGTAAAACTTGTATAAGTGGAACACATTTGGTACTTCAAAAGGGTTTCCATTTGGGAAGTGTTCCACTTACAGAGTGGTTAATAGGTAGGATGACTTTTAAGAAGTGTTGCACTTATGAAAGTGTTCAGTGTTCAGAGGTGTTCCACTTCACAGGTTTCACTATACTTAATATATTCATTCCAGGTTGTACTTAGAGATGGTAGGTGAGAAGATGGAAAGCAAAAGTGACAATTATTAAAGATGTTAATTCAAGAGCAAAAAAGGCTCCAAAACTTAATAAAATATGTAGTTTGGATGTTCATTTATGTCTGGGGATTATATTTTATACCACAAACACTTATAAATACCTGAAATTTGCAATAAAAGTGCCCAAAAATTGTTGTTTCGAAATTCACCATTTTTCCGGAATCGCGCTAGTCACGTGACCATTACGCGTAGCAGGCAATACAGATATTACAGTACATATTTCAACATGTTCAATATGGCAAACATCAACGATTCTGATTCCCGGCCGGGTTCTGGGAAATGGCTATTATGAATCGGCCGGGCGATAGGGTGTAATTTGACTGGGGACAATACAGGGGAAAATGTGTCCAAGTATACCAGTAAGAGAACAGATATGGGGACTTTAGACAGGTACTATGACGGAGAATCAACTAAAAATCTGAGTTCTGAAATGAAGACCCGTTGCCATTGACTGAGGATCCCAGCGATCCTATTACTGTGACTCAGTTTGAATTTTGACGCGGAAAACAGGTTATGAAAACAGGTTTTCTGCAAAGTTATCAAATTTAGAAAATATGGATCTTGTTTTTTAGTAAGGCTTAACAAGCATTTTGATACGAGACTTGGCGCTATCTCTTGTCAAATCCCGGGTGTCAAATACACGCAGACTTGCGGTAAATTGGCCATTGCAAATTGCAAAATCAGATCGTCAAATTAATCACTTCGTTTTTAAACGTAAGCTTCATATCTTCATCCAAAACTTTAGGATTCGATAGAGATAAGTTATAACGTGTACAGGAAGAAATGGCAGATCCTACCTTAATTTAGAATCGCTGATTTCTCTGGACAAATTCCGAGAAGAAATTGTTCAACATCGCCATCAGCTCAGACTACATGTCGTGTGCATGTCACTCTGAACTCGCGTCATAAAATACGGCATCTTGATTGGTTACTACTCGTGTTGTCATGACGCAAAAAGCAGTAGTAAACACTGAATATGTTAATGAATTGCCATATATGGAACAATTGTCTTTCTGATTGGTTAACTTTACACGCCTCCTAAATGAATATAGTAGTCGTAGTAAATGATTCATTGATCACTATGAAAGTGGGCGTGACCAGCTTTATTTTGACACCAAATTCAAGATGTTTCAAATCAAAATGGCCTCGCAAGACGAGGTTGAAATATCGGCAATTTGATACTGATATGGTCTACGATAGATCAAAATTGCCTGCCCCGCGTCAAATGTCACGTGAGCCTATATTTGTTGAAAAATGAAAGAGATAGTGACACTTTTTAATCATAAGTTAATACCAATATTACAAACACATATCTATTTTTTTCATTATATATTTATTTCTTCATTATACATACATTTGTTTTATACTACATTGATGCATTTTTGCAAAACCTTTGCTATTAGATCTTTAAAACATTTTTACACATCTCTCAATTGATTTTGTTCAAGGAAGACATCCTTTGCACAAAGAACTCAAAAAAATAATATCTCCTATATGTATTTGGATCATTAACCGATGCACAATCATTGAACTCTTACATATGAGAAAATTAAAAACTTGTTCAGATCGTTAAAAACTTGTTAAGATTGTTAATCATTTGCTTTGTTTATTCCAGGTTTCTGAATGTGGCTGGGATGCAAGAAAGGCGCCAACTTTACACAATTTATTTGCCATTTGTAAGAATATGCATCTGTGGTTAAGACAAAACCCCAAGAACATCTGTGTGGTTCATTGTTTGGTAAGTAAATAAACCAGATATCCATGGAAGATTTAATCATTGGGCTAGCACGATTCTCTTGCTAGTGGCCGGTTCTTAGCCCTTTTTATTAGCTCACATGGTGAGCTTTTGCAATCACTCACTTGTCCGTCTGTCTGTCCGTCCGTCCGTCCGTCCGTCTGTCTGTCCGTCAACAATAGTGGCACGTTTTAAAACCTCTGTCGATAGGATTCCCGTTTTAAGTTATTTTTGTTCAACATCAATACAGAAAACTCCCCTCTGACTCCTGATTCAAAAGCTCACCTATTTTCAAGATGGCTGTCATTTTTGTCTCGTGAACTTCATTTTTGACCCATTTCCTAGCTTTACAAATAATGTCAGGTGTCCTGCATTGTTAAAATCCATGTCAAAGTGAAGAGTAGTAGTAGTGCTTTATTTTGCAGATAACCAGATATTAATCTCCTTACAGGGTCACAAACTTGTAAAACCAGCTTAAGTTCAGGGTTCATTCTCTAAATGTCATAGGGGTCAGCTTTGCAGGGGCTTTTTCAGTTCTTAGCAATATTTGGCAGTGTAAAACATTATTATTAATTTAATTCTTGAATTTATAGCGACTACTCCCAGTTCTCAATTAAATGGCTATATAGAGTATAATTTAAAATTATTTGTAGTATTACATATATACATTTGGCATCATCAATTTGATGGGTATTGTAACTAGAAGTGGCTTCTAGTTGCATTGAAACAGTTTAACATGTAAAACAAATTTATCACTAACATTGGACTATCTATATAAAAAGCATAAGTACTCTGGGTATTGTGTGAAGTTTGGTCGGATATAGAGGTCTTACACCCCGGCCTACACCCCGGGGCCTACACCCATAATGCCTTCCGTATGTAGGACAAAGAAAGTTTGCCCAAGAACAGATTTTCAAGATGGCTGTCTCAAAATGGCCACCATTTTTGTAAAAATATGTAATCTTTGATTATTTAAATACTATTTGACAGAATTGGTTCAAATTTTATATGTCTAGGGACGAACAAGCTCTGCTTGAGAAGGATTTTTTAAAATGGCAGCTGAATCTCAAAATGGCCACCATTTTTCAGTAAAAAGACGTAATGTTTGATGACTCAAATACCAGAAAACAGATTTGGTTCATGTGAATGCATTGTTATTTTTGTTATTGTTATTTTCAATTTCTATTATTGATTTGTATTCCTAAATTAAGTACAATAAAATGTATGTGTCTACATTAAATGTATATTTGAATAGAGAGTTATCAATATTTGCATTCATTCAAATTTATGTATTATTACTTTATTACTTTATGTATTACATTGGCGTGTCCATTTCTCGAATAGATTTCCACTTCCCATTAATTCTCCGGAGCACCCTTATAAATCTGCAAGCAAGAATTTGAAGATATTTTATATGAATGTCATGGACGTAGTGCTATTTTTATGAGTAGTACACTACCATCTGGAAATACGAGTTGAGCAAAGCGAAAAATGTTGGGTTCAGGGGGCCTTGTTTTTTTAAGTTTGGTTTAAATTTGGAGTGTATTTGCAACCATCTGAACGCATCAGTCATACTGGGCACTACGCCTTTGCGTGTGTAAGGCATATGAATGAATTGCCATTTTAACCTCTTGTGAGCAGAGTGTTTTTTCATCTTCTGATGTTTAATCTTCTAATACCATGTAATGTTCAATATGGAAAGCTAGGTAAACATACACGTAGGCCCATTATTAAATAAAAAGTTCCATATATCATATTTACCTCACTGATATAACCAACTGGCCAGTTTGTGTTTTTATTTCACACTCTTCGCTTGTCACGACAATGTTTCTAGAGCAGTCATACTCCGTGTTGTAAGGTGTCATCACATAATCCTTACCACCAAACTTATTAATGTAGAATTGCTTTATTGCTTAAAGAAATAGTTGAAGCATTATTGTTTCAGATATAATTTTTTTGTCACCACAACAAGTGATGACATATTCTTATAGTCTCTTTTTTGTGGATGATGTTTGGTGGTTGGTATGTGGCAGTTGGTGGTTGGCATATGTTACAAATGGCAGGTGATGACGTTTTGCATGTTAATGCCTTGTTAATAATGTAATTGTATAATAATTAATAATAATGTATTTTTGCTACCTTGCTTGTCTAGTGTGGATGTTTTCATTAGAATTCTGGCAAAAACAGAAGTAGAAATAGAAGAAAGTGAAGTACAAGTAGAAAGTGAATGTTCCTTTGCTGTCCTCTATGATTAAAAATGATATATTATAAGGATGTCCTCATTTTTGAACTAATTAATTTGTCTAACCCAGGTGGCCTTCATGGACATCCTTTGACCTCACATACCTTCCTTTCCACGAAAGAAATCACCAGCTGTTGCCATGGTTGCATTATCTGCATAGAGATCTGCCACAGCACTCCAGTTTCCCGCATTAAAGTTACTAACATAATCTGTCAGGGCTTTCTGTAATTTCTTATTTGTTTTTGGGTCTAAAAGGTAAAAACAATACTATTGCAATTAAAGCTTCAGCTTGGACAAATGATCTTGTTTCCCAAGGCTAATGGCAGAGAAAAGTGAAGTTTCTGTGTACCAATTACAGAGTGTCCCTAATAAATGATATATTATACAAATGAAATTTTAAAATGTTCATTCAGTCACAGATGGAAATAATGTGTGTTTCTCTTTCTAATATGTCATATCAGTCCATCCTTAACCATCAATTATTCAACAAAAATGATCCAGAGATCTGCAATTTTGAATTCAAAGAAAAACAACAAAAAATTAGCATTTTCAAAAGATGAACTTTAGGTGTTGTCAAAGTCAAACTCTGGTAATCAAAAGCAAATCAAGTTTCAATGTGATTAACCCTTTCACGACGATAGTCTCCATATGGAGCCCTATTATGTAATACCTTTTAGGACGATTGGCTACTTTTGGCACCATTATTTTAATTTATACACACCAATGAAATGGCAATATTTCCAGTTCTATTCAGTATTTTTACACCAGATTTTGACAAGTTCTAATGTTATAATCCTTACTAAAGTTTCAGTGATAAAATTCAAGGTATAGGTCCCAAGGCGTAATTTTCAGTTTTCCCCTAATAACCGCTCTCACTTACCCGTCACCGTCCAGGGCCAACATTTTCCTCTTATATTCACGTCGTGAAAGGGTTAATAAAGGAATTTGTGACCAATCTGCGATGATGATATGATTTAATTACAGACCTATTAAATAGATATGTGTCGATAAGCTCATAAAATACTGGGAAGTTATTCCCCAAACTTAACATGCCCTTTTTGAGTTGTCCTTGTAAGTCCAGCTTTGTGTTATTGCCATATAACAGTTGTGACTTCACCAACAATAAAACATTTCTTTTAACATTTACACGTTAAATGCATTATATTTTTAGTTTTGATCTTTAACATATCATTTCAAAATTGGAATGTGTTATAACATTTTTTAACTTTGTTCAGCCATTTAGTTCTCCATACTCCTATAAATTAATATGTAAATGTTTATAAAATAGAATACTTACTACATGCATCTGTGGTGACACATATTGTAAAGATGATCAGAAAAATAAGTTTCAGCATTGTGATGTTGTTGTCAGTAGCAGTCTTTTCAATATTTTAATTTGCATTCATGTCCATGTACCTGAGACTATAACACCAGCAATCCAGGATATTTATCAAAATAAAATAAACATAATACATAATTTACATAATGCAGATTAATGGTAAAGTACTATATGATAAACTGTCACTTTTCTATTTTATTTATGAAATTATTGAAGCGTGTCACTTTCTCGTATAATTTAATATCACTTGGAATTATCCTACTTGCCTTTCATACAAGATTTTAAAATTATAAGGTCATTGTCATAGGTATACTTTTGTTCCATTTTCATCAAAATTGAAACTCTTTGGGTGTTAAATTCTTTTCAACTCAGATTTAACTAATCATTTATAAAAAAAATTGTTAAATAGATACAATTTAAATATGCTAGTATAAATGTAGAATTGAATGTTAGAAACATGACTTTGGGAGATATGCATCATTGCAGAAGTGATTGAGTTTAGTTCCTGTGTGAACTCAAATGACTGTCAATGTTTCACCTTGCATATTATCAGTTTACTCTGCTGTATTACATTTGAATGTTCTATTCAGAGGTCATATTGCAGCACTGATTCAGTTACCACCAGAAATCTTATCAACGAGCTAGTAAGAAAACTGTTCATACATGAAAATTTAACATTTTATAACACTGTGGCTAGTCGATCTATGTGGATGCAGTCAGGCACATGTAATGTTTCGTGAGTGCCCGCCTCTGTACTTTTCAATGGAAGAATTTTGCACTTCTGTTTAAATAATCTATATTTACTCATCCGTGTATATCATACTTCATTGATTTACAAAACCAAAGCTACGCTATAAAAACACATTCTCTGATATTTTTAAGGAGAATAGATAACTTAAACGAGTTCACTCGACCAGTTTTATCATCCTGCTCATAGCTGTGAGAAGGTATGTATAATTTGCCATAGGTTTACATTGTAATGGGGAATAAAAAATTCAAGTAATATAATTATTTCACATACACAAATATGTCTGTGTGAAGTAAAATACAAATACAATGCGTTCTATAATATTTTGGGGGTTATTGTATGAAATATCCGCTTTAAAAAAGCAATTCAATTATGATGTATCATGTGGATTAGTAGACGTTCCGATTGGATTCATTGAACAGACTAGCTAGGTTTCAATTGAAATTTTAATGTGTGTATTTTTAATATTTTAATCCACAGTGTCCAAAAACAATAATAATGCTATATTGGTAATTGGAAAGATTCCACTTACCACGATTTCAAAAAATTGTAAATAGATAATATTATTCTTGAATTATGGTCATTTGTTTCAAGGAATCTGGAGGCTCGTTCAGCTGAGCTGACAAAATCATCAAGATTTACGGATGGTCCATCTGTTGGCTGCTCATTGTCACTTTCAAGGAATGTTAATGGCTCTGAAACTTGTAGCCTTGCCCAAGTCGGTATTTATTTACTTATCTGATCTTGAATTATTACCACCTTGTACAATCCAATGCATCATCGCTGATATTATGCTAAGTTATTAAGCGGTTCTGAGATTCCCATAATACCTAGGCTACCTAAGGGTATCGCAAAACCATATTGATTGACAATATGGACATGGACACAACGTGTGACTTCAGGCTGATTGACCAATCAAAACGTTATCAGTAGGTTGACCTGCATAAAAAAAGCAAACTACCCGTCTAGGACTTGAAATTCAATGATCTGATCGAGTGTTTCTTGAGAGTTATAATATATTATGTTGTTAAATGTACATTGGAATGTAAGCAGTCATTAATACTCGTCTAAATGAAATCATGCAATTCAATGTTGATTCAAAATCAAAACTGAATTTGCGATGGAAATGAACGAAGACCAAGTCCGACAATGTAGGGTCGTCTTTTGTCTGTCAAATTTTACAGACAAAAAGATTGGGTCGGTAAAGCACATGGCTTTCTCTTGGGTACAAGGCGGTCATAATAGAAATCAAGATAAGTAAAAGAGACCGACTTGGGCAAGGCTATGAAACTTGATTTGTGGGTATTCCAGTGGGTCAAGGGGTCTTTTGCTCTGAATTCACTTAATTGGCGTACCTAATTTCAACATTTTCATTGTTATCATTACATGTTATGGACCAGTTTTTCAAATTAACAGTATTAGCGATAAAACCATAGTTTTTGAGCCTATGGGATCGACCAGGCGTCCGTCCGTTGAACCGTCCGTCCATCCGTCAACATTGGCTGCACAAATTAAAACTGCTATTCGGATTGAGTCATTTCCACAATCATTTTATGCATATCCATAATGTCTATTTGACCTATCATCGCCATTTCCCAAGTTCGGCCGGTTTCCGAGAAATTGCTGATTTTTGAATTTCGAGAAAAATCGATCTGATGATAGGCCTATAAAAAGTCAAGAGAAGTGAAGAAAAGATTGAAAAAATACCAGTCCAGTCCATTTCCAGGTCCAAGTCCAGGTCCAGGTCCAAGTCAAGGTCCAGTTCAGGCCAAGTCCAGATCTAGGTCTAATCAGGTTTAATCTAGGTCAAATCCAGTACTTTGTCATTTTTTCAATTTTCTCAGTCGCCCTTTAATATTTTTGCTCCGTTTTTTAATCATGTTCCTTGGAAAAAAGCTAATCCCTACAGGCAAGTTGTTTTTGATCACTCTTACCGTTTTTGAGATATGGCATCCGAAAAGTAGGTCACAATAAAAAAGTTCTTGGAATTCAATGTATGAAGAATATGTGAAGAATTGTCCAAGGAATACGAATCTGCAAATCAGATTTTGATCCGACTTCCGGTTCGGAAGTTATGGCATTTTGAAATCTTAAAAATCGCTATTGTGGTATCCCATGTTAAGTCAATGGGGCTTGAGAAAATTATCAATTGTAACAACACAACACTAGATACAGCTTGGACGCAGCCAACTTAATAAGAATCTACAAGGGAAGCCGTTCTCAAAATCTACTTTCCTTCAAAATTTGGACACTAAAAGGCCTAGGTCAAAATCTAGGTCAAATTCATAGTTTTTCCTTTGACTACAAAAAATCATATCTGAACCAACAACAAAGGACTCATCTTTTATTGATCTCATATTTACCAATACTTTTGTTTGAAAATCAGGATATACATTCCTCTGAAGGTTCTACACTGTGTGAGCACAGGACCGTGGGTCCTTTATTTCATCTGTAATGGCATTTTCCAGTTGATGGGTTTATATATAGTATTTTCAATTTTTCATGGGGTGTCTTTAGACTACTTGTAATGGGGTGGCTAATTACTTTACTGAATGAGGAATGTTTATCCAAACAATGGATACAAAGAAAATCTGGCCAGTTGTCCATCAGTTAATAAATCATCATGATAAAAGTATATTTTATTAAAGCATCCATTTGTTACCATTCTGAATCCAAATGATACATAGGTGCATCCATTTTATACATATATGTTGACATTTACGAAATGTTTTTCAAATATCTTCCCTATAACAGGAATATGGTAGCTGAAACTTTCACACATTGTCATACTATGTATATTGAATATGTATGCAAGATTTCAAGTCACAATGTTAAGTAGAAACTCTGAGATCACTTACCTCGATTTGCTGTCATATTTTTGCAATGATCCCATTCCCTATATTTATTGTATTGTAGTTTGTTTACCACCAATGAAGGTGAGCAATACCTCTTGGGTATGTCCCGTATATATACGGTCGTAATTTACGTAATTAACATGGAAGATAGACCCAGAAACCCCTCCTTGAAGGAGCCCTGTGTTCTTTTATGTGCACTTATACATAGACATATAAGTACACACCACAGCCTTTTTGTACGAGTTGCGGACCACTCAGTCAAACACCCTGAAGTACTTCACGCAAACAAGCAAATTTAGTCTTGCCTGAACCGGGGATCGAATCCGGGACCTATTGCGTAAGAGGTACCTGCGCTACCGCTGAGCTACACGCGAGCACCTACGATACATTACATATAAATGACTACATCCACATAGATCGACTAGCCACAGTGTATAAAGGAAATGTTTGTTTTTAAATTTGAAATAAATTATTCCTTGCTTTTATTGTAATGATTTTTATAATAAGACCACTGTCAAATAAACATTTTTTTCTTTTATCTTGGAATTAGGAAATTTACAGGTAGATTCTGTCGATTGCAATGATCTTTATAATAAGATCACTGTCAAATGAACATTTTTTCTTTTATCTTATAGACATTGCTACGTAATTAATAACTGTTACCACAATTAGAAAAAGTTTATGATGATTGGCTGATCGTCGTGTGCCACTCATTGATTGGCTCCTGGCATGTGTTCAAGTTCCAGCGGGAAATTCAAATAACCAAAACTCTATTAAAGGCTAGACTCCACAATCTCCCGATAAAATACATTATGTTTATAATGTTCATTTATCTTGGAATTAGGAGATTTACTGGTAGATTCTGTCGATAATTTTACTTGTGAATATGTATCACCACCAAGAAGTCTGTAACTTATGTTTGATAATTTTATCTTTCGCAAATGCTTATTCTTATGTAAATTTCAACCTGGCAATGTACGTAGTAATTCAACTTGTAAATGGCATTTTATTGTTGTGTAATGCCTTGTTTGCACAAGTAAACTTGTACTTGCATAATGTTGTAAGTGACTAATGTATCCTGTTACTGATATCAGATGGTAAACAAGATATATATTAATAATCAAAATATGATTATATAATACTGTAAGTCAACTTAATTTGGTGTCCGATTTAATTTGGCAAATTGTAAAATTCGCCAATTCATCTCTTTTTTATATTTGAATTGCGAGTGTTGCTTAAATTTTATTTGCCACATTGGCTCACTTTTTCAATTTTTATCTAGCTTGCTTATAGCTCACATGGTGAGCTTTTACAATCACTCACTTGTCCGTCTGTGCGTGCGTCCGTCCATCCGTCCGTCTGTCTGTCCGTCTGTCCATCAACAATAGTGGCACGTTTTAAAACCTCTGTCGATAGGATTCCTGTTTTAAGTTATTTCTGTTCAACATCAATACAGAAAACCCCCCTATGACTCCTGGTTCAAAAGCTCGCCTATTTTCAAAATGGCCGTCACTTTTGTCTCGCGAAATTCACTTTTGGCTCATTTCCTAGCTTTACAAATAAATTCAGGTGTCCTACATTGTAAAAATCCATGTCAATCTAAAGATTAGATATATGAAATAATTTTGTTACAAAAAATCAGCGAAAAATTGTATCCATTTTTTTATTTTCAGCCATTTTAGTTAACATTGATTTGTCTATCTGACTCGCGAAATCCACTTTCTGTCAATAACAGTGGCACGTTTTAAAACCTCTGTCGATAGGATTCCTGTTTAAAGTTATTTCTGTTCAACATGAATTCAGAAAACTCCCCTATGACTCCTGGTTCAAAAGCTCGCCTATTTTCAAATGGCCGCCATTTTTGTCTCGCGAAATTCACTATTGACCCATTTACATATACTTTCAAGTGTCCTACATTGTAGAAATCCATTGCAAAGTAAAGAGTAGATGTATGAAATAATTTTGTTTCGAAAAATCAGCGAAAAATTATATCCATTTATTTATTTTCAGCCATTTTAGTTAACATTGATTTGTCCATCTGTCTCGCAAAATTCACTTTTGGACCATTTACCTTAAACCCTCTGTCGATAGGATTCCCATTTTAAGTTATTTTGTTCAACATCAATACAAAAAACTCTCCTATGACTCTTGGTTCAAAAGCTTGGCTATTTTCAAAAAAAAAAAATTTTGTTACAAAAAATCAGCAAAAAATTGTATCCATTTTTTTATTTTCAGCCATTTTAGTTAACATTGATTTGTCTATCTGACTCGCGAAATCCACTTTCTGTCAATAACAGTGGCACGTTTTAAAACCTCTGTTGATAGGATTCCTGTTTTAAGTTATTTCTGTTCAACATGAATTCAGAAAACTCCCCTATGACTCCTGGTTCAAAAGCTCGCCTATTTTCAAAATGGCCGCCATTTTTGTCTCGCGAAATTCACTTTTCACCCATTTCCTAGCTTTACATATACATGTAATTTCAAGTGTCCTACATTGTAGAAATCCATTGCAAAGTAAAGAGTAGATGTATGAAATAATTTTGTTTCGAAAAATCAGCGAAAAATTATATCCATTTATTTATTTTCAGCCATTTTAGTTAACATTGATTTGTCCATCTGTCTCGCAAAATTCACTTTTGGACCATTTACCTTAAACCCTCTGTCGATAGGATTCCCATTTTAAGTTATTTTTGTTCAACATCAATACAAAAAAATCTCCTATGACTCTTGGTTCAAAAGCTCGGCCATTTTCAAAATGGCCGTCACTTTTGTCTCGCGAAATTCACTTTTGACCCATTTCCTAGCTTTACAAATAATTTCAGGTGTCTTACATTGTAAAAATCCATGTCAATGTAAAGGGTAGATATATGAAATAATTTTGTTACAAAAAATCAGCGAAAAATTGTATCCATTTTTTTATTTTCAGCCATTTTAGTTAACATTGATTTGTCTATCTGACTCGCGAAATCCACTTTCTGTGGCACGTTTTAAAACCTCTGTCGATAGGATTCCTGTTTTAAGTTATTTCTGTTCAACATCAATTCAGAAAACTCCCCTATGACTCCTGGTTCAAAAGCTCGCCTATTTTCAAAATGGCCGCCATTTTTGTCTCGCGAAATTCACTTTTGACCCATTTCCTAGCTTTACAAATAATTTCAAGTGTCCTACATTGTAAAAATCCATGTCAATGTAAAGAGTAGATGTATGAAATAATTTTGTTACGAAAAATCAGCGAAAAATTATATCCATTTATTTATTTTCAGCCATTTTAGTTAACATTGATTTGTCCATCTGTCTCGCAAAATTCACTTTTGGACCATTTACCTTAAACCCTCTGTCGATAGGATTCCCATTTTAAGTTATTTTTGTTCAACATCAATACAAAAAACTCTCCTATGACTCTTGGTTCAAAAGCTCGGCTATTTTCAAAATTGCCGTCACTTTTGTCTCGCGAAATTCACTTTTGACCCATTTCCTAGCTTTACAAATAATTTCAGGTGTCCTACATTGTAAAATTCCATGTCAATGTAAAGGGTAGATATATGAAATAATTTTGTTACAAAAAATCAGCGAAAAATTGTATCCATTTTTTTATTTTCAGCCATTTTAGTTAACATTGATTTGTCTATCTGACTCGCGAAATCCACTTTCTGTGGCACGTTTTAAAACCTCTGTCGATAGGATTCCTGTTTGAAGTTATTTCTGTTCAACATCAATTCAGAAAACTCCCCTATGACTCCTGGTTCAAAAGCTCACCTATTTTCAAAATGGCCGCCATTTTTGTCTCGCGAAATTCACTTTTGACCCATTTCCTAGCTTTACAAATAATTTCAAGTGTCCTACATTGTAAAAGTCCATGTCAATGTAAAGAGTAGATGTATGAAATAATTTTGTTACGAAAAATCAGCGAAAAATTATATCCATTTATTTATTTTCAGCCATTTTAGTTAACATTGATTTGTCCATCTGTCTCGCAAAATCCACTTTTGAACCATTTACCTTAAGCCCTCTGTCGATAGGATTCCCATTTTAAGTTAATTTTGTTCAACATCAATACAAAAAACTCTCCTATGACTCTTGGTTCAAAAGCTTGCCTATTTTCAAAATGGTTGCCATTCTTGTTTCGCGAAATTCACTTTTTGCCCATTTCCTAGCTTTACAAATAATTTCAGCTGTCCTGCATTGTAAAAAGCCATGTCACTGTAAAAGGTAGTTGTATGAAATAATTTTGTTACAAAAAATCGGCAAAATATTATATCCGTTTTTTTTATTTTCAGCCATTTTAGTTAACATTGATTTGTCCATCTGTCTCGCGAAATCCTCTTTTGGACCATTTGCTTAAAACCTCTGTCGATAGGATTCCATTTTCAAGTTATTTTTGTTCAACATCAATACAAAAAACTCCCCTTTGACTCCTGGTTCAAAAGCTTGCCTGATTTCAAAATGGTCGCCATTTTTGTCTCGCGAAATTCAATTTTGGCCCATTTCCTAGCTTTACAAATAATTTCAGGTGTTTTGCATTGCAAAAAAAGCCATGTCACTGTAAAGAGTAGTTGTATGAAATAATTTTGTTACAAATTATTGGCAAAAAATTATATCCGTTTTTTTTTCAGCCATTTTAATTGACTGAGAGACAGATGGCTTGAAATAATTTTGTTACAAAAAATCAGCAAAAAATGTGACCATGTGAGCCCAGTACCCACGGTACTAATTTTTATTGCAAAAATAAAGTTACATAATGGTTATGTAATCTATTGTGTAAGATTATGTAATATTATTATGTAATAGTAATAAAGATTATTATCAATATAATTTGCCAACAAACATGAGTTGTTATGTCAACTAGTTATATATTTTTGCCTAACCCTGAGTGCCAAGGAAACCAGATTGATCCAGCTACATAAAAACAATATATGAAATTATGAAATAAACAATGTCCCCAGATATTTATTCTTGCATCAAGGAGCTCCCCTCTTGTACATCTATCTTGTTTACTTCACCTTCATGTGCATGAGGTGTATGGGGAAAGGGCACACTTGCTTGAACAAGACTGAAAAGTGATATTTTTCACGTTGTAGTAATGCAGTAATTCACTGTCGAAGATTGGATTGAACACATAATTCACTTGATTATAGATACTTCATTAAGTGCTGTGTGTCCGAAGAACCTGTAATGAAGAATACCTGACTACTGTTTATAATCCAGTGAATAGTCTCTACTGCTAAGAATTAAAACCATGTTAATAATTTCATTTCTGTTCTGTTGTAGGATGGTAAAGCAGGCTCTGCGACAGTGATTGGTGCATTCACTGTGTTCCTGAAGCTCTTTGATAATGCCAACTCAGCTATGCACATGTTTAACCAGAAGCGAATGAATCCATCAATCCTGCCATCTCAGAAAAGGTAGGAAGTGAACTATGTATATTGAATATGCTACCTGAATTTTGATGTATTAATTAACAGCGCAATATACTTTTAGAGTCCAATAGGGTGCAAAAATTCTTTCAAAATCATGCAGTTTTTTCATCATTCTTGACACTATTCAAGTGATTTTGGCCATTTTGGGGTCAGATTTGTCAAAAGTGCACCTCCCTGGAATTTTTATTTAGAAAGTGAACCCCCTTGACAAATCCTGGCTACGTGTCTGCAAAATATGGTTTATAATGACCATCTATGGAAAACTAACATGGTTTATCACGAAAACATCCATCAACACCAAGATTAATTGTCCATATCTAGCTTCTGTAAATGAGCAATACAAACCTGTTAGGTATATATTTTAAACCTTGACGTTGATGAATAGCAATTTTCAAATTATTACTTTTATAATGTTTATTTTATAATTCTTGCTTATGTACATTTATGTTGCAGATATATAGATTACATTAGTGAGATGGTGGCTGAAGAGCAGGTCTTACCGCACAACCGTCAAGTGATGCTCAGTTGTATTACTCTCAGCCCTGTCCCAGTGTTTAACCGCATGAAGTTAGTAGCATTTCTACTTTATTATCCCAATGAACAAAGTTTGTGTATATGTAAAGAGGAAGTCCAATAATGATACATATATAAAACATATTTCAGCACATTTCAGTAACCCTTTGTTGGCAATGTATTTCGAGCTATGAAATGTTATGTGTTATCTTTCAGTAACCCTTGGTTGGCAATGTATTTCAAGCTTTGAAATGGTATCTGTTATCTTTCAGAAATGGGTGCAGACCATTTGTTGAGGTGTATGTGGAAGACAACAGAGTGCTGACAACTTCACAGGAGTATGAGAGGATGGTGTAAGTTAAAAACCAATCGTTTATACTGGTTACATGAGCAGTTTTTATTAAATGGCATGAAATGATGATGAAATGAGCCTTTTGAATAATGAGATGGAGGTGTATTTTGAAAATATTGCTTCCAATATATTGCTTTTACACACTCAATCCTGTCATTGAGGGTGAGCTCTTGTGGTGTTTTCTACATCATTTAAAGCCTCAGTAATTCAAGCTAATATTATTTAAGTCAGAATAACAGAGGATAAAGCTACTGCTACTTTTCCATATGCTTATTTGCCAGAAAAACCCTGAAAACTGACACATCAAATTGAGTAGCATTTTTCATTCAATTCCACAGTTAAAGCTGGTCTGCCATCTTTTGAATGTTTTTAATCATGCAGTAGTGAGGAATGACATTGCTATATATGAATGGTGTCTCATTTACTTGAAGAAGCCTGATAATAAGTTTAATTAGTAGATTTTTTTTTTCTGAGAGGACGTAATTGGGAGCAATGATTTGATGAGAGTTCAGCTTAAACAAGACATATCTTTTGGTATCACACCTTTGAAAAATGAGTTTTTCATTGCGTTAGTATTCCACATTCTTTGGATTACAAATCATACCATGTAATGGCATTTCTCATGTATTTGTTGAAGTTTGTTGTTCGTAATTACCAGTAAAGGGACAATACTGTATAAGTGGTAATTTTGCCTCATCATTTAATTTTCCTATTGCCTAATTTTTGCCAGGTTCAGAAAATTATATGACGCAAATATTGTCTTCATATTTTTGCCAGGTTCAGAAAATTAAATGTCGGAAATATCATCTTCATAATGGTATCGAATGGAAAGTTTCTTGTCATTGGGAAAATGATAAAATTTGACCGTTCGGCAAACTTACCACTCGGATTAAATACCACTTACACAATAGTTGTAATTCTCATCCTTAAACTTGGACCTGAAATTTATCTGTAGTTTTGAAAAAATGGTTTGTTTAGAAAGTGAATCAATGGACCATTATAAATGGATGGCAACATGTGTTTGTAGGGCCAGAATACTATTCATGATATGGAGACAATTTGCAAAAAGTCAGTTAATTTCTTGATTTATAAGTATTTCCAATTGGATTGATGTAAAACCCTTGGAATGTAACTAAATGATCTTGTTGACATGCAGATTGTGATTTAATATCAAAATAGACAAAATGCAAGTAGAAATAATTTTGATTTACGTCATTTAAAATTCAAAATTCAGTCAAAGTGATATCATATTTGAAATCTAAATGGAAAATTACATCTGAAATGTGTTTTAAAAAGTGTTTATCAACTTTGAAAATTTAGTTCTCTTTGAAACTTGCTTGCTAGCCTATGCTAGGTGAAGATATTTTAGGATGAGAATTACTTCTAGCCTTTCAATAAGATATTAAACAAAACACACAAAAATTCATTTTGCTTGAAATCATTGATATGACCTTTGATTTTGATTTTCTAAAAGTTAAATTAGTTATTAGTGTGCACAAATAAAGAAATCCTGTCATTCAGTTTTGGAAAGGATCTAGTGCACCCTCCATTATCACGGGGGATAAGCAAAACGAGGGCGAAGCCACGGACTGCGACTCGCGTAACTTTACACCGCAGCCCAGCGCCAAAATGGAGGGACATCCGGCAGTGCCTTCTGCTTCTTCCGACAAAATAGAGAAATCCATGTATTTTAAATGCTATCGTAGTGTCTAATCGGTGACCAAGATATTACTCTGTATCTACTGTTGGTCTGTAGATAAGAAAATAAGCAGTTGTCCAGATCAAGCTAAAACAGTAGCAAAGTTCTGATTTTACCTGTAAAATATGTGCATATTATTTAATTTACTATACATTTGAAAGGAGTTTTAACACGTTTCTGATATCTAAAGGTTAGTTGAGGCTCCGAGTATAATTCGTGAAAATGATTTGATAATAGAATGTGTTCATGAGGAGAAAATTAGATTCAAACTGCGCATTCATAGTGGACGCAGTCCAGTAAACAAAGCTATTTCAACAACGCAACACAGCCTCCATTGATATTCTAAGTAACGCAGTCCAGCCGCGAACACGAAATAAATAAGATAGTGTAAACTATATTCCTACGCTATTATTGTTTCAGGAAAAGAAAGTCAGCATCAAGATTATCATTCAAAGTTACGTTGATTAACATATATCTATTACCTGAATCAATGTCCCAAATTGCTATATTGTATCGTTTAAGACCTAGAAATATGGCAATTCAATAGCGTATTTGGCAGAACAGTCGAGCGCAAGATGACAACGTAATATGTTTATTACAAACCAATTTGTGGATAGGGTTAAATATATGGATAATTGGATAGTGGTGAGACTTTTTATAAGAAGTAGAAATGCGAAACAATTAACTTTTTGATGATGCAATAAAAGCTGTTGGGGAAGGGTACATTAACTAGTATTTAAGATATCAGGAAAATATCAAATAATTGGAGAGTTGGTGAGTTAATGTAATTTTGGATGATCTTTCCAACAGTCCATCAATATTGCTAGCTACCATAAATTCATGATTTCAGCTGTATTTGACAGCTTGTATATATTTGCAGAATTAGGCCATCAGCTTCACCCCCAAATTTAGGTTATCGGTATCAAATCAGGGGAATAATCGCCATAGTGATTTTTGGGAAGGTTAAGACCTCTAGAGTAAGAAAATATGTGATAGCATTGCAACAGTTGTAGCTAAATGGGTGTTATCACCCATTTTTCAAAATGGCCGCCAGTGCACGTGTTACAATATAAGAGTGGGTATATCTAAGTATACAGATGCAAAAACTGTGATATTAGGGCCTACATTTAGGTTTTAGGGGTCAATGATTTCATTTATGCCAAAATCTAAGTCATCAAACAATTACTTCTTATAGAAATCCAAGATGGCCACCAAAATGGGTCCCAAAACGAATACCGGTATGTAACCATTGATTTAAGCTCATAGAACAGTTAAGAACAGTGATTTTGGAGATCATGTCACGGTTCCAGAGTCAAGGATCTCATTTATGTCTAAATGGGAGTCATCAAATAATTACCTTTTCATAGAAATACAAGATGGCCACCAGAATGGGTGCCAAAATGAATATCTAACTGATTGATTTAAGCTCAAAGAACAGTTGAGAACAGTGATTTTTGAGACAATGTCTAGGTTTAAAAGGTCAAGGATTAGACTTATGTCTAAATCTAAGTCATCAAACAATTACTTTTTATAGAAATCCAAGATGGCCACCAAAATGTATGCCAAAATGAATATGTAACTATTGATTTAAGGTGAAATAACAGTTAAGAACAGTAATTTTAGAGACTCTGTCTATTTTGTAGGGGCCAAAGATTTCATTAAATGTCTAAATCTAAGTAATCAAATAACTACTTTTTATAGAAATCCAAGATGGCCACCAAAATGGGTGCTGAAATGAATATGTAACTTTTGATCTAAGCTCAAAGAATAGGTAAGGACAGTGATTTTGGCCAAGAATTTCAATTTTGAATTAAGTCATAAAATAATTCCTTTATTTTGATATCCAAGATGGCCACCAAAATGGCTGCATAATATTATCACTTTGACATCCATCTTGAATTCTGATATTAATCACAGATTCATGAAATTCATGACTTCCTTAAAGTAAACATTGCTTCCCAAATTATTGTTCTTGGTGATCTATGTGGTTAAATGGATAGTTATATGAATTCATTTTGGCAGCCATTTTGGAGGCCATCTTGGATACCCATATAAATAAAATATTTGTTCATTTTATTAAAGACAAAATTAATGTTCTAACTCCTCTATATGTTTAGATGATTAATCTTATTTTCACTTCGGCAGCAATGTTGGAAGCCATCTTGGATCCAAATAAAGGAAGTAATTATAGTTGTAGACATAACTGAAATTCTTGACACCAAAAATCTTGACATGGTCTCAAATTACTGTTATAAACTGTTCTTTGAGCTTAAATCAACATTTACTTGTTATTGGCACCTATTTTGGTGACCATCTTGGATTTCTAGGAAAAGCAATTGTTTGATGACTCAGATTTAGACATAAATGAAACCCTTGACCCCTAAAACCTAGTCATTGTCTCCGAAATCACTGTTCTTAACTGTTCTTTGAGCTAAAATCAATAGTTAAATATTCATTTTGGCACTCATTTTGATGGCCATCTTGGATTTCTGCATAAAGTAATTGTTTGATGACTTAGATTTAGACAAAAGTCTAATCCTTGACCGTTTTAACCTAGACATTGTCTCAAAAATCACAGTTCTCAACTGTTCTTTGAGCTTTTAATCAATCAATTAAATATTCATTTTGGCACCCATTTTGGTGGCCATCTTGGATTTCTATATGAAGTAATTGTTTGATGATTCAGATTTAGACATAGATGAAATTCTTGTCCCCTAAAACGCAGACATGTGCTCCAAAATCACTGTTCTTAACTGTTCTCTGAGCTTAAATCAATAGTTTAATATTCATTTTGGCACCCATTTTGGTGGCCATCTTGGAATTTTTATTTAAAGTAATTGTTTGATGACTTAGATTTAGACATAAGTCAAATCCTTGACCCTTAAAACCCAGATGTGATCTCCAAAATCACTGTTTTAACTGTTCCTTGAGCTTAAATCAATAGTTACATATTTGATTTGGCATCCATTTTGGCGGCCATCTTGGATTTCTATGAAAAGTAATTATCTGATAACTCAGATTTAGACATAAATAAAATCCTTGACCCCTAAATGTAGACATGGGGTCCAAAATCACTGTTCTTAAGTGTTTCTTGAGCATTAACAGTAGTTACATATTCGTTTCTGCACCCATTTTGGCAGCCATCTTGGATTTCTGTAAGAAACAATTATTTGATGACTTAGATTTAAACATAAATGAAATCCTTGACCCCTAAAACCTTGACACAGGTCCTAAAATCACAGTTTTTGCATCTCAGTGTGCTTAGATAAACCCACTCTTATATTGTGACACGTGCACCAGCGGCCATTTTGAAAAATGGGTGATAACACCCATTTAGCTACAACTGTTACAATGCTATCACATATTTTCTTACTTTTGAGGTCTTAATCTTCCCAAAAATCACTATGGCGATTATTCCCCTAATTTGATACCGACCAACCCCCCAGGCTGATGGCCTAAATGGTTTGTGACACGATGTAGGTTTATCAAAATAGCCCTTTATATTCAATTTTGTCCAAAGTTGCTCCATTTCGGCCACACCTGTACACACATTGTGCTATCTATCTTTGTCTGTGATTGCGTTCAGCTTCAGATATAAAGCAACACTGAGTCGCGGACTGCGTTGGGCAGATGGATGGACTGCGACTATTATAAATTCCAATTTCCTATGTAATTGTACGTTTTCCGCTTACCAAATATCACACGAAGATGTAATTGTAACAACAGAACATGAATAATTATATTAATTCGATGTCATTTCTGATTGCTTTGTTTAAATCGGTATATTAGGGACAAATATTGACAAAATTACATTTTTTGTGGCAGATTTCGAATTCATTTGTGTTCATGCTAAACTATTGGACAGCCGAGCACCAAGAATGCCATTGCAGATGGAGTATGAATATGTTGATCACCGACTGGAACATACTAGCTATTCTGTAGAATATCCAAACCAATAATCTACCCCAAATCCTAACATGCCTTCCAAATTAAGTTTGGACTTACCGCCATTGTTCAGCTATAATGCGTTGTAACCTCGTTTTGAATTACGCGAGTCGCAGTCCGTGGCTTCGCCCTCGTTTTGCTTATCCCCTGTGATTATGATCTCCCCATGAACAAAAATAAATTCATCTGATTTTTCAAAATGGATATATTGCTTTTATTATTACATTTACAGTATATGTACACTAGTATCTTGTTGACCTATATTCAGCACTGTATTGATGTATAGGCCACTTATTAGAGTCAAAATTCAATCATGAAGTGTAGAGGCATAGATTCCAAACCAGGAAGTATTTTTATGCTTATCAAAATCCATCTGCATCCTACGCATCCCTACATCTTATCCAAATATGTTACTAAATAATGAAATATAATTGTATAATCTTTGGTTTTACAAACTTGTATTATATTGAAGTGTAAAAATTGCTTTTGGAGCATTTTTCTAGAGCCATTTTGTAGGGAAAAAACGATGAAAAAATGTACAATCTTTTAATTTAAAGTATGACCTGAATCGATTGCAAACTTCATATTTGCACATTTGATAAGATAAACCATCTGTGTCATATTGTGAAATTATTAAGTTTGCAATCAATTCAGGTCATAGTGAATTTTTGGTATTTTTGTGATAATCAATGGAAACCAATGGCCTCTATCTGCTGATATCCTCATGGTCAATGATGCACAGCCCCATGTAAGTCAATACAACCTTACTGAACTAAATGGCCCTATCTCAGCCTATGTGTGCCCAAGCACTTTAATATTTTCCAAAGATTTATATGGCATTCTATTCTTCATTTTACACCTAAGAATGATTCATTTTGACCAAAGGGGTATTTGCCATTAAACGCACCTCTTCCTTATTAATCCCATATTTGGATCCTTGTGGAACAGGAAATATTATCCCTATGATGTAATTAGCAATATACTCCTTACAGTAAAAACAAGTTCTTGTTTTTTATTACTAAGAGTTGATGTGTTAATTGTGCTAAACAAATTGTTTTATACCAATCGTATTGGAAGAAATGTCAGTAAACTTTGGGTGTTCTAGAGTTTGAGAGACTGGCCCAATGCCAAGTTTGAAAATATTGTTCAATCATCCAAATATTATCTTTTGAAAGCCCATGTCATGACTTTGAAAAATGTTTGAGACTTTTGGTCTTTTAATTTTTAAACCTTTGAATTTCTGTCATTTTGATGGGATTTCTTTTCATGTACAGTTTTTTGTACACCTAATTTCAAAAATAAAGAAATTTTGTATATGATATTGAAATTAAAAAAACTAAAATAAGACATGTATTTATGTTTCTGATCTTTTTCAGTGGTTATCAGATAGAGGATAGAAAGGCCACTATTCCCTTGAATGTATCAGTTGGTGGGGATGTGACAATTGTAGTCTACCACGCAAGGTCCACATTTGGTGGCAAAGTGCAGGGCAAGGTTCGTAAAATTGCCTTCATTCTATCAAGCAGCTATTACCATAGTAAAGCTGAAATATCACCTAATCAGTATTATTCTACGCTGATATTTTTCTAGATATTTACTTTATAGTGCAATAATGCATGATCAATCATTTTATTTCAAATGCACTTACTTAACGCCTGAGCATGTTCATACAATGTATATTTTCATTGTCCTTGTTAGTGATTGTGTTTTAATGCTCTTCATGCTTAATACTTTTTTACTTAGGTACAGTGTTATATGTTGTAAATAGCATGAAATAAGCAAACCTGAATTAATCTACTTCCAAAATATTTCACACTTGATGCATCAGAGACCATTTGGTCTGAATCTGTGATGTGTTGTTTAGTCTAATTTGTAATTTGTGATTTTTCATTTGCACAATAGCTCCATCTAGATGTTGACATGATCAAGGTGATTTAAACTAGCAGATAAATCAGACAAAATATGTGTATAATACAATGGGTATTTTATATGACCATGTTTTTTACTTTTTTGAGCCTCTATGCTGGACACCTCCCTTTGAACATTTCCTAATTTTTTGTTGTGTCACTGTCACCATCATGACAAATTGTCGTGGTCACCAATTTCTTTGTGGACAGTGTTCAGCGGTTGGCATTTGGCATCTGTAACAAATGGCAGGTGGTGACATTTTACATGTTAACGTTTCGTCTGATCTTATAGGCCAATTTTAAGATACAAGATCATATATATAATTTACTAGTGAAGGGTATATACATTTATCCCATTAAAGAAGGTTCAGAAGGGATCTAGAAAAGCTGCCAGTCCATTCATTAGTTTGTTTGCTCATCCGTTTGTTTTTCTGTCTTGAGCATAACTCGGATACTGGCTGGCGGATGGTGTTCAAATTGTATAGGATGTTGGTTTTATGGGCATTTATTTATCTATGGGCATTGCACCTCTATTCAAGAAGGATTTTCCATTATGGCCACCATTGTTCATTAAAGTATCCTTGATACCTCAAATAATTGATGGATTTAGTTCAAATTTTATATGCTGAATCCTTAAGGAGACAGAACCTCTGGCCAAGGTGGCCATTGAATTCAAAATGGGTATCATCTTTGATTAAGATTTTATATGCTGATACCATAAGGGCATAGGATAGATGAATGTTAAATTCAAAATGCCCACCTTTTCAGAAGAAATATAATAGGTGACATGTCATTTCATTGGTGTAGATTTATTAGGGAAATACTACCTTGAAATGTTCAAAATGATGATTGATTTAAAATGTTTTGTTTTGGATTTGCTGTTTTGATAGTCGCTGTTTGTAACATCATCAATAAAAAGTGCAATTTTACTTGCATATCTGTGTTGTATACAGGTTAAACATCATTTCAAAATTTTGAAATTGTATCTCACATATTTTGTCTGCGTTTTCTTTCTTTGGTGATAAACACAACATGAAAATGTCTGTGCTGAAAAGATCAGTACGATATTGCCCTCCAAAATTCTTAATTTCTCGGCAGTTGGGTACATTACTAGATATAATATCTGCCATATGTTGTATAAGTATATCAACTATGCTGTGTTACTGACCAAGTTTAAGGCTTCAAGCAATCTGTGCATTTCATAAAAAGCTTTTGAGAATAGTGAAAAATCTCCAATAATCAGTCACATATTTATTTTTGTATCTTTGTCTAAATTAAATCTTCATTGCTTTATGAAGGATATTATTAAAATAATTTAAGTTAGACAATATGCTGCACATTTTAAATACACATTCATTTTGAATTTGTGTGTTCTTGTTATAATGCATAAGCAGTGTGCTTGTAGAATCAATTATAGATGAGGTACATGTAATTTCCTAATCACAAGCTTAGAGTAGAAAGCTGAATAGACGTGTAGTCACCACGCTAAAGAATGATGTGAACACCTGCAAATGTTCTCACTAATTTCTAAAAAAAATTGTGCTGATGTATCTTTAGCAAGATATATATAAGTCCTATTAATACTTACCTTTATAGAATACAGTACTTAGAGGCTTGCTTTATGAAATGCATTGTATGTTTGATCCCATGTATCTCAGTTGTATATTTCTGCATGTAAAAAAATATGACTATGTCCATGTTAATTACTTAAAGGAAGAAGAAAGTATAGAGAGTGTTTAAAGAATCATTTTAAAAATCATGCCAATGTTTTCCTTACAATCCTAATTTTATTTATTGATGGAAGGATAATTGGGATATCTGATTAAATGAAGTGAGGAGTAATTAAACTTTTATGGCGCAGAAGTAGTCGAATTCATTAGAATTAAAAAAGGGGTGACTACTTTTCAGTTTTTTTGCCAGATTATCTTTGAAATTGAAGGATTATCCTGAGATAAAGTTAGAAATGTTGAAAAATTGTTACGTGGAATGTTGAGAGCAAAAAATAGAAAAAGACGTAAATTGTGTTGTTCTTTTCAAAATTTAATCTCGCCTAATCATATTATCTCTATCTATCCTACTTCCTTTAAGTCTGATGGTGAATATATTACTGTATAGTTATATCATTTAATTAAGTGTCCAGGGGCATCTAAATCATATATACTGTACTCATGTTGATTAATGATCATTAATTAAGTCAATTCAATTAACAAATTTCATTATTTCTGGCTGAGTAAGTTACAGTACATATATCCTATAAAGGTATGATTCCTGGTGGAATCTTTTGTATGATTAATATAGTTCTAATCTTCTTTTTATCGGGCAGAAGTACAACATGTGTTGAGAAAACTTTATAGGATATATGTAAAATTGTGCATGTATTTTTGGGTTAGGGCACCTACTTTTCTTATTTACTTGTTACAGGTAAAGATACATCTACAATTGCAAAACAATCTTTAAGAAATATATCAAGTTTATCTACTGTCATTGAACATACCTGTAGATCTTGGTTGGAAGCACTATTTGTTCTCTGATGTAAAATATTAGGGCTGAAATGAAGAGTAAATTCTCACTCTGAATATTAGTCATTTCAGTCCTAAATATTCGTTTTAAGTGTTGAAATAAAAAGAAATTGCTCATGGTGCTAATGTTAAACCAACAACACATGTATTAGAAATTATATGTACACTGGTGTTAATGGTAAAGGGATAATAATGTTTTGTAGATGAAACAAGTGTTATTGAAACAATATATTTTGAATTACTTAAAATTATTTATTCATTTAATAGATTTACTTTGTTTAGCTTAAGTGAAAAGCTTATTTTACCATTCTCTCATATAAAAATACCCTTTTTATTTGATCAGATTACATCGATGAAAATTCTACAAATCCAGTTTCACACAGGCTTTATTCATCCAGAAAGCAAGAGCACAAAGTTTTCAAGGTATGTAGTTCGTTGACCTTAAGGTAGAAGTTCACTGTTCAATGCACAGTCAGTTTGCGCATCTCTAATACCAAAAACAAAAATGAATAAAACATTGATACTTTTTGCTTTGAAAAAGTCATTTTTCAGTCAAACCTGCGTGGTGCAATCAGTAAGAGGGCCCTGTTTTAGAAAAAATTTGAATCCCGAGGGAGTGTGTTTGAAACCAAGGAGAATCTATTTTTTTCATTTTTTACTGGCCACAAAACATTTAATTGATCTTTTTTTTTATATGACACACTCACGTTGATCTATCAAGACATTTTTTGGGCAATATGAGTCATGACTGACTGACTGTGCAATGAACAGTGAACTTCTACCTTAATAGGGTTTTCATGGTATGTAGTTCTTTTTTACAATGTTTTTACCTTCTACCTTTATGCTCAATCAGGCAGTACAAATGTTGAAGGGAGAAGTTATTCCTGAAGGACCATAATTCTGTTCATGAATGAGATAACATTTTGTTCTTAAAATTTTCTGCTATTTATTCCCAGTTAGTTTGAAGTTTTGTAGACTGCATTGGACAGAAAAAATGAGAATTTAGATCACATTACATGTATTTGGATAGAAGAAGGCCATATACAGGAATTCTTGTACATCCAGAGCATGGACATACTTTTTTGGAAAATGGGAGTTGCCTTGTCCCGTTTTTTTCTTTATTCAATTAATACATTCAAAATACACAATACAATGACTGCCAAAGTTTAAAAACATTGGTGGCCTTGTCCTGTGCCAAGACTAAAGTCCCAAGGGATGGGACAACATAGGGAAACCATGACATCCCTATTGATTTAGAAGAAATAGTTTTTGTTGGTTGAGATTTACCAATTTTATCAAATTAAAAGTTTAGGACTATTTGTGTACACTCTCAGTTGCTTTAAATAAACCATACTAAAATTAGTATGAATGAAAAGGAGTGTTTTAAATCTCTTATTTCTTATGTGATTTCAGATTTGAACTTGATCACTTAGATACTCCTGACAAATACTCAGAGGGCTTCTGTGTGAACCTTGACTATATCGTATCATCTAAGGAGTCGAAGAGACCTGACCAGTCATTCCCTTGGGACAATTTTAATGTTCACAAACTTTCACCAAAGATTCTCTTCAACCAGAAAGATGAGCAACATGAGGTGGCAGCTCAGTTTGGTGAGTACTGCATAGGTGCTGGCAGGACGTTTGGGCCTCAAACGGGTCTTACTTTCAAAATACTCCTCATTACGTTTGGGCCTCAAATGGGTCTTACTTTCAAAATACTCCTCATTTGTGAAAAAATGAGCTGACATTTTTTAAAAATCATTTTTAGACAATCCCTGCATTAGGCAAGGGTGATGAAGTGTAACAAACATTATGATTCATAGAGATATATTTTTTCAATGTATTATCAAGCAATTGTTACCAATCTGTACATTCATGATAATAAATAATAAAGTTCTGAAACATTTTATTCACCTCATTAGGAGATGTCTCTGAAAAAAGTTGATTCTTTCATCTGTAAAAAAAAGTAAAACAATATTATTTAGGTATTTCCAGCAGTATATTTGAATTGGCAACAACACATCCTCATTGTCTTCACTACACAATTACAATCTTGTTATAGTCATTATAGAATTTACTTCTGTTACATTATTTCCACAATCTATTTGAATATCTCCTGTTTTTATTTCAACATCAATTTCCCCACTCTCATGTGGAACAGTTTCTCCATTCTTGTGTGAAACAATTTCCCCATTCTTGTGTGAAACAGTTTCCCCATTCTCATGTGAAAAAGTCTCCACACGCTCATGTGAAACAGTTTTCCCATTCTTGTGTGAAACAGTTTCCCCATTCTTGGGTGAAAAAGTCTCTACACGCTCATGTGAAACAGTGTCCCCATTCTTGTGTGAAACAGTTTCCCTATTTTTGTGTGAAATATTTTCCCCATTGTGCGTAGTGATACGATTATCAACATCATTACCAATTTGGTTATTATCAATACCATTGTGCACATCAACAAGATGTTGAACATTAATACAATTGTTTGCTCCAACACCACTCTTCACATCAGTAGTTCCAGTGGTTGAATCTGTACCATTATGTACGATATTGAAATTATTCTTATAAATACCACTGTCTATTTCAATATCATTGAACATATCAATTCCACGTCTAACATTCATTCTGTTCACCATTACAGGTTGATATCCAGAGCTTTCTGCCTCAATTGATCTGCCGAATGAGGCTTCATTTTGTTTTTTCCAAATTACCTTAGTTTCACCAGGTTTTGGACCCTTCATTAATTGTTTCATATGTAACTGTGGGAAACACAGTATCTCTGCATAATAATGCTTTAGCTTTTCTATTCTATGCTTTTTTGCCAAAGTATTTCGTTTTACACTAGGCAGTCTTAATGTCAAAATGGCTCGTATTGCAAAATTAAACATTGGCAGTCTTGATGTGAAAATAACTGGCCACAATGCAGATTTTAAGATACCTAATAAATGAAAGATGAGCCTGAGGTCATGTGATTGGATATCTGCGGCTACCATGATTACAAGAGGAGTTGTAGTAAGAGCGAAAAGCATGATTGATATTACCATGTTATTTATCGTATCAGATGAAATTTTTTTCCTTATTGAATCTGAAGATTGTGTTGATGTATTAGAAATTTGCCTCAAATTGTCACCAAGATTTTTAACATAGAAATATACCCTCAGCACACATATTACAATGATAATCTGAAGTAGCAAATAAAAGATGATGATGATGATATCTTGGAGAAAACTGAATGGCTTGTAGAATTCCCCTGCGATGCTAAGCACACTGAAGAAGAAACACATACAGCATGTCACAGCGGATATTGTTGACGATTGAAAAATCTTTTCATAGCGCTTACGTTTTATGGTAATGTTGCAACAATGGGAGATGCTGAATATAATATGACTAAGACAAATAACAGAGAAAAACATTTGAGACAATGAGAAGTCGATCCGATAAATAAGAGATTGGGTTACTTGCTGGTTGAACTCTGATGACGTAAGAACCAATACCAGAGCAAAAGTTGTGTGAATAACAGAGATATAAAAGTCTGCTACTGAGATGCTTATCAGGGAAAACAGTTTTGGTTTTCTGCAGTTGCGATCAAGGCCTGTTGAAATAAGGATCAAAGAATTTCCTATTAACCCACTAACTATGATCAAACCAAGAATACTAACAGCAGGATAAATATAAACTGTTGAAAATGTTTCTGTGCAGAAATATGCATAGCTCAGTTGTAGTTGTAAATCAATCCCTTTAAATTTGATAGAACAGTTTCCATGTGCAGACAATAGAACTGAGCTAGATTCATTAATATTTGGGGGACTTGTTACATTAATTGCGCCATGAATTTGAATATCAGTTACATTTTTTCCAGTGTCTGATGTAGCACCATAATGTGAAAGTGTAACACCTACATGTGAATCTGTAACATCATGAAGTTTCAATGTTGTAGCTGCTATACTGTCATCAAATGAAGCAATGCTCATTTCTGAAGTTATCATATCATCATTTTCTGAAGTGCTGAAATTATTTTCTGAAGTTGTCCCAGCATCATCAACAAATGTAACATCCTGAAAGTGCAGTGTTGTAATGATACTAGTCTGATTATTTAGAATGAAAGAATTATTAAGGTTCATGTTCAATTGAGGAGAATTGGGTTTACTTTCTATTGATTTGTGCAGTCTATCAGGATATCCTTGTTGCTTATTCTCCATTGAATCATTACCTTCAGTTGTAACATACAATCTATCAAGATATCCATTTTGCTCATTCTTCATTGAATCATTCCCTTCAGTTGTAATATGCAGTCTATCAGGATATACATGTTGCTCATTCTCCATTGAAGTATCCATTTCAGTTGTAACATACAATCTATCAAGATATCTATTTTGCTCATTCTCCATTGAATCATTCCCTTCAGTTTTAATATGCAGTCTATCAAGATATCTGTGCTGCTCATTCTTCATTGAAGCATCCATTTCAGTTGTAGCATGCAGTCTATCAGGATATACATGTTGCTCATTCTCCATTGAAGCATCCATTTCAGTTGTAGCATGCAGTCTATCAGGATATCCATGTTGCTCATTCTCCATTAAAGCGTCCATTTCAGTTGTAACATGCAGTCTATCAGGATATCCATGTTGCTCATTCTCTGGAGCATCCTCTTGATGTGTATCCTTCCAATGTTTTGGGTTGTTGGAAGTAGTACTGTCCTGTATAGCCAGTCCCACAGGGTTTTCTATGTTCAGCATTAGTAGTTGGAAAAGCACTACAAATCTTGACATCATCATGATCATCAATGTTAATGATTTATTGTAGTTTGTTACCAGTTGAGAATATGAGGAACTCTTTTTAATATTTGTTTTAGATGTTCTAATCAATTTTAATGCTTGTCCTTTGTACTTTTTTAGAAATGTAAGGTTTAAGATTTTTTGATATTTTAATCTGCATTCATGACATATCTGTCCCTATATGAGGTTTATGTGTCTTCTTTGGCCTGTTATATATTGCTATATGTTATAATTATAATTAGCACATTTTCAAGAAGTATGAGTCTTTCTCCTCATCTTTCAGTAGCATTTTACTAATAACAAGAAAATGCAGCAACTTGTCAAGATCTCCAAAAAGTAACTTGACCTGGCTTGGACCCTGATTATCTTTATTATTTTATTATAACTTAACCACTGTTCATCAAAAAACATAGAGAAAGGCACTGAACAAAACCACATGCTTGTTTTGTTTAGTCGTTGGCCAGGCAACAAGTTTATGACATCACAAATTATGAGAAGAAATTTATTTAAATTACTGTCAATAAAGAAATATGTGTATATAGCAATCTTAGTAATGAATTTTTGGAATATGATGCCATCAACTGTGACGTAAAGACACAAATTGCCATAGCAATTTAACAAACAAATGGTCTAAACCTAATTGACCTTTTGCAATCAGAATTCAGGAATTTTGATTTTGGATACTGTCGTCAATCGTCATGTATTTCGTCTTATTGGTATGACGTCATATAGAAATGATATTAGACTTGATGGAATCACGAAATGGCGGACACATGGCAGTTTTGAGCTAAAAATTTTATCGTTTCCATTATGAAAACCATTGGTCGAATATTTACCCGGTATGCCGATTTGACTAGATCATGAGTATAGCTATATATGTGCGAGGTTTGGGTGAAATTCATACTAAACATCGATGCCTTAAGCGCCCCCCGTTTTTTTCAAAATTGGGGGGCGCTTAACCGCTATCTATATCATGTCAGTAAGATCTTACACTTGGTATGTGCTTAAGATGAATGTTGATCTAGTCAAATCGAACGCTTTCGTGAAAAATAATTCAATAAAGTACGAAATACAGAGGATAATTTCTCAAAATCAAAAAGTTATAGCTGTGTGGTCTAATTGTGGCGTCACTACAAGATAGAATCTATCCAGTGATCGCAAATCATCAATTGATTGGTTCTAGACTAATATAATGTGTCTTACTTTGATATGATTCAAAACTTTGTAAAATGATTCAGACAATAAAATGTTATTCTGTTAGGTAATTAACCTATATTATCACTTGTTAATTTACAATAAGATAAAGAAAGATGTTTGAAAATGTATTTGAAACAAATGTGTAAGAGGTCAGCTAGCTATAAATGAGCATATGGGAACAACTGCAGTTGGGACTCTGTATGACTATAGCCTATCTACACCTATTTAGATGAAACTACTACTGCAATATACTCATATTTACTCCAAGTCGGTTTAGGTGGCGGGATGACTTTCTCCCCATGTGTGTATCCTGCTGTTTTAAGACATTGCATAATTTTAATCAATTTTAACTCCATTTGATGTTATGTGGAGGACGTTTGAAAATATAAAAAAAATATAATAATATTTTAATTAATTTCAGGTGCATCTGACAGAGCAAGGCGGAAATTGGAGCGTGATGCAAGCCAGAGTTCAAACGATGCAACTCCAGAGCACACAACATCTTCCACTGACAAAGACAAAAACACTTCAGCAAAAAAGCCAGAACCGACAAATGCATCAACCTTTTTTACATCTTTGGATTGGCAAAATGATGCACCAGTTCAAAGTGAGCCTGCCTCACAGGGACCTTCTGATTTAGACACTGAGTTCTCTGCACTATCCAGTGAGCGTGTGGGTGATGGAAATGAGGAATTACCTGCATCAGATGAAGAAGACTTGCTTGGAAGTGAGGAAGGGACTGAAGGTGTTGATTTATTGAATATAGGTAGTGAAAAGAAAGAGGTAGCAGATCAGATGAACTTGTTGGATATAGGTGATTCAGATCCTTCCAATGTGGATCTGTTGAGTGGAACTGCTAAAGCAGATAATACTGCTAGCCAGGCATTCCAGAGCAATCAAAATCAAGATTTATTTGGTGGTGGATTTGATCCTTTTAACCAATCTACTCAAGCCAGTGCTCCGGTAGCCCCTTCACAAAATCCAAGTGCTCCTCAGCCTAGTCAAAATAATATTTTGGGGGACTTAATAGGTGGAGGGCTGGAACCATCTGGCAATGGTAGTGCCCATAGTAGCAATCAGAATATATATGATCCATTTCAAGATTCAGGTGTTAGTACTCAAGTACCCAACAACAATGCATTTGACCCATTCCAAGACCAAACAAAGCAACCTCAAGCCCAGCCCAAGCCCTTTGATCCATTCCAACAAAGCATGAGTGGCTCAACTAGTTCACTTCCCTCAAAGAAACCTGAAGGAGATGACTTTTTAGCTTTTATGGAAGCACCAGCCTCTGATAAAGACACCAAGGCTGATGATTTGATGGGTTTTGTTGGGGGTGGACTTGGGGGACTTAATGTGCCTAATAACATACCTAGGGCAGGGAGTACACCTAATATGATGAATATGAATCATGGTATGCCAAGGAATACTAGCAATCCCAATCTGCAATCAGCAGCAGGAACAGCCGGGGCACCTGGGACAGGAGTACCTCCTCCTAAACCTGATCCATTTGCAGCTTTTGGTAAGTAAAATTAAAACATTACAAATGAATTCCAGAATTAAATAATTACAGCTGTGAAAAATTAATCTTATTTGAGGCATTATGAACTTTGAAAACATTTACTTCTCTGTTGTGCATTGTACATTGAAATCTTGTTGTAGTAAGTAACATTTTATAAATTGATGTTCTAATTGAGAAAAAATTGGTGAAAACTGCCTGCCTGTTATCAGGGTGTGTCATAAGGATTTCGGGTCAAGTGGTCAAGAGTAAATCATGAAGTGTTTTATTTTTTGATTTAATCCAGAGTAAAGGTCTTTCACGCTCCTATCACATTCTTTCCTTACCATACATTCTGGACCTGTTGCTAGGTGGCACGAAGAGGCTGGATGATTCCATGATGGTTTTGCATGAATTCAGCATTGTGGTATATTCAGTAGAATGACACCTTTCATCCTATGTTACAAGGCTGACCCATTCTACCCGCCTTGAAAATGATTTTGTTGTTTAATTCTATAGGGAGCTTTGGTGGCAAGCCTGCCACAAATATGACAAAACCTGCTGGTGCAAATGGAATGGGAGGAGGAATGGGAGGAATGCAGGCTGGTATGGGAGGAATGGGCGGCGGCCAAGGAGCTCAGCAACAAAAACCAAATTATGGTGGTGGAATGGGTAAGTAAATAAATAACCCACTTATACTTTATTCATTGTTCAAAGTTCAATAGAACATCATACAGTAGAGAATTCACAGTGAGTTTACTTTCACTGAGCATTTCAGGAAGTGAAATGGATTTTTCCATATCGAATAAAAGCAGTTAAGTTGACTCTCTGAATTATCAGGCCAAATTAATCACTTCTTACTTGTTTTATGGATAGTTTGCCATGACCCATCTGCAAAATTAACATAATTTCAAAATTCATCCATTAATTGAGGTTGTAGAAAGAAGTTGAATATTGAATTAAAGTCATTTTGAAGTTAAATAATAGTGCTTCATTCTTGTACATATGTAACTTATATTTTTGTATAATAGCCTATTTTTTCTTAGTGGGGTTCATTAGTTACATAATGCCTCTCACCATGGGTCTGAAAATGCAAAAACAATTTTTTACATTTGGTAAACATACAAATACACAAACATGAAATTGTTTAGCAGGAGAGTTAATTGACTTCAAGTTTTGTGCATGTTTTTCATGATACATGATACATAACAAATCATATGGTCAGTCCAAAGAATGCAGGTACAGTATAAACTAAAGTTAATCGCTTTTAGTTTGATATTTTAAACAGTATGAGATCTATCTATGAATGATGCTAGTGTCACGTTTCCTAAAATGCACAGTTGAGGAAAATGACTTAGAATAAAGTAGGCCTTTGCCTATTCAAATCAACATGATTAAACACACTAAATTATCAAATATTCTTTCAAATGAAACCCATTCATTTTAGTGGTTATGGATGCATAACTTGGATTGAAATTGTTTTTCTGTTGATGTTCAGTACAAATTGTATTGCTATGATAGGTGTTAATTCTGAAGAATATATTGCATTAACATAACCAAATGCTCTACTGTATTAAGTTTTTACTCTCATATTCAATTCTTGCGATGAGGTTCACATGTTCAAATACCTATTGAAACAGCTTGTATAGTTGTTTTATGACTCCATTTTACTTTCGTCTATTAAATCTTTCATTGTGAGAATTGCTAGAACCATCAAACAATCAGCCCTAATTCTGAAAGAAATGCGAAATCAGATCAGATTAGGTCAGATTTGAATGGAATAATAATTTGATGTTTCTTGGCAGGAGGTGGAGCCTGGAGGTCACCAGGGCAGTCCCCTCAACACAGACCAAGTCAACCAGCTCAGCCAGCTAAACCTAACTATAGTTCAGCCAGTTTTGCTGGTGTCAATACCGGTGCTCCTAAGTCTAGCAGTGTCATTGGTGACAGGTCAGATCGGGGCACTAGGAAGCCTTGGGGTGAGTTGAGTATTGCTATTTGATCTCACCAGCAGTGAAGTGTTGGTGTGCCACTCAAACATAAATAATAATGCCTTCTATTGGCAATGTTTGAATTATTTACATGTACATGTATATCTACAAAAAAGACAAAATATCAATTTCTCCGCAAATAAATTATAGGGGTCACATTTACTTGTTACTTTATGTAATGATACATTGAGGGACTTTTTTAATTTTTTAATTTTAATTTTTATGGTTTAAACAAAAATGAGAAGCTAAATTTGAAGAATTTTGGAATTGTCAAAACAAACAAATATGAGTAGCTATATATTGTATAAGTGACCACTTCATGAAAACATTAAAAGATTAATGCTAACATTGTTACTGCAGGTCCTGCTCCAAAGGTTGGTGAACATGCCTTTGAAGATCTCCTTGGTGGTAACAAGTTGGGTAGCAAGAAAGAGGGACCAAAATCATTGAAAGATATGAAGAAAGAGGACCTTATTAAGGAAATGGATCCTGAAAAATTAAAGGTATTACTTACGATTTTAAGACAGATTTTATTATTTAACAAATTTCATACACTTATACCCTTACATAATGTAAAAAAGAGCAAGTCCAAAATGCATATTCTTATATTATATTGCACTGTATTTTGTTACCACTAATAGAAATGAGCAATATCTCCCATATTTACAGTCATAAGGGAGCGTGTCAAAAGTTCAGTGTAGCACAAAAAGCTATATATTATCAGTTAAGTCCTAGACGTGCTCCCTAATTAAACACAGACTCTGGAATCCCTCTTTAAAGGAACCCAAAGAGTTTTTCAAATGCAGTCATACATAGACATACAAGTACACACTATAGAATGATAATTTAGAGTAAAACAGATGATGTTTAATCATTAAGAGTATTGACTGTAATAATCATGGCTTACATCTAGGAGATCAATGCTATACTTCTATACCAACAATACCAGGGAATAGGTCTTACATCCATATTTAGGGTATCATCATGAGAAAATCACATACTTTCATTAGATGTTTAAGGTTGTTGATGCTGTTGTAGGTAAAGGAGTGGATTGAGGGCAAGGAGCGTAACATTAGGGGTCTGCTCAGTACACTACATACAGTGCTGTGGGAGGGAGAGACCAGATGGAAGGAATGTGGTATGCACCAGCTGGTTACAGGTGCCCAAGTTAAGAAATTCTTCAGAAAAGCTGTCTTATCTGTACATCCTGACAAGGTATGTGTGTAATAGAACGAATGCCTTATGTAGGAGCCACATGGCCCAATTACGCGTCATGTACATGTACTTTGGATTTTGAATTTTATCCCAGCATTAGCTAAGTTAAAATTTGAATTGAATGAATCAATAAGTGTGAAATCAAGTTTAATTGTGCTAGTATCATATAGAACTTAATTTCAACACTTAATTTTGAGAAATATTCTTATGGTTCTCAAAGGTAGGAATTTGTATATGCTTGTTCATGTACATTGATAAATCAAGAGAACTGGGAGATTTTTGAATTCTCCAATTTGTCAAATACAGTAAAACCTATCTCAGTGGACCACCAATTGTACCTCTAAAAAGTGTTCTTAAACAAGTTCATTTAACATTAAGTCATTTGCTGTTGGAACTCTGAAAAGTGTTCCACTAACAGAGGTGTTCCACTTTACAGGTTTCACTATACTTACAGTATATCTAATATTTTATATTCCAGCTGACTGGAACTCCAGAAGAGAGTTTGGCAAGACTGATATTTATAGAACTAAGTGATGCTTGGACAGAGTTTGAAGAGGGAGGCATGAAAGATTTGTACTAAGCTAGAATGTTAGAATAAACTAGGAATTATGACATACTCATACAATGATGATTTGGTGATTAGACATAGAGCAGATTCTGTGATATATGTTTTGCTTACAATTTCATCTTGATAAGTAAGTCAACAAACTGTAGAGTTTCAAAGTTTTGAGTTGGAGCAGTATAGATTTTTAGTCTATAGGACATAGGAGGATGCTCAAATATGGAAATGAGACATTGGAAAGGAAATATTTATTGAATTTGTCTTAATACAGTCAATAGCACCACATAAAATATCTGAAACTTAGATACGCCTTTACACCGTGCACTTTTATAGCTTAACATTCATTTTAGCTCACACAGGAGTTAAACTTTTATGTGGTATTCTAGACTGAATTGACAAATTAAAGATCATAATTGTAGTTAAATGTGAATTAGAATGCCACAAGTTAGCCCTGTATCTAGTTCCTACACCTGCAAACATACTTTTTCAACTGTATGTTGGAGAAACAAAGGGGGGAGGGGGCGGTAAGATCTTACGCAAAACTTGCAACATACATGTAAATAACCAATGGCATTATTGTTTGTTATTTAGTAAAAAGATGTGGTTTTATAATTATTGGGAATGCTTCATGAAAATGTATAAAATGGATGTTCTACCTAAGAATTCTATGCTGCGTCTATTATAAAGATGTAGCTCAAAGTTTTACAATCGGGGTGCTCAGCGGGTATGCTGGACTGTTTTCCTTCAACCAAATAAATCAAACTGAAATCCAATCTTTGGTTGCTTCTACTAGGGAATCAAATATCAGTGAAATAAATTACTTTATTTTGATTTCAAGAGATTAACAAAATTAGACATTTTTCACCAATCATGTAGTATTCATTAACTGCCCTATGTATTATATTCTGCTGAGCATCATGTCAGTAATATTATTATTGTGTTTCATGCATGTTTTTCTGGGACATTTTATCATGGTTTTATACATTTCTACAAATGAGGGCACAGTACATTATGGTACAGAATAGGTTTAACAGTACATGCTGTTAGACCTATTTTTGTAAGATGGTAAAAAAACACTGTTTGCAACCTCTGTGAATTGAGGTGTATAATTTAATAGTGGCCTACCATTTTGAAATCTGAGATAATATAGGTCATTTATGAAACTCAGAATATAGTTTTTCTAGAATCTGTATTGAAACCAATGCAATTAAAATGTATCATTTTTTTTATTTTGTGGCTTAGTAAACCTAGACTTGTATGTAAAGAGAATAGGTACTTGTGCAGTAAATGACTGATGCGTGTCATCATATGATATATAATGTTTGAGAACTAACTGGCCTAAGTAAATTCATTCTAAGAAGTGATTCAAAAAGTGATTATATAACATTTTTGTGATTTTGATGTGTTTTTGCCAATATCACATCGCATAATTTACATGTGCAGTTTAATCAAGTTGATTACATGCATGGTGTTGTGAATATAAAATGATAAGATGAATAAGGCTTCCTCAATCATAGGTTTTTTAAGCAACATATCACTTTATTTATGGAACAATTAAGGCCAATCATTGCACAGCATTTAGAAACTAAATTTGAACCATAAATGCTATTTGTATGCCCTTTCATTTGATTTTGTGTTAGTTGTTGAGAGCAGTATTATCAATTAACATGTCGAATATCATAACATCCATTATGCCTACTTTTGAGAATTACAGTGTATTGCCAAATATGTAAGCTTAAAATCATGTTAAAAACTTTTGGAGTTCTAGAATAATGTGAAAGTGAAAAAGGTTCTCAAGTAATTAATGCCAATGCTTGAACTCTGTATTTCACAGAATCTTTGAACTGAAAACTGTCATATTGACATATTTTCATTCAGATAGGTGTTATTGTAATTTTGAAAAAAATGAAAGACATCATATTTGTATATATGCATGATAGTTTATGGTGAATCAGTCAAACTTGAATTCAATATGACACCAAAAGTAGGTTTATTTATTTACCAAAACCAATCATAAGGGTAAAATTAGACATAAATGGGCTATTGAGGCCAACAGAGAGAGGGTGGAGTCATTTAACCTAAGCCTTGTGTTACAATGGCTAGGTACATGTACTTGCAATAGAAACTATTTTATTTTATTCCTTGTGACAAGAATATTTATTAAATTGGCAGATGTCAATTTGTGTCCAAGTTTATCACAAAATGGAACAAACTCTTAATCTTACAAATGAAAACTGTGCCCTGTAGCAGAGCGTATTGAAGAACTAATTTTTAGAATTTGTGAAGTTCAGAATTTGGTTGTAAATATCATGAGACTAATCTATTGTCTAGAATGCTGTAAATTATGTTGTACATTTGCACAGAGGATTAGATGGGCATGTTATATGAATCAATGAGTACAGATAGGTATTATATAAAAACAGAATAAATAAATAATAATCAAATAAGTGGCATTTTCTGATTGTATTTGTGTTTTTTCAGTGTAACTTGTAACAAATTTTCATGGAAAATAAGAATTTAGGGAGTACTTGGACTGTTGGGAACTCAAACATAGAAATACTACATGAATCTGTTCTAAAAGGCGAATTTCCACCATATTTCTTATACACAATTGTAGAAGCACGCCCTATGTCCAAGCCTTGGCTAAGGCAGATGCTCTTGCAAAGACAATATGTACACTACATATATGTTCAACTTAATTATCCCATCGATCGTAGTTCGGAAGGTATGTGATATGATCGATTTTACCTTTTTGTCATCATTGCTAAGGAATACAATAATACCATTCCAATTAATGATAACTCACTTATTGTATTACTTGTGCTTGATACATATGCTGGAAGATATGCTTTTAAAATTAACTTAATCACTTTTACTACATATCAACAAGGCACAGACGTGAACAATATCTTACCTAAAACACAGCATTGTGGTCTAGTTGACCAAGAAAGCAAGATGGCCGCAGAAAAGTTAATCAGCTCTAGAACTTATCACTGTGTAATATATGTAAAAATTTGAACGGTTTGGCTGGAAACCTGTAGACAAGCCTCGATAGACAAGATTTTAGGAGGGAAAATCTAAAATGGCAGCCTTAACATTTACCCAGAATGCCTAAAAACTAATCAGTTCTTGATGTTGATATGTTGAAACATCCCTGAAAATTTCAGATGAATCCCTCAAATGGTTTGGCTGGAAACCTGTAGACAAGTCTTGAAAGTGAAGATTTTAGGACGGAAAATCCAAAATGGCCACCTTAAAATTTACCCAGAATGCCCAAAAAAACCAATCAGTTCTTGACGTTGATATGTAGAAACATCCCTGAAAATTTCAGATGAATCCCTCAAATGGTTTGGCTGAAAACCTGTAGACAAGTCTTGAAAGTGAAGATTGTAGGACAGAAAATCCAAAATGGCCACCTTAAAATTAAACCAGAATGCCCAAAAACTAATCAGTTCTTGACGTTGATATGTAGAAACATCCCTGAAAATTTCAGATGAATCCCTCAAAAGGTTTGGCTGGAAACCTGTAGACAAGTCTTGAAAGTAAAGATTTTAGGACGGAAAATCCAAAATGGCCACCTTAAAATTTACCCAGAATGCCCAAAAACTAATCAGTTCTTGACGTTGATATGTAGAAACATCCCTGAAAATTTCAGATGAATCCCTCAAATGGTTTGGCTGAAAACCTGTAGACAAGTCTTGAAAGTGAAGATTTTAGGACGGAAAATCCAAAATGGCCACCTTAAAATTTACCCAGAATGCCCAAAAACTAATCAGTTCTTGACTTTGATATGTAGAAACATCCCTGAAAATTTCAGATGAATCCCTCAAATGGTTTGGCTGGAAACCTGTAGACAAGCTGAAAAGTGAGACGCCGCCCGCCCGCCGCCCGTCAAGCTGACTACAATATCGTACCTCTTGTTAGGTACGATAAAAACCATGCATTAAATCATGACTTAGACCACCTCACAAGCTACCCGTTTTGCCAAAAGATTCGCAGATGCAGGATGCAACCTGTATCTGAATTAAGAAAAGTAAAAATTGATGATTGTAAATTTCTACTTTATTCTCAATTGATGTGACATTTTAAATACTTCCTTGCATTAATCTCTTTATAGGTAATGCCAGACGTCACATTAGTCTAGCTACAAGCCCTTGTGACCCCTTTCCCGCTACTTGAGTACACACATCACTGGGGAGGTGTGTAGTGGAGGGGGGGGGGGGTTACAGGGACTTGTAGATAGATAGACTAGCCTCACATCAAAATGACAGGTAATTATTATGGCATTGTGATCCATAAAACCTCTGTTGTGGCAGGAGGTCCTTTTACCATGTTTACTGTTTTCATCTCATGAGTTAAATTCATCACCTCGCCTTTGTCAGCAATTTAGATGGGAACCATGAGGGCCTAGGCTTTTCCATTTCAACTATAAACTTATTGTCTTGTTTAGCTTTGTCCTTCAATTGATCTTCATTCTCATAGACATATAACACCTCTGCTCTGGGATGGTTGTGTTCCAGGTCAAGCCCCATTTTTTCTTTCATTGCCTTGGTTTCTTCTCGTACTTTGTCATAGCAATTGCCTGAAAAACAGTGGATAGATTCTTTGTCACACCTTTAAATGTAAAAGGCATTGTTAGGTTAAGGAAAAAAGTCCAGTTTATAATAGAGTATCTATTTGTGGCATGTTTCAAACCCCAAGAAGGTCCATGTTAACATGCAATATCAACGTCATCAACCTTTTAGCTACCCATACAGGTTTTTTTTACGCTAATTACCCAACTATGGAGTTTTTTGGGAAAATTCAATAAAAAATGAACTTAGTTGTTAAGCTCTGGCAATTTGAAGCAAGAGTTTGTAGAATGAATCAGGGGAGTTTTTTCATGCATTTCGCCAATGTTTTTCATCTAAAAACATAAGTACACTTAAAAACATTTTACTGGCTATAAGATTGCACCATACAATCCCCAAAAATATTTCTAATTTTCAAGGATTATCTATGAATTAACTAGGGGCCTCGCAATTGCTCAGGTTTGCTAAAGCGATTTTGAGATAACAGGAAAGTAAATCTTTAATACAAACCTTTTTTGGGTTGCAATATAAACCAAAATAACCCAATAAGGTGTGTATTTAAGATTTACTTTCCTGTTATCTCAAAATCTGTTTGGAACTGTACCATCGGATTTCTATGGGAAACTCCTCAAAGAGAAAATTCTGGGGATTAGGTAATGTGTACGGTTTACACAATTTGAGAAATTATTGGCATAGGTGAAACCTATTTAAAACAGCTTTTGTATTATTCAAAAGCGTTGATTATCAATGATTCCAAGCCTTCGGAAGTTTGAAAAATGAAAATACCCGGGTGTTAAACCATAGATATTCCTTGAAAATAAGAATATTTTTGTGATTATATGGTGCAATCTTATTGTCAGTAAAATGTTTTAAAGTGAATTGGTGTTTTTTGGATGAAAAACATAAGCGAAATGCATGAAAAAACTCCCCCGATTCGTTCTTCAAACAACTCCCAATCCTATATGTTACGCACTAAGATTGCTTGTATTGTTTGTATCGTATCATGAGGTGAATATCGTTGCTCGTATCGAAATTGAAGATGATGTATCGTTGGACCCCTAGGATTAACACACAGGTATTTTCATTTTTCAGAGGGCTGAGAATCATTGATAACAAACGCTTTTGAATAATATAAAAGGATATATTCTGCTCGAGAAATTCTGTATTGGAATGAGACGAAGTTTTTAACGTTTTTATCGTATGATCCTCTGTATTGCTACTGAGATTGTCCCCTCCGTACCAATATTTTCTGTATTGCAACGGATCAACGGGGACAATCTCAGTAGCAATACAGATTGGTACAACACAAGAACTGACCAATCAGTAGGCTTCATTTTACAGATAATATGATAAAAAAACATTTTGTTCAAATCTGCAAGAATATCAATTAGCACTTATAGGTTATAACTTAAATAGCTGAAAGAAAGCATGAGGAACTATAACACGTGTACCAGAACCATATTATGTATATATTACACGTGTACCAGAACCATATTATATATGTATATATTACATGTGTACCAGAACCATATATATAACAAATCCCTTACTAGTTCGCTTAGTACGTATTCATTTACCAATCATGCTAGCATCATTTGAACAAAAACTTACAAATCATTCAAATTGGAATACTGCATGAAAAGTGCATTCTCAGGAATCTCATCATTTCTATTCCGTTTAGAATACTATTTTTAAGGATTTAAACCGGGGAACCTCGACAAATATCTAAAGCCTGGAAACAAAATGACTGAACAAGGTATTACGGACATTGGTTTCACAAATGTTGGAAACAATGTTACAGTCATCAATTGCAAGCAAATGCTTGATGATAGCAGCGACAAATATGGATCTAGGCATTATAATAGAACTGCATCTGCAGCTGTTTTAGCACTTTGCTGCATAGCCATGTCCATTCAAATAAACTGGCTGTTTCTATCATACAAAGGAAAAAGATTGCATATTCGAGAGAATACATTTCATTTTGTACAAGTTTTCGTTCACATTTGCGGCATACTCAAAGAATGCATAATAGGCATTTTTGTGGCCTTGGATTTTAACGAATGCAACTTGCCCGGGGCTTTTATGTGGAGGAAATATTTGCCATTTTGCAGGTTGAGTATGGCATACCTTTGTTTGATTGGAATCTTTAGGATGATGAAAATTACTCAACCATATAGACGGATTCCCTGGTGGGTAATTTGTGTCATGTCAGTCATAGTATGGCTATACTGTGGAATACTTGTCATAATACCAGATAACAAGGACCTTGTTTGGGTGGACAATGTTGCTGACACATGCTGTTTTGGTCTCACGGTAATTGAACATTCTAAGATGATATTTTCGTTAAAGAAGAAGATTTTTACTGTACATATTCAGCCTAATGTCAATAGCAGACAAAATAAGCCAAGCATGCAGACACCAGTTGATGTATTCCAAATATGTAAACTTCATAATACGCATGGCTGTCAGACAGAATCAAATGTACAAGCTGATACACAAACTCACATCGTTAAGTTCCATGTTTGTAAGCCTGATAACACGCATGGCCGTCAGACACCGCCAAACATACCAGATGATATGTTTCAAATTTGTAAGCTTGATAACATGCATGGCCATCAGACAGAGTCAAACCTACATGCTGATGCACAAACTGACATTGTTCATACATCCCAGATTCATATAGATTTGGATGAATTAGAAAATAATGATACATGTACCAAAGAACTTTCAAAAAAAGAGCCACAAATGCAGGATGAAATAATCAGTAACATTGAGGTGACCTTCAGTAGTTCTAATCCCAAAAATGAGAATAATGTGGTTAAGTGTCACAAACTCAAAAAATGGAATAAGAATAAGATTTCTCCATCTAAGGCTTTTAGTGAATCAAGTCCTGGCAGAAAGCTTCGCCAAAATCAACAACCACAGCTGAGTATCATTCATCCTTCGCACCGGAAAGATCTCATTTGGGAATACAAGTTGATTGCCAGTGAAGTTATCTTGCTTACTGTAGCATTGTTTCACATGGTTATACAGATAACATTTAGAATGAATGACAGTCAATTGTTCCATCTCTTATATTCAATATTTGTATTGTGTCTTTACAGTATTATGCAATCTTTGACACTCCTCACTAGCAGGGCTTTACGTCATGAATTTATCAAGTTTTATTTGAGGAAAAGTTCACGAGAAGAGTCAGGAGACATAACCTGAAATTTTGTGCTAAGTACAGCAGCTTACTGTTCGGATACATTAACTCTTTTGGCCGGGACGTCGACTGTATCATCCTATCGGTAAGTGTGGGACGTCAACTATAATCAACTTTTGCAATCATACTATTCTGAATAGATTTTTCGTCCTATTCATAGATGTCAGGCTATTGTCTAACCCTGTGGATTATATTTGTCTATGTCTTTGTCAATAATCTGCAAAAGGCAAATAAGCCCATATTAAAGCAGATATATAATTTAACAGTGATAGAATTTGAATAGAATATAATTTAAAACAGAAACATTTAAATATAGATCTATGGTTTACATCTCATTTTAAATTTGTACTTGACAAAACAAGAACAAACAGAAAGTTAATGACATTTTGTGAATTTTTCATAATATACATCAATGTTTTCTCCAATATTATTTGCAATAAAAGAATAAGGGATTTGAAAATGACTGCTGCTAGAGCTCGAGTTCTTATTCGAGGACAATTCTCAGCAAATATCCAATGATTTGGGCAGCGAAAATAATACTTGAAGTGAAAATGATGATTACTCCACCAATAACACAGGCCCCCTCCTTGGCCTACAGGCTATGTGAACATGAATTCAAGTTGATGTTTTGCATTTCAGGTGGTGACCAACAAGTGCCCTAAATAGATCAGCTATCTGAATAGTGATTATTTGATCAAACCGAGTTGTATGATGTTGACAGGATCCCATCGTGGAGTGCTTGTTGATATTGAGAGTCAGCTACTGTATGGTTATTTCAATATATTTTGGCTAGATGAACTTACAAATCATATTACTTCTGAAACTAACAATTATGCATTTGACTATTTTGAAGTACCCGGTGGGCTCGACAATTTGAGCCCGATCTCGCCTTCGTGACTGGATTGAGGTTACAATAGGTGAAATGAAAGCCAAAACTGCACTACAATATTAGGCATGGGGTCTATTAATACACCATCCATCAAAGATTATTAGACCAGAAAATCTTGGTTATTTGACACACCAAACAGTTATGAGCCTTGACCTATATCATCTCATCTCCAAGTTTCTTGACTTCAATAACAATCGATAATACATACATCGGAAATTCTTTGTATGAAAATTGTTTGTAACATAATGCTGCCCTGTCAACCCTCACGCATTAGGCGTGATTGTCACGCATTTGCTGGAAAAATAGAAATCACGCATCAATTTAGCGTGTATGATCAAATATCACGCAAATCACGCATTTTGTTGAGATTTTTAAAATCGTTTTTTGTGAAATGCCGACACGGTTAAACACCGAACGGCGAAAAAAAGCGAACGCATTGCGTTCGGTCTTTGCACGCGATTGCCGTTTATGTCACGCATTTGGTACAAAATATGTGTATATATCACGCATTTGTTTCGAAAATATTCACATCAGAGAAATATATATATATTGAATATTTCATCAAATGGAATGAGATGTGAGATATGCGAGATATTGCAAGCTTTCGTCTAAAATTAAATCAACGGCTCCAAGAACTAGAAGTGCAGGCTTAAGTCAGATTTGAACTTCTGAAAACTTGAAGATGATTTAAAAAAAAACTGAACTCAGTCTAAACAGTATTTGTTAAGTTATTGGAAGTTTTAAGAATTTGTTACAGACGCCAAGATTTGTTACTGATACCAACCGCCGCCACAAAAAAACGGAGACCATAACAATATGTCACCACTTTTGACATAAAAATGACCTCAGGACAATTGCAGACCTCAAAAGTGAGACCATCTGTGTTATTCAGGCCACACCTGCTGAGGAATGCAATTGGGTCATTGACAACTGTGCAGGCTTGACTAAATCGCAATAATTCCCAAATCTGAAGCATGTTGTTCAAAGTGCTATAAAATTTTGACCTATCAGTCTGATGGTCATGAAATATGGTAGGAAAGTGGATGATGTACAAATGTGTGAAATATCAGGGAGTAATTCCCTAAAATGACAAAGATATGAGGAAATTGCAGGAAATTACCACCCTGTACAAAATCAGTACATGGATATGCCAAGACCTAATTAAGAGCCAATGTAAAGTTAGAATAACAATCTTTGAAAGTTTGAAAAACAGATTCATACCACATATTGTGTTCCTCTCATGATAATGTCCACATTCCAAGCAGGCGATAATATTTCTTTTTGGTATAGCATCTTCAAATCCACAATGTAAGCTCAATTTTCTTGTTAGCCTTCTCTGCTTTGTCCTTCGTCCCTTTGGTACTGCCCAGAGTATGCCCTCTCCCAGTATAGACTTCAGTGTGGAGTCTGGGGACAGAGGTGAAGGTTTAGCAGCATAAGGTGAATCTGCCAATGCAACTGCTACCCCTGTAAGCACAGAGTACATGTACATGAAAATAACATCAGGGATAAATAGTTAAGAGTGCATGGTTACCTGTATTATTAAAGGCTGTCAATGCGTACTGAGAAACAAAAAGGGAAATAAAACATCAAAAAATTGTTGGAACACATCACTCCTACATGTACAGTCAGCTGAATATTATTTAAAGCTTATTCTACTGAGGTTCTTTGATTGCTTATTTTTTTAGGTTTGATTGACACACAAGCCTAGTATTCCATATCATGTGTATTGAATGTCCAAACTTGTTCCATTAAAAGCAAAACAAAAATGCCTTTCTCTTGGTACAATATTCTGTTAATTCTACAGAGTCCCTCCTTTTACCGGCTTTTTGGTCCCAAGCTCACTGGGGATGAACAAGGAAACAAGGTTTTGCCTCGTATCAAAATGGCTTTGAATGAAACAGGAGCTTTTGGTGAGATTTTTTCTTTTCACGATTTTCGTGTATTATCTTTCAAGTTACAACTTAATATTTGGCAGGTAAATATTTCGTAAGTTCCAATTTTAGAATAGAAGCTCATTCTATTTCAGGTTTGGCCACGGACGTCAAGTAAGTTTCTGGCGAAAGCTGGAGCATAGATTAATTAAGAGGACTGGAAACAAGAATGACCTACCTTTTTATTTCCAGAATCTCGCCTGAAATTAGCTCATCATGGTGACAATAATTTTGGAAACAATATTATACTAAATAGATTACTATAAGCATCTAAGGTAGGTAAAACTTATCCCGTGCCAGGACTATAGTGACGTCCTGCGAACGTCTTATTCTTTTGACTGTACGATTACAACATGGGAGAATTTTCTACGCTTCTTACATTTAAGATACCTATTTCAATAGATTCCTTGGTATTTTAGTATTCTTTTCGTGTAGTTGAATCCACAATTGTCTGGGTTTATCGGCAGAACAAAGAAATTTTCGTTTTTGATCGCAATATTTGCGTGTAATATTTAATTTAAGGTGCTATGGAAGTTAACAGGAAATGACAAAACAGGAAGTGACAATTTTTTTTGCATTTTTAGATACTTTTTGAATAAAGATAACAGAGTTCTTGTTTGACCTCCAGTCAATTTAACTATTTCCACATATCATTTACATGACCAGGATCACAATGTGCATGGTCAGAATGACCCTAAACATGATGAAATAACCTTTTTAGCCCTTTGAAAGTGTGACTGAAAAAAAGCTAAAAGTAGGAGCGTAGGGATAGTCCCTGAACAGAATCTTTTGAATTTTTCAGAAAATGTACCCAATATAATGCTCTAACTAGTACAATCTTTGAAATTTTAGAAAATTGTCTAAAACAAAAATGGCGGTCATAAAAAGGAAAATAGATCGCTTTTCAAATCAGTTTTTTCATTTTTTTTTCTTTTTCTATGAATGATATCAAATTTTCAAAGATTGTATCATTTAGAGCAATATATTGGGCACATTTTCTGAAAAATTCAAAAGATTCTGTTCAGTGACCTTCCCTACGCTCCTACTTTTAGCTTTTTTTCAGTCACACTTTCAAAGGGCTAAAAAGGTTATTTCATCATGTTTAGGGTCATTCTGACCATGCACATTGTGATCCTGGTCATGTAAATGATATGTGGAAATAGTTAAATTGACTGGAGGTCAAACCAGAACTCTGTTATCTATATTCAAAAAATATCTAAAAATGCAAAAAAAATTGTCACTTCCTGTTTTGTCATTTCCTGTTAACTTCCATAGCACCTTAACTTATTTCAACCGTCAAATTCTTCCATTTATTGGTAAATCCGGGCCACTTCCAAGTCAGTCAAATGGGGAATCCCCTTTTAAATCCAACCGCCATCTTGAAAAGTGATAGAATATCTCTCGATGAAAAAGAAAAATGTTCCCATTCTGGCGATATACCCAAACAATTGTGGATTCAACTCCACGAAAAGAATGCTAAAATACCCAGGAATCTATTGAAGTAGGTATCTTAAGTGTAAGGGGCGTAGATAATTCTCCCAAGTTGTAATCGTACAGGCAAAAGAATGCGCTCGTTACAGGACTATAGTCCTGGTACGGGATAAGGTAAAACTAGATGAACCACTGAGTCAATAGTGATAAATAGGCCAACACGAGTTGGCAGAATTGAAATAGACTGCCACCTTGTTTCCAGTCCTCTTTATAATCTATGCTCCAGCTTTCGCCAGAAACTTACTCAATGTCCGTGGGTTTGGCAATATATCTAGATGTCAGGTGTTGATACAGGTTCCTGTGGGTAGGTGCATAGTTTATCGCAGTTTGCTGCTGCGTCATTATAAATATAGGTATGAGTAATGGCCATGATATCATGGCCATGGCTATGTTATACATGTCCCCGGCGCTATGAAAATTGAAATTGGAAAAGAAATATTCTGTTCACTGTTGAGCAGGCGAAACTTCAAAACGTGTACACTTCAATACAGTCCATACTTTATGCATATGAATACACGTATGCAGTATACTCACCATGATGTGGATTAACTCTCAGTAAATGCAGTAAATTCGAGTGAAACCTTGAAATTGCAGAAATATATTTTTTCAACGTGCCAGCCATTTTGTACACTGAACGAAATAACCACTTTGTTCCGCCGACTGATGCAAGAACAAAATGTTTTGAATTATTCAAGATTTGTTGGTGCAGAAGCTTTTCTGAGGGGTAAACCATTTTAACATTGATGAATTGTGATGTCCTGTTTTATGAATTGTATAATTTATGATGAAAAAGGAGATATTTTGCTGGGTAGTGCAGTGTAGTTCATAAAGATGATGATGGGCGATAATACATTAGGCTAAGTTTAGGCCTACTCAGTACTCATGGGTACTTGTAGGCTAGACTAGTAGGCTTCTAAGCTTATATGCAGCTAATGCATGTCTTTAATAGGAGAGGTTCAAAACTTCAAATATTATCCTTCCTTCTTTCCCCATGTACTGTCACTGTGTGTAAGAATCATTCTCTATCCGAGCCAAAAAAGACGAGCCTTTTATGAAAAAATTCACCCATATGCAGGTTTGTGTAAAATAATGGGTAACCGGGTAGCTGGTTGACCGGGTACCTAAAATTCCTACCAGGGTTAGGAATTTGATTTTTTATGTTATGCCTAATGCCTAACTGAAGTCCAACTCAACGTACCAGTCATACGTCCAATCAAGTAAAGAAGCATTACCAACTACATGTAATCTATAACCAATAAACAAGCGCCAAAACAAACAAACACCGATATTCTATCAATCACTCATGGAATAAATCAAGCAACTAACGTTGTATCATACGTTATTGACAGATAAAAACCGCAAATAACGTTTCAATTTACACGTGCATAATATATATACACAATTCTTCCAGATTTGTTTAATAACTAGTAGAAATCGTCATCGTAGAAAACAATCATCGATATCCTGTCAATCACTCAGACAATAAATCAATCATCTAACGTCATTGTACGTGTTAATTGTGTAAATTATAAACTAGCTACAGTACTTCCAAATTTAGTCCATTTTGTCGTCATGTTTATTCAGTGGATCTTGTGTAACCAGGTAACCATTTAGTTTTGCGATGTGCACATTTATGTTGTATTGTTTCAATTTAATTTTTGTTTCATTCCAGTCTAAGGCAACAACATGGCTGATACAGGAAATGCAGCTGTGCAGGTTCAACAGCAGGGTACAAGCAAAAAGAAAAAAGAGAAAAAACCCAAGCCTCAGAATCCAGAGAAAAGTAAAGCTCCAGATGTGGATCCAAACAAACCACAGAAATCTAAAGCAGAATTGAAGGCAGAGCGAAGAGCACTTCAGGTAGGATGTGCTTCCTACAATGTCAATGAATGTCAATAAACTGCCTTTGGGAATATATGCCATTTAACCAGTATGGACAATTACACATGTTGGTGGCATGTTTTGTAATCCTTCAAATCAATTCAAATGGTTTTATTACCAAAATGTCATTTTATAAGGTCTTCATTCAAAAGTGGTGCTTCTAAAGCCCACCTTGATTTGAAATGCTTAAAGCGAGCTCATTATGGCATAATTCAAAATGTGATATACAGTATATACATAATGTACATGTATATATATACCATTGATATCAAATATCAACAGTTGAGTGAGTAAAGTGATATTTGATATCAACAAGGTGATAAAATGATATACGTAACTCAAAATGATCTGATATTTGGGAACAAAAATTGAAATCAATTTATCACAGTGATATGCAACTCAAATGACAGCAGCTGTATATTTGGTTTATTTAATGATTTTCAGAAAAATACTGTTTCGCATGGATCTCCTTAATATTACCTATATCCCTGGCTGTTATTATACAGATTGCACAATAATCATGGGATAAATATATTTATCCTACACTTAGTGTACTAAACGTATAATAACAATAAAAAATAAATTTGATATTTATTGGCAAAATGAATATCCGGAGGATATCGTAACGATATACTCCGGGTGGAGGATATCATGACGATATACTCCGGAAAACCCAATATGCGGAGGATATTGTGACGATATACTCCGCTTGTTGATTTCCCGCCAAATTGACTCTATTTGGCATGAAATTCATTTTGCAATGATATTATACATTTAGTACACTCCTTGTAAGTGTAGGATAATAAGAACATCCTATGATTTTTTCTGAATATCATTTTAATCTACTCGGTGATATTGATATATGCACTCGCTTGCTTTGCTCTCTCGGGCAGATATCAATATCACCTCGTAGATAAAAATGATATTCCTCAAAATCATAGGATATCCTATAAGTCTGTTCAAATAGCTTTTGAAATACACAATGCATTAATATTTCTGAGAGATTTAAGCAATTTGGATGTCACATTTATGTAAGTTATCAACCTGACACATTTCCCATTCTCAATGTGTCACAGGTGACATTTGGAATATTCTTCAATCAACATCAATCAAATTTATACAGAAGTAGGAGATATTTTCTTTACAGGGAGTGCATGTTATTATGATATCTTTATAATGAAAATATTAGAACATTTTGGTACAAATGAGTGCTTTACCATAGTAACCATTGAGGCAGTCATATGTATAGTTATGCACCTCGTTTGATTCATTGACCAAATATGCTTGACATGTTACGTTGTTGTGACATCAATGATCTAAACAGCCAATCAGCTGAACTGTACAATTCTTTCCTCCATATTGCTGTGTTATAGGAGGCCCAGAGAGCTGCAAAGATTGCAGGGACAAAATCCACTTCAGGTCAGCAAACTCCCGCAGCTAAGAAAACTGAAAGTGGATCATCCAACCAGAACCAGCCCGCTGGTAAGTGAGACTTCTATTGGTTTATACATTACATGTACATGAACAGTGCATACATCGGTTACCAGCATTTTACAAATAAAGATTGCAGCCATGGTGTCACCTGTACTATAAAAAATTAACCTGAACTCATTTGACCATTTTTGCAGTGATATCTCAAGAGAATGCAAGAAAAGCTCAGTTTTATAGATGTATTGTGTTTGGCTCGTTCAGCCAGTACTTATTGTTAGTGTCTATGTGTGTCTACTCTACTCTATTTAATTTGGCGGTTTTTCAAGTGTCCCAGACATCCTCCCATCCAACCCAATTCAAGATACTCATTGTTAGTGTTGTTGATAAACAATTTCTTTAATGTTTTATTGTTGTTTGTATAAATTTAAACAATCTGGCCATCTTGGTACCTTTCTTATAACTGGAGGTGCATCGAACTAAAAATATGTCATATTCCCGTGGATTTTGGTGACTATTTAATTCGGCAATTTTAATTGATTTGCCAAAATTTGCCAATTTAAAATGCTTTCCAAATTAAAGACAAATATATTAGATGTCCATGATCATAAGGAAACAAGGCCTCATAACCTAGGTCCTAATCGCGATTTATATTGATAACATAGTAGATTCTGACTTGCTTCAAATCCATACACTATACTAAGGAAATGTCAAAAGAAACATGAAAAAAATCAATGAAAACAAAAAGCTTTGCAGGTATTTGTTTATTAAATGAAACATGTAATAAATGAACACTCACAAATGTACATACAGTGTATTCTACTACAGTAATTTTATCATTAATAATTTATTTCTGAATCTATAGTATTTTTGTTATGCTTTATGGCCTTTATTGGATGACTGAGTCGATTGATTATCAGCAAGTATATTGTGTTATGGGAAAAATTCAATAGACCTTTACAATTTTTATATACCATTACATATAGTTGTAGATTATCCCCATGAGCAATGAACAATATGAAGGTACTTCACTTAATTGAAGCTTTTGATACTCTCTCATAGCTAAACAAAATAACCCCTTTTAATTTTATTGCACCTTTTCCAAGTGCTATACTGTTGTCGTGTGCTTGCGCCACATATTATAATGACATCAAAATTCCAGGAAAACCACAGGTCAACTATAATTTAATGTGAAAATTAATTATATATATTTTCTATGATAGTTTCAGTTAACAATTTTTGTTTTTCAGTGCAATTGTTTTTTGTTTTTTTCTACCAATTCTAAAACTATTTTATTAACCTCTTGAATACCCAGAGTGACGGATATATCCGTCACAAATGAAATAAGACTGGTGCCCAGAGGGACGAGAAAATCCGTCACAAAATTTTTGACAAAAATTGCTCTCATTTGAACAATTTTCATCCAATTTACACAAAAATTGTTTTAAAACGTGTAGAAATGATCTCTGCCGTCCAATTTTACTAAGCTAAGCATCTAAAGTTGTATAGGTATGTAATAAAATGTCAAAAGGTGGCAAAAAATGAAAAATTCTCTGGTTTCATGCCAATTTTAGAGACTGGGATTCAAGAGGTTAATAAGATTCATTTTAAATGAACCAAGCTTTTTCAGTATAATTACAATATTGAGAGATCTTAATGTGCTGTGTATATATTGATTTATTCCAACGAGGTTTGGAGAGATGTTTCATTTCATTCCAAACATATGGTACCAAGAACACACAAGAAAGTTTCTGATGTGCTTTCTGAAGCAATACATAAAGAAGTTGAACATTTTTTGATGAAATTGTTACCATTCAAAAGTGGACCATTACATTGATGATGTATAAACATTTCAAAGATTTTTGATGATTGGTTTAAGAGAAAAACGTTTTCAATTTAATTCACCATATCGCTACCAATCCTTAATGACGCAATAATTTATCCAGCTGACATTTTAAAAGTTGTGTAATGCAAATCTAGAACAACATAACTGAACTGAATAAATAAAAGAAATAAAACACTACAGTTGATTAAACATAGATATTATGCTTTTTGCAGTTTATGATTCAAAATCAAGCTTTGTTGATCGATTCTGAAAAATATAACTGAGTATATTCCATATGGATTAAATACAAACAAGGATAGGAGTATTGATCTTTATCCCCTAGAACCATATACAAATGAATGACATATAAAATCTATGGAATTTGCAGTCAAAAGAATGGCTTTAGTTTACCAATATGTAAGGACTCTAAGAAACACATTCTTGGTGGTTTTGATTTTGAGTTTAATACCTCTGGTATGGATAGGACATATTTGGAAGTCGAAACATTTATTTCTGCAATCGGACAATGAAAGCGCTATTTTGAAGCTGAATAATGCAACAACTCCAGTAAGTGATATTAAATATGGAAATAATACTGTTGAAATTAAACAACCAATGAACAATGATAGAGCTCATAAGATAAGTAATGCTCTACGTGTGAATCAAAACCAGACAACTGGTAGAGGGTGGGTAAGTGTACCAAGAATTGGCAGATTAGGAAATAACATGTTCCAATTTGCAGCTGTAATGGCAATGTCAAAACACTATCAGATGTTTCCAGTTTATCCACCAGAAATCCTTGATGGGATATTTAATATTAACCGATCTGGTGTTCTATTAGATAAAGAGAATCAAAATTCTTTTCCATCAATTCAGATGAATGAAAAGAAGGCGAGCGCATATGATGAGAGTATTATGACGAAAGATATTCCAGGGAACACCAACATTAAACTTTGTTGTTACTTTCAATCATGGAAATACCTGAGAGGAATTCAAGAAGATCTTAGAAGACAGTTCACATTTAAACCATCAATTGATAGCATTGCCATGAGGTTTATAAACCAAACTCTAATCAATAATGGAGACTTTAAAAGCAATAAACATACAGCACTGGTTGGAATACATATAAGGAGATCAGATATGGCAGGATCTGAACGTAGTTACAATATGGGATACCGTAGTGCACCAAAACAATATTTTCAGAATGCGATGAAGTATTTCAGGATCAAATTTAAACACGTCCATTTCATAATATGCACTGATGATGTAAAATGGGCACAAGATAATATCCGATCACCTGATTTGACATTTTCAGTTGGACATTCAGCTGGAGTAGATCTAGCAATACTGTCACATTGTGATCATATAATTATGTCTACTGGGACATTTTCCTGGTGGGCAGCATGGTTGTCTGGAGGGGAGGTTGTTTATTGGGCTGGATGGCCAAAGCCTAACACCTACATTGGACGAATAACTGAGCCTTTTGACTATTTCCTTCCAAATTGGAAGCCAATGCTTTGACATTGAAGTACACAGAAAGAAATATGTGAAGAAATAAGATGGTTTATGAAAGTTGCAATGGAGAACTGGACGTAGTTGCTAAAAATAAGAAAAATTTCTACCATAAATTTTATATGTTGTTATTTTTTGTATAGCCATAGAGGATGAATATAGAAAGTTAGGTAATTATTTATATGTGTGGTAGACCTTAAACTGTGCATGTAATAGACTAGATGCGAGTAGAAATAATCTTGATTTACGTCATTAACTATTCAAAATTCATTTGACATATTTTAATTTGCATATCTATTAGATTCAAGTACATAAGGGTGATATGACAATTGAACCACTAAAACTGATGAATATATAAGTTAAATGGAACTTTTTACTATACCCGCCATGCTATCTGACCTGAATGAGCCACCTGGTGGTGAAACTGGTATCTACCTACTCGCATCTGAGTTATTGTTTTCCATTGAAATAATCCATTTATCCATATGCATATCTACAATGTTTATTTATCTATAAATTTTAAAAATTCTTCAAGATTAGCCCAATGACACATATATATAGTGTCACCTTAAAGGGATATTCCCTGCCACACCATCTCTCCTAATATGGTAGCTATAACCATATACCTTCTGTAAAGAAAAAAGGTGCATGGTCCTTTATCAGTCATAACATTTTCAAAATGTTGTATGATATTACTAAACTCTTGGAGACACATGGCGTAATTATTGTGAATAACTGGTTGACATTAAAAAAAATTATATGAAAATTTAGAAAAGTTAGCAATGGTTAAAAACATTGTCTCACAAACTCACTATTGTGACTTTTTCCTTTAAATTACGTCATAAATTACAAATTGCTATTTTACAGTGCATTTACTTTTTCTTTTAAGCCTAGGATATCATTTTTTAGGATATCATTCATATCATATCATCCACAAAATGTGGAATGTGCAAAAATGGATGTGAGAATATGATTTTTTAGCACAATAAAAGATATAAATACTCCTCTATAGACAAAATATTGACAAAACACAATTAACTGAACAAATTAATAGTTGTCAAATTGATTGATTGATTATTGGGTGATTGATTGATTGATCGGTTTGTTGAAATTTGATATGATAGCTATAATCGTATACATACTTTTGATATTTATCAAAACACAGTAAAATGTTTTAATATAGTCAATATCGATCATTTAAAAACTAGCCATTCTAATGGCACATGGTCATCTAGCCCAATAGCAGTGCAAGTCAATTAAGGAACATTTCCTTAAAATAGCTAGTTAGTTAGTTTTAATTTTACTAAAGGGAGATATAATATATTTGAGTGATGACACAAAACAAGGTAAATGAACCAGCTTAACTAACATTCATGCAAAAATATAATAATGCAAAAAATATATTAATGGTGAAGTGGATTAGAATCATTGATCAATACACTCTGTATTCCTGAGGGGGTATTTGTGATTTATGGGGCGTGACTCAAGTAATTCTACATTCTACCACTGAAAAGTAATAAAAATTATATTCTTAAAAATAACATAATGTGTGTATAATTATCCCACCGAACGAAGTTCGAGGGGGATATAGAGAAGCCGTCCGTCCGTCCGTCCGTTCGTCCGTCCGTTCTTCCGTCCGTTCGTCCGTCCGTTCGTGTGTCCGGGCAATAACTCAAATACCGGTTGACGGATTTCATTCAAATTTTATGGGCTTATGCCTTATAGGTGTAGGACCTCTGCTCGAGAAGGAATTTTCAATATGGCCGCTTAATTCAAAATGGCGTCCATTTTTCGGAAAAAATGTAATCTTTAATAACTCAAATACTAGTTGATGGATTTGGTTCAAATTTTATATGCTGTTGCCTTGGTACAAAGGAGCCTTGCTCAAGAAGACATTTTCAAGATGGCCACCAAATTTCAAAATGGCGGCCATTTTTCGTAAAAAAACGTTATCTTTGATAACTCAAAAGCCATTGAATGGATTTGGTTCAAATTTTAGATGCTGATGCCTAGGGACATAGGAGCTCTGCTCAAGAAAGGATTTTCAAGATGGCAGCTAAATTTCAAAATGGCGGCCATTTTTCATAAAAAAACATTATCTTTGATAATTCAATTACCATTGAATGGATTTGGTTCAAATTTTACATGATGATGCCTAGGGACATAGGAGCTCTGCTCGAGAAGGGATTTTCAAGGTGGTAGCTAAATTTCAAAATGGCCGCCATTTTTCATAAAAGAACGTAACCTTTGATAACTCAAATACCAGTTGACGGATTTGGTTCAAATTCTATATGCTGATGCCTAGAGACAAAGAAGATCTGCTCAAAAATAAATTTTTAAGATGACCACTGAATTTCAAAATGGCCGCCATTTTTTGTAAAAAAACGTAATTAATGATAAATCAAATACTAGTGGATGGATTTGGTTCCAATTTTATATGCTGATGTTTAGGGAAAAAGGAAATCTGCTTCAGAAGAAATTTCAAAGGCGATAGCTGAATTTCAAAATGGCTGCCGTTTTTCATTAAAAAGGTAATCTTTGATAACCCAGATACCATTGGACGGACATTCTCTGCTAAAGAAGAAATCTAAAGATGACAGCTGAATTTCAAAATGGCAACCATAAAGTCATACTCTTTGATAATTCAAATACCACTGGATGTATTTGGCTCAATTTTTTTATCAAAACATGTTTTGTTCGGTGGGATTTGCTACTCCGTGGAGTTGCTGTTTTTCTAGTTATTAGAGATTTCCCTTTAATATTAATGAAAATAATCAGTAAGGCCAAGATTCTTGAGAAATTGAGATAATCAGATAAAATGAACTTACTATTTAATTAATTGAGCCTCTATGAGCGGAACACTTTAATTTAAAAATTTATTTATTTAAAAGTGAGCAGTGTACCTCTTACACAATAGGTCCCGGATTCGATCCCCGGTTCAGGTAATTTGCTTGTTTGCATAAAGTACTTCAGGCTGTTTGACTGAGTGGTCCACAACTCATACAACGAAAGTCCATATATGGGATATACCCAAGAGGTATTGCTTACCTTCATTGGTGGTAAACATAAAAAATACAATAAAAAAGAGACTCATAATCAAAATTCTAATATGTAAGAGTTCTTATTCCATACTTAGTAGTGTTATAGGTAGATAACATGCAGGAATATAATTGATATCTGAAGTGAGCTGATGATATATATATCACCCACTGATATCACCCGCTTATCAGATCTATGACGTCACAAATTCAGAGAGTAGATACTGAGCCAGGGGACTTGACTATAAACCCTCATAATCTACTAAGTAAAGAATAAATCAGTTATTAAATGCTCGATTTTTGATACAGGGTATATCCCTCGGTAAATACGATATATATCAACCGTCGGTCTCTACTCATATCGATATATTGTATTTCCCTAAGATAAACCCTGTATCAAAAACCTCCCATTAAATAACCTCTATGTATTCACTAGACTACATAAGTCTATCCTTCAAACTACTACACAAGTAACCATGTTTAAGTCACACATTACAGTGCAATTGCGAAATGCAAGATTTATTAAACTAATAAATTATTAAGGGATGATACCTGGTACATTAACCAGCTTTGCTACAGTGCTCTATAATTGCAAAACTAAAGACTCACTCTCGAAAAGGATGATATGCTTGGTTAAATCCAGTTTAGATAATGGTAAATAAATTGAATTACTTAAGTAATTGCCTCAAACAAAAATTGTATAATTGTGTTATGTTAATTTTCTAATAAACTTTTTTATTTTGTACTCTGATTACAGTCTGTGTACAGTATACATACATGTATCTAACCATAATTGTATATGCATATTGTGTACATATTTTAGAGAGGGGCCTTACATGTTCTTACATATAAATGTAGTTATTATGTCACCACCAAAATCGATGACATATTGTTATGGTCTTCGTTTTTTTAATGGCGGGTGGTGTCTATAACAAATTCTTACAACTTCCCATTGCATAAAAAATACTGTTCTGACTGACTTCAGTTTTTTTGCAAAATCATCTACAAGTTCTCAGAAGTTCAATTCTGACTTTAGATTTGAGATTTGACCTTAAATGACCTTCTCAAGGTCAAAAGAGGTAAAACAGGTTGGATGGCGGGAAGTTCAAATCTGACTTGAGATTGAAATCATAATATTGTGAGGAATAAGATGGTGACATTTTGTCATGTTAATGCTTTGTTTATTCATATGTTTTTATAGCATCTCAGCAAAGCAAGAAAGAAAGCCAGCAAAGTATTCAGAGAGTGCCCGCCAATGTGCGCGTAGATGATGTCACTGCACAGAAGAGAGTTGCCAAAAACTTAGAGAAGCAACAAATTCCACAAAGAGCAAGTGTTCAGAGGAAAGTGCGACATTTCAACCATCTTCATCAGTATGAAAGACAAGTGTCTTTAACACAGAGCATCTCGTAAGTTTACAGTTTAAACTATTCAACATTATCACACTTTTAATTTCATATTTTGTATTCCATGGTGATGATATTTTGAATATTTTGTGAGGTAATCGCGTGTTGTTGGCCAAGATGACATAGTAGTAATTTAATAGCCCCGAAATCGTGTTTTCTCAAAATTTGCGAAATTAAAACTCGCGAAATTAACTGGGAGTAGAGTATACATAAAGGCACAGAGGATACATGTCATCTGCAGGAACATTTTCAATCTGTTCCCTCATCTCCCTTAATTAATCACTCCTTATATGTTTTGCATATATTTCAGACTTGGGAGTAGCAACAATAAAGTTCATCCTGCTGTGTTGAAGTTAGGCCTACAGTATGCAGAGGGAGTGGTGTGTGGCTCCAATGCCAGGTGTATCGCACTCCTTGCTGCACTCAAACAGGTAGAACTCAGTGTAGAAATATAGTTCTTTGGAAATTTCATTTTTCTGATATATTCGGTCATTGGTCATTCCTCGATATTTCTTGAACTCTGTGAAGAGGGGTGGGCGCTTATTAGGGATGGGCCCTTAATATGGCGATTACAGTAATTACACAGAAATAGCATGTAACCAATAGTACACTGGACTGGATTTACATTAGATAGGTTTATTTCTGAAAATTGAAGTGTTCATTGTCAAGCTTTCTTTGATATTTTTTATTTGATGTTTTAGATATTGCAAAAACATGGACAGCTTTTTAGCCCACCCTGTATAATTTGTTTATTTCATTTTTTGATTAAAATAATCAGTTCACATATTTTCTTCACAGGTGATTGCAGATTACAGTACCCCACCTCAGAAAGAACTGGCCAGAGATCTAGATGCTAGAATCAAACCGTGCATCAGGTAATACAAGTCATATTAAATATATACACACTGACAAGCAAGATTTTCATTTGGTTGCTATGATAAATTGACTTATTCTCTATTTTTCATGTAGAAATATGTAATTTTTTCAAAATAATTGTAGAATTTTATTCTTTTTATATTATTTCGTATCTGTAATAAATGTAATATTTACAGCTTCCTTATACAGTGCCGCCCTCTATCTGTGAGTATGGGAAATGCTATCAAACATCTGAAGTGGCACATCACCCACACACCTACTGATATGTCTGATACTAAGGTACGTCAACACCAGCTCTCTGGCATATTCAACATACAATAATGATCAAAAGCTAGTTGGCTCAGACATGTCAGAGATCATTAAACTTACAAGATCACTTTGATATCTTTACAAACCTTGTATTGTGAAAAACCTTGAGGATTTTATTCACTTGTAAGCAGGGCACGCCTTAAGCGTCGGACTGTCGGACTTGTCCGGTAGAATATTGATGGGACCGGTTAAAAATTAAAAACTGTCGGACATACTGACCGATACATACTCGTCAACTGGAAATACGGCCTGGATATTTTGTCCGATACCTTGACACGACCCCTAAACTTAGCTGGGAGTGTGGCTGTTCATTCATCTTTACACGCCCCTTATATTTAATTTAATATTAATTAATGGAGCCTACGTTTGTTAATTGTTCGACGATGATCCACGGGGGTCAGTGTCATTAATAGATCAGCCCTTACGTCACTGCATACATAATTAATCAACTCTTACGTCAGTGCATGCATAATTAATCAGTATCACGTGAATATACGAATATATCCAAATATAGGTAACGGAAAGTAGCGAATGCTAATTTTACCCAGGAACTATTTCTATTTCCGGTCAAGTTCGATGCATTTGCAAAATCTGCAGGTTGAATCATTCCGGCCAAACTTGGCGCCAAGCGGGGTTCTGAAGGTATGCAGAATAGCTAGAAAGATTACACAGTAATCCTAGATCATCTAGAACTATAATTTATGTCCCTTTTAAGCCATAAATTGCCGCAAAATGATAATTTCCAGTTCAATTTTTAAAAATGGCGGTTGAAAAAGTTTCGTAATGAGTGCTTAGGTTATAAGTTCATCACTCATTATATATCCATGCGCCATGATGACTATGAATGAGTTTTACTACGATCAAATAATTTTTACTACGATGTGATGTTTTTGTTTTTTCTGATTTATTTTCATTGACCAGCTAAATCTCTCAATGACCAGCAGGTTTTGGAGTGGTGCTGGTCATTGTGACCAGCTGATTCTACAATTGACCACCTCGAATTTTAATACTGCTGGTCATGCTGACCAGCAGGGAAATTTGGCTTAAGGCGTGCCCTGCTTGTAAGTTGCTGTTCAAACATACAAATATACCGATCAAAAAAAGAAAGGACCAGTCTTTTTCCTCTTAACTTTTTTGAGCGGTATATTACTTCCATATCATATCATTCTTTGTCATGTCTATTTTCTAAAAGAAATCCTCAGAGTGCATACTTTATTTCACGAAAACTAAAAATTTTTACAATAATGTATCATGTTTTAAGTCACCACCACAAGTGGCATACATAAATTTTACTAAAAATGTGAAAATAATGTCCGATTGTAGCATTTTAATATCCAGTTTATCTTGCCTTCATCTATGTTCATACCATAGCTGCACCCATGGCCTTTGTCAATGTTTTAATACCTACATTTATACAACAAATAAACCATATTTCATTGATACTCACAAATTCAATGAATAGTCCATTATATCCTTCAAATATGTTCCAGGCTAAAAATAACCTCTATGAAGTTATTGATAGTTTTATCCAAGAGAAGGTGCTACTGGCAGGTAAAGCTATCTCTCAGACCTACGCTAGAGACAAGATTAACAACAATGATGTGATCGTGGTGTATGCATGGTAAGTACTTTAACGTCAACATTGAAGTATGAAAAATTGAATATGAAAAAGCTCATAGTATGAAAGTGTCAATGTCTTGAAAGATTTGCAGAACATGATCTTTGAAAACCTTGACATTGATCGAAGGGTGACATTTGATGTTTATATATGCCAAGATCCCTAGATCATTTTCAACTGCACTTGTTGTAATATTATATCTAGTGACCATGTTGTCAGTTGGTGTAAGTATGTGATAGCTACCATGCAAATAATCTATTATTCAAAGCAACAGGCTCTTGCACCCGGGCTCCAGCATAGCCTATTGGTATTCTGAATGATTGCCCTCTTGGGTTATTACATTAAACCATTAGTATAATTAGGTCAAAAGTTGGGTTGGCTTTGACAGTTTCAAACTGCCAACTGAAACAGTAGGAGGCAGTAAAACCTTTTCAATATTAATCAGATAACTATTAAATCAACTGGCAACTCTATCTAATTGTTTCAGTTAACTATTAAATCAACTGGCAACTCTATCTAATTGTTTCAGCTCATCTCTTATCAGAAGGGTGTTATGTGATGCTCATGATGAGGGAAAGACATTTAGGGTTATTGTAGTGGATGGAAGACCAAAACTAGAAGGTACAGTGCACATATTTAACCGTCCCCTTGTTTTGTGGTTGTCAAGGAAAATGGTGTTTCAAAAGTGGAATTAATTTAACTGGGAGTGCAGTATATCATGTTTGTATATACAGCCCATTTCATTGTTTTATTTCATCAGTAAAACCTAAAAAAATAAAAAATAAAAGATCATTGTGCAATAATATATGGAAAAATATATTCCTATTGTACATAAATGGGGTTCTACTGACGAAATAAAACAGTGAAATGAGCTGTAGTCAATACAAAAATGTCAGATGATTTTGAAGTGTAAGTTTTGTATGTAGTAGTATTTTTCCTGTAAGTTCATGATTGCCTATGTAGAGTAATCCGCATTTCTCCTTCTCCTGTACAATCATCATAAAGTTCTTATCGTCAGTACATGTACATGCACTATGTATAATAAAGCTACGTTCACACCAATGGCGCTTTGATGGCGTTTTAAAGCGGCTTGTAAAGCGGCACCAAAACGTAACAAAGCTTGATTAAAGCGTCGGGGTCGTAGAAAAGCTCGGAGTAAATCGGGATATTCGGCAAGAGCGCTAAAAAATTTAAACTGTTTAAGCGTTCGCACCAACGGCGCTTTAAAGTGGCTTGTAAAGCGGCACCAACGCGTAACAAAGCTTGATTAAAGCGTCGGAGTCGTAATAGGTCGTAGAAAAGTTCGGAGTAAAGCGGAATATTCGGCAAGAGCGCCAAAAAATTTTGAACTGTTTAAAAATTTTGAGCGCTCTGTTACGAATTGATGAAATCGCCGAGAGCGTATCAAAGCTTAACAAACCGTAACAAAACTCAGCAAAGCTTGACCCAAAGCGTAGGAAAGCTTAACAGAGCTTGGTTCAAAGCGGGGACCCCAGTCTCTTCACGGTCTGTTACTACTTTACACGCTTCGTTAAGATGTCTCAAGATTTTTTACGATCTGGCATGAAGATCTGACACGAGGTCAGACGCTTTCATCAATATCTGACACTCTTTGTTACGCTTTCATGAAGGACTCTCAAGCTTTCCAACAAATTGAGACGCTTTAATTAAGAATTGAAACGCTTTGTTAGGCTTTGTTACGCTTGACAAGCTTCCTCATGCTCCCTCACGCTCTTTCACACCGTGCGTCAAACATCATGTCTTATTCAGATAGGTCATGCTCTGGTCCATCTGGAATTTCTGGATCTTGTTGTTCATCGTGTTCTCAAGTCAAAGATGCAATGGTTTTATGGATCTACTGCATCTTTATATAGTCATTGGATCAAAAGCGCCATGAAATCGGCGATCTCTACATTTTCCAATGCGTGACAGAGCTTAACAGAACGTAACAATGCACAACAGAGCTTGGCAATCGTATCAGAGCGTAATAATGCTTATCAAAGCTTATTAAAGCGTGATTTCAAGCGTAACAACGTCTGATCAAAGCGTGAGGAACCTATCAGAGCTATGTTAAGCTTTCCTACGCTTTGGGTCAAGCTTTTCTGAGATTTGTTAAGCTTTGATACGCTCTCGGCGCTTTAATCAATTCGTAACAGAGCGCTCAAAATTTTTAAACAGTTTAAAATTTTTTGGCGCTCTTGCCGAATAGCCCGCTTTACTTCGAGCTTTTCTAAGACCTATTACGACCCCGCCGCTTTAATCAAGCTTTGTTACGCTTTGGTGCCGCTTTACAAGCCGCTTTAAAGCGCCATCAAAGCGCCGTTGGTATGTACAAAAATTACAAAAATGATGGCGCTTTGTTCGCCGATTTAAAGCGTGGCATTCACCGTTGGTGTGAACATAGCTTAACAGATTGGTAATCTGATTTCTAGTTCTGTTCATATGTTTGTGAAATCAGACACTATATTTTGTTTATTTCAGGCAGAGAAATGCTGCGCAGACTTGTGAAACATGGTATCAGGTGTAGCTATGTGTTGATAAATGCTGCTTCATATGTGATGAGAGAGGTTAGATTCTAGGGGACTGCAATACAATTTTCTCCTTTGGCCAGTGCAGTATTGAGTTATTTGTCCTGAGGCTATTTCATATAAGAGGCTAGCTTGACATTGGCTTATGATTTGATATATGGCATGTTTTTGATGATTAAAAAAATATAATCTATTGAAATTCTACAAGGGGCCATTTTCCTTTTGAATTTTGTTTTGAAAAACCTTGGATTTTTCAAGAGATTCATTTAATAAGTCAATAACAAGTAACTGTTTTTTTATTAATTCAAGGCAACAAAGGTTTTTCTAGGAGCTCATGCTCTGTTGGCAAATGGTTATGTGATGTCCCGTGTAGGAAGTTCCCAGGTGGCGCTACTTGCCAAGGCTTGCAATGTACCAGTCCTCGTGTGCTGTGAAACCTACAAGTTCTGTGAGAGGGTGCAAACGGATTCATTTGTATTTAATGAATTAGGTAAGCCTTGAGAAATGCTGTTTTTTAATCATTCTGCTTAGTGTTTATAATTATCGTGTACTATGATGTTATTTTGCTTAGTTTTTCTATCACATAAAATGATATCACATGCAATAGTATATGTATTGTATAAAAGGTATTCGACAGTTGAGAGAACAGGTGACACAAAAATGTGAACCTCTAATTTAAGAGAAATTTAGTCAATAACAATAATGATTGAATCTTCATGAATATTCTTTTGTTGAAAATTCTTTTTTCGAGATATTGAAATTTGACAGATTTCTAAACTTGCATAGTGATTTGGCATGAAAGCATGCATTGACAGAAAATGTAATTTTTTTTATACATTTGAAAATTGTAGATGTTATGTAAGTACTCCATTGTTTCCTACAATGAACACTTTATCTGCACATGAACATTCATGAAGGTTCCATGAAAATTGGGAGATTTATTACAGAAATAGTGTTGCATTATTGTTCCTTTCATGTCAGAGATGATTTATAATGTTCTTGATATTGAACTACATTGTGATTTTTCTCATTTTTTCAGCTGATCCTGATGACCTTGTAAATATTGACCAATCTCACACATACCTCACTAACTGGAAGGACAATACGCATCTCAATCTTTTAAATCTTGTCTATGATGTCACACCATCTGAACTTGTTACTATGGTGATAACAGAGATCGGGATGATTCCATGTACTTCAGTGCCAGTTGTTCTCAGAGTAAAGCAAGTGGAGACAGTATCTTAAAATTAGGAATATTTTTTTTGAGATAATCATGATTATTGTTGATGATGATTTGCATTACAATAGTGATTTCAGACGTCAAATAAAAATTGAAATAAACAGTTATACTATGTATGATTTTCATGAATATTATCTGCTCAGGTATAAGCATGATATGATATATCATGGGTATTCAATAGAAAGCCCATGGATTGGATATATCTTCAATGTTCAAATGAAAAAGTTGAATTTGTCAAAGTGGAGCCATTAGGGCTGTACTGTGATGTTTCAAATAATTTAACTTGTATTTCATAGGCCATGTACATGAACTGTATAACATGAATGCTCTTTGGATTAGTTACATTGTTGTATTTATTAGCATGGTATTGAAATCAGATCCAGGTCCATACGGAACGGATCCAGGGATGTTGATAAATAAAATATTCCACAGTCACATTGCACCTTCCCAGTGCCAGTTGAGGGGCTTGGTGTCTCCTAAAAAGTGAATGAACATCAGCTATTTCAACTCTTGAATCTGCAAATATATGTGTTTCAAAATAGATTTTGCTGTGAAGGGGCTGGGTATTGTTTTTTATTATGCGCCTCATTAAAATACTCAAATCTGATTGGTTAAGAGCTGCAGGGTCTATTGCCATACAAGGCAGCAAGATCTCGTTCTATCCAGTATTGAAGCAACGAGATCTCCAACCATCCCGTATGCCATAATACCTATCCTCGAAAAAAAAAACTTGGCTCGGCTTCTGTTTTAGTAGACCCAATCTTTAAAATAAAGCATTTCTCAAGGGAGGTGCATAATAAAATAAATTTGTTTATTATCACCATGTATACCAAAACATGGTTTTCACCTTATATGCACAACTTTCACACAATAATCTTGATTCTGATAGCATAGATGTCAATGGTAATGCCATTAAAGGTGTTCTCATTATAAAATGGTCAGTAACAGGCAGGACAGCATTTTGTAGTTTATGCAACACATGGCTATGCCCAACTTGCATGTTTAAATTGTATGAGGAGAATAAATATTAAATGAGAAAAAGCATAAACTAGTTATATTACATTTATTGAATCAGATGATAATAATGCTATACAGTGAGACACAAGAAAGCAAACCTGGTGATATTCTGATAGTATTTTATTGACCAGATGGTGAGCCTCTGAAATTGCCCACGTTGTCCATGAACAATTCTCAGTTTTCACCAAAGGTTCCAGCTTTTACTTTTGCCTTGTTTCATTTTGAAGAGATCAGCCATCAAAATATTCCAGTTTTGACAAAGAATGAGTCTTATCACATGTATCATTTAAGTGTTCAAATTAGATGACATATGTTCTGCTGCAATTGATGTTTTAATAGTTTGGCTAGAATACGAGTCCTCACTTGGTTTTCAAAGCTTTTGGTTACCTATATTAAGAAGATAGTGAAGCCATCCTTATGTAGCAACTCAAATACCAGTGGACAGATTTACTTCATATTTGAGAGAAAGATGCATGATGAAAAATTATATAATGGAAATTTTCCAAAATGGCCACCGCTTCAAGAATTATGGGCATTATTGTATGCATTTTTGATAGCATATATTCTTTTCAACATATATTCCATTTTTTTTCGACCTGACCCCAAGGGGGCGAGAATGAATTCTTGAGACAACGGGAATTTCTGTTAATTTTAAGACCTCTGAAGTAAAGGTTTATTATTCTCAAATGAAAGGGAATTAGAAGTTTTCATATGTAACATTTTTCAGATTCAGGCTTTGTAAAATCCAAAATGGCATGGGATTTCATAATCATTTGCAGAATTATAGCAGAATCATTTATTACAGTATTATGTCACCTTCATTGTGAGTACATAAATATAAAATAACAAAAATAGAAAAACATAATAGGTTGTGTTGATTGTTGATCTTAAAATAGTATATTTATTTTGTTATTAGTTCATAATGGATACTTTGAGTACCCTTAATAAATCAAGTTATACGCAGAACACAATTCAGTCCCAAAATACAAATGAGCCTTTGACATCACCCGATGCAAATGGTCAGAATTATGGCAATTTTACTATATGCAAACAGTTACAAATTATGAGATGTGACCAGCTCTAATGATCATATATAATCAATGTATGAAATGAGAGACTCTGTTATGTGTATTTTACCCTGGTGTTTTCAAATCTCAATGAATTAACTTTACTACTACCCAGAATTTGTATTCATTTCGTTACATAATGTTCCACTGTATATGATCATATATACTCAGCTGTAGCCTGAATACTTTACTGTAGACCTTTTATATGTTATTATAACCAGTGAATACTGTAGAACATGTTAATTTCACTGAATGCTCCATTGATGAGTATGGTAACAACTTTCAAGATTTCATGTTTTACAGTATTCATATCAGTTAATACTAATTCACAATGAAGGCACCAATGCCTACCAACCTTTCTCATCCAAATAAACATCATTTTTTTAAAATCATGATTTTGAAATAAATATTATCCTAAGCAATATCCTAACCTGTATTTGAATGTTCATCATTAAGTTCTTTAAAATTTAAATTCAAACAATTCCTTTGTCTCTGAAATTATTTCAACTTCAAAGAAAAAGAAATTGTATATACATTATACATGTACATATTTATTGCTATTGAACCTCATCCAAGGGGCGTGGGCTTTTGTTAAGAATTGTGGAGATGGCTTTATTTCATTGGTACATCATATTTCCTATTGAGTTTGTCATCAAAGATCTGAAAAAACAGCAATAGTCAACCTCAAAACAAACATTAATTAACATTAGATTTATCATACAGATATGTATCTAGTATTTGTATTACATGTACTTCCAAAATCTCTGAATATTTCTCCTTATGCATATTTAACAATATCTTACAAGGCACTGTGTGAGGGCTAAGGTTGATAACAAGGGAAGTGAGGAATAAGGAAGAGTAAAATGATGTGGTACACAGAAATCATAGAAAATCGTTTTGGTTTTATGAATTGCAATGAATTGGGCAGATAATAAAGATCTAGAAATGAAAATGGTAGCATTTTTCAACAATGGATCCATTTACACGTGATTTTTACTCCACACCACAGAACTATTAGGAGATCATTCAAAACACACATGTACAGTCAGTTAACATTTTGAATAGTTTCACACAAAATATCAAATATTTCAACTTTATTGCACTTATTAGCCACAAATATTAATTTCATGATTCGTTCAGTCAAATACAGAGAATAAGGAAATTTACAATGCAAAGGCAGTTATATTCAATTTCAGGCAATACCTGAGCATTGTTGAAAAGCAGTATCACATTAATATTTTGAAACGACTGCCAGGAATTGACAATTTCAAACTTTCATTATGGGAGATCCGTCGAACTTCGACGAATGGGGTTACTTCGTCATGGGGCTACTTCAACCATGGGGCCTGTTGGAGATTTCAATTTATTTTTTAAAATTTTCAAAAACAGACATGGCGGACTTCGTGAATGGAAAATATAAGCCAATGTCGAAATAGCCCCATGACGAAGTATGTTGAAGTTCGACGGATCTCCCCTAGCTTGTGGTATTCAAACAGAATGCAGGTAAAACTGATAAAAGAGATTCTAAAAGTCCATAGAAAAGTTGTTTTATTATATAAATCAAAAATTATTGAAATCACAAATTCCTGTCTACAATTTTGGAAGAAGTGGTGTCTGAGCTGTCAATATATACTGCAGTAGTACACAGTAGTGATCTCATCAAAACAGAATTTGAAAATCACTTTGCATGACCCCCTTCCTCTGCTCCCCATTTGGCAACAAAAATAACTTTAGGAATGGTGTCTAAATATTAACAGTTGTGGAAAAATTAAGTTACATATATGCAATATTGTTAGGGGAAGGGGAGTAAATGATAATATCTCAAAAGCAATGAATTGGAATGACCTGGAAAAGTGTTTGAACCAACATTCAGACTTTTATTTTTGGGGTCAAGGAGGGAGCTATATCGTGGCTTAACACCATGACAACTAAATTAACTCCATTTTTCTACAACTGCTTATATTTGGACACCATACTTTACCAAAGGTGCACTCCGAGAATCTGATGTTAAAGTTAATAGGAAGGTTATCCACAGCAGATGTTTTGAAGGATTTACTTAAATTAGAACTTCAGGTTAAATGGCCAGTGGAAAGGTGAAAATGTGTCTTTAGTACTGACAGTAAATGTTTTATATTTGCATAAAAGAACTATTAAGATAATACAATAGGGAAAATATGTGATAACAGAAAAGAATCAGACGGGAAAATATTTTTTCCAGAGTTATAAATATTTATCTGTTAAGGACGAGACAAATCTTTGTAATTTCCACTGACTGATTTAAGCCTCATAAAACCTATTTCCATTTAGCTTAACTATTCTATTCTTATCCTATTTGTACATTAGTAGCAATCTAGGGGGATTACAAAAATATAACTCTATCCTTACGAGAGGTTGCTTTTGATTTTCCAAATGCAGCTTGTATACATGCAAACACTAGATTAGGTTTTTGGGCAGCGTCCACATATGTATGTATTCCTCTTTTACTGTAGTAATCTACTAAAGGTTTAGTTTGGCTGTGATAAGAAGCTAGCCTCTTTTTCAAAGCTTCTGCATTGTCATCTGACCTGCGGATGAGTGGCTCTTTTGTGATCTGCAAGTCAAAACACCACATTAAATGTACGATAAAATAAATAGTAATTCACATTTTTTACAAATATTCAACTTCTCAAAATTAATGGAAGACAAATCCTTGATTATTATTTGGTGTAGAATAAAAATATAACACTGACATACTGAAGTTTGGGAGATTTAATTTCCCATCAAAACTGACACTTTTGTTTACCTAGTTTACCTCTTGAGTTATTTTCACTAGTCAGTGCTCTCCTCAGGATTTTTTTCTGAAGTGGGTGCAAAATTCCTAATTTCACAATTTAGACCAAATTTGGTCAAAATATGCCTATTTTCATGATTTTTCTCATTTTCAAGTGGATGCAAATGGATTCTCAGGTGGGTGCAAGCCTGTTTTAAAAATCTCAAGTTGGTGCAGTGCCCACTTGCTTTAATGCTGGGGAGATTACTGCTAGTAATTGCTAGAGAACTATAGCTCAACAAAAAAATGGACTCACATCATCCTTCATGGGAACCTTTGGTGGGTAGAACTCTTCATGGTAGGATCGTCCACTAGCAACATGAATCAGTCGTCCTGTTATCCTACGCACTAAGAGATTGTCATCAATTCCAAACTCAATAACAGAGTCCAGTTTTTGCTTCCGTTGATCAAGAAGCTCATCAAGCTAAAAAGGCAAGGGCTCATATTGTACTTAAAAAGTTGGGAAACCAAGTATCATTGTTAGGTATCATATCATTTAGAATCATTCAATTCTTCAAAAGTGCAAATGGTTATCAGTACACAGTAGTTTGCCTTGTATATTAGTAATATATAAGTGACATTATTGGAAAGATTTAAAAAAATATTGCTTCATATCAAAGATTTCTCATGATTACCAGGAAATCAAGTGATGCTACAACAATGAAATGATGTCATTAGCTGGGTGCCGTTTCTCTTCTCATTTGAACCCATCAAGCTTCAATTACGTTCTTACCCGAGATTCATAAAAATGTACCTTTTCTGCTTGAACTACAGTGCGTGGGAAGCCATCAAGGAGGAATCCTTTTGAACACTCAGGTTTGTCAAGATTCTGGTTGATAAGTTCAACTACAAGGTGATCCCCTACTAGCTGACCAGCGTCCATGACACCTTTGATTTTGCTTCCTAGTTCAGACCCTGATGCAACCACTGCACGAAGCATATCACCTGCAACGACAAATACACTAGCACTGAAATGAGGGGTTTTGTTAGGCAACAGGGAATTTGGACATTCTCTGGTTGTTTTTAAAATTTTGAAAATTCCTTGTGGAATCATAATTTCCTATAATTATTATTTTATCTTAGAAAGATCAGTTAACCTTTGATTTGGAAAACAAGGAATTATGGGATTATTCACCTTTCCCCAAAGTCAGCTCATGAATATTATAATTAGCAAATCTGAAATCTCTGACGTCAGAGTAGGGCAGATTTTCGCGGGAAAATCTAAACACATTAGGAGTCAATGTGAATCGTGACGGAAACGGGTTACTTTTATTGTCAAATTATGTTGAATAGTAATAATATTTATGATAAATGTCATGGAATTGAATTAATTATACTCACGTCTATATTCCCTCTTCTTTATATTGTTCTGGGAAATCAAATAAATAGAGAAATATTAATGTGAAGAGTCCAATGTTTCCTGTACATTTTCAAATTACGCCGACTGTACAAAACCCCATGTTTAGTTCTTGACTGTCAAAATGTCAACATCTCATGGTTATCTTAAGTTCGTGTAATATTTTCTCATGGGGTGAAGAAGGGGATACGGCTTAACCTTGAAGAAAAAGTATTCGACTCTCAAATCTGGGCCAACGGTGCGTTATTATCGCTTACGTTCAGCCAGCTATTGTACCGCATGACAATGTTACTTTTATGTCTGCCAAAGAATTTGACAATGGTTACATGAGTGATGACTAATTTCACTGAACAATGTTAAAGTCGTTCATGTATGCTTTGAGACAATGTACCAGAGTTGCTTGTTTTACCCACGATCGTCTATTTCAAGAGATTTATCTCTTGAAAAGCCCATGGGCGTTCACTATTAGGATATTTTTTGACGTAGACCTACAAGAGAGAAACTCCGGCAATTCAAGCCCGTAGTCAGGATTTACTTTGGGGAGCGGTTTTACTAAGGGGTAACTTTTTGACTACGGGCCTGTAATTAAGCTTTGAATTGCAATTAAAATGCAAACTACTACAGTATGATGAATATTAGTTACTTCAATATATAATTTGACCATGAGCAATCGCAAATTATTGGGTCAACCCGATGAGAAAAATGCAAGTGGACTCTGACATTTAAAACTGTTCCTCATATACTTTTTATTAGAAACATAATGAACTATTTAATTGAATAATCATGATAAATGTATATTATTGTTTGAATGATTGTCAATCTGGTTTGCGTAGTTGGATTCACTTTGTTCAAAGATGAGCACTCGTATCACAATTATTTCTATGGTTTGATTTACCGGATGGTGTATTTAAGACACAGCTTAAGACAAAATAGTCAGAAAAATATATTTCACTTAGTTTTGTTATCATTTTATAATGAGATCTATTTCACTCAATCGGCGATCTAATACTAATTGAAGTTTTGGCGCGAAATGTGCCCTGCTTTGACGTCATTGATTTTCATCGTCCAATCAGCGCAGCGGTCAAATGAGTACACTTTGGACTTTGGGGAAAGGTGAATAGCATTCCTTGTAAATGCATATTTTCTAAAAATCCCCACAATTCATACTTTATTGCAGGAAAATTTACACATTTTAAATTGATGTGCTCATTTTTCTTTAAATGTAAATTGAAAATATCAACATTCTGTACATACTTTGGCAAATTACACTTTTTTGTACTTTGGATCCCAAATAAGTTCACAATTCGATAAGATATCATGAATGGTAAAGATTACATTTGGTAGGTCAAATTTTATATGTTGCTAGAAATTTTGACATTCCTGGCAGTTTGGGGAACTTGGGCTCACAGCAAAAACCTGGACTTATATACAGGTTTTCAAGACTACAATATTTCTCTCCCCCTTTGAAACGTTGATCTAGAGCTATGTAGAAATGAAGTGCACAACAAGTGAAATAGAGAATTCAACACAAGGGTCAACAGATATTTCAAATGAACATAGATTTTCAAGAGCTTTAACTACAGGGTTAATAGTTTCTAATTTTTATACATGTATGTACTTGAACAGCGTTAATAGAGTAAATTATAATTGCAAAAGTGGGCATTCTGTATCATGAAAGATTGCATCAAGGTTCACTTGAAAGATTCACTGCAATTATAAAGTGGTCAAGATAAATATATATATACGAGGGTTGATCATAAAGTTCTCATAATATCTCTCTAATTTCTTTATTTTCCTATGAAATTTTCACAGAATATGCAGCATGGAATGTTTTATTAATCTAGCAAACAATATTTAGAACAACAGAAACATTAAATAAGAAATGGTTGCCATAGTAACTTGAAATCAAGGCAACCGGGGCAAATAAAAAGACTAGCTAGAAAAGCCCTCATTAACAATGTTTAAATACATAAAAAGTTGTCAAATAAGCTACCAAACACATTAAATTGTCAAATAATATGGGCTCTTTACTGTTGTGAACTATTATAATGGTCATGTGAATTGTGTGATCTCATAATAGATGATTGTTATGCTTCATTAGAAGTGACTGTTAGACCCATGACTGTTTTGTCAAATATCCTGAGGAAAATTGATTTTGCCCCTTTAGTTCATTTTTAACATGTACAGACCACACACAGGTTGTAATTTTGTTGATATCTCAGCAATATATTTGTTTAAGATCATGTTTAGTCTGACCAAAGGATCTTACAAACTTAACATAACATTTTATCAGTATGAATTTTATTTTTCTGAAGATCTCTGCATCTCTTGCATTCTCTTACTCAGTCATTTCTGACAATTAGCTTTGCGTCTTAGACTCTGGTAGCACATCTAATGGAGCATGAAAGCACCCCATTTGACATCACACAATTTACACGATTGATTTATTTAATTCTTAAAGCACTTTACAACATATTCAAGTTAACATTTTAATGTGTTTGGTGATTCATGAGAGTTTATTATGTATGTAAACATGGTTGATTAAGCTCATTCTCTCAATTATTTTTATTTGCCCCGGGTGCCTTGATTTCCCGATACTATGGCAACCATTTCTTATTTAATATTTCTGTTAAACTATATATTTTTGCTGAATTAATAAGACATTCAATGCTGCACATTTTGTGAAAATTTCATTAGAATATATTGAAAAATAAAGAAATTAGCGAGATATTATGAGAACTTTATGATCAACCCTCGTATATACAGTGACCTCACCAGGACTTTCTTTATCAAGTTTTGTCCAAAACATTAATGCAAAGAAATTAGAATAAGACCCAGATGCGAGTAGGTAGTTTCCAGTTTTACCACCAGGTGGCTAATTCGGAGCAGATAACGTGGCAGGGTATTAAAAAGTTATTTAAAACATGAATATTCATCAGTCTTATTGGTTCAATTTTCATATTACCAGTATGTGTCTGATAACTATACAAATTAAAATATGCCCAATAACAGAAAATATCTGTCCAATACAAGGAAAGATGTTTCACTTTTTGTGATTTTAGAACATGGGGTCTATGGGGAATCTCCCTGACCGAAAAGTCACATTTTCAAAGTTGATAAAACACTTTTTAAAACCACATTTTCAGATGTAATTTTAAATGGAGATTTCAGTTTGACTAAATTTGGAATTTTTAATGAGGTAAATCAAGATTATTTCTACTTGCATATCGTCTATTTACATATTTAAAGTATGCATTGGTAACATTACCTACCTGTGCTAAGGTGACAGGCACAGTACTCCTTTGCCAACATAGGGGCCTGAAATACATAAAAAACATGCTTTGGAAAATAAAATGTGTCCTCATGTATTTTGATGACATGCAATTTTCTAACTAGATAACAGCAACGCCAAAGCATAGCAAATCCCATCGAACAGCCATGGCTGCCATTTTTACAAAATCCTTCAACTACTTTTTCAGTTATTTTATAGGTTTTATTGACGCACAATCCGATTGAAATAGACTATTGCAAAGATTCTTGGCTTGAGCCTTGAGTAACCCCAGGCCTATGCTGGGCATCTGAAGGGTAGGACTGGGAGGTGGTGCATTGGTGCCCCTTGTTCATGGTGTGAGACTTGGAGATAGAGAAGTGGAAGCTAATGATAAGGTTAGATGGGGATGCCCTGGCTATGATGATTTCTAATAAGTTTTTTCATTTTTTGTATTTCTAGGAATTTCCCCCCACCTTATGCAGATGGAGCCTGTGGGAAATATTTGGCGCGGCAGAAATGAGTGTTTGTTGCAGAGTCATCAGTCACTTTTGAATTTAAATTTGGGATATTTTTAAAACAAAGCCGTTTTCGGACTTCAAATATACTCATATATGCGTAGTTGACACCAATTAATAAAATTGTAAAAACAATAGTGAAATTCATTCTATGGCGACGCAGTATTATATTAAAAACATCCATTTAACATGCTTTTTGGCACAGACAAGAAAACATATTTCCAAGTTTGTAGAGAGGATCTGGAAACAGTTGAAGTGGTTCAAGTACTCTCACAACACAAAATATCATCAAACGATATTGTTCTTTGTTTATTCTTTGTTTATTATCTGCCACAACAAATATTTAAACGGGGCTCATATGAATTTTTATAAAATCACACAGAAACTGTCTGGCTTTCAAGATGCAAAAATAATGTATGGATAGTCAGTGTCTTCAGTAGGCTTGTCCAAGATTGCATCCCTTGGATGTAATGGTTTTCCGAAAATGTGTTTCCCCTCAAAAAAACTGTGTCCCTTGAAAAAATGTTCCCGGGAATTCAAAGTCACGCTTTTACACTGGATGAAATAAAATTGATGAAATATTGTATTGCTTTTGCTATTTATCGGTCTAAATCAGTGTTCTAGCGAGTCTAGTACATGTATGTCATTGAATGATACAGATACCATCACTTGTGAAGTATAACTTTGATATTTGAAATCCAAAAATGACTGTTGACTCCGCACCAGCTCATTTCTGCCGTACCAAATATTTCCTAGACTCGATCCGTCTGTATAGGGTGAACCAAAGACCTAAAATAATTGTGTGTATAGAATTTCACTGCAATTCCCACAGGGCAGTAAATGGGACAAATGGTATTCGGATGATTGGGTTTCGAATGATTGTGATTCGGACGATTGGGATTCAAACCAATGGGATTCAGAAAATTGGGAGTGATTTGATTTTGGACAAATTGGATTCGGCCGATTGTGATTTAGACGATTATGATTCGGACGATAGAAATTCGCTCCATTGGGATTTAGTCATATAAATCTGACCCTCGTATGATGTTATTTGTTGTTATTTTTCTGATTTGGATATTTATTTTTTCTTATTTTCTTGCATACAAGGGTCATACACACTCCGCGCATCTAAATTGCGGGAAATGCTTTCCTGGCCTGTCTACCCAACCAAATTCACACAAATGATAAATAAATGTCTTTGCTTCAACTATAAAGTATTTAATCTTACCTTAGACACGTAAAACGCTTGGTAATTGAAGACATATAAGCATGCCGCTTGAATTTTAAAATTTTTTCATTTTGCCATGCCAAGGTCACTTCCGGGTTAATCTGAGTCTAGATGTAAAACTATATCAAACGAAATCATAAGTACTTGTTACACGAAGATTCAGTTGAAAGGGAAGCAGTGTCGTTAAGAAGGGAAGTTATTTGGAAAAGTTATTGTTTCAAAATGAGAAAAGTAATAAGTATAAGAGAACGGCTTTGGAATCGATCTCTGTGTAATAAATAATTATGATTCCGTTTCGATACATGTTTTACATTTAGACTACCGGAAACAGCATTCAGCAACATGGCGGGCGATAATGAAAATATAATTCAATTGATCATATTTCGTCAATTATCAAGCGTTTTACATGTCTAAGGTAAGATTTAACACTTTAATGTTGGAACAAAATAATTACTCGATAATTTGTGTGACTTTGGTTAGTATGGTAACTATGGTTACCGAGACAGGCCAGAAAAGCTTACTCGAGTCTCTAGCTTACAGCTAGACGAAACTTCATTGATTTCGTATGTACTGTGCTACACGCACCTACACGCACCTAGAACTCATTTTTAATAAATTTTATAAATATTTTTAAGAATATTAATCATATTTAGGATGAAGCGTTGCTTGTCTGGATTTAGATATTTCAAAATTTCATTTCGGAGTTTTGACACATGGTGAAATTTTCTCGCTGTAGCTAAAAATGGCTTCCGGTTCTGGACGTGAATAACATTTGAAATTATTCTCGCTTAAAGAAATCAAATATAACAATAGATTCAGACGGGGATGTGAGCTGATGTTCTTCAAATCTATACATAAAGGTATATTTCATATTATTATGCCATATTTACTGTGCGTGTGACACAATGATTTACAATATTTATAATACTAAGGCAGCTCAATCTTCCTCCTCAAAGCCGGAATATAGAGAAGGCTTTGGACCGAAGTAAAGAAAAGCGTTTACCGCAATTTGTTCCATATAATATCTACGACGGTGTATGCAAAGAAAATGATAAAAAATAAATATCCAAATAAGAACAAGAAATATCGAAGAACAGCATACAACGGTCGGATTTATATGACTATTGGGATTCGGACCAAAGGTGTGTCCTCAATCGTTTTCTGTGTATGTTTTGAATGAGTAACCTACAAAAAGATGTGGCCTGAATATGTCATTCTGATTTATCAGAGCCCTGGCCCTCTAATTTCTAAAGCAAAAGCCAAAGGCTGGTTCCCATTGCCACAATGTTATTCAGTGAATCTGGAATCCGGTTTGCAAGGTCATCTTACCTGTGTCCCCTTGCCAGATCCTGGAGGTCCAAGCAGAATAGCATTTATGCCATCACGTCCCTCACCATCTGCAGTCTTCTGCCCCACAACTGGTGCCATTTCTAATATCGTACTGCTCAGAAAACTCTTCTAAATGGACCGAGTTATCCTTCAGTAGTTCTTCAACGTGGGCATCTAGGTAAAGGTCACTGCGCATGCGCACTATTACTTTCCCCTGCTTTAAATGCTTGTTTTAGCCTAAATACAATGATTAGCTAATATTTAAAATTTCTTAAAAGATATATAGATTACATTGATTTCACATAGCTTATATTGCGGATGAAAAGAGACGGATGAGAATTTAATTGGTTGACCTTGGAATGTGTTCTGGTCACATGACCTCCAAAACAAAATGGAGAAAGGGGAGTTTGTGAATCCTACGAAATTCAATGAAAGTACTTGATTTTCCAGACAATGTGAGGTTTTAAGGCAGCCACAAACATGCATTTCTCCATTCCCGACACTACAGATTTTAAGGATGAAGGTGGATCTTCATATACGGTAAGCATTTAGACACAAATAGACCATATAGTCTATATGTAAACATAAAAACGGAAGTATTTTTTCATTGATCTGGCCTGATTTTAGTGAGACTTAGCACCATGGGCTATCAAGAAAGTCCATGTTAGGACCAAAGTGCGCAGTCATCTCATCTGGTAGGCATCATAACACAGCGGGCGAATTGCTGTTCTGACGCGTCAAATTTGGTTCATGCTTTTCCATGGGCTTTCAACTAGAAGGGTAGGCAACTTCCCATATTTCATACATAAACATTGCCATGGGTTTTTTTAAAATTGGAGAATGTACACATTCCAAGAAAATCTTATTTTGTACTTTTTATTGATGATTAAAAGAAATAACTCAAAAATAAAAACATGATCTTCTACATACATCTTGATAATTTAATAAAAATTGGAATTCATCCTAATTATGACAATACAGAAAGTGAACATTCTCCCACAAATTATCTTTTTATTGGAATGTGTTCTTGAATAATTACCCACAATGCAATACTCAAAGAGAACATCTTGATAACTCTTATTCTTATTGGTCTATTTTGTTTACTTTTACATGATATTGAATATATTTTATGCTTAAATCATATTAAAAATTGATTTTTATTCAAAATAATACTAAAACATATACATTTATCTAATACTTTTTGAAATATTGCCATAAAAGGGAAGCATGTCATTGCTCATTTTGAAGGTCTCATGTTATTACATAGAGTTGCATACCCTTCTAGTTGAAAGCCCATGGCTTTTCATTCCTGAGCTCGCCGATAGATGTCTCGCGCTATAATTATATATTATATGACGTCAAATATATATTATATGTGTATAATGGAATAGCGCACCTAGCGGATGGTGCATAGTTTAAAATTCTCGCCCGCTGTGTAACTAGCAATTTGCTTATGAAGTGTCAGCGCAGCTTTTTTTGGGTGGGGGACTACAGACTGTAGCTTTGCCAAGGTTGGTATTTTCTTTTACTTATCTTGATCTTTGCAACCAATTCCGCTAATGTTTTGATAACTTATGCGTCAACCATCACGTATGCGCCTGCATGAGCCAATAGTGGTAGTTGCACAATAGCACTTGTGCTCGCCACACACAAAGTTATAACAAACATACTGAATGCATGCAAGATGCAACAAAGGCTCTGTATATCCAACAGATGCCGGGCAATGGGCATCAACTATACCCTGATTGATATCCATTTGGCACATGCCAATGTGATGGGTACAAGGCAGTGAAGACAGCCTTAATGAGATGCATTTAATTTGTTATGGATGGCCACATAGACATTAGTCTTGCAACAACCTACTTTTTGAAATAGAGGGTGGAGGAGTACTTTAGATGTACTTAAATGTACAATTTATGGAGAGTATAATCGACACATATACATTTGTACTGAAACAATAGGTGGAAGCAGTTTATACATTAGATGGGGCATTAGATACATGTATGTCAGTATATTTGGAGTACTTACAATGTAGGTACATCTAAATATAGAGATGACAGTGGTAAATGTAATTGGGATGACTTATAAACATGTTGATGGTAAACTGAAGAGAAAGGTGCCAGAAATGTAATTGGAAAATATTCAGATGGTTGTGGTCTAAGACAGCCCAAAAACACCTACATAATATTTCAAAGTAGCGAAGATGTGAATCTATCCAACGTAAAGAAATAAGTAATCAAATGACCATAGTATAATATTATGTGGAAAAATAAACATATTTTATGATATTGTATCGTTTTTTATTTGTGCTTTGTAAAATCCAGAATCAAAAGTTCAATCGTGATGTTTGAAAATGTATCTGATCAGGGACAGAGAACATTTTCAGTTGCAACAGAATTTACTCGGATAGTAAAACAATTTTTCAATTTTAGCATTGACAACTTTCTAAAAAAATGCAAAATGTCTTCCATGATAATCATAAGGAAATCATGCTTCATTTAACATTTTCAAACCTTCCTATTTAGGAGTACTGAGCCACAATATTGTGATTTTTATGCTAAAAAACATTGCATGATAGCAGGTTTAATCTGTTTGAACTACCAGACTACCGCCATATTCCTGCATTGCATTTGGTGATATTCTTTTACTGTAATTGTTTGTGTTTTCAGAGTTTTAATGTCCATATTAATGGTGTGTTCCACTGTTCAGTCCGCTACAAGCAGTTGCATAATTTCCATGAACAGGTACACATATTGATTTATTCCCCAAGAAAATATTAGAAGTAACTGAAGGATCCTTGTCAATCAAAGTATCTAGTTTTCAAGGGACCTATTTTTTCAGCAGAGCTTGAAATTCCTTCAGATTTTTCCCAAATTTTGAATGTAAAAATGTTAACTAAACTTAAGCCATATTTTATGTCAAACATTTTCCTCAGCGAAATTATAATTGTTACATATAATTCATGTCTCATTAGCAGGGCCTGCGCTAAGGGCCGGTTCACTGGTCATTTGCCAGGTCATTAATACAGACCAGTTGACTTTTCAGTGTGTATAGGAAAATAACATGGCAACAGGTCCGTAATACCATTTTGGCCAGCTGCTCTCAGAAACCTGAGAACCTGAAACCTGAAAACCTCAACTCCTGTTCATTAGATACATAATAATATTAAATTGAAAAAATAATTTTAGCTAAAGAAAGAGTTCACAACAAATGCTCTGCCACCATTCCCACCAAAGAAATTGCTGTCATTGTCAGGGGTGCAACTTGAGGAGCGCCGCATGATGCTTGAGAGATATGTTCAAATAAGTAAGTACATGTACATAATATATACAATATAATGTACAGAACCCCAAAAAAGAAAAGCAGTCTACTACAGTCTGCTCAAAAACCTCTGAATTAGTCTAAACAGAACCCTGTGTTACTCAAATAGTTATATTGCTAAGTTTGATAATATTAATTTAGAGCATGTCTTGGAATGTTTGGTTTGCTATAGGATATTGATGAGATGTTTGTTTTTTATTTCAGTCAGTCAAGAGCCAAGGATTGCCAATTCACATATATTCAATGGGTTTCTGCTCCAAGCACAACAGGTTAGTGTTTCCAATATGTTTATGTTTCAATATAAAATACATCCCATTGTTCATTGCAAGATTTTTTCTACACTGAGTGAAAATTGTCACCTAATTATCACCTAATCATAAAGTACATTCTCTTAAATCAAGACATTATGTATCTTCTAAAAGGATTGGGAATGTTCTCATTCAAGGTTTTTAAACATGGAAGTCAATTAGAGAATTAAATAGGATGAAAAAAGTGTTCAGATTAGTGAGGTGTCCATATGTACAGATTTGACAGTACATGTATGTATATGTCTAGGAAACACAACAAGAAGCTCCAGAAAATGTGACCCTTGAAGTCTTCCTGATGAATGGACACAAGATCTCTATAGACATACAATCAACTGACCAGACAGATGATGTCATAGAGGTACGTAACAACAGTCTTGTGAACAGAATCGATTTTCAATATTCAATTTTTTATTCATTAATTTCAGTTTTTGGCTTATGATTTAAACAATTTAATTTGAATGATCTCCTTAGATTACATTAACTTTCAGAGTACTAACCAGGATTTTATAGACTTGGGTCAGTTACAAGTATTGAAAGTATGCATGCACAGATATAAAATTTTCCTGATTTTTTAATTGGCTAGTTTGTATTGCATCAGTTTTGTCACATAATTGAATATACTCAATTCAATTCAGAATTGTTGTGCTAGTAAAGAAAGAGGACCCATCCAAATGAGCTTAAAAGAACATAAAACATTTCTAAATTAAACTTTTTCATTTCAGTCAGTAGCCAGCAACATCAATCTGCCAGAAGACTTTGCCTTCTATTTTGGTTTATACCTAGTTAAAAAGGAAGAAGGGGCAGATCTTTCAAGTAAGCGATGGCTTTGTGAACACTTTTTCATGTCATGGCCTCCAATTTTGAGTTGTTAATGTTTGAAATCAGGATTTAGAGCTGTATATGTAACACATTTTGAAAATAGAAATAACTCGAGAAGTATTGGCCAGATTGTTTTGAAACTCGTATAGGGACACATATAAAGACCAGCTAAAGATATTCAGATGTAAGTATTTCCCAAAGGCTTGTTATCCTAACAAAGTAATAATGTGTTTAACCAGACTGTGTTTGTGTAACCTTCTTTGTATTTCACCATGTACTACAATAATTCAACTTTTATAATCTTTAGTTGTGAGGAAACTGCAGGACTTTGAGTCTCCCCACATTTCACTGAAGGCAGCAAATAAAGAAGGCGTTCATAAGATTGTACTAAGAAAAGGGTGAGTAAATGTAAACAATATTGATATTCACCTAGAACATTAAATAGTAAAATTTCGGTATCATTTTTAACTACCAGGCCAATCTGGCCCAATGCCCCCCCCCCCCTTTGGGTACATCAGTGCTTTAATGCTTCTGACACCTGTTCAATGTTCATGCCATTTGATTTATATAAATATTCCAAGGAATGTCTCTTTGTGTAAATGAACAAGATCACGTTTTTATCTCCTTTTGTGAAAAATGGAGTACATGTATATCTAAATCTTATTTTGTACAGGAATGTATGTATTTGATTTGCAAAATAATCTGTGTAATCAATAGAAATAAAAGCTGTTGATGTGTATTGAAGGTACTGGGACATCAGCATGGATGATGATCTGTTAGAAGACAGGGTTGCCATGAATCTGCTTTATGTACAGGTCTGTACAAATATTTATGTAGAATCAAGTATATTGTTCAAAAATAGCATCAATCATTAAATGACACCTGTCAAATCACCCTGTTTGTTTAGTCATTTATATGGCATTGTGAAAACCCTATTCATGGGAGAACTTTTCAGAAGTTTTCAGAGCTTCAGATCTGCATGTGGTTTGGGTAGTTTGAACATACAAATGGCATGAGTATAGATTTTCTTTTATAATACTATTTTGATACAATATTTCAGGCTGTGAGTGATGTTGAGAGAAACTGGGTGATGGTCACCAAGGACCAGCACAAACAACTTCAAACTCTCAAACAAAAAAGTTCTAAAAAGGAGGCAAGTACATTATCATTCACTTGTTTATTCCAGGGAACTATCCACGCTTCTTCATACCTTGAGTTTGTATCAGATTCATGGCTATGTGAGGGAGATCTCTGTATAAAACACTAATTATCAAACTATCAGGTCCATAACCAGGGGGGGAGGGGTTCCATGTGTTCGAGCGAACCCCCCCCCCCCCCCCCCCCCCCCGGTCAAAAGATCTTTCAATATCATGCAGTTTTTCACCATTCTGAGCACCTTTTATGTGATTTTGGCCATCTTTGGACCAAAATTGTCACAAGTGAACCCCACTGGAATTTTTCAAAAAGTGAATCTCCCCTTGGCAAATCCCGGCTATGGGCCTGAACTATGCCATAATATGATGAACAAGCCCAAAGTGCGGTATGATGGTGTGCATGTCACTCAGATAGAAATATAAAAAAACTCTACCTCTATAAAGAACCTACAACACCCAAGAATCAAAATCTGTCAAATAAAATTGTACCAGACCTCTCCTGCATTGAATGTAAAGTACATTAATATAGATTATTTTTCTTTTACAGTACTTAAAATTAGTGAAGACCTTAAAATTTTACGGGTATATCCAATTTAAGCCAGCTATAACAGACTACCCACGATCTGGTTGTAGAGCCATTGTCAGCGCAGGAAACAAGGAACTCAACTTTAGAATACAGGATGGGGTCAGTGTATATTTTAGTTGTATTTACATGTATTGATATGTTGTATTTGTTAAAAAAGCTCAGCAGAATTTTTACATACTACTGAAGTACATTTTAATATTCATCTATTTTTAGTACTGCATATATAGAGTGCTAGATGGAGTACTATATAATAAGTAAAGTAATAGTTTAGCTTATTGCAGATAAAAATCACAGGTTTTCTTAGCAGCAGGCAATGGGTGATTTTCTTTTTTCTTCTGTTGTTCTTAACAAAATTACATGCTTTTTATATGCATGGTGAAATGATAATTTCCCATAATAAAACCTGTTGTTTTTATTGCCTGTTTGGAATTCTAATGAAATTATAAATTCTCTAGTGATGTCCATACAGTTATTTGTACATTTTTTTAGGATGAGGTGAAGGAGGGAACTTTTAAGGTGACCAGAATGAGGTGTTGGAGAATAACCACATCTGTAAGTAGAAGAGTTATTCTCATGTTCTCATACACAAAATATGGCAGAAAATATGGAAAGCAGCTAGGAATAAAGACATTTTGTTGTTGGAATTTACTACTTTAGGTTTCTGATAAATTAAGAGACTTTGGATAAAAAGGCAGCCATCATGTGAATGCTTCATTATAAGATAATAACCTATTCCATTACTTAGCATTGGACGTTTTTCTGATAATATTTCATGAATGTGTGAAATACACTACATGACCAATATTGTGGATTTATGACTTTGTGATGTGTTAATACAGTATATTTAATGAATATTATTTATTGCTATTTTTTGCTTTTAGACTGTAGATGATAATGATAGACTTGAGGGACTTCCACGTTTAGAGTTGGCCTTTGAGTATCTCATCGCTAGAGATGAACTTAAATGGATCACAATACTGAGTGACCAAGTGAGGAAAAAAATATTCATAGCATGCTAGAAAACAATCGTGGAGTTCTCACCTTAATGGGTGAACAAACTTAGTGAAATGTACACATGTTCTAATTGTATGAAAATTAATAAAGGTTTGGTTATGTTAAGACTTGAAGATTGAGATGATTTTTTTTTTGTGGGTTTCAACTGTTCTTTGCAAATTAAACTGAAATCACAAATCCAAACATGGTAAGACTTAACATATATTTTGATAACTTTTCCCATGCTTATTATTTTAATTTACATTTTCAGGCAATATTAATAAGTATGTGCCTTCAAGGAATGGTGGATGAATTAATAATGAAGAAACAGGGCAAGCGGGTAAAAAGGGTACGCTATTTAAAAATCACTACATTCTAATTGATTAGGTTAATCTGTTAAAATCTTAATCATATAACAAAATATGTTAGCACAAGTGCCAAAAGGGAACAAAACAGAGTGTTATGTTTAATATAAACAGAAAGATCTAAGATCGCTAGCGGATGAGATATGGCACTTCAAAAACTCACTTTCACTCATCTCGGCCACCATCCAGGAATAATTATCACAATTCTATTGTATGCATTCTATTATACATGCATAAATATTAAAGTCATCGTTAGATTAAATTAAATCAGTGAATCTGTTTAAATCATATAAAATAGGCATAATTTTAAGCTGTTGATATCTGTTGTGTTCTAGCCAGCTGAAAGGGCACGGAACAGAAGAACAGATTTTATAAAACGGGACAGCGCAAAGCCATCGCTTCTTTCCTCCCCTGTTCTGAATGAGCTGGGAGATAATGCTTCTGAGGCAGTTGACAAAGCCAAGGAATCTGTCAAACGAATATCTGTAAGTTGCTCAACTTTCTTATATTTACCATAGTGACCAGGGGTAATATTGAATATGCCTAAATGTCTATAATCTTGTCTATAATACATGTATAAAGTTTTGCTTCAGCTGAAAATGTAATGTATAGGCATATTGTTGCAAGGAAATTGGATATCTTACTGGGAGCTCTGTGCATATTCACTCCACTTATTACTTAGTTCAAGAATCAAGAGAAAAATTTCATTTGGGATTGCATCACTGGTTAATATTAAGATATATAAATAGCTGTTTCTATATCTTGATATGCAGAAGTTTGAAATCGTGGATTCTCACTCTCCATTTTAAAAGATACAGTTTCAGCTGTCAATGTGTCTTAATATTTGACCAATGGGCATATAATATTTGTTGAAATTAAATTAATTTTGCTTGTGTATTATTGCTTATAAAGATGTTTTATAACGAGATGTCTAGATGAGCTTAACTAAATAATGTGATTGGATTAGGGGAATTAATAGCAATACAATGTCAAATTTGAAAACATATTACTCAACAATTCTTTATCTATAGCTTCCTCACAGAAGGATTGTAAAAAAGGTAATTCTAAAACTGTACCTAACTGTGTGTTGTGTTTCTTTTCTGCTTTTAATTATACTTAGTGTATTCTTGTTAACACTGGTTGCTAGCAATACTTTTAAAAAGCAGTTGTTGGTGAGCTTTGAGTAAAAGCCAGGTCTTAACAATGTAGTATTGCCATATTAATGATATGAGAAATGTTGAAAAAGTAGTTAATTTCCTTTTTGTTTTGGTTTAATGCAGTCTTTCCATGCTTTTTCAATATAGAAGTGAACTATAATGAATGAACAGCTAACTCTATATACAATAAAACCTGTCAATTGGAACACCACTATTGACTAAAAGTGGATTCATCTCTCTTAAGATGGATGATTGAACCACTAACTTACACAGGTTTTAATGTATTATTAAGTCATCATTTGTTGCCTAAACTAGCCCTTTATTAGGATTTAGTTATAGTGGAGCAAGCCTTTTATAGCTATAACTAGAATGATGTACTGTATGTATTGGTGTGGGATTTTAACATTTAACCATGCATTATTTTATTTAGTTAACAGTCTTTATTTTTTACTTTGTAACAAATCTTGTGAATGGGTTATTATGGGTTACCACTCATGGGTTCAGTATTTGTAAAGGCCAGCATGAGTATGGCATAAGGAAAGGGCCATGGAGATGATGCTTTGAAAAATAAGCAAATGGCAAATGTTTGTCCAGGATAACTAATATTTGGAAACTTGGAAAATAAATGTTATATTTCAACTGTAAAAATACATACAAAGGGGAATTAAAAAGTTGAGGGGCGATCAGATATGGATTTGAACATCCTTAAAGGAATCCCATGAAATTCACTGTAAGATGTGCAATGATCTGTAAGTTTCAAAATTAAACATGTAAGAGAATCAGTCCATCATAAAGTCCGTCCAGAAGATAACGCAAATATTAGTGAATGAATTTTCTTCATATTTGGTGGAAAGATGTACATTTTCTTTTCAGATTCGTGTTTCAGAAATCGTGTCTTTTGGAATTTGAAGCATGAGATATAAGCTTTATATTTATATTAATATTAATTATTTAATTTTATTTGTGTTGATTAGATTTCAGGTTTATTAACTTTATATTGTATTTGAAATGGAACCATTGTTTATTCTGAATATGTAAAAAATATTAAAATATCATATTTCTATTATAACATCTCTGAATTGCCAGCTCTTATGATTGTACTAATGTACTCTCCTCAGAATGTAAACCTAAAAGTATATTATTATTGATCATCTCTAGTGAATTCAATTACTTTATCTGCTTCAAAGGGTTCAATCATTGACTCACCCACTACAAACCAGAACTCAGTTAAGATGATTATGAAGACTTGACAGCAGATTCAACAACTAAAAATTGAACTTTTCCCACCAACATCAAAACAAACAATTTGCTATTGCTGATAATTAATGGCTGTCATCAACACTGTATTTGTTATTATCCCACCGAATGAAGTTCGAGGGGGATATAGGAAAGCCGTTCGTCAGTTCGTTTGTCCATCCATTTGTCCGGGCGATAACTCAAATACCGATTGACAGATTTGATTCAAATTTTATAGGCTCATAAAAATTTTATATGCTGATGCCAAGGGACACAGAATTTCTGTTCGAAATGACGGCTTAATTTCATAATGGCTGCCATTTTTCGTAAAAAGGAATGTAATCTTTGATAACTCAAATGCTAATTGATGGATATGGTTTACATTTTATATGTTGGTGCCTAGGGACAAACAAGCTCTGCTCAAAAAGGAATTTTCAAGATGGCCTCTAATAAGCAAAATACGTTTTGTTCGATGGGATTTGCTACTTCCTGGAGTTGCTGCTTTTCTCGTTACTATACATGTATATCTGTTTTAAGCTATTATTTTAGTAATCCTATTGTCAGTACTGTTTGAAATTGGCTCATCTCAATAAGTGAGCCCTTTGAATAGAGGCATTTTCCACCTTGGCTTTGTAGACAATAATATTGGATTAATGAATATGTGAAATCATAAAACTTATAGAAATGGGGGATTATCTGTCTCTGTGTGATTTTCCACTTTGTTTCTGATGATGTATAGTGTTCTCTATTATTGTAGGATAAATTAGCGGCTGCTGGCATAAAGTCACCATTAAAAGGCAATAACATAGGAGAAAATGATGCATTTGAAGGTATAGGAGATGATGACCTATGACCCCGTATAACAATAATGACATCAGCTAAGGAGGTGGCAGATTATGTTATATCTTTTGTTCAGAGCTACTGTAACAAAATCGGGACAATAAATTGTTCTCATGCAGGCCAAACTTTGGACAACAAATTGTTCTCATGTAGGCCAAAATTTTGGCAAGAAATTGTTCTCATGCAGGCCAAACGTTGGACGAAGAATTGTTCTCATGCAGGCCAAACTTTGGACAAGAAATTTTTCTCATGCAGATCAAACTTTGGACAAGAAATTGTTCTCATGCAGGCCAAACTTTGGACAAGAAATTGTTCTCATGCAGGCCAAACTTTGGACAAGAAATTTTTCTCATGCAGGCCAAACTTTGGACAAGAAATTTTTCTCATGCAGATCAAACTTTGGACGAGAAATTGTTTCTCATGCAAGCCACACTTTGGACAAGATATTGTTCTCATGCAGGCCACACTTTGGACAAGGAATTGTTCTCATGCAGCCCCTCAGAGAAACCGGTTTGTTAACATGATATTTTTATATGATCTAGTCCATGTTAACATCATAAGTACTTAGGGAATGAGTGCTACATTGTGGGGGACTAACCATTTTCCTATAATGCAAAATATTACAAGTCAAAACAACTTGTTCCACTGCTATTAACAAAGAATAGTGTCAAAAACAATATATTATATTGTTTTAATATACTCTAATCTTGATGTTCCAGGGTTTCAGGCATGTATGATTTAATATCCCACAGAACATGAGGCATTTTCCCCTGAAATATTCAAGTATATCACCACAAATGGTGGCCTAATTTTTATTAATTGGGAGATTCATTATGGTATAGCATTACAGGGTTTTCACTAGAATGTTTGACATAATACAAGCAGATGAAAACAATGTGCAAAATTATTGGAAATACATGAACTAGTATTTTCATGGAAGGTTCCTCAAAACAACAGGTGACTCTGATAAAATAATTCGAAAAAAACTGCTGCTGCATACAAGATTGCATACGTGGCAAGTATCTAAATTGTAAAGATTGTTTGAATATTTAACCATTCAATACCTTATAGTTGCTAACTTCACTTGTACTCCTGTATCAGAGCTACGCAAGTGTTTATGTGCAATATGCAACATTAAAAATGTTTGAGTACTGTGGACTTATTACTGGAAATAGGGCTGATTAACTTTTAATGAACCTTGTCATGAAATATTACCTACTGCTATACAAGGACCAGTCTCAGACTATTTCCGTAATGAAGGGAGGGGTCAGCTAAAATATTTTTTATCGTCATCATTTAAAAAGCTGAATAGCTATATAAAAACATAACCATCCTAGTTGATCAATGGGTTAAAGTATGATTTGCGAAGCAGTGACCCAATCTAAGCTGGCCCCTGGTGTACCTTTGTAAAATATATTTTAGTCATAATACTTGTATTGATAGGTTCATGATCATTTTAACTTTTAGTGTATTTTATATATAGGCCCTTGTATAAATGCTAGTTCAAACATATTTTATATTTCTATAGATAATTTCCATAAAGTATATTTTCTAAATGTAGATTCAATGTAAATAGTAATGTTACTTTTACAGAACATAAGTTCACATGCTACTGTTTGTTTTGTTTTAAGCATGTACAATATGTATAGAAAAGTTTCATATTGAAATTACATGTATAAATTCATAGATGTAAAGAGAAACATAGGCATTAAGAAAAATCTGCTAAAACCCAGGGGCTAACCAACTCAATGCAGAGACTCATTCAAATCTGTGAAATATTGTGGAGCTCTTTGTCCAGTAAAGAGTACTAGTATATGAATCCCCAAGATACTGTATAAGTGGTACTTAATCCGAGTGATTAATTTGCTGAATGGTCAAATTTTATAATTTTCCTAATTTTGATTTTCCTAATGACAAGAACCTTCCCATTGGATAACATTACGAAGATAATATTTCCGACATTTAATTTTCCGGACATGGCAAAAATTAGGCAATAGGCAAAATAAATGATTAGGCGAAACTACCACTTATACAGTATAATAGTTGACCCCTTAAGATACATTCATTGTATCATATTTGTAACAGTAAAACATGTGTTCAACTTTTAATGTGATCAGCTTAAAAAGAAAGACTGATATTATCCCAAAAATTATAGGAGTTTCAACTTTATTCTAGAACTTTTCAACTTAGAGTTGTTCTCAGTTTCATTGTACAATTTTATAGTATAATATTAATTATATATTGTGGATAAAAGAAAACATCTGCATATCTGCAATAAATATATAAATATTGGTATAACTGTTGATATTAAATATGTTTATTCTTGTAAAATATAATGATGAAATAAATCTAGTATATCATTGATAAAAATTGTAAAATTGAGACTTTGTTTTACTGCACTTTATTGCATTGCATAATAATGTGTGGCAGTTAGTCTTATATTAGTACTACTATTTAAAACAAACATGCTGATAAACGTCACATAAGATTTGTATATTCAATAGGCAGAATCAGTGCCACCTATTTGAAAATACCTTAATTTCAATTCTGCAATATACACAGTGCAAAAGACAGTTCTAATCAAATTTTTAATTTTTTACCTTATTTTGCTGAAAATGCACATAATTGTGCTGACTGAACACTCACAATAAAATACTATACTCACAAATACTACAGCTATACCAAAAATACGCAAAAATAGTACACACTACAGGTATGCACTGAATTTTGGTGATTATAACACATACAGAAACTAAACTTGTAAAAAACAGATTTTCTAGATTTATAGTGGTATATCACATGTTGTCTGTGTAGACTCAGTATGGCACTATTCAGATCTAATTATGATTTCCTAGATTTATAATGGTATATCACATGTTGTCTGTGTAGACTCAGTATGGCACTATTCAGACCTAATTATGATTTCCTAGATTTATAATGGTATATCACATGTTAGTTGTCTCTTTGTTTTTATCCTATCACATATAAAGTTTGAGTCTATTGATTGGTAGAATGTCCCATTGTACCACTTGCAGTAGGAGTACATATCTATCTTATGATTAGCAAATACATAGCCATGTCCATAGAAGACTAACACCTCAGTACCAGCAGGGATTGGCTTAATGGTGTGATAGTAAATCTAAAAACATATGAATAAAATAGATTAGAGGTTTGATGTATTACATGGTTCAAACAACCACATTTCCCAATAATTTTCATCGTGATATAAAGTACTGTATAAGGGGCGTAGCCAGGATCTGAAATCAGGCAAGGCAAAATTTTATACGTGAGGCAAAAGGCTAAAAGGGTATATTATCACAATTGGACTTAATTTCCTTAAAGTCCAATGTTTGTGACACTTGAGTTTTTGTTCTGTTCATTTATTTTTATTTGTATATTTTCATACATATCAAGAGAAGATGCCCATCTTGAAGCGGCCATTTTGAATGGTATTACAAACCTCAACATCGAAATGAGTCAAGAAAAATGTAAATAAAGAAACTCCAGTCACCTTGTCATAGCATTGTAAGAATTCTACATTTTGTTGTACCATATCCAATGCAGCGTTGATGTATCTTATCCAATTGGAAGTTCTTGGATTCCAGGCATCAATGTACATGTAAACATGACTATTCACTTTCACCTGAAATGCATAACAGATTAAAATGAACGAAGTGTCTGGAGTACCTTAAAATTTAAGGTTCTTTAGCCAAAATGCTAAAGAGCCTTAAAATTTAAGGCTATTTAGCTGTGAACATAGTGTTTTGGCTAGAGAGCCTTTGTGTTTATAATCCGTGTTTATATTGTTTTTTATTGAAGTTTTCGTCATCTAAACAATAAAACAACACTCTCGAAAGTTTTTCAACCCAGAATGCCACTTAAAAATTTCACACATGTATATCACTATAGAGTTGCAAAAAAATTGGCCCCATCACGGAAAAACACTCTGGTATAGTGGTTAGGGTACTCGCTTTCCACTTCTGCGGCGTGGGTTCGATTCCCCGATGGAGCACTTTTTATTTTGAATAACAAGCCAGATATTGTTCTCTGCCCGGTTCTCTGATGTCCGGAAATTATGTACACAATTTTTTCTAGAATTCTTGGGCTTGCTCCATCGCTCAATCATCAATGTTTAATGAAATTAATCACTTGTATCGGCTTTGCTATAGTCAAGAAAATACAGGGAACCCCATTTTAAGATGGCAAAAAGTATGATGAAGACCTGGGGATGAAAAAGGATCTTGTTTCTTCTAGATCAGCACATCTTGACGCAGTTTATCGTGAATGCAGGGACATCACAGAATACACTTCCAAATCTATTGCCTATTAGATTTCAATGCTGATTTTAGAATTTTTCACGTGACGAGATATTTTTTGCATCTTCCCTGAGACTAACATAAAATATGTTAGTCTCAGATCTTCCTCAGAATTTAAGCACATGAGACAGCACAAAGAAAATTTACAGTACAAGAGGTGAACTGTCGAGAAAACAGCGGCTTATGCAACACAACAACAACATTTTTATCCTAGCCTCCAATCCATCAATAAATGTCTATACATCAAAATCTTTACTAAACGGACGTTGCGATTTATAGTGGATAAAATGGTAAAAATAACATTTTTTCTGGCTATCACGTGATTGCCTGGTCTTACACCTTCCCTGGTGAACCAGAGACATATATTTTCGATATATGCATGAACATCAAACAAACAAACATTTACTTTTCAAAGTCGATGTTTGAACCTTTAAAAAGCCAAATTTAGACTGGGGATTGAAAAGGTTCTTTTATTTCTCTCGGTAGACCGGAAGTAAATTTATGAGTCGAGCAAAAAGTGATAATGTTTTTTTATGAAGTGGGGAAGTCAAAACAGTACTAATAGAAGTCATAGTAAGCATTAGAAGATCATTTAAAACCATTCAAATCGACGGCAAAGTTAGTTGAAATGACTGAAATCTTTATGTTATCTTCTTCATCTTCGCGGACCTCAGAGAAGTCACTTCCGGTTTAGTATCAGTGATTTTATCGATCAAAAAAATTTCTTTTTGAATTTGTCCGATATCTGCTAATATGGTATGTATATTGTGCTGATTGTTCAATTACAAAATAGGTTGGGTATAGAATATGTCAAAGTCGTTTGATCTTGTCCCAGAAGCAATATTTCGTCATTTCTGTCGCCTGGAATTCCTTTAAGGCTCTCTAGCAGAATTGGCTATCAAAATGCTAAAGAGCCTTAAAATTTAAGGCTCTTTAGCCCAATTGCTAAAGAACCTTAAAATTTAAGGCTCTTTAGCATTTTGGCTAGAGAGCCTTAAATTTTAAGGCTCTCCAGGCGCGGCCTAAAATGAAATGAGGACAATGGGGTGATAGTAAATGAATACATACTTGATTTTTGATTGATTGATTACCCCACCCAGACCACATTGAAAGCTTGTTTTATCGATAATAATATTTCATATTCTCACACTACAATTTCAAACTGACTGCAAATCAAATCATCGAGGAAAATAGAACTTTGGAAGAAATAGTTTGCACATTGTTTTCTGCAACTCCAATAATATAGTTTCTACAACATCATTCAAATAACGATCGCACACAGCCTGAGGATTTCTGTGAATGATGCACCGGATCTCACTACTTACCTTAAATGCATATTCAGCATCCAAGCGAACCTTTCTATATTGGTAGACTCTTTCTCCATCATATGGTCCCAACCACACTCCAGCAGGTATATTAACAGTAGCAAATATACCTAAACATATAACCCATATTAGATCATATCAAAAAAGTGACTTATCTTATTCTGGTCAACATTATTAGGTCAAATTTTCATAAGGTCGGTGTGACCAAAATTAAATATGCCAACATTATGAGGTCAGACATTTGTAAGGTTGATGTGACTCATAATAATTAGGTCAATATGCTATTGATCAAATATTGTAACAATGTTATGAGATCAAATATTCTTCAGGTCAATGTGGCCCTTATTAATCAGGTGGATATTATGAGGTCAAATCTACTTCAGGTCAATATCACACATATTGATAAGGTCAACATTATGACATCAATATGAATTAGGTTAACATTTTGAAGGTCACGGTCAATGTGAAAAATATTAAGTAGGCCAAAAGCATGATGTCAAATATACTTGAGATCAATGTGACCCATATTTACTAGATCAGCATAAAGGTCAATGTGACCCATATATAATTAGGAAAAAGTATGAGGTCAAATTGACTTGAGGCCAATGTGACCTATATTAATTTTGAGGTCACACATTCTTAAGGGCAATGTGACCCATATTGATTAGGTCAACATTTTGGGGTCAAATTTACTTTAAGGTTAATATGAGACACATTAATTAGGCCAACGTCGCGAGGGCAAATATATTTAAAGGTCAATGTGACTCATATGAGTTTGGCCAAGATTATGAGGACCTACCTTGTCCACCACCAGGAATGGAAGATTTTGTCAGCATGAACTCTGGAGGACACGTTTTGTTTGCTCTGTCTTCTATATCCCATTCTACCTGTACATATATTGTATTACGATTACAGAGGAAAAGGGGGAAATTATTGCATTTTGACATTCTTGCATCTTAAATCAAATTAGTTTCATGTTTGATCAGGTACATCAATTCTTCTTCAGATAATGGGACTGAGTTACATTGACACGCCGGATCGACACGTTTATTGAAAGCAACAACAACATATTACAGTCTATTTGTGATGCGAGACGATTAGTTCATTTTTATGATATCCAATATAGATAGGATTGAAAAGTAATGTATGTAAAACATGCGCGATATGAAATGATAAATGCACATAAGATATATTTTTATGTCAGCATTTACATATGCTGTATGATATGCAAAAGTTACTTGCAATGATTCAATTGAGTGATGATATTCATAAAACCAAGAAATAGTGTATGGTGGTATTGTACTCTCTGTAAATAAATTATCGGATTATGCGTTCCCAATAAAAACAAATAGTGAAATTCTACATTTCGTGATATCTTGATATATGTTGGTTCTGACGGTAAATGAATTAGTTTTATATTTCATTTGATATAGTTCTCTTTGGTACTGATTAATTCTAATAATTAATATATATAGATAATTAATACGTCCATGCTGATGCTTATACTTTATAAACCAACACACAGACCAACAGAGCCCCAAGAAATGTGTCTATTGCGCTGATGTCCTCATTAATATTAGGCTTTGGTACATCGTTCACGTATCTTAGGGCTATGGATTGGCCTGTACTGTACATGTACATGTACCTCTCTATCGAAGATGACGGAGTCTATTGCCTCAGGACAATATTTCTCGTCCTCCATGGTAAAATTATCGTCTCCTATATATTTGTATGGTGGCCGTTTACCTCCAGATGTCACACCAATCAACAGCAGGCACAAACCCCAACCTGGAACAGGTACACCCCACATTTATTATCCAAACGTTTTATGTACTACACTATCATTTAACTGTATAAGTTTCTGAGATGAAAGGATATACACCCTGATATAGTGATGAAAACAATATAGACGAGTAGCAGCCGGCAATATTTGAAGAGATTAAACCTCTGAAAGGTTACTGGCTAATCTTGGTACCGTTGGAAAGCTTAACTTCTGCACTAACATGCTTGATGACTAAAAACATTCAGAACAGGTGGAAAAGTTCTTAAAAATGCTGGTTTCCATGGTAACTGCAAAGTTGTCACTATTAAGGCCCATGAATATACTTTTGAACATATCTAGATAACGCTTTGACCATATGTCTTGATAAAAGTATCTCTGTAAAGATAATTTGACACAGTTTTTGAAAAAATGTATTTTTTGGATTATTGGACTCATTGTGATGTCATAAAACTAGAAACGGCTGATTTTTCGGTGATTTTGACAGAATTTAGACATGTATCATATGCTTCTGTAGCTACAATACTTAAAGTAAACTATTTTTTGTCTTTAAGTGACTTAACACAACACACAATATTTGTATATCGAACAAACAATATCACTATGATTGTGATGTCATAATACAAAGAGATAGAGGCCTAATTCAAATATCTAATATCGAGATTTTTGACAAATCAAGATATATTTGAGGCAATTATACATTTTATACATTTTCAATGATAATTTAAAAAGTCCTCAACAATATAGTGTTATGTTTAATATATCGATGAAAAGGTTACTGGCTAATCATGGTACCGTTGGAAAGCTTAGCATATGTGTTAACATGCCTTATCCCTAAAATAAATCAAAACAGGTGAGAACATTTTTAAAAATGATGGTTTCCATGGTAACTGCAATGTTGTCACTATTAAAGTCCATAAATATACTTTTGAAGATATCTAGAGAACGCTTTGACTTACTTCCTGCGAAAGCTATTTGGATTTTGATATAATAGCTTTCCCACGGAGCATTTGGACAGCTCAATGATCGTGACCTTTGAAATCGAATTAAGTCGATCCGCGGCTTACTTTTGGTCTCTAACTGTGTCTTACATCAGTATCATCAATCCGTGTAAGTATTGGAGCGCTGGAGTACTTCTTTTTCGATCAAGACTTGTAATTGTTAGTCGAGTGAATCGTTTTACTGCCAAATTCCAATATGGCGGTTTCTGCTCGGACATTTTCGTAAATCTCCGGAGGTTGTCCGAACCTAACTAATTCTCAAAATTCATTTCGTTCGTTGCGTATCTCGCACCTAGCAAACCGCCATATTGGAAATAGGTCTGTAAAACTTTAACTCGATGAACAATTTACAAGTCTTGATCGAAAAAGAAGTACTCCAGCGCTCCAATACTTACACGGATTGATGATACTGATGTAAGACACAGTAAGAGACCAAAAGTAAGCCGCGGATCGACTTAATTCAATTTCAAAGGTCACTATTGATCAGCTGTTCACTTCTCCGTTTGAGAGCCATAAGTTTCAAAATCTAACATGGCTCTCGAAGTGAGTAAGCTTTGACCACATATCATGTTTAAAGTTTCATTGTAAAGGTAATTTAACAAACTTGTTGAAAATACATATTTTCTGGGGTTTTGGGCTCATTGTGATGTCATATAAATAGAAACGCTTGATTTTTGGTGATTTTGACATAATTCACACAAGTACATATCATGCGCTTTTGTAGCCGATAGTAGTTACAGAATAAACTATTTTGTGTAAATACATGATTTAGGACATGTTGTACAACACTTATATGTATTAGTAATATCATTGTACTTGTGATGTCATAATTCAAAACTTTTAGATAAAGGTATATTTCAAATATATCGAGATTTTTGACATATTCGGATAAATTCTTATCTTAAGATAATTTGAAAAGCATAGTGCAGAGTGGGCATATCTCAGTTGTTCTTGTCCAATTGAGTTAATATATATATAATTATAGGATATCCTATGATTTTGAGGAATATCATTTTTATCTACGAGGTGATATTGATATCTGCACGAGAGAGCGAAGCGAACAAGTGCATATATCAATATCACCGAGTAGATTAAAATGATATTCTGATAAAAAATCATAGGATGTTCTTATTATCCTACACTTACAAGGAGTGTACTGAATGTATAACATCATTGTAAAATGAATTTCATGCCAAACAGAGTGCATTTGGCGGGAAATCAACAAGCGGAATATATCGTCACAATATCCTCCGCATATTGGGTTTTCTGGAGTATATCGTCACGATATCCTCCGCCCAGAGTATATCGTTACGATATCCTCCGGATATTCATTTTGCCAATAAATATCAAATTTATTTTTTCATGTTATTATACATTTAGTACACAAAGTGTAGGATAATAGGATTTATTAGTACTGATGCCCTTTTAGGGCCAAACATACAACATACAATTTTCATTAACAGTAAAAATAGCATTAGAAAATAAAGAAAATATGATTACATTCTTCAAATGACATATTTGAAGACTATTAGTTTATGGTTCATTATTCATGCTACAACGTTGTTGATTGAATTAATATTGGTACCCTATGAAAGCAAAAAAATATTTCTGATGTTTTTATGAAAACAATATTCAAATAAGCTAATTTTCATATTAATAATGGCATCATGACCCGTACTTTTGATGTATTAACACCACTATCAATTGATCACAGCCGTGGCCTGACTTTGTTTACATTTCCTAGGAAATATCAGATTTTAGTAAAAATGGCGACCCTACCTTACAGGAATGGTGATAATTAGTGCTTTAACAGTCAATATTGGCTCATTAATAGCCCTTAGTGATTCCCTCGTATGAACGGGTTGTGCTTAAATAGCCAAAATTGATTTCTTAATAGCCCTTAGCAATTTCCTTATATGCTCGGGTTGTGCTTAAATATCCCAGATTGGTTTCTCAATAGCCATTAGTGATTCCCTTGTATCCTCTAGATTGGTTCTTAATAGCCCTTAGTGATTCCCTTGTATCCTCTAGATTGGCTCTTAATAGCCCCTAGTGATTCCCTAGTATGCTCAGGTTGTGCTTTAAATGTCCAATTGATTTCTTAATAGCCCTTAGTGATTCCCTTATATGCTCGGGTTGTGCTTAAATAGCCCCAATCGGTTTCTTAACAGCCCTAATTGATTCCCTAGTATGATCGGGTTGTGCTTAAATAACCCCAATTAGTTTCTTAATAGCCCTTAGTGATTCCCTAGTATGCTTGGGTTGTGCTTAAATAGCCCATATTAGTTTCTTAATAGCCCTAATTGATTCCCTAGTATGCTCGGGTTGTGCTTTAATAGCCCTTAGTGATTCCCTACTATGATCGGGTTGTGCTAAAATAGCCAAAATTGGTTTCTTAATAGCCTTAAGCGATTTCCTTATATCTGGGCTTTCAATAGCAGGGGGCGAGTGTCCGAAATCGCCGTTTGTTTTCGATAATTCGCCGTTTGTTAGAAGTCAAATATTGTCTAAGTTTTGGGGGAAAATAAAAGCCTTCTATAGACTATCATTTATTTTATTCAGCGATCTTGTTTTGCACTTCCTTGTCTATGATTTGTACCTCAGTTTCGAACTGCAATGGAACTCACTATAATCGTAAGGATCACTTGATCTCATTATAGTAGTAAACACCGTCCAATTTTGTACCCGTTTGGGCTATCGATTTTAGATCACTATCTGACCACTATCATGTGCATGACAATTCAAATTCGAACCTTTTGTATGATCAGAGTTGGTTATTTTCCACTGGACATGCAGTTACACTGGGGCGGATCTGGGAACCAACAAGGGGGGGGCCCAAACTTCTGGTCTGATAAAAAACTTCCGCGCTTGCGCGGAAAAAATGTTTGGGCCCCTAAAAACCAAAATGTGGGCCCAAATTTTGAAATTTTGAGGCCCATTTTCTTCAAAATTTGGCTTAAAATTAAAAAATAAGGCCTTAGAAGGCCCATTTATGACCAAAAAGGCCTACTTTTTGGGGCAACAAGGCCTTTTTTGGCTCAAAAATTTTTTTGGGCCCAATTTTTTTTCTGGGCCCACCCGAGGGGGGGGGGGGGCCGGGCCCCTGGGCCCCCCCCAGATCCGCCAGTGGTTACATGTATGATTGATACAACTCTGTCCAACTTGTCACAGTACAGTCTACCCTGCGTGCAGAGTCTAGTTAAACTACTGAAGACGAAGAAGCTCTCTTTTAAGAAGTGAAGTCAAACGAATGCAAAGGGTAAGTACAGTCCTTCCAATGGGTGTAAAATTGTATTAATCAGTTAAAGGCCCCATATAAAGTTTAAACCACTTTGGCTTATATTTTTGTCTTATCCAATGTTGTCAAAGCGTGAAATGTGAAACTTTTTATTAATTTCAAAATTATTTTTGAAGGACTTTTTGTTTAAAATATCGTGAATTTATTCAAAACTAACTTTAAGAGGTCACACTTATCCTTTAAAGCGATAATTCACACCGATGCATAGCAATCATCCTCACTTGTTTTTTGCCGACAAAATCAAGAAAATTGGTTGAAGGATGAGCGAGCAATGAACAGTGGTTCAGGGAAAGATGCATTTCAAAATTTTAATTCTCATAGAAACCAATGGTAAACTAATATTAAAAACATATTCATCCTTTTAACTTGGTTAGACAGTCAAAATTGGTTTATTTTTAAGTTTAGCATATTTAGAAAAGATTGACATTGAAAAATGTTGCCACCTAAGTGATGTCACGATGTGGTCACTTAGGTTGAAAATATTTTCGATATGCTAAATCATTAAATTGGCACATTAGATATAACATTTTATTTTTAACATAGTGTGTCCGTTATATATTGGTGTTAAAAAGATATAGAGGTTCTTATATGAGTACCTGTGCAAGATCGTCCATTCTTGATGAGATTTAATAAAGAAACATTATCAAAGCGACTGTCGGGTAAATTATGAATGTAGTTTCGCACAGGTATCAACGGAACCAAACAGTGAACCCCGCTTTCCCGAACCCGAGTTTCCAGGATTCGCCTCGCATGCCTCCGACTCTTTCTCAAGATTTGGGCCCTAATTTTCTAAAAATATATTGTACCCCTACATTATATCATCCTGGTGTCTCGTTTATAACACCCTTGTAATTACAATGCATGATAAAAAGTGTATGTGTGGATGGCCCACATTTGACCCCCCCACTTACCAAAAGTTGGGACATGTATACCTTTATATACTCAACCGGCCAAGTATTAACATTACAAAAGGGAGAAAAAATCCACCAGGTCCATAATTCTACACGTTCACGTACAAGTTTAAAAAAGTGTATCTTTTTATGTAGAACTACGCCTTTGTACCAGCGACGCACTTTCACAGATGCGTCTTTACAATGAAACACAATAACGAGAATTGCAACTTTAGGATCTTGAAAAAAGTTGCAATATCCTTCCTGGTTAGAATAGGTTTCCACGTACAACTAGAAACACTATATAAAATAACTATCTATACACCATCAGTGCAAATATATGCTTTCTTCCATTCTGATACTCATGGCATCTTTCTGTTTCACCTGAAACACTACCCTGCGTGCAGTCTAGTTAAACTACACGAAGACGAAGCTCTCTTTTAAGAAGTGAAGTCAAACGAATGCAAAGGGTACTAAAACACAGGGCTGAGAAGAAATGAGATGTCATGGCTTATCATGATGGCTTTCTTCGAGAATACATAATGCGGGCCCGGGAATGCGGGGTGCCACATTCATTGCAACACACCTTGCAACAATGTCTTATGAGGGTAATTTCTTATATTGAGAAGTTTATCATCTATTGAAATTAAATACATGCAGCTACAAAAAGCGAATTTGTTTGAGCAGTCCTAGCTCGACATATTATAAAGAAAACATATATTAATGTCATATTTTCACTGCAAACAGACTGTGAATTCAACCACTGACTCGACTGTTTTAATTTCATCAGTAAAGCCAGCAGTAAAAGGCAGGGTTCTGATTGATCAGTCTCTCTTTATCTAAAGCTCTCTATTCCAAGTGATTAGAGACTGTTGATCCCGTAATGGCAAAGTCCATGCATTTGAATCTTATTCATAATCTTTGAAATATAATATAGATTATGACATTCTAGTTATCCATGAATCGATACATTACATTCGTTACTTTTTGCAATGTTAATGATTTGAGGTACGTGTGTGACTTGATCTTCGAAATCTTAGATTTCGCTTCCTAAAATAGAGCTTCGTTTATAACTAGACTCTGTAAGCAGGGTATGAAAAAAAATACGTATTACAAAATGTTTTGTGATGGGAACTTTGCACTAGCTTCATTTTTCCGATATGGTAATTTCTGGTTCACCTGTACGGCTATGATTTTAACTCACCCTGTACAATGAATGTATATTTTATGGTTATAAATAATTTATTCATTATTTATTTATTTATTTATTTATTTTTTATAAATAATAGACTTGGCTAACAAATAAAACAATGCAATACAAACAATGTAGGGCTACTTCATGCTGTTAATTATGTATGATACTCATTAATTTATAGATTCCTTTATGTTGATAATTCTAATACAATAAATAATAAATGAATAAATAGAGCAACTGTAAAAAATATGTATTTTTTCACACATGTTCCATTTGGTTATTTGTTCTGGTAAAAACACATTGTAGCCTTTAATAGTTCCCTGGAATATTTATTGGAGATTAAAGTATATTAGTCATTGAGGGTGTGCTTTTTCTGCATTTATGGTACCGCCAGGAATTGAAGATTTGGTTATTGTTATAGCAGACATTTTTATGACTCAGCGAATGTTGTTGTAGTTTGATTTAAAAAATTAAAGTGTGTTCAAAACATAGACATGTTAATAAGTTACAACATATCTATGCAATATCGAGGCAACACGTTGGGGGACTTATCGTTGTAACAGAGCAATAAAGTAGTAATGAGCTTAAACAGAGGATTAAATTCACTCGAAATAAGCTAATATAAACTAATGCAGAGTTGTTACAAAAGTGTTCAGATGCTAGGCAATACTAGTATCCGTTTTCATGACAACGAACTCAAAACTACCGCTTGTAACATAATGACTTGAGAAGTAATTGTTGGATTGACTTGACCTTATTCATACAGTGACCATCTTCAGGTGTTAGACAATATTGGTCACCATAGCAACAAAATACACTTAAATATGTTTTCATTAACTAATATTATAAGTAGTACCTTCATAGGCGTAGCCATGGGGGGGGGGGGGTGTTGCCAACGCACCCCCGCACCCCCCTCACCCCCCTCATAACCAATAAAATATAACCATTAGATAGAAGAAGAAAAGAGCTTTAAAGTGCTCTTTATTTGAAGCTTTTAGCCCAATTTAGAAGGAAATTACATCTATTTTTTGTAAAATTCAAAACAAATCTTAAAAAATATTTTTGGCTCGCTTCTGCCATGCTAGAGATTTGACATTTCGCCTTAAGTCACTGCCCCATTAGCAATACCCCCTTTCATTACAATAGCTACACCACGCCCACTCTCTCTGTTGTAAAACAGCTTTTGGTGGTGACATATTATACTGGCAAACAAACGCCATACTCGTCACCGCAAGGTTTTTATCCTAAAATTAGCATGTCATTTTTATCATAAATTGTTGAATACGATTTTGTAGCCCTTTACGTTAATCTTAAACTAATTTTACATAGCCCATTACCTATACGTATCCGTAACAAATATACGGATGGGGATAGGTATACGTATATTTTTACACTAATCTTAACCTCCCTAATGTGATGACCGGGGCCTCCTTTACATAGTGTTCATCGTATGTGTTCAATTCTTTTCATAATGTTTGCAAGCAAAAGATACATATTCAAATACCAATGTAATCTTAATATAACTGAAAGAAAGTTTCATATTTGGGATCCAGTCTCGACTATCCCTTGCCATAAAGAGCTTTAGATAATGAGAGAGATAAAAAGAGATAAATCAGAACAGAATGAGAAAGTTTAGTTTCCTACCAAAGATACTCGTAACTCTCAAATACTCATTAAGAAAAAACATGATTTGTTTATATAGGCCTACCGTAATAAAGCTGAGACAATTAATATCTTCATTACTATTATCAATCATTATCATCATATCGTGTAACTTACCTTTGAGCATCATCATTAGTAATACTATAGGTCTGGAACTATGAATATGATATAATGTGAAATTTCCTCGTTATTATCTTAATTCATTAACACTGTATTATATCGGTGTAGTCCATCCATGGTTTATGATTTGAAAAGCGCTTTGTTCGTACCTAAATGGAAATCGATCTTTGCAGAACTAATACACGGTGAGCATTTGTTTGACAAGATATATCGACCTGACCAAACCATATTGGAACAAACATGCATCTTAAAGTAAAGGTAAAATTATAATTACTAGTGCTGTCATATCTCCAATTTTCTTTATCTGTGAAAATAACATTGAGAAAAATTAAAAATTAAAACATTTTATCAGAATGTATGGATCGCCCCTCGTGTAATCAAATGGAAAATCAAATTGAAATTACTATATTTTTATATTAAAGTTTTGGCGGCGGGTATCATTCCATAAAAACGGACGCAATGGAACATGAGATTCCGATGTTAACATCGACGACAGTATTCATCAGTGTGAAAATACCCTAAAATAAAAGGATAAAAGATGAAAAATGCAAATTAGAATTTTACTCCACTTGGATATTCTAGGACTCATCCATGAAACCTTTGGACTAATGGGCAGACATACCATCGCTGTTTGTTTATGTAGTGAACGAATCATAAAACGCAACGTAGAATAGATGTCACACCGAATGGCTCTTTAACGTTTTCTTGTGCTCTTGGTTTCATACAGTCAAGTACAAATATCACATCTTACATATTAATGTACATTAATTTCATATTACAAATTAATAAATCACATCAGAAACTCAGGAAAATAAACTAAATGATAATAGCATTTCTATGGAATGTCAAGCATTCGTCGATCTTTTCATCCTTAAGTATGTACAGTAGAACCTGTGTAAGTGGAACACTCTTGGGACCACAAAAGATGTGTTCCACTTGGGTGGTGTTCCACTTACAGAGCTTCATTTACGTGTAGTACATAGGCCATGGGACTTTAAAAACACTGTTCCACTTGTGAGGTGTTACACATTGCAGGTTTTTACTGTAATGTGGAAGTAATAGACAGGTTCCAATTTCAGAATATCTCAAGGGAAAGACTTTTTGAGGCATTTTTTAGAAAAAGCAACAGACCTATTTTTTCTGGATCAGTTTTTCATGCTGATAACGATATTAAAAGATGACAGCTCAACGGGCTGGTCACGACACTGCATTTTAGCGTTTTTACCCCCCCCCCCTACAAGAAACCTATATATCTAAGATACTAATGAAGATACTGAATTCAAATTTTCAGGATTTGATCCTGGTATGATAGGTAATCTGTATGACAAAAATGACAAAAAGAAAAAACTCTGTTGCCATACTAACAAGAATACCACACTATTTGTTTCCTAAGAAATGTGCTAAGAGGTTTTGTCATTCCCTTCATATTTTTAATTCTAAAATATGTCTACAATGTGGGATGATTAGAATTATGGTAAAGTAATCTTTTCTATTATTTTATTGTTCTCTAAAAACAGAAGTTGCTAAGGCTATTTCGCTTCTATGTCATAAAGATATGATACGATCTCAGGTCAATCAATAAATTTCACAAGTGACATTCTATCTTATGAAGAAAATACTATTGTATATTTGAAGACATGTCAAAAATTTGGTGGAAATAAATTGTGTCACTCCTGATTTGACCTGCAAATGTTCAGGTAGGTTATCACAAACAATTTCAGACAGTTATATCTTTGATTATGACTTTTTTCTGACCATGAAGACAGATATACAGGGATAATAAAGTCAATCGGACTCGGAGATATTTCACTAGCAATCAACCCATCAATATATTTTTTCAAAGTTGTTGACCTCATTTTCACCAAAAATGCAATCATTTTAATAACAATGTTTAAACCTGCACATCGCTCCAAAACGCAATCTTGGGTTGTTTCGGGGGTGAACTTTATCATTTTGAGCTTAATGAAAGATTATAGAATGATGAACAAATGGGGCAAATCTTGTGTAGAAATACTTACGATAAATGTGTCATTTCAAAGATTATTCATTGAATTGCTTCGATATATGTCAACATATTGCGTTTTGGAGCGATGTGCAGGTTACTATTCTTTATTTTAATATATCAAATAGCTCTTGAAACGAAAACTGAATTCCCCTAAGATTAGTGTTCCCCATGTTATTTCCCCTTTGAAAAAAGTCATGCTATCCATTGGTTTCAGTTCATTTTGGTCATCCAAATCCAGTGTCTTTAAAGTCCCTGGAGCAATCCACTTTTCCTCTTAGGAAATAGAACATGTCTCAAAGCATATTCTGATTATGCATTCAACAATATAATTAAAGGTTGCATCTTTGGTAAAAACTAGGTCATCATTTTTAGTAAAAAGTATGTTGATTGGGCCATTCCCTTTAATATCACTTAGGTCTGATTAATCATTATATTTACTTTTCTTGAAGATAATGAATAGATCTAAAAGATATACCTATGTTCATGGTCAGATACCCTTTGCATTCGTTTGACTTCACTTCTTAAAAGAGAGCTTCGTCTTAGTTTAACTAGACTCTGCACGCAGGGTAATGGTCAGAAAATATTCATAGTCTGAAGTTGTTTGCGATAACCTACATGCTCCTTTATAACATTATTATGTAAATACTATCAAATGCTTTAGTCATGACAGTTGAAGTAAACTGAAGTCTGGGTATTTAAATGCAGAATCAGATCTATGTAGAGTAAACAAAATTGAAAGCAACAAGACAGTTGACAGTACAGTGTGATGCAACATCGGTGGGAAAGTCATCTTTGGTTAATAAAAAAGATTCTTAGCTACTTTTCTAACATCTGGCTGTGATGCATCATGGCTTAATGAGGACTCTGCTATATGGTCAGATGATGAGAACTAACAATTTTACGGAACTTTTGCCATGTTTTGCACATTGTAAATGACCCTTCTGAATGGGTTGTAAAGGTATATACCAGGATGTATATATGGCTCAAATGACTCGTGCCCTAGTACATCGGGCACTGTAGTACATGTCTTGTGCATGATGACCACCATAGTCCAGTTGCTCAAATGAGATCAATTGATGATTATAATGTTTAGACTTTATGTCAATGTCCTCTCTAGTAGGTGATTACACTAGATTTCATTATGATACATGTACTAAATTGAAAACTTACATATAAAATATCTTAAGTCCTATATTCTAGTAATAAATGAATTAGAATGTCACCTAACATTTGATGATGGTATGAATTTATTGATTTGGTGTCTATCAATACATGTTTCTAACTTAATGCTGCAAAATGATTAAATTCACCACATCCACTTTCTTCAATTTTCCAGGGGTAGGGCACTATAAAGTCATATTAAAATTACAAAATAGTACTTCATAACTAAAATAGATGTATTACAATACCCCATATAGCCTGGAAATGTTATTAGAATACTTCTATGAGCTGTTAAAGCTGTCATATTTTACTTGAAGCTACAAATATAAAATTGGCAAGACAAAAATTGCGTATCTTTTTCCTCTTTATTGTATTTTTCTGTGACCAATAAGGCTATCAACCTATAACTTTAGGATAGTATTCATATTTGTACTAGCAATGTATGGTGTACAAATCAGAACAATAGCTCATATATCCTTTGAGTTATGAACTAGTTTCATAGTACCCCCTAGAATATTTTCCTAGGGGGGTAAACATGCCAAAATTCAGTGTCGTGACCACCCCGTTGAGCTGTCATCTTTTAATATCTTTATCAGCATGAAAAACTGATTGAGTAAAAATAGGTCTGTTGCTTTTTCTAAAAAATGCAACAAAAACTTGAATTATTAGAATTGGAACCTGTCTATAATAATTCCATAGGCTGAGGTCGATAGAAATAATTTTGAAATAAAGATGGCATGGTAATCGATCTGTGTTTATTTATTGGATTCTGGTGCTGTCATCTTTATATCGGCCCAAAAACCTATAGATGAATAATTCCCTTCTATAATTCGCCTCTGTGTGTTCTATAACATGTTTATAAACATTAGACGAAGTTTCCAACCCAAATTATACTCCAAAAGCCAACTTGTTGGATGCTTGTACGTCTTTTATTTTATAGCTAATATCCTCATATTAGACTATATCGGCCATTTCCAACTGCGTTCTCACGTAAGAATGTAATTCATCGATAACTTGGAATAGGATGCCATCCTGTTAGGCACGTGATCAATAACCTAGGATATATTATCAGGTAATAAAAGAAACCTAGCCCAAAGACATAGACAACACATCCATCAAAGTTAGTTCTATAAACGAATCTAGGAGATCCATTATTAAACCTTACATGCATTTAAATGTTATTGTTTTACTGCTCATGAGTTGATGCGCTTCCAGGGCATATCTCGAAGTCATGTTAAAACTTTGATGTGATATAGCGAATAACCCTACGCGCAGTCTAGTTATAAACGACGAAGCTGATGTTTACCGCGTAACAAAACCCGCGTCTTTTATTTTAAACCTGAAGTGGGCAAGGGGCAAACTAATAAAACAGTGTATTCCTTCAGTCGTATGTAATTACCTTGATGGATCAATATAGCGGGGGGGGGGCGGCGAAATAAGAGGTCTAATCCCCTCCCCCCAAATATTAGAAACCCTATTCATTAAACTTGGCATAAAAAGGGTGAATTGCATCTTAGCTTAAAAAACAAATACCGATGGTTTTTATCCTGTATCTGGCATTGACAATACTCACGCGTCTGATCCTCACCGGGATCCTCACGGGGTCCGCGCATTATACTGAAACCCATTATACCGACGCGCATTATACCGGATCCCATTATACCGACGCGCATTTTACCGACGCGCATTGTACCGAATGCCATAATCACTGTTCCACAACTATAGTTACTTTGACGGAACGTCAATGAAACAAAATGGATGAACTTCCTGGTTACGAATTTTTTGTTTTCTCGATTTAAACCTATACTTTTTTTTAAAAAATAAAATCAAACTTTATTAATAAACATATTTTACATTACATGCATACATACACTCCCCTCCATAAGTTTTGCAACCTTTTTTCCCCATTGAACTACGTGTTAAAGCCTCTTTACGTTTGAATTTTTATTTACTTAACCTGCGATGAAAATACTTATACAGGTACTATTAATGGAAACGTAATTTGACTTTAATTCCAATACCTCCAAATTTTCTAAATTTTTTCCTCAATTACAATAGGTCGAAAATTGATGATGAATTTGATGAATTTTTGAAAATCGACTTTCCCATGTTAACCAATGGGAAATGGTAGGTTTGCCGCAAGTCATATGACAGAATATCCATCCATCCGAGTCCTTGCAAAAAATACGAGTTAGGCAGGTAATTGAATTTGCTAACTTTATTTAACAAAAAATTGATATGTTTCTTCAGGTTCAACAAAGTTATAGGGCTTTAAAGTCAAAATTGTTTTTCAAAAAACCTCTCCCATTGAAATAACACAGGAGGCGAAAAATAATTTTCAAAAATGACTTTGAAGCGCTGTAACTTTAATATTCATCAAATAAACTAAACACTTAGTGTTCAAAAAAGTTAGACAATTCAATTTTCTATATAAAAATATTTTTTGCTGAATCTTTTACTGAAAAGATATCCTGATTTCTGATTTGCCCCGAACCCTCCATTTCCCATTGGATTACATGAGAATGACGATTTTCAAAATTCATCAAATTTATCACCAATTTTCGACCTATTGTAATTGAGGAAAAAAATTGAGAAAATTTGGAAGTATTGGAAATAAAGTCAAGTTACGTTTCCATCAATATCATAAGTTATTTCATCGCCGGTTAAGTAAATAAAAATTCAAACGTAAAGAGGTTTTAACACGTAGTTCAATGGAGAAAAAAGGTTGCCAAACTTATGGAGGGGAGTGTAAGATAAAATACAATTATAGAAATTTCAAGTTACATTACATCTTTCTGATCATTATTTCATTATCAAAAATAGCTTTTACATTACTAGCTGTATTGACCCTTTTTTAAAATCATGTATAGCTTTTTTAATTACCAATGTTTTAAGTAAATCTTCTTTTTTTTAACAATTGCATTTCCAATTTTTTGATCATTTGTAACATAAACATCATCCCAAATTGATTTAATACAGTCACAATTGATAAAGAAGTGGTCAATGTCATCTTTTACATGTGCGTTACAAAAATTACAGATGTCAGAGTTTTCAATGTTACATTTCTTCAAATAAATATTTTGAGGGTAAATACCATGTAAAATTTTCCATTGAATAACCAAAAGGGTAGTATCGGTTGTACATTCAAAAAATTGAGACCAGACTTTATCGTTTAGAATCTAACCATTAAATTTTATGTCACATTTTCTCTCTAAAACAATATAACCTATACTTATAAGTCAAGTTGCAGATTATAATTTGGCCCAAAGCTAGAAAATATAGCCTAGTTTTAATAAGTTTCTTCGATTTGGAATTTGTTTTGTAAATGAAGCTGTAATTCATATACTAAGTCCCTCGCTTTTGTTACATTGACGACAAGCCTGTTATATTAGCAATGTATGTTACTTTGTCAATGGGGATTTAGCCCGACCATTTTTAGAAAACTTGAAAATCTCTAGAATTTGAATAAAGGTAAATAACAGTGCAAAAACTAAGTTGTTTTGATAGAAAATTACACACAGAATTCAAATAGAAGAAAATGTTAGTCTTTAGTGGTTAAAAATGCAGATCTTCTAAAATCTCATTAAAATGAGACCTTAACGAGATTTCAAAGCTATATGGAAAAGCCACTGTAACCCCCCTATCACACCAAACTAATTCTTACCCGTTCTTGCCAGTCCTACGAAAATGTCGTAAAACGGGCTCAATCTGGCTGTAGTCGGGAAATATGTCTAAAATAATTAGCTACTTCGTTCATAAACAGTCTTCAATACGTCCATCTCGTTCGCAGTTCGTTCAGGTCGCACCACGTCGGTGTGCAACGGCGTATAACGCGTCCCTTAGTCTAGAAGGTCATCATGACCTGATTACAGAACGGTATGGTCGCCATCGAATTTTGAATCGATTCAAAATTCTAAATCATATTCCCCGTCCGGGAAAGTCCATGAAGTTCGTAAATAGACCATAGCAAGTTGCAGCTACGTTCATTCCGTTCGCACACAGTTTAAAACCAGTTTTGAAGAACGCAGTGGCAACTTGTTTGGTGTGATAGCTATATTTTTGCTAATTCGTTCATAAGCAGTCTTAAATACGTTCTTAATCAGTTTAAACACGTTTGCAATTAGTTCAACCTCGTTCTCAACACGTCCTCGGACAGTTCAACTCGTTGTTAAAACGTCCCTAGTAGGATTGAAGTATGACGGTTCCGTTCGTAGTACGTCCAGCTCATCGTTAGTACGTTGTCACTCGTTCTAATTGTAGAACGTATCGACCACGAGAAAATTTTGAGCATGTTCTAAGTTCTAGAGGACCTACCCGTTCGAGTACGTTCGATGAAGTTTGTAAATAGACCCCAAACGGTTTTTAGTACGTCCAGTCCGTTCGTACACAGTTGAAGCCCGTTTTCGAGAACGTAGTGAGAACTAGTTTGGTGTGATAGTAGGGTTAGATAGATGCCTTCACTAGGCTATTCTCTGTACTTGTGTCCGTGCCTCATTTTGAGTAGCGAGTGTAAATTCTTTTCGGAAACATGATTATGTTTTCCCTGTAATATGAAATAAAGATATTTGACAAAATATGGATAGCCTAAAATATAAATTTTGTGTTTTTGAACATGCGGAAATATCTTGAACACTTTGAAACTGAAGTACAGTTCCTTAATAGGTCGTTCAGTTTTCTTGTTTTTGTTCTACACAACACTTGGTACCCTTCCCACAGTGACATATATACTTCGAACAGTACTTCACATTAAGGTTTGGGGCAAAATGTTGTGTGAAGTACCGATCAGTTTAGATCACATCCATCTATTTCATATGCCCAAACATGGGTGGGTGGGCCGGGAAAATATGTCAATTACTAACTACTGTGAGTTAATCAACATATACAAACACTCACAACACCTCCACCAGCAGGTACAAAGTCCCTTCCACGAATCCACAAATTACTCGATACTGATTGTACTTGGTTTTCATATAGATGTCACTGTGGATAGTACCCTTCCCACAGTGACATATATACTTCGAACAGTACTTCACATTAAGGTTTGGGGCAAAATGTCAGTTGCGTATGCATATACTCGATATATCATGCATCATGATACAATATGTCACCACTTCTGGTGGTGACATAAAACTTTTATTCTCTTCTCTCCTCCCAATACTTAAATAACGAAAATATTTTACTCTCATTTATAACTTTATGATTCCAAACTCAAAATTAACATAGTGACATAATTAATACATTTATTTTACAATACATCACATACACTATTACAAAAAACAATTTATGGCTGAAACGCTGGCACAGATTTAGTATGTTGCCTTAAAAATATTTTCTGGCTCGTCATTATTTACAACAGCTTTTGCCAATCTACTGGATACACTCTAGCTCAGAATCTTTTAGCAATCCTACCCATGTATAATATTGTACGCTTTCATCTGTGAAGCAACCTACGTGACGCATCACCTCCGAGGAGGATGTTGCAGCCCCGGGAAGTACATGTACCATTGTTAATGCACATCCTACCCTCAAGCTATGGGGGGTCTCCCCTTCATCCAAACCTAACGTTGCTAGATAATATTTCAGACGATCATGAATAGCATTATACTTCAACGGTTCCTCCAATATTATACCCGAATTTGACATTGGCCGAAAAAGATACCCAACTGATAAATCCACCCCTTCACTTTTCATAACTTTAACATAATCTTCTAATCCCTTTACCGGACACATAATCTTGTCCTCACATTTTCTCAAGACAAATATGTTGCTCTTCCTCCACACAATGTTTTACCAAAGCTTAGAGAAATACAGAATCCTGAACCATCGCCCAGTTTGGTTATTTCCTGAGATTTTAAATGGGATAAAACCCCAGCCCTGTCACCCACTAGAAACTGTAACTTGAAAAACGCCTGGTCTAGATCTCTCAACAAAATGTATCTCAATGTATTGCTCAAATCTATAACCTGTAGCTCTCGATCAATAAATCCCATGATCTTCCTAATTTTTGACCTGAATATGGGTTTTGCCTGTTTAGGAATAACGTGACCTTTCTCATGACCCTCTTTCAAAATCTTTACTGTTTAACATAAGGTAATCTGGCAGGATTCCCATCACCGAGAGCACAATTCCAGGATTCCCCCTCCCAATAAGGAAGAATTCTCTAGCTAACTGATGTACCATACCCTCTAACGTCCCCGATGCTAATCGTGTAGGGCAACAATAATGTATATCTCCCTGAGCTTTTTCCCCAAAAATGCACAACTTGGCTCATAAACTTTTGTCTTTCCAAACGAATCCTTGTACACCAAAAATCTCTTCACTTCATTTGGACCCACACTATGAGCGCGATACATCTAACCTAATACAAACCAAAAATGTCTGAAATGTTTAAAACAGCTTTGTTGACTTCCTTACATATCCTTTTTCGGACGCATTTTTCTCAATTTCCTTAATTCTACCATCTATTTCACTTAGATATATTGGTTTGCCATCTAACCATGCCCGAAAGCATACAAGACAGGAAAACGTTTGTTCATGACATGGACACTCTGAATGCCAACAAATTGAATTTCAAGCCATACTGATCTTTAATAAATTCCCTTTTACTTGGGTACAACAGTGCCTCATTTGAGCAGATTCCTGCCAAAAATATTTTAGACACCGGATACGTATTTAACACTGGCCACCAGGGATCTAATGAAAATCTCTCGGCCACAACAATAGTATATCTTTGAACTTTTCTCTCAACCAAATATCTTGTAACTGGAAGTACCATACAGAAAGGAGGAAAGACATAAGGATTAGCCTCAGTCTCTATCTTTTGACTGAATACATCTACCCCCGATGATTTCGGAAGCGGAGACGGCGTAAAATGACGATCGACCAAACTATTGGAATCTAATGACATGAGATCAACTGAATGAGGCCCAAAATGGTGTTCAATTATCGCCCAAATTCCCGACTGCAACATTGCGTCCATGTTTGAAAGCCTTCTTGAAGGCATATCAGCGGGATTGTTTGTTGTTGATATTCTGGACAGACTTAGATCTATATTCTTTTCTAGACAAACCATGAAAAAAGATTTCAATATGTCATTCAATTCCAACGATTTACAGCCACCATTATTCCACGACTGGACTACTGGCTGGTTATCAACCATGATCCTGACTATACAATTCTGCAGTTCACTTGGCAATGCATTCACACCGTTTAAAAAGCATGTGCTTCTTTAAGATGGATTGGACGGGAGTCGTCACCTTCCTAATAATCAGATATGACACCCTGATTTTCTTGTCCTGGAATTGACTCCCCTAGAACCAGACCATACGCATATAGTGAAGAGTCCGAGGCAAGAACCAGATTTTTGTGACACTCTTTTCTCCAGGGAACATACCCTTCCCCAATCTTCCAAAGACTTCCAGTACTGAATTTCTCTAAATAAGTCATCAGACATTTCGACCAATTTACTATTTCTCATTGCTTTAGAAAGTGAATTATTTGCTACTTTTGTATACATCTTGGTCCCTGGGACTACCAGCATCATGGAGATGCATTAACATACCCAGCGTTACAGGACACTGATATCAACTTTTTCTTTGATAGTATATAGGACATGAATTCCAAACAAAATCTCCTTATCAGTTGGAAGATGAAAACACATTGGCTCGGATTCGATGAAAAAACCAAGATATCTCAAACACATTGTAGGCTGAAAATTACACTTTCGTATAGCTAATGTATAACCAAGATCTGACAATATCTTCAAAAACTCTTCTTCCACTTCACTGGGTTTCCTATTGACCACAAATGGCCGATCATCAACGTATTGCATTGTGCTTATTTGGAGGGATCTCAAGTATGAGGTAACCACCATCCCGAGTGACTGATGATATACATACGGACTCAATTTCCAACCAGATGGGATAGTTCTATATACCATGACCCACTCCCCAAACACAATCCCAAAATACATTTGAGAACTCTCAGACAGCAGGACATGGTCATATCCACTTTTATCGTCTCAGCTAAACAATACAGCACCCCTCTCGATCATTCTTGGCACCTCCCTAAGTCTTTCTAATGTAAAAGGCATGTCCCTCATCCATAAATTGATATAACGGTCATCGTGGCATAAACGTGGTTTTGACGGTTCTACTAACAAAGGCATGACAACATGTGGCATTTGGCATTCCCCAAGCCTTCCCAGAAGTTTAATAGCACCCGTTTTTATTTTATCTTCCAATGTTTTAGCTATAAAATCCACAAACGGTATACAACTTTCAGCATTTCTAAAGAAATTTCTTGGGGGTGTATCACTATCATATGCTTCCCCCTTGAAAGAGCCCTTAAAGTGTACAAAGTATTCTGAAATGTCCACTCCATTACACAACCAGTTCATAATATTCGGATCATTCCCCAGATAATCTATAAAGAGATTTTCCCATTTCTTTCTAAACACTAAGCTGTGTAACCTCCCTGCCACAAACTATTTAGGATCCCAAATAGGCAACTTACTATAATCAAACTGGCTGACATAGCCATCTATAACATTTTCTGCAGATGGTAAATGCTCACGAACTATGCGTGGAGAAATCTCATCACCATTCGAAAGTTTGGTTGATTCTGACGAATTTCTTATATCCACTAAACCAGGATGGAAATTAGCCTCTAACTCCCATTGAGGTACACATCCTCTGCTAAACGAACTTGAATCACTCTACAGGAAATTAGTCAGACATCACTCACCCTCGAATGATAATGAAATTTCTACACACACAGTCCGCGTGAAATAATTTCACTAAGGATCAGTGTCCCATGGACTATACATGTAGTAACTTCAAGATATAACTATATACAACTAACAAAGTAAACGGTATGCCTTTAACAAATCAGTCGATCTGAGTATTTGGACGCATACTTTGATACCCCCTTAAAAAGACCATGGTCCTTATGCTTTGTCTTCTTTGCCAGTTCAGTCAGATCGCACAATCTTGAAATCAATTCAGAGTTGTTAACTTCCTTCTGCATACACCTTCTTCTCCTTTTTCTCCTTCTCCTTGCCCTCCAGTTCTTCTATCCTTCTATCTTTCTCTTCAACGATGCTAGATCATTGTCCGCAGACGGTGGCGTCTCCATTCTTGACGTCTTGCTAGACCCCGCCGACGTACCTGGAGTCGCCTTTGTCCTTACTGCCACCTATAACACATTGAAAAATGAATTAACATAACCCCTCACAACCTCAACATATTTGAATAAACTCACATTACTCATGTATGATGTTTTGAAACGTGTGCACGATACACAAATTATCTCCCTTTGCCACTTATCATTCTAACAAAAACTAATCTATACATTGTACAGTCTTCTTAAATTTTAAACGTAAACGTACGCATGTGATGTTCTTTGATCATGTACATTTCAATTTCTATTCTCACTCACCGAGATCTTCTGTCCCTTGGGCTGACCTTTATCGTTAGCCAATAACACCGCTATATTAATAGCATTCTTCTGTTCCGCTTCCGTTGCTGTCGGTTTCCCCGCCATTGCCAACAGTTCACCAAACCCTGGTTCCTCACAAAGATTATTCCAGTTTTCTACAAATAACAATAACTCAGTATCCTTTAACGTAGACTACACCTTCATTGCACAATAGTGATGTGTAAACGTTGTCGACAACCAAATAAAATAAATACGAAAACCAAACATATGCGTCTGACTACACCATCATGCTACTGGTAGAACGTTCAAATCAAGCAACAAATCAAAACAACGTACAATTCCTCATGATAACATTTCAACTAACAAACATAATTTTTCCGAAGAAATCTTTTCAGCTCATAATAAGTATGAGAAGCGAGTATACACCCGTACTCTAATATATCTCACTGTCATCCTTTATGTATTCAAGTAGTCTTACCTTCCAACTGCGCCATTGTCATGGAGTGTACGTCAACTCCGCCTTTCTTAACCACTTCTGGTTCCACATCCCTCACCCACTTTATCGAGGTGCACAATAAATCCGCCCGAATTTCATGCCTGTCTTTCAGTATTGTATCCTTTGCCATTCTCTGCAAATATATTTCAAAGTTATGTTTTACCCGGTATTTCATCCTAAACATCACAATTCTTATTCTTCCATTGTGATATCTAAATATACAAGTCGTATACATCTGCCAAATAAGTTTTGTATTCAAGTTCCATGTATATAATCTAAGAGTATCTAACGATAACCAAGCAAACTTACCAATATCACAATCTTGAGCTTTCCTACGAAATCATGAAACTCGTGTATCAGCGTGCCAAACATTCGTGTCTCATTCATTGAATTTACTCACTCATGCCAATTACTATATATGAATGAATACTCCCCTCCAACCAATGAGAGTCGTTCCTTTTGTGCGCAATAATTACTCAATCAACTCAACTCAACTCAATCAACCCGATAAGTCCTTGAGATTTACACCACAATATTGACCTCGTATTATAACGCAAACAACCCATCCATGCGTGTAAATACCAAAATATTATGTCGTCCCAATTTAGCAAATTACGCACCCAAGAACAATGCACGATCTCCAAGTTCGTGCCATTATCATTGTTGCCTCAAAGCATATAATAACTCTCTCTCAAATTCCAAACATTGTGCCCTTATGCACCTATTCGCTATGTCCTTACCAAACTGAAAACATATCTACCCTCCCAAAGGGTGGATGCCCTTATGCATCTCTTAGCTATGACCTTTCCATGATTCAAGCTTCCCAAAAGCAATATCGCCCCCAAGGCATATATCTCTACACACTCCCAAAGTGTGTTCAACCTAGAGTGCCCCTTATGGCCTCTAAAATTCCATGCATGCTTCCCAAAAGCAATATCGCCCCCAAGGCATATATCTCTACACACTCCCAAAGTGTGTTCAACCTAGAGTGCCCCTTATGGCCTCTAAAATTCCATGCATGCTTCCCAAAAGCAATATCGCCCCCAAGGCATATATCTCTCCACACTCCCAAAGCGTGTTCAACCTAGAATGCCCCTTGTGGCATCTAAAGGTCCATGCGTGCTTCCCAAAAGCACGGAGGGCCGTCATACCCTCAAAATAAATTTTACTCACCAAGCTGCCTGGAGTACGTCCTTCACGTTCCAAAAATTACTCGATACTGATTGTACTTGGTTTTCATATAGATGTCACTGTGGATATGTTTAATAGCCACGCGTAATTATTAATAAGCGTAATCAGATTATTTCAAGCGTCGAAATAGCTTATTTTCCTCGAGGTATCTACACAAACCTATTCACTTACCTTTAGTGGCCCGCGATACCTTTTATTTCATTCATTTGAGACGCAATTGATAAATTGGCAACAAATCAAATGTTCTAAATGATTCTTCTTCATTTTGGAATGTTTCTCCTACCCGATATTCAAAGATGTGTCTTAAATATATTATACTTTACATTGATCACGATTCTTGTACTTTCTGTCTTTACGACTTCCGTTCACATTTGCAAGAGTTGTTGATTGCATTGCCTTGATCGTTGGTCAAACTTCGATTCCAACTAAATCAGATTAATCAATTAAGAAATGTAATATCATGTTTATCCAAGCAAATAATTGTAACAACTACATTATTTTTTAGCAGTTTTGACACCTAAGCAGGGTAGCCTAGTGGCGTAGACTGAGGCTACTTTGCGGTTGAACGTCGTGGGATACGGAGGTCCCGCGTTCGAGCCCCAGGTACGGAGTTGTTGATCATTGTCACTACGGACACCCGGTCCGAAGGTCCAACCGTTTACCGGCCCTTGGCATGGGTTGGTTCTCTGGCCGCTCTTGCCGGAGACAGATTGTGAGACTGTGGTTGGTTCCTCCACTAACGTGCTTTAGTAAACTCCGGGAGTCATATAGTATGGTAGCGGGCCCCCACCAAGGGCAGTAGTGGAACGACGCGAATCGGTCCCAGTATGGTTGCCTTGCAACTGAAGAGACTCGAGGAAATCATGCCATTCGCAGTGACCCAGAAAAGACTTTTGCTTCTTAATTTGACGTTTTAATTCATTTATTTACATACTTTATTCATATTACTTTCAAGACAGTTATGATTTTTATTGGTCTGGTCAAATGAATGAACGAGACATATAGATACTAATAAATACATCTAGATAGTATCAAAACCATAATTCGATTTGTCGAACATATATAAAATAACACTTGAAAACACAACACACATAGCTGCAATATCGGTACAGCATTTGGCACAGGATACTTTGAGAAATGAGGTAGCCTAGCAACAAAAGGAAACACCGGAAATAATCCAGAAATGTCCACACCATTGTTTTCGTTAGTTATGGCAAGGCCCCGGAAGAAAAACACCATTCGTGGGTAGCTTAATTTTTGTACCAATTAGAGCCATGACTTAAACTCAACCAAGAACGGTGGAGCAAATTCACTATGGGTCCCAATTGAGAATCAATTCAAATCAAAATCAAATTGAGAATCAGATGACCTGCTAAGTCTAGTATTGATTTGCCCCTAAATAGATATTAAAGGGGCGCTGAATAGTGGACTTAGTTAATGAGCTGCATTTTAAACTGCCAATTAAAACATGTATTCAATGTTTCAAAATAATGAAACTGAAATATTGGGCAAAATAATTGATATTTCGTTTGTGGAATGAAAACTGATGATAGAGATAATATCAGTAGCCAAAAACTATAAGCAATTTAAACATGGAAATGATGCCAATTTAGAAGTAGTATATGAAAAGAAATGTTTGTGAAATGGTTAGAAAATGAAATAACTTCAGAATTAATGGGATCATTGAGGCACACATTGATAAAAATCACACTTGGATTTGGAAAGATTTAAAGTAAAACAAATGAATGCGTTTCTTACTATCTCCATGACAACATATCTTGCTCTCTCTCAATTTTTGGTCCCATCAGCACAAGATCGAAAATACAGTAATTATCAAGTTCAATAAGAAATGTGAAACTTTATATTTAATAGCACAAGTATTTATTTCTACCAATAAAACAATACAGTATAAATAAATGTTTACTTCATTGAATACAGAATTTACCACAGTTAAATATATTATATGAAGTACAGGGTTTACAATAATCAAACATAAATAACAGAATTATGACTTCATCCTCTATGAAATACAGAAATTGATGGTTAACTGGAATTAAGTTTGTTGAGACGACCCCTCAATCCGAAACGCCTAGCATCAGTTAAAAAAATTCTGGCCGCAACTGAGATGTAAAGATGTTCAAAGATTTTAAATTAAGCTTTATCTGAAAATATGTTTTTGCGCGATAAACTTTTAATTGAATATGAATATATAAACAACAGATTAACATCCAGTCTCATATTAAAAAGTTTTCAGGCTCCACTTTTATTATTCTATGCCTATATAATGTTACTGTGCACTGTCATACATGTACATAATCACGTTTTGAAAGTGTATAGAGCTAGATTCAAAGCACAGTTCTAGCGAGTTTCAAATGAAAATATTGAAAAACGCGCGAGTATGAGGACTGCAACTTTTTATGTCTACACTGACAAAAACTTGAAATTCCCGCTGTAAAGATATAGTCCCACGCGGAAGTGCACGTCATAAAACTGATGGGTTAAGGCAATGTGGCGTCCCACTGGCACGGATTTCGGTACAACGCGAATCGGTAGGCCTTTTCGGCACAATGCGCGTCGGTATAATAGGTTTCGGTATAATGCACGTCGGTATAATACGCGTCGGTATAATGAGGTGATCCCATCCTCACGACCTCATGGTGTTGGCGTCAACGTCTAGCTTGGCGTGTTCAGATCGCTCTAGACAGCTCGAAAGGCATGTAAAAACCCATGTCTCGATGTTTTTTATGACATCACGATGTTTTTTTTTGTTTATGTCATACAGCATTCGGTTAATATACATTTGATTTTTTGTGAAGTAATAATAATTCTAAAATGTATAATAATAAATATAGTAATTGCATAATAAAGCTTCATATTCTATAATGCGACATGTTTTTGACAAGTTATATTTACATTTAGTGGCTTCTGTGCCAAGATTCATTCAAAACAGAATCCCTTTAAATAACATTAATCAATCATAGTACCTAAATGATAAATAATCGTTTATAATTAAATCAATCTACAGTATGTTTGCTACATTTTTTCAAAACTGGAGAAAGCCCCGAGCACAACTAGTTAATGCAGCATTTGAGGGCAACAAATATGGTAAATGACACACATAAGTCGTTCAATCAGCCCATCTGCTGGGTCCGACTTTTGACATTTTATATAATGCTCACACTAGGAAATCTAAAAGGCGCTCTGAACTCTGATTCGTCACACGGGGAAATGAGATTTGAAGGTAACATCTTTATCGTATATTCACACATAGCTAGGTAAGATATATCAACCAGAACCAGTTTTACAAAAAACTTGCATTCTTGAAATCACAACAACAAAGGGGAAAGCATGGTTACTTTTAAAATCAGTAAAATTGATTGCCCTCATTAATTTCATAAATTCAAGTTTGCGGTTGAGTGAAAACCAACAAATAGTATCATAAGGAATAGCAAGACAAGTGTATGCATGTCAAATCTCAAATGGTTAGTGTTGACCTAGTTTTGACCATTCAACCTTTGAAAAAAGGAATGTCAATGACGGTAGTCACTACCACCTCACTCAATGCCATTTTTGACCCCAAATGACCTTGCGGCACATCATGCGTTTTGTAAACAAATGCAGAATTTATTGGGATAGTAAGATGAAATTACATCATGGAATACCATGGCCACTCAATGCCATTTTTGACCCCAAATGACCTTGCGGCACATCATGCGTTTTGTAAACAAATGCAGAATTTATTGGGATAGTAAGATGAAATTACATCATGGAATACCATGGCCGCGATGTGAGAATGATGAAATTAATAGAATTAAAAATATAGTTGTATAGAATGAATATTGGGTGCACCCCAGTTGTCCGAAACCCAGTTCTCCGAAACCCAGTTGTCCGAAACCCAGTTCTCCGAAACCCAGTTGTCCGAAACCCACTTGTCCGAAACCCATTACTCCGAAAAATATAGTCATAATTTACCAGAGAAAGGGGAGACGTACAAAGCTTAGGCCAGTTTCATGCAATGTATTTGGCCAAATTAATGGCATCATGGACGCATTCTGATGTTCATAGATCTCTCTCTCTCACTTTGAATTGCATCCATTGCACGCGTTATCAGAATGGCAGGAACGGGGGATTTATTTTACATTGTGATTCTAAAAAAAGGTTATCAAAACACAATATATATTACGGAACAGTTTATCTTATCTTCTTCAATCTCTTTTATATAGGCAAAATAAAATGAATCATTTTGAAACAGATAAAATAAGTTTACGCATATAGTATTTTAAGAATAAAACAGTATACATATTACGTAGTCAAAATATTTCGTCGCATTTAATTTCTTAGTCTCTGTATTTTATCAAATCGTAAAAGAACAAAACATTCTTAACTTAATCACTTGGGATCAACTGGAAACGAAGGCAGGCTGTCCTCGTATCAAAATGGATGTTCTCCCATTCACAAGAAGTTTCATTTTCGCCATGTACTCTCTTCATCCTTTTAATTTAATCTCTATTTCTCGAACAGAGTACGTAAATGAAGAATAAGTTTTGGTTTCAAAAGATGTACATGTCAACTTTACTAAATAAATGCCCACTGGCTTGGGAAAGCTATTTTTCCTTTTATGAACGCTCATCACCCATTGGAAAAATGTTGTTTCCTCTCAAAAAAGGCCCAAAGGCCATAAAGAAAATTGGTTTAAAAATTGTAGACCCCTATCTATGTATGTTGTGTAAACGCCATTTTACAATGAGAATAACATAATTTAACTCTGTTTGTTTGAACATCTATATCACCTGTATATGAACTTTCGTAGGCTAAACATTAAAGAATTAACGTCTTGACTTAGCATATTTAGCCTAATTTTGCAATGATGTAAACGTTATTCTAATGTTATGTTGTGATTCGCAGAGGTTGCGACAACGAGATTCGTTTAAAAAAATTGTATTTTTCAAATAAGATCCCCTAATTTTCGGAGAACTGGGTTTCGGACAACTGGGTTTCGGAAAACTGGGTTTCGGACAACTGGGTTTCGGACAACTGGGTTGACCCCATTATTGAATAAAGAAAATATTCGTCTCCCTTGAAGGCACTGGTATAGTATCAACTACAGGGGTAAAGCAGTAACAAGGCGAACCATACGCAAAGTCATCTTGCTTCGAGCCTATCCTCATATACGAGGAAAACGTCGAACGTAGAACCTATAGAACGTAGTGATTGAGCGTGGGAACAGACGATGACGTAAACACGCCTAACCATCGACAAGGTACAGTCACGTGACAGTGACAAAATATGCCGTAGTACACTTTTGATGTACTATGTCATTTCCGCCATTTTATATCGCCATTTTCTAGAATGAGGAAGCGAGGTAAGAACTAGCATTGATTTGATCAATATTGTGTCAGTTCATCATCAGGCAGTTGTTGCATTCGATTTGTAATTAAGTTGCAAATATGCATATCTATTTCAAATGATCCTCAGCAACTTCAATATCTTGTTATAGATCTACCCAGTACGTCAGGGATCTCTAAATCTTGTCTGAATTTCGCAAAATTCTCTCTAATTTTTGTTTTGCTATGCAAATAACAGCCAAACTACGACTAACACAACTTAAGATAAGTATACAAATATACATCCAGAGTTAATGCAAAACCGCTTTTTACTTTGGATGCTACTACGAAAAACAGATAATGTATGTTGTCAACTCGAATGTATGTTGTCACATTGGCCTTACAGATCTCAATTCACAGTTAATTTTACATGAATGAAATGCTATAATGTACGTGTAATAGAAGGAACATATTTGATAATAAAGTAATAATTTATAATAATAGGGCTGGCATATCGAAAAATTTACTCTAATATTTTGTCCGTTAATCAATAAAATTGTCATTGATATGATTAAATTTCAATGTTACTAATAATTTTTTAGTATTCCATAACCCTGGCTTTTGAACTTCTGCACTTTCCCCCCTAGGCAGACATATACCAATTTCTCCATAGTATGTGTCATATATCATATTTAAGCTTATCCAAAGTTACATTGATTTGCCAAATATGATGGTTCAAATGGTAAAAAGTAACAGGCATTTCAAAAATTAGCGTTTTGCCAAAAAGTCCATTTCAGTATCCTGGAAACAGCCCTGACCTGAATGTGACAGAAAATATGGATGCTATTCTCGAAGATAATATATGGATATCGAGTTCTAAAAAGATGACGTTTAGGGTAGATACTCCAAGGAAACTCTTCTTATGCCTTAAAAGGTTTTATGAAGATTATACAAAACGCCATATCCCTATTTGAAGCCAGTTATTTAAGATCATATATGGAAAGTATTGCTGCTATTAACATGGCGGCTAAGGAGACACACCGACTATTGTTTTGGTGTAAAACTGACTTTAATTTTGTCCAAACACTAACTTTTGAAATTCCTGTAACTTTTTCCATTTGTGAGTTGAACCATGATACTCGGCAAATTAATGTAACTTTGGATGAGCTTTAAAATGATATACGACACATACATGGAGACATTGGTATATGTCTGCCTATGGGGGCCCATAATTTCGGGACACCCTGTAGCATAAAGTCATCTTGGATTAGCTAGTAAAGATCTCTCCATGAACTCCTTAAGATTATTAAAATTCATAAAAGTGCAACTAAACATAACGTAACGTACCGACGTCGAGTGGTTAAAGAGGTCGGAAGAAAACACGCCGTGGTCACATATTAGTCACCATATTAATACTTTCATAAAATAAAATAGCATTCACGAAAAATCACTTTTACCTGTTTATCTGTACTAGGGATACAGGAGCATGTTCGTTGAACATCACTTGTAACGCATAAAACCCTTAATGCATTTTGAAATTAAATCATTGCAATGTTTAATATTATAACTCATGTATTTCAATTACAGGGACAACATACACTGTGAGTTGACAACGTACATTTCTGATTTTTTAAATTATATCAAATGCATGAATGTTTATTAAATGTTCACCTGTCCTAAACTGTGTAGTTTAGAGAAACACATTCTCATAAAAATATTCGACACTCTGAGACGTCAGGGGAGAAAATTATCAAAGGAAATGTGTAAAAAACAACATTTTTCCAACCGAAGAATCGTATGGGTAGACTAACAACGAAAAAAATCGAGCACTGCTCGAAGATCTTTTAACGTTATTAGAAAAATAAATGTCTTTGAAATCGAATGCACGCGAAATCAAACATAAAATCCTTTGTGTTCTCCTAAAATTTATTTTTGAAAACCTGCATCGAACCTACATCATGGTCTTCGCTCAAAATCAGTTAATAGTGACATAGTACATCAAAAGTGTACTACGGCATATTTTGTCACCTGTCACGTGACTGTACCTTGTCGATGGTTAGGCGTGGTAAACTTAAAGTAACCAACAAATTACTATAACGTTAAATGTGATCAACATTAAAATTAACACTACTGTTGAAGTGCTAATAAATACATGATTATATGATTGTATAATGTACGTACATAGCATGTAGTTCACGATATAAAAGTCATGCCAGGGAGTCATGCCAAGACCCATTAAAAGTTGTGTAATATCCATGGCAGTGTCATATCCTTGTGTGCACCAGAGACATGTAAATAAAAATATTAATTTTTTTCTGTCTGCTTATTTACAGAATTTTTGTTCACGTCCTGCGAATTCCAAGAAAATGCATTTAGACAACGACATACTCCTTCAATCATGATCGTTCCTATTGATTCCACACGACTAATCTCATAGTCGCAGATACTTTTCAGACACTAATTTAAACGCCATGTCGACATTTTAAGTTCCTTACTTTTCAATGGTATATCTACATCAGTGAATTTATTAGATTATGGGTACTGTGGATAGATTAAATCTGAAAAACCACCATTAGATAGAAATACATTTGAAGCAGTTGAGATGACTGCCCCGCCAAACTTTTATCGGAATATATTTTCAGACTTTATCTTCACCAAAAATGTACCAGAATGAATGTAAATGTTAATTTGCCTTATTCTTTAGCCTTCTGACTCGCCTAATTTTAGTTCCCGACCACGCCCCTGAATGATTAATTTCTTTCTTTTCGACTTGGAAACATAGTCTAGATACAAGCCCCCTGTGACCCCCCCTCTCACTACTTGACTATAAACCTCACACGGGAAGGTGTGTGTATAGGATGGGGGAAGGGCCGGGGGGGGGGGGGCTCACAAGGGCATGTAGCTACTAGACTATCGGAAAGATCCGATCTCAGTAATTACTGTCCTAGCAACATCGTATTTTTGACGACCGTTTGTGGTCATGGCAGCAGTGACTCATTCTTATGTTTCACATCTGTCACTGACTGTGCCATCTGTGGTCTGAGATCCCGACCAGGACTCCATTGCATTTGGGTGCAGCCCATAAAGTTACCGATAGCAGAGATAATATCAATTTGTACTCAACTACTGTACTTCCTATATTTCCCATTTATACCAACATTGACTGCATGTTATATTTGAGTTGTTCAAAAACATAATTTCCAGTCATTGGATTTCGGAAATTCAATTTCCCTTCACATAATATGCTCTGCCACCATGTACACGTTCCACAATAACCAATTTAAAATTATTATCAACCTTTGCAGCGATTCTAAAATTCATTACACGCCGGAAATGTCTGGAGTGTTTTGACAGAGTTTACGGCTCATTGATATCAGGTTTGAAAAGTAATAGTACGATATTAGCAATTCATATTAAAAAAATGAAGCCATGAAGCCTCAGATACCTTATTAATTCTAAAATGGGAGATTATGGGATTATATGACGAATCCCATCGAGTTCCATCGTGGATTATGACCAATTAAACATACATTTCTCGCTAAAAACGCTAGAAGTCCAAGAGAGTCACGTTTGTCTAGAAGATGGGGTTAATTAATCATAAAAGAGTAAAATATTAGAAACATCAAGACGACGTGTCAGTGTGTCTATTCAAATACAAAATTAGAGAAATACAGAATAATGGCAAAATAACATTCCAAATCAAACTAATCTGAATCACATATTCATCATCGCTGTTATATCATGTTTGAATGAAGTCAATGTGATTATATATTACAGGATCATACTCCAGGAAATGGTGCTATTGTTTTTAGTGACGCAATTGTGTAAACATTGATTTAGTTTATTACAAATATTCTCCTTTAATAGGACGACGAAAATTCTCTTCATCCTAGTTCTTTCTTAATCCTACATTGTTTTTATCTGTTACACTAACTATTCGTTTTTATCTTGGAAACGTCCAATGGTCCAACCAGAGACATATAAAACACTTCTGAATGATAATTATCGGTATAACAAGTATCTCTTTACGATATGGATTCTTGAGCCTGGTAAGGGTTGACTTATTTACCATTGCCACCATGAAGGAAGTTCTGTAAAGATTTCGGTAGCGTACGGCACAGTTACAAGTATGTCTCCGCTGCCACAGGTGGATCTTGTTTGGGGGAGGGACTTTATTTATTCCGAGGGTGGAATTTTCCAAATAATTTTGCCATCACCATGTCAATTTTCAAATCCGCCCCTGTGCCTGGCATTGTATGCTTAAGTTTGGCGTTCTCCAATGCCGTGCACTTGTTTACGGAATACATTACGAAATTCACGAGTTTTGTATTTGAAAGATCAAGACTACCCAAGCGGTTAGGTTATATAAACGATTTTAAACTTGTTACAATCTTGACACTGCGTAAGTCAGGATTTCTTGACATGATGTTGGACAATAAGGCTACAACCTGTCGTTGCCTAATTACCTACCTTTGGCAATATATCGTAGACGAGTAAGATTCGAATTCGCTCTAAGGACAACGTAAACTTTAAATTATCAGCATAACTTGCTCAGTGGTGCTTGGCTCAACAACAACTTGTTATTTGTGTTCCTTGGCTCTAATTTCTGGTCAGTATCATTGGTCATTTTAGTTCATAAGTTTGGCTGCAGTGTATCATGACAGCGACGAAGATTTAGAAAGGCAGCGAGAGCCCAATATTGGAGTGTATATGTACAGTGATACTTCAAAGGACTACAATGATACTTCATTAATGAAATCATCTCATGAACGTGGAGTAGGAATAATCAGTAACGGAGTTGGAGTAACCGCGGTTTGCCACATCTTTATTTATGTTGCAGGTTTTTTCAAATCCACGTAAACAACTTTATTCACGAATGAAGCTTATACCCCGGGCTTTGCTTAGGACGATAATAGGATATTCATACTTGTTTACACTCAACATATACATACATCACTCAGTCATCATCAACTCGAAATAGGCTACATGTATTCACATTGGAATAACAAAGAACTTAATAGGCCTACAAGTGTATGTTAAGAAATAAGCTCATATCAAAATGGATTTCCTTATAGAAGTATAGAATACAGACATAACAAAACAATGGAATAAATATGATCAACTTTAATATCCTTAATCTGTAAGTCCGAATATAAAGAATTTGCTAGTAAATGAGCTCCTTTAACAACCTCGAAACAAATCGGATGAAACAAGCATCACCGTTGTTGACCGCCAAGTGAACAGTGTCGAGAGATTACAAGGATTCATGGACGTAATTCCTGGACAATAGCCTTGTTTGCGTGGATGGATTAAACTTATTGGGACAGTACATTCCGTGTATATTTGCAGTATGTTACTGATTCACAAACTGAGGGCATGGGCGAAGTGTCCAGTGAACGTGTATGCGTATGCCCTGCGGTGCTTCCTCACTCTACTAACATTTGTGGGATTAACAAATGGGCGTTCTATAGAATCATCAACTTACCGAGGTGAGATAGGTCAAAGTCATTAGGATCTATAATGGATCGTCTCATTATTAGGTTTACTTCTATTTCATTTATGTTTCGTCCACTTGGCTCTGGGTTCTCTGGATAACAACTGTATTGTCTTTCATCAAATCTGTGGACCTCCCCCCAGTAAGTACTTCGAGGCATGAAGTAAGTTCTATGGGTTCTATTCCCTGCGTCAGAGATAAATAAATAACAAATACTCTAAACGTCATTGAAAGGTTGCATTAACTATCTATGAGGACAAACGATGTTCTCCTCACGTAATTGTAATTTATCTTTTCCTGGATGGCTGACAACGCTAAAGGATTGATACAAAAGTCAGTATCAGATACGTGCTTCCTTTCATCATGTTCATCCCATCCTATTTCGCAAAATCAGACACAAGATCGTATGAATATAATTATATAGAATGTACAAAGTGTGCATAGTCGATACCGTTACCGATGTATGTGATCGTTAAAGTTTTCACGTGATTATACCGACCAGGACAGAATGTACTAGCTTCCTTTTGGTATTGTTCCCTGGTAGAAATCCAACCATCCTAATGACAGTGTCTAATTAATGGAACCACCGTATCCTGCATCGGGTTTAATTGTCGAGCTATCTTGAGACGAGGTCATTCTAACTTTACCACATTTTAATGTTTGTCAACTTGTAAGGATTCCATTGAAGTAACAACCCCAAACATAACAATTCATCATCTCTGGTTGTGGTTCACTTACGCGTATGTAGATGTAGCTACCGTGTATCTTCCACTTCCAATTTGGTTGTAATGGTGATGAAAGATATTATAAGATGGAACAACTGACACCAGCTTGAATCAAGTTGTTCTCAAACCACGGCTGATTGATTCGTTCATTCGGCATCAGTCTGTCAGAGCGCAGTGAAATTAAGAAACACGTTTTTAATAGTAGAAGTGCGGTCCTCTATGGATTACTTCTCTGGCAGTATTTACTTGCCAAATACTATAGGACCTATAAGGTCTCTGAAAAATAACAATTGAAAGGAGGATAGTAATTCCCGGGGGTCACAATATTATAGAAAGATACATTTTACTACAATTTTTTCCTTTTGGCGTGTGTTTTAACGAAACGAAACCATCCGCGAAGTCGAACGAATGCAAAGGGTAACACGGGGGTAAGAAAACGATCAATGTCGGACAATAACAAGCTACTAAACCAACAACGAATCGATACAATAACAGTACTGACCTTAATAGGATGAACGTGTATGGCTATTTTCTGATATTTATATTCTCAAAGTTTATACAGGGGCGCATCCAGAATCTAAGATTTGGCAAGACAAAAACCAAAAGGCGAGGCAAAACTAGACTAAGCCAGTAGGTATTAGCATACACCCCAGGTATTGGCATACACCCCAGGTATTAGCATACACCCCAAATGTTGATATCTTCTCTGACAGAACAGATTGAGGTAGTTAATAAGATTTACCAAAAATGACAGTCTGATTCTAAAAATATATCTCATGATATAATACTGCATGTAAACCTGAAAGTAAACGAGTGATCTGATGTGAGCTTAAAAAGTTTAGGACGCAGCTCATTTCGTGACTCGTATGTTTGATAAAATAAGATGTTTCAGGGATTGTATGCAGGTATAGCATACTAGCAAATATGGATTTTGAAAAATATGAGCAGTCGTTCACGGGGTTGTAGTTTATTTCATATTCAGCTATCGTGTTGTTGTGCACTGAATTTACCTAAGCGGAATGTTCTACATAGCTAATCTTGCTTTGCTTCACAACTTCTCTAAACCAAATTGATATGTTCATGGGTTTGTCTGTTCAAATTGAATTGGTAAATAAATTATACAGTCATGTTCTGCTCTACGTATGATTGGAGTTTGGGTTGTTGGGACATATATGCAGTTGTTTGGGCTGCCAATCATGAGGAGGAGTCTGAAGTAATAATATTCGTTTTCTGCCTGGTTGATTCGAACTTATCTTCCCAGAACGCCCATCTTCAAAGGATCCCAGGTATGCCTATGCCCATGGCAGACATACCATTATATCACCAGTGTATCCATTCCCTCATGAAATGAAATAACTCGACGGATCGAGACAGATACCAGTTCCGTAAAGACATTTGTTTATTTGTTCGTCGGTTTGATTCTTGTGATGGAATCACGTGCAGTCCATCACACGTTTTCATTTGAATCGACGTGTAGTCCATCACACGTTTTCAGTTGAATCGACGTGCAGTCCATCACACGTTTTCAGCTGATCCACGTTTACCCTTTCCAAGAAGAGTGAGAGTTTACAAGGCTCTGACACTCGAGGAAATCCAACTTGAAATTCGAGGTACTGGTACACCATGGGGCACAGAATCTAGATGCATATGAAGCTCTTTAAAAGAAGCGAAATCAAATTAATGATGTAAAGTTTACACATGAAAAGTTATCTAACTGTATAAGCCTCCCATGTCAAACTATATCAAATATAAATTGCTTGATATGAATTTGACAGAGTTATAACTCAATATATTTAGCTAGCAAGCCATAAGTTACATTGCTATAGAAACGAGATACAGTAATTAATACAGTAATGAGATAATCTTGTATTCCGTAGTCAACTAAGGTCTATAAATCTTAGGTAGAAATCATCCCTGGAATAATATATCTGATACTCGTAAATTGTGCACCATTTGCGCCCATTACCATCAAAATGAATCAATAGAAACAATATCCAGGGTTGGCGTACTCGAAAAGAAGGGCTGGTCATTACAGATTAGAACCGGGTGTCTACAAAACAAAGACCTAAGACCTAAGACCTACAAAACTAAGACCCCCCACGTTATAAAACTAAGACCCTGTTATAAAACTAAGACCCCCATGTAATAAAACTAAGACCCTGTTATAAAACTAAGACCCCCCACGTTATAAAACTAAGACCCTGTTATAAAACTAAGACCCCCCACGTTATAAAACTAAGACCCTGTTATAAAACTAAGACCCCCCACGTTATAAAACTAAGACCCTGTTATAAAACTAAGACCCCCCACATTATAAAACTAAGACCCTGTTATAAAACTAAGACCCCCCACGTTATAAAACTAAGACCCTGTTATAAAACTAAGACCCCCCACGTTATAAAACTAAGACCCTGTTATAAAACTAAGACCCCCAACGTAATAAAACTAAGACCCTGTTATAAAACTAAGACCCCCCACGTAATAAAACTAAGACCCTGTTATAAAACTAAGACCCCCCACATTATAAAACTAAGACCCTGTTATAAAACTAAGACCCCCCACGTTATAAAACTAAGACCCTGTTATAAAACTAAGACCCCCCACGTTATAAAACTAAGACCCTGTTATAAAACTAAGACCCCCCACGTTATAAAACTAAGACCCTGTTATAAAACTAAGACCCCCCACGTTATAAAACTAAGACCCCCCACGTTATAAAACTAAGACCCTGTTATAAAACTAAGACCCCCACGTTATAAAACTAAGACCCTGTTATAAAACTAAGACCCCCCACGTTATAAAACTAAGACCCTGTTATAAAACTAAGACCCCCCACGTTATAAAACTAAGACCCTGTTATAAAACTAAGACCCCCCACGTAATAAAACTAAGACCCTGTTATAAAACTAAGACCCCCCCCCACGTTATAAAACTAAGACCCTGTTATAAAACTAAGACCCCCCACGTTATAAAACTAAGACCCTGTTATAAAACTAAGACCCCCCACGTTATAAAACTAAGACCCTGTTATAAAACTAAGACCCCTCACGTTATAAAACTAAGACCCTGTTATAAAACTAAGACCCCCCACGTTATAAAACTAAGACCCTGTTATAAAACTAAGACCCCCCCACGTTATAAAACTAAGACCCCGTTATAAAACTAAGACCTCCCACGTTATAAAGCTAAGACCCTGCTATAAGAATCAGTCACCGTGCCTTGCTCTGCTCGCCACAAGGTAGTCTTGCCTCTGGGCCTTGTGTTCCCCAGTAACATACAACAGCGGATTATATAAAAATGGACTGTAACAAATACCCGGATTTGTTGATTTTTAAAAAAAGTAATTTTTTGATATCACTTTTTATGCCCGGCATAAAAAGTGATGTCCCATTTTATGCTGGCATAAAAAGTGATATCCCATTTTATGCTGGCATAAAAAGTGATGTCCCATTTTATGCTGAGCATAAAAAGAGATACTCCATTTTATGCTGGTATTGTTTTGGAAGTGATGTTTAATGGTAGTTCAAGATTTAAGACCCATCATTCTGGCACAGATTGCTGAACCATTGTTAGTTAAGAATTCCTAATAGAATTAAGAATTATTAGCTGAAACTGAGTTGTTTTGCCCTAGCAAACAATTTTCCAACTTGTAGTTCAACTTCTTCTGTCTATTTGTTGACAGTCTGTGATGTCATCATCAATCATCACAATAGAAATGAGGTACAGGGTGACCGGAAAAAAAAGGAGACCATTGAAATAGGCAATATCTCCTAAAATAGACTAGTGACATCAATGAAATTTTGCATACATCAGGACAGTTCTATGGAAATTTGTTCCTGAAAGTGTCAATACAAGCAGTCAACTGGTTCAGGAGCTATGATCATTTACATAACATGCTCCAAATAGGCGCAATTGAGACCAACGCAGAGCTGGATACATTTGGCAAATACCCTTACATATTCCGACCTTGTTATGGCATTACATTTAGCATTTATTGCCACCTTTAGGTCAGCAATTGTCTCAGGATTGTTTTGGTACACATTGTCTTTCAAATTGCCCCACAAAAAGAAATCAGGTGGATTCAAATTTGAGGTGTATGGAGACGAAGCTTATCTGACCTATGGCTTCTGACTCAGTGGTCCCACTCAGTTACAGTATCATCCTAAGGAGGTTTTGGGCAGCCCTTGGTTTCCATATGGGATTTAATTGTGCCATATAGTGGTTTTAGTAACATGGCACTATGCCCAATACCTAAAGTGACTCTTAAGAT